CCAGTTCACTTATGCATGCTTCAGAGTCAGGTCTCTTTTATCATCTCTGGAGTACATGACTCTCTCTTCGAGTCAGCTCACGAGGGTCCTCTGAAGCTAAGCTTTCAACTAAGCAGTAGATTCTATTGGCCATCACTCAAGGAAGATGTTAAATCCTATGTCAATTCATGCGACATTTGTCAAAAGATTAAGCCAGACTGAACAGCCAAGTTGGGACTATTAAGGCCAAATCCTGTACCTCTCTGCCCCTATGAATGGGTGTCGCTAGATCTTATTACTGGTCTACCTGACAGCGATGGTTTCAATGTAATCTTAGTCACTGTGAACCACTGTTTCAAACACTCACAATTCATTTCCTGTCATGGATCCCTCAGCAGCCTAGGATTTGCAGGACTATTCATTGAATATATAGTCTTCTATTTCAGCATTTCTGAACATCTCATCTCAGACAGGGACCCCAGGTGGACTTCAGATATGTGGAGAGCTATTGCCAAAGAGCTCAACTTACATCTAAGCCTTTCGTCATTGCACCACTCTCAACATGATGGACAGACTGAATGAGTTAACCAGTTCCTGGAGATAATGCTGTGGGCTTATGTTAACTCTTCTCACTCTGATTGGTCTCAACATCTACCTGCACTAGTGCATGCATACAATTCTTCAGTACATTCAGCTACAGGATATTCCCCCTACTACTTACTCTACAGCTTCACCCCTTGGGGTTCCTTGGACTTTGTTTCCCTTTCTGACCAATATGTTCCGCATTCTCAGCTGAACTCTGCCTCTACTAAGAACTTCACCATCACAGGGCCAGAGCAGCTATAGCCCAAGCCCAAGCCTCGGCTGCTCGGTCATACAATAAGTGCCAATGTTCGATGGAATTCAAAGAAGGAAGTAAGGTGTTGATCAACCCTCATTCCTTGGAGCTAGTAGATGTCAAGGGAACTGGGAAGAAGCTGATGCAATGACATCTGGGACCTTTCTTGGTATAAGAGAAAATTAGTCCCTTGGTGTATTGTCTTTACATACCTGATACTTACCCGATGAACCCAGTCATTAATATACAACACCTTCATCTGTATCACGAGTTGACTAACCCTCTTTTCGAAAGTTTGAAGCATCCCACAATGTCTGATCCTCGTAACTCGGATCTACTAGCTTCGAAAGAATACGAGGTCAAAAAGATAGTAGCCTGGCATCGGAACAAATCCAAGCATGGCCATCTAAGAGTTTCTCATGCAATAGAAGGGCTACGGCCCTGAAGATGATTCCTGGCAGTCTTCCCATGATCTTCAGAATACACACAGAATTCTGAAAGCATTTCAACTGTCTCATCCAGAATCTTTATAAAAAGGACCTGATCAGTCTCTTAACTAATTGAAATTTTATACTCTAATTTCACGTCAATATGGAGCCTCTCGTCTAATCCTCTAATCTCTTACTTTCTCTCACTCCACAGTTCGCTAGAGTCTTTCTCCCTCTTCGTGTACCTAGGCGCTTCACCCTAGTCTCTCACTTAACAACCACCTTGCGAATATTGATCACCACATCCCCTCTATTTAAGGCTCTATAATGTCAATTCCCAACAGTTCCTCTTATCTCAACCATGACTCACCATTACAGCTATAAAGCCTACATTTATGCAGGAGGAACTGACTCTGAGTATTGCAATCTGGTGGCTGATCACGTGGACCCAGTCAATGATCCAAACTTGCTGCATTCCTCCACCCATCTGACCGTCGGTGACTCTGTATACCTGGTGTGCATCAGTTTCACCACCCTCCATAAAGAGTTGGGAATTAACAAGAAATATGTCCTTTTCGACATTGATCCCATCTCCTTTCGAGCTCCAGTTGAAGATGAGTGCAACTACATGGATGTATTCTCCTGCAGCACTTTGGCTATCCCCTGACGCTATCTGCCTCAATCTGGTAAGGGACGTGGATGGAAGGAGAAGCTATGAGCCTACCTCATCGGTTATAACTATTTATCGTGCCTGAGTGAAGTCCATTATGGGTTTGTGGAGTTTTTTCAGGATGCGTCTCTGTTGGACGGCAGGAAAGGATGACCCTCCTCTCCGGTTCCTTCTTATACCCCTCCACTCAATCTTCGTCCCAGTCTCAATGTTCCTTCTGACTACCAATTCAGTATTGCACTTCAGTTCCCTGTCACCTCCTATAGCTGGCCTCCGGCGCCTTCACCGAATTCAACAGTCTGAGGCCACAGAGCACACGTGGCAACTGTTTAACTTATATACACATGAGCACTCTTCTTTCTTATTTGAACCTTCTCTGTCTTCATGTCTATCTCTTCTATATGTTTCTATGTTTCATCAAACTCGCCTCATCAATTGTTCTTCATCTTCTTCCAGTTATCGACATTATTCACCTCATTGACCTTCTTCTCATTCGAGACATTGAACCTACTCCCCACATGGCAACCTTAGACAAGGCTATCCGGCTCACTCCAGTAGGGACCATTATACCCAATCTCACTATCACTCCCTATCTTATGGCCATTCAGACTCTTACTTTCCTTTTCATTTATGCTCGGCACATTATCTATCTAGTTTCTCACCTCATCACTACCTGAACTTGCCTCGGGGCCATTCTCACACTCATAGTGGGCATTCTTCCCATCAAACTCTCTGATCTGCTTCAATGGAGAGCTGTGAGTCCTCCCTTCAAGTTCGTCAGGCTACGAGGTCCCCTTTCACAGAGAACCCTAGTTCCACGTCACAACTGTTCACCATAGATGGAAGCCCTTCCCTTCTTTGTGATCACAGGCTCTACAAGACCATATTACCAGTCCCTTTCTTACCTTCGCAGTCAGATCGCTTCCCTGCATATCTCCAGCCCACTCTCATTCATTCTCAAACTGTATATTTGACCACTGGTCATCCCATTCTCACTCATTTACCCATTTGCGCTAGACTGGAGGTGTCCTATCTCCTCACCACTGAATTCGAGGATGACCACAACATCTCAGTCCCTCTCTGGTTCGAGGAGAATGAGATAGGTCCCCTTCCTCGCTTCAGCCTCATTACCACTTCTGTGGTTCTGCCCCTTAGTGTTTTTCACACTGGGGATGCTCTTGGTTTGGGATGGCACATCATTTGGCTAACCAAATTCAGCAGTTACCTGCATGACCTATCCATGTCGTCCCCATCTAGCTGGACCTCCAAATCAGACTCCCAATGGTGCTCATCGCTGTTGCCTCTAAAGTGACTTTTGAACCTCATATGTCATCCTTCCATCCTGCCCTCAGCTCCTCAATTTTGAGCACTATTGTTTGCCCCTTATACTCATGACTCTTGGATCCAAGAGCTCGAAGCCATGTACCTTATCTACTTTCGACGTGACATCGAGTGTCTCATCTATCGTCTCCACCCCTCTCTACAAGAGAACGATAGGAGTCAAAGAGCCCACACTTGGGCTGTTCAGCACAACTGCTTACAACATGTATGAGGTACTTCCATCCCTCTGGTTTCCCTAAATGGAGAGGAATTAGAATTGAGTCACTCGGATGACTTACGTAGACTATCCCACTCACTAGCATTTGGACACATTCTTTTATCCCTCTCTTTACCTAGTTCTCTTGAAGACCACATCAAGTCTGTAATGGGGGACGATGTTAAGGTTGTGCATTCTGCTATGTTGGATGCTTACTTAGACCTCTTCTATTTTACTTTCAATCGCAGCCTTAATTCTGATCTCCTTTGTAGTCCTTAGTTCTCATGTTCATAGCGATAGCTCCTTTCCTCATAGTTATCTTTTTTGGACAATATATTCTTACTCTCTCCTTTACCTTAAAGAAGAGTGAGCAACATCTTTCGAGTAGCTCGTCTGCTCTACCTACTCGAGTTACCCTTGGTAACTCTCCAATCTTCCTTTTCATCCTAATCTCAGCTTCTGGTAATCCTCTTCGATTACCTTCTGTCCCTCACTGTCATGACCAGTGCTTAGTAGCTGAGAACAATTCTTCGCTACTCACATCTGATGACGGTTCCTTATAGCTCAAGAATTAATACCTCTTCTCTACAGGCAGATTATATTGTAAGCTAGTAAAGCTAAACAAGCTAGCCAGCTGCGAAGAACATATATGCATTATAAGAAATACCCCGCATATTTGAAGACCCTTGTCATTGAATTTTCAAAAGATAGAAATAATTATAATTTTCATCAAGGAGGATGGTCTATACCATTCTTTCCAATCAAGCTTGATAATATCACTCATCTCACTATATAAAATCTTAATTTTACCCAGGTTCATTTAGACTTCTTTAGAGGTCTGGCTCTTTTACCAATGCATACTTTAAGTCTATGTGAGGCCACACTTTCAATTAAACAGCTTCAAAGAGTGTTACAATCATATTCCAAATTGCAGCATCTAGCACTTTGGATAATTCACATATCTTCTAAAATTTCAAACATTGTCACAACTGCTAAAGCCAAAATGAAGCTTGAACCTAGCTTGAAATCACTACAACTACAAGAATCAGACCTATCACTATTGCAATGGTTATTTGACAGGGGCTATATCTATAATCTTGAACTTCTTCATATTCAGTGGGATCATCATAATTCTTCATAATTAACAATCAATCAAATCTTATCAAGCTGTGGATCATCATTATCAAAATGCCATATTAGTTTGCATGAGAATTTTGAAGGTGAGAATAATATCATATCTTTATTTATTTATCTTAGTTATCTTATTTTAATAGCTATTGACTTTCAACATAATTTATGCTTGCAATGGTTAGGTCTAACACACAGCATAATGAAATCTTCACTTCTATTATCATCACTTTTATCTGTGCATTCAAACATATTAACAGCTTTGAATATTAGTGGTTTGAGTGATGAAGAAACTTTTTCAGAACTTGAATCACATTTATTAGATATGAGTGAGTCTAGTCTCAAGTTTGTTGGCTTTTCTCATTCAGCAACATTTCTAGCTTCCAAATTTTCTAGACTAGCAGACAGAAGAATTTTATATATGAGTGGTGATAAGATCTGTAAAATAGATATGCTATAGTCAATGCCAAATTACAAGAACCAATAAGTAAATAGCAGAGAATAAAATGCTGTATTCTTTATTAAATTTTTATCAGATTTACAACTAGAATAGAAAGGAAGGAAAGTTCTCCCTCTTTTGGATTCAAGGTATAGAAACATCTCTATTCCAACATTGTGATATCACTCAATGGCTCCTTAGTCAGCAAGCATCTAAGACATTTTTCTACTGTTTTTTTTCAAGAATTATAAAAAGGCATCCAGTAAATGGATAAGTTTGAAAATGTTGTCTCCAGTGGGCCTTATTGCATACATGTGCACTAATAATTGCTTCACATACTTCATAGTACTAAGCAAATTATATAATATGTCATTCTCTTTCATAGCAAGCATGATCTGATCTGCTAACTTGTCAGATTCTTTGCAGATGAGAGAGTAGATTGCCATTTCGCTCACTAATCAACTGCCCAGTAACAACCAGAGATGAAAGCAAGCACATAGGAGCTTGAATGCAGTGAATCCATGAATAGCAAATGGACCTGACCAATGTGGCAAGCCACGGTGCCTGTATGTACGTAATCCAGTGGATAGCGATTGGGTCGCCATTTATTCCACGTTTGAGCCGTCTTCCTCCTGGTCCTCATCTTCGTCTTCAGAGTCAGGATGGAATTGGCGAATCTCAAAGACATCCCCGTTACCCTCTTGTCGAAGGATCCTGAGCCACATGCCGTCAGTTAAAGTATTCACACAATTCCGAAACGACGTACTCGTCAAATAATGCGATAGTTTCTTGATCAAAATCTTCCTCCTCCTCTGTGTGCCTCCCAGAAATCAGAGCATGGACGAAACGCCGATGATCGACCTCGTTCGACGGTGGCAACGCTCGTACCTCGTGCGGTGTCAGGGCCATGTTGGAGGCGCAGGGCGCAGAAGGAAAAGGACTATGAAGCGTCATATGTCGCTCAACCCCAGCAGTGACAAGCAACGGCCAATGGGGATGCATCAGAGCGGAGTTCACAATGGACCTATGGCCTGCACTCGGCAATTTATCTCAGCAAAGCTTCTTGAGTTATACCAAGACCTTACCGCCAAGACGACACAACGGTGTTGACAGCTCCAAGGGTATATAGCGAGCTTTACTTGTGTTGGAAGTAAATCCTGGATTCTAAGCCTGGGTAAAGCTCATTTAGTGCCTCTATTCATTCATCAGACTGACCTGCTTTGCTTGGGCCCTCATCAGCATCCCATTCTTTTACGCCGACTCTCTCACGCGCTTCGAGTAAAGTTGTCGTGTCAGGTATTCTCCAAACGTATGCTCTGAAATCATCTGACCCTGCAGAATAGTATTCGTCGCCGTCTAATCCTGGTCCGCCGAAAGATCCATGCTGTTGACGCCGTTTCATTCAACTTCAGACAGAAAGGTGGGCAAACAATAAACTCACTTTGATCGTACACGAATTAGAATATGTTCGCTCGCCTTCAGGTATTGGTGTGCCATCTGGTGAATTCCTTCCGCTGCACACAGCGAGAGGATGCGGATCCATGAGCGCGTAGATGGTAGGCAAGTAATGCTTTGGGGAAGTGAGCACTATATATACACGAAGAGCATGTCACGTACGAGTAATGTAACTGCCAATTTGGAACCTGCGATGAGCTCAGTTATATAGAGCCCCGTGAAGAAACTTCGAGAGCAACTCACCAGTTCTATCAAAGGTCAAACTACCCACCTCCGCGCGACTAAGATGTTCAAGAGGTCTCTTGGATAGCGCAGTGACATACTATATTCAGGTGAGTTTCTCAGACTTCGGAAAGCTATAACAACGTGTTCACCTCTTGAATAACGCCTTGTCGATCAAGGGTATATGAATCAAACGACATCCTGATGTCGCGCAAGATGACCTCTCCCAGCGAATCGCCCGTCAAGAAGAGATTGGGCATAATCGGATGGTATTGAACACCAGTAAACCCAGGTCCGCCGAACAAATGACCTTGGGCTCTGGATTGGTTGCCGGCCCTGAAGTCGTGAAGCAAAATTTGACCATCATCTCTGAGTATGTCTGATTAACGCTGCTTTTGATTGCGTATCAATGTTCACGACGTACCCTGCGCTGAGGAGCAAGTCGTCGTTCTCGGGATGACATGATAAAGCCCGTACACTTTCCTGCAGAAGGGGAGGTCTACGAATATTCAAGGTAAACTATGAGAGTAGAACATACGCGATGTCGTTCAATTGTTGCTATAGGTCTTCCTGGGGTGGCCGAGCACGACGACCAACGAGAGACGTCATGTTTACATATTGTGCTATCCGTGTCTCCGCTGTTCAGAACTTTGTTAGCAGGGAAGCAATGACTTCACGTTGAGCAAAGAACCTACACAAAAAGGAAGTGATTCGTAGCGGAAAAAGCGAGTGAGAAGACGTTGGCCTAGAGGCACAATCGACCATAGTAAACAACGACATTGATATAGCCCGAGGACCTACTCACCCTGTGTCCTACATACCCGCAAACAGGTTTGGTCAAATCATCTTGATAGAAGTCCCACAGGTATACAAATGGATCTGATGACCACGACAGACCACTTGGTCAGAACTTCAACAGAGACGTGACTCAAACACCTATACTTGCCATCTCCTGCGCTTGCCAGCCACCTCCCTTCTGCGTTAGCGAAGACTACAGCATTCACACACGAGGTATGCACTGCCAGTTTCCTATCCCAATTGATCTGATCACCCCCCTATGCAGCTTGAACTGGCTTTAGAACTTACCTTGAGTAAGGAAATCCGCCATTCACCACGTCGCGCATGTAACATTTCCGCGCGTTCAGGGTATCGTCAAGAGTTAAGGTTGTATTCACCCCAAGCGAAGTGTAGGGATAGTACGAAGTCATGGAATCGTAGTGGACATGCTCGCGGTAAAGGAGAAGTTGTGCAAGAGAGCTAGTTTTATGGCTTACAATTATAGTTGTATGCGCGTCATGGCAAGAGACAACTTCGCGAACTTAACCAGTTCCCAGGATCAATATTCAATGTTAGCCCAGTAAGAATACATTCGTCTAGTGAACATACAACTACAACATGAAGGATTGGATACATTGCTCGTGTACAAATGAATCAAGAGTCCTTTCTTCTTTCTACTATTCAAAATGCAAATCTCATGAAACAAGTCAACAGAACAAAACCATTTGAAGCGTCTAGGCAGTTTTAAGGCCCAGCGAGATATACTTGTTGGTCTGACCGCTCAGTTCAGCCTGAACCTTCAAGCTATTGGGAGCATCTAGTTTCTCCATAATCAACTCAACAAGCTGGATCTTGTCAGCTTTTGCGAATGACTCGTCGTCTAGGAGTTTGGAGAGTTCGTCCTTTGTGCGGACGGTATATGACTGAGAGGTCTTCCCTTCTATGCCGCCAAACGTTTCGAGAAGACTTGTCCATTTCCTGGTGAAAGACACTGCTGTTAACATGGATAGAGGACATAAAAGACAAGACAACCGACCAATTCGTAATGTCGTTGTATTTGGCTTGTTCGCCGTGCAGGAATCGCTCAATGGTGTATCCACTGTTGTTGAGCACAAAGATGATAGGAGTAACACCAGTTCGTAACATAACCGACAGCTCTTGCACTGTGAGTTGACTTGAAACACGGGTGCATCAGCGCAAGATGCAACTTCAGGGCAATGAGATGGAACTCACAGACTACCATCTCCGACGAAGAGAATCGTTCGGCCAAGCTGACGCTCACGAGCAGCAAGCGCAGCTCCAAGAGTACTCCCGACAGTCCAGCCAATGCTACCCCACAAAATCTGGGATACAAAGATGGCACCATGGGGCAGAGGTACATCCAGGATTCCGAAGCTCGACGTTCCTAACAAACCGACGTGAGCGTGTGATTCATTCAGAAGATGGCAGGAATGTATACTCACCAGTTTCCGCAACAATGACATCTTTCGGCCTGAAGAACTGAGCAACGCGCGGCCAGAGCCAATTCTGCGAGATAATCTGGTTGTCCTCTTGAGGCACAGGTGATAAGAACTTGGGTACTGAGAGCAACTTTGCGCCTTCGTTCAGGGGTTGAAGCCGGGCGGTCAACTTTGGCAAGAGACGTTTCATGCCGATGCCATGGTAGGCGGCGAATTGAACTCGAGTGTGGTCAGAATGAAGCTGATAGGCGTAAAAAGTCAGAAACCGGGAGACGCTTTAGTGGCATGATTATCTGCTCACTTCGACAGTCTTCGTCGCTGGAATGTGGTAGGTGAAATTACCAGTATTGAAGTCACTCTTGAGTGCGCCAACAGACAAGATTAATCTGGCATTCTCGACTCTTTCCTTGACTTCCGGTCGGCTAATCGAACCAACATACATCTTAAAAAAGCACGAAAGTCAAAATCGAAAGCGAATGCAGACACAGGTAAGTGCTTACACCTCCGTAACGCTCATACGTCTCGGGCACAGCCGTCTTTCCCATAGGAGCCGAAAAGACAGGGAAATGAGTCCTTTGAAGTAGCTCTCTCATTTCCTCCTTGACACCATGTCGGACTGCGCAAGCATCAACAAGGATAATGATATCTTCTTCAGCCTGCTTCACGAGCTTCATGATCTCGTCCAAGACGAATGCTTCTACTTCAGGGTCATTCTCCTGAGGTTGAGTGTTCAAGGGTGTCTGGAGACGCTTGGCCGGGATTTTCTCGTGTACAAGGTCCGTTGGAAGCATAAGATACACCGGACGAGCCTGGACATGTACATGTCAGCCCCTTAGAAGGATCTAGGTATGAGGGAGGAGGCGAACCATAATGACACAATCCGTGAGGACCCTATCGATTTCTGCTGCAGCTGTTCGTTTGTTGTTAAGGGATGCTTGAGATATTGTGAACTGCTGAGCAGCCTTGAGGTATGCGTCGAATCTGCGTGGTAAGGGCATGAGAGATTATGGACGTAAATGATACCACAATACTGCACACCTTCCGTCGCCAAGAGTATGGTGCAACATTGGTTTACTCTTTTGCTGTGAAGTGCTTGGTACTCCGACGATATGCAGAACGGGTACATGTTCAGAGAAGGCTGAAAGAGCGCATATAGTCAGTCTACAACCAAATAGTAGGGTATATGCGTCGCTATCAACGTACCGCCGGCGATGCCGTTCGTGGCACTGAGCTCTCCAACACCAAATCTAAGAGCACGTCACATTTAGCTTAATTGCAGCAAAAGTAGCGACATAGACAAACGTTGTAAGGAGAACACCGATACTGCCGTCCTTAACACGAGCATAGCCGTCTGCCGCATAGGAGGCGTTCAGTTCATTGCTGGAGAACATTATGGTCAGAAAACGCTCGAGGATGCGCATACAGTGACCCTACCAGTTGCCAACCCATTCGATTGACTTGTTGTCCTCGACATAGTCCTATGCAGTACATTAGCGACAATATCGATCGCTTTCAAGGAATGAGACCAACCAAGAATCCTAAAGAAGTTCCTATCAGTGATCCTGCGCAGTTGGGAGGCTACGATTGGGCTCACCGAGATTAAAATCACCAGGCAAACCAAACATTTCCTACAGACTATCGCGTCAACAGTCGGATCGAATACGAGTGTGTTCAACTACACACAGTCACACCCAGTTGAGTGAGCCTCGCCAAAAGATAATCTGCGATGCGTATTTGATCGTCGGCAAGGTCAGAGGGGTGGTCGGTGTTGAGGGTTTGGAGCTCATGGCGAAGCTTGTCCACCTCCTCCTGGAGGATGGCTACAGATTGTGAAGTCATTGTAGGGTCTAGAGAGGGTATCACGAAATCAAGGTAAGTTGGATATTCACAATGGCAGGTAGCAAGTCTTTATATAAGCTCTACCCACCGGACATCGTGTATTAATCTTAAGGCGCAGCGGTGTCTTCGAGTAAGTCGAGGGTTGAACAGGACTCCGGTGAACTGGAAGATGGAAGGCTGGGTCAAGCTGGAGCATACATCGCTCGCCTTCTTTATCATTTTTAGCTCAGGACTGCAGGGCAATCCGCTGTATTTCCAAAGCCTCCTGGCCAGGCGTGTTCTGGCTATGACGGCACGCATGATAACCAAAGTCTCTCATCTCATCCCACGGCCCGCGCATCCGAACCAATCAGCTTTCACGGAGAATATTCAGGTTTTTACGTCACATTTGTCTACTGGCAGCTAACAAATACTTCTACAGAGTGGTATAATACTATTTGCTTAACGTACAAGATAATTGAACCATCATTCTACACAGGGATACCAAATATCTGCTTGACGAGTCGAACAGTATCTGGATCACCCGTATTCTGACAACGCAAGGTCAGTTGCCGCACCTGATTTACATAGTGAACACGCAGTTTACCTTCATGATTTCATCACTGATCTTGACACAGTGCCGTCCATCTACACCCGCAAGTTTGATGACCATGTTCAAAGCTTTGCTCTTCACGCGTCCGCCACTTGACGCCGAGCGGAAGTCATTACTCAAGAAGGTTCCGATACCGAACGACGCTGATGCAGAATAAGAGGAGTCACCAAAACACATGCAGGACAGACTTACCTTGGAACCCGACCTCATCACATTGTTTCTGAAGACCGAGAGCCTTGTCAAGGTTCAAGTTATCTGAGTAAATGATAGTTTTCTCCCGGTGATCAATACCCATGGATTGATACACCTCTTTTGCTCGAGGAGCGTAGACGTAAGGGTCGCCAGAATCCTGACGCAGACCTTTCCATCTCCTCGCTCGAGCAGGGTCCTTGACAAAATCCTGTCCATTATGGGCTTAGCACAAAATTGCGGCAAAGGGTGTCAGTGCGGACCTACTTTGTAGAATGCCTCAGTGGAGAATGTGTCTGTCAAGGCGAGTAAAAGTACATTCGGATATACTGATTCCCAGAGATCTAATGATTTGCCATTGGCATTGTCGTAACCGAGGAGTGCTCCAACCTACAATGCCAAATAGTAAATATAAACATCGCAATTCAATGAAACAATTCACTCACGGCCATGAACCATTCGCTAAGCGATACGTAAGTTGGAATCATGCATAATCAGGGATAAAAACATACTGGGCTATTGTTCCGATGGGTTCAGTTTGATGCTTGTGAGCCAAGTGTACCTATTGAATGAAATTTAGGCGTTTAGGACTATGATACTGCTTGTATAAAAAGCGGACTTAAGTTACATTGCTAGTACCCAGGAATTTGCCTTTGAGGTTTGTTAGGTCTTTGGAAGCACGAAGGAGACCCTGTACGACAAGATCCTGGGTATGATAAGAGCGCCTTCTTCGAGTTCCGAAATCGCTGAACACACAGCCAGCTTCGAGCAACGTTTTTGATTTGGAGTATGCGAGCTCTTCAAACAATGTTATCATAAATCCGCCATAATATATATAAGTCCATACCTTCTTGGCCGTCATAGTTCCAATCGGTATCAGCAGTCCTGAAATGCAGCTCGCTCAGAACCGCCATGAGAGGAACTTCCCAAAGAATGGTTTCGACCCATGGACCGATTGCCTCTATGTCAAGCCGACCGAGATCTGCATTCTGAGGTTGAGCATTGAAAGTGACTTTGACCTGTTCCGGCTTGAACCTCAAGTTCTTGAGGTAATCTAAATAATCTTCGGCGAAATAAGGACAGGCTTTCCGAAGCCATTGCAATTCGTCATCCGTCACATGTAGCTCGCCAAAGTCTAGATAAGGTAGATTGAGAGGGGACAGAGACAAATTGAAGCGAAAGAATCAACGTACGGGTGAGAGATTCAAGGTATAATTCATAACATTCTCGTGTGAAGTACACATTAGGGTCACGATGTGTGAACCGGTATGTCGCTACAACCTTCGGAAAATGTCTATACACAGCCTGCTGCATCGTAAACTGAAGGGACACATTTAATCAGTCGCTTCTTCTACTTCTAGGCCGGTCTTGGCTGCAAGCATCTTTAGAGTTAAACCTCGCACTTACCTTGTACAAGTCCGTATCTAGAAAGGACGGGGGTAGAACAGGCTTTCGCTTTGTTTCAGCCATGTTCGATAGCGGTAAATCGTGCTGGTGCTGGTGGTTCAACTTTCAACTGTGAGAGAGTGCATGCACACGAGTGGTGTGAGGCGGACCTGCACTTTCCATATGGCAATACCGATGACTCCATTGGAGATCGAGAATACGATCATTCCGCCCAAAGTTGATCCGGGACTTGCCTAATTCAGATGGCGTAGTTCGGCCCTCTTTGTCTCATCCACAACTTCATTACGTGGCTGAAGTGGGGCGCTGCTGAGGCACGCCAAATCCGATTCCCTGTCATGACAACACGACGAACTCAGAGTTTCGGTGGAAATAGACACTTGTTCTGGTATGAGGTGGTATTGTAGGAACAGTAGTGTGACATTTGGTGGGCTCAGTACCAAAAGAACTTTCTGTTTATCGATTGAGCTGACCATCAGCTATGTTTCAGAATTGAGGCAGTAAAAGCTATACATCTATACATTATATGGAATCCACATAGACCATCAGGTCAACAGTATGCAATTCATTTACTGCTGCAAAGGCGTTATATGATGAATAAGGGTAGTTGCTCACTGTCGAGTACATTTTGCTCAATATTCTGTGACTCAAGTGCATGCAGGTATAAAATACTGATGTCAATGTTGATCCAAAAGTGTTTACATTTCCATACCTGAGATTGTGTGACTGCCAAGGTATGGTCAATGTTATCATAAGTGACAGGAGTATATCACGAAGCTGCTCAGTACTTGAACGTGTCAGCAGATACAAATGGTGAAACTGAGTGATGATCCTTAAAATCCTGACAGTCAGTATAGACAACAATCTCACCAATGAAATCTGCAGAGCAACCATATCCGCGGCACACCACTTAGATAACAGATGACAGGGCGCATGCAAATGGAATGTCAAAATGTCCCCTTCGTAAAGTCCTTCAATATTCCCATACACTACATTTGACGATGGTACTTCAGAAACCTGAAGATGACCCGTAAGCCTTCCTCCACTCTGAACATGACACTCAGCGGCAATGCCCACATTACTATTCAAACAACCACTCGGCATACTAAAGAGGGAAATACAGGTACAATTATGCAAAGTGATCGGGATTTGAGCAAAGGGCACAGGGAAAGACGAGGAGAGGGAGACAAAAGCAAGGGAGAAAACAAGAGTGCATTACCACCAGTCTTTATATACTTAACTACTATGTACTCAAAATGCAATGTGCACCAGTGCAACACCAGCGCAAGACAAATGCCAATTGCTTACACGTGAGAAAACATACAGCTTTGACCAAACACAACCAAGCAAGTGCGAAATAGCATCACATGCTATTTTGCAGATGTCTGAACTTGAGCTGATAACCGATTCCAAGGGGGAATCGGAACCACTACATATATTTCGAAGAGGCCATCAGTCGAGACAATGAGCGCGTTGTCCAATAGCGCAGTCTTTGAAATGAATCCATACGAAGGTCATCCCAATCTCTCCGAACTGGAAGCAGAAGTCCTATGGCAGTACGCAAAGCTGGCTCAGAACATCAAAGAGGTAGGGTCGTTTCTTCTACATTGATTACAAGAGTGTTTACACATATATGATTGCTTATCGTAGCTGGTGGCAGAAACACATCGATTGAGTGAAGCTCCTGATGAGAATCTACTCAAACAACTGCGGGCATTAGAGATGAAAATGGGCTTGGTTCTTACCTTGGCGCGTATCCGCTATTGCTCTCGTCGCTCTATACAATCTGACTGCTTGTGCTTCGCTTTTAGTTCAAAGCCTCCGTTTGGGCTGTTATCAATGAGCAGCCGGCTATAGACATTTCTGAAGCATATGCTGACACCACCGCGGACCAGACTGCGATGCCGTGACCCCAATTTCAGCATAACCAACAGCTCATCCTCATTTGTGGTCATTTCAAAGACCAATAGTGGGAATACTTCATCAGCAGGCACATCACTGATGTGAGCCTAAAGGGCAGGCCAGGCACCTTCTACCCACACTGCCCAAGTCCTAGAGCGGTCAGCAGTCAGCCTTCTGCTCTGATCATCAACGCATAGGAATGGTTGAGGTGGACAGCGAGACACTTTGTATACATCAAGGCGCATTTTGCTGTTCAACGCTGGGATTGGATATCGGAAGTCGGATTGCATTGCCCCAATCGTGACAACAGGTAATCAGTGAAAGGCAGGAAGAGTAGTACGTTTATGCAGTTTCCTCTGAATATACGGGCCAACTTCACATGCGCAACTGAGGTCTCAGGCAAAGTTGCGTGAACCACGCGGGTGCCCGTGAACCTGCCTGGTGGGCGGTTCACGGCCGGTTCACACTTTGCCGCGTGGGAAATGGCCTCGACGCGCAGAAAAGTGTTCACGGTTCACGCTGGTTCACACTTTTGAGGGCCGGGTTCACGCTTTGGTTCACACTTCCTCGCGCGCGCGGGGCCCTCGCCCGCAAACACTTTTCCTCCCCCACCGAAACTTTTCTTCGGCGCCAATGGCCCCAACGCCTTCCCATTTTGGGCACAGTTCGGGCGCCTGCCTCTCTGGGGCCGGCGCTCATTCTTTAGGGCGGCCGCTGGCCTGTCATTCTGTGCCTCTGGCCTCTCTTGCTCGCTTGCTCGCTTTGGGTGCCCGTCGTTGTCGTCATCATTGACGCCGGCAGCTGCAGTGCGAATGGCAATGAAAACCGGCTGCAATGAGAGCGGCCGGTGGCGTGGCAACAGCAACAATGGCAACAACAATGGGTGTGGGCATAAACAGGGGAAGCCGAGGGGGAGGACGGCAGTTTCTTTTTGTACCAGCATGTAGACTAGGACTGAGAAGCATTGAATGAGATTGAGTATCATGGTTACCGAGTATCTACATGCAACTAGGGAATCGAATCAAGTGGAATTCAAAGGGGCAGGAAGCATGAGGACGGCGGCACCTCTGGCCGCCGCCCTCGCCTTCTTTGGCTGCAAGTTCTTGAACAGCTGCAGCAGTGAGCATCCATTCTGTTTCCTCTCCATGTCAGAAATGGCCTCGGCACTTGTCTTTCCCTCACCAGTGGCTTCCTCCAGGCGGCCGATGAAGAACATGAACTTTGACCACTGCTTTCGAGCCTGCAAATGTGGGGAAAAATGAGCAGGTAAAGTTTGGCATGGGAGGGAAGTGAACATATACCTGGCCATTGTTGTGTAGTCGCCATGCTGGATGTCGACCTGCATTTGTCTTCTGATTCCTCGCATTGCCCCACTGCTGCTCTATGTCTCGCAGTGGTGCCTTCTTTCCTACGCCCTCCACAACTGCCCCCTCTGCCCATGCATCCCACATCTCCTGAAGGGTTGAGTAGTCCCCAATGTTGCCAGGTTCCCAGGCCTTCCAAAGATGCTGGGGTTGCTTGACCATCCGAAAGACGCTTTGCCAATTGCATGTGCGAGCAGTGAACGATGGATACTGAGCATGTGATGGTGGCATGAAGGCATCGCAGAATGCAACAGAGTCTGGGAGGATGAGGTCAGAGGCCGTGCGAGGTGGGTTCAACCCCGGTGAGAGTGGCAGGATGTTGAAGCTGTGAGAGTCTTGCGCTAGGTGGATGGGAATGAGGATTGGTGAATGCGGCAGAACAGAAGGTGAGCCTGGATTGGGATGAGAGGAAGGTGGAGGTGGGGCACCAGTGGAAGGGCTTGCAGAGTCAGCAAGTGAGGTCAGGCGAGGTGCAGAGTTGCCGGCATCGAACAGAGGAGGAAGGTGAGAGCCTGAAGGCTGAGGTGTTGCAGTAAGTGAAGTGAGTGGCTGGTGGCGAGAACGGGAAGGGGAGAACTGTGCAGTACGACGTGTGAGCTTGTCAAGCTTCTCAGTATGTCGCTTCAGTGTGTCCTCAAGTACCACTGTCCGCACACCAATAGATACGAATGCAGACTGCGTAGCACTCTCGCTGAAGCCAGCACTAATCTGATGCACCGTCTGAATGCACTGGTCCTGTGCGGCAACAGCAGAGGACCAGTCAGCAAGAAATCTGGAGGCTTCAGCTCCTGCACTGGCAAGAACGCTGTGAGACTTCAGACAGCTCAGCAGTATGGAACTGGGGAACTTGGAATTGATAGCAGCGATCACTCGCCAGAAGAATGGGCGAAGCTGTTGCAGCAGCTCGAGGAAGTTGACAGTGCCATGATTGACTTTGGGCTGGGTCTTGAGGTTAGCCAGCACATCCTCAACGAAGGGAAAGATCCAAAGCTGGAGATCATATGGGACAGAAACATCAGCCCAGGGAACATGGTACTGTTCACCTACGAAGAATCCTGCCAGTGCCGTGCAGGCTGTCTTGGAAATCTTGGCTGAGTACACCTCGCGACGGGTGTTTTCACGCTAGTGGCCAATGGCATCGACCTCGTCAGAGTGAACGCTGCATGAATGAACCTCAGCGAGTGTCAGCAAACTTGAAATGCAACCAGAGCACTCACCCAAGATCCTCCATGACCCCAGGCATCACCCGACGAGCGAGGTGAGTCTTCTTGCTGGAAACAATGGATGTCCTGTCCAGGAATGCCTTGTACATCTTACCCAGTGTCTCCGGAGCACATGGTTGAGTCACCGACCGCCCAAACATGATCTTCTGACCTCCCCATGATGAGTTCACTGACCAATTCCAGCCATCCACCTTCGACAGCAGCTGCTCATGGTCAAACATGTATCAGAGCTGCAGGGCGAGGGCGCCGATGGTGCACCGAAGGGGATCACGATGGGGAAGGACAAAGTTGTAGTCTGGCTCTCGCTGACCAGGCTTGGCAACCTTAGTGTCATGAAAGATTGAGAGCACACCAAAATGATAGGAACCATGGCCGCTGCGGCGCCCATCTGGACTTGCGTAGTCTGAGATGCGTAGACGGAATGGCTGCAAGAACCGCATCGGCAGGTTGAGAAACTCATCACCACGATTCAAGGTTCCACACTGCCATATCCAGCAGCAGTGTGCTTTGATGATTGTGGGCACTATAAGAAAGGCAAGGAGGTGAGCGAGAGAGGCTCTGAGCATTCACAATCTCAATAACAGATACGCACACTGAGTCGAGCGCACAAGGATGGCTTCCGTAATCTCATCAAAGTGGTGAGGCTGCATCTGAGAGTCAAGAATGGTGTTGTTGGTAACATCATGGTCATCGTGCCTATGAAGAAGACACAGACTGAGATTAGCGAACACCGGACAAAGGAGAGAGAGGAAAGCATGAGACAAACTCAAGACGAAAGTGCTCAGCCTGCACCATTAGCGCAGCATACAGATCATTCATTCACGTGGACTCTGCTGGGCGAACCTGCATCAGTGCCGGATTGTCATCATACTGACATCGGCGAATGCGGCCGAGCATTGTCATTGTCTTCTTCAGTGTGGACTATACAGACACGAATGAGTGAGAAGTGAGGGCAGTGGCATATGGACAGAGACACTCACAGCGCTGAGCTTGTCCGATGAAGTCGCTGCAGCTCCGCTGCGCCCCAGCTGAGGCCGCGAGGCTGTGTAGAGAAGATATTGACACATGTGGTGAGCATCAACAATCTCATCAGCAATGTCACCTCGTTCAATGGCCAACGGGACCCAGCGCTGTATTGGTATGACTGTCAGCAAGTCCTACACACTCACCGAGTGGGACAAGGCACATACCTTCCAGATTCGAACCACACTTGTCTCTGTCCTCTTACCGCTGGTGCGGCGGGTGGCAAGAACCAGGCTATCAATCTGATCCTTCATCTCTAGCAGTGGAACCCCCATATATATATCAGCCAGAGTGAAGAGAAGTGAGTGAGGAGAGGTACTTACTTTGCGCTTTCTCAAGCATGGCCTCTGAAGTTCCCGCAACATATGGGACAATGGCGCACTCTTCACCTTCAATCTCCTCCTCCTCCTCCTCCTCCTCCTCCTCCTCCTCCCCCCCTTCCTCCTCCTCTTCTTCATCACCATCGAAACCTGCTCGGAAGGACTCCAGGAGTCCACCAGCACACATGGGATCAATGCTGGAAGCGTCATTGATGTCAGAGCTGCTGCCATCTTGCTCACTGACCAAAGGTGCAGGACAGTCAGATGGCATGGAGGTGGTCACTGAGGCTGCCGTGGAATCTCCCATGGTAGCAGTCACTTGCATAGGTGCAGTGGTGGCTGTCAAGTCGGCCATCTGAAGTCACTGCACAAGCTCAGCCTTCCTACCACTGACACAGAGCTTGCGCTCACGACAGAGAGCTTTCAGCTCCTCTGTGCGCATATCAGAGCTGCAAGGAAGTTCCATTAGCATCAGGATCAGAGCTCAAGAAGGGGGCCAATACATACTATGTCAGTGCGATCAGTGTACCTCCCGCTCTCCGGGCACGCTTCGCACTCACACCTTCATCAGCCGATGCAGCTGCACATTGGCGAGATCAGTTACATCACCCCCATAGTCAAAAAACCCATCGAGATATGCTCACCTGCATTGTCCCGACCTCGCTTTTCCCCACCAACAGCCATGCTTGGCTCCATCTCTGCCGGCGGCCGATCTCCACCTTGCACACCATCGGCCTGTGACTGCAGATGCATCCCTGTCCAACAGAAGGGCCTGTCAGTGAATCAGCATTCCACCCCATACATGGCAAGAACAACCCACCGGCGCGAGCATCGTCTTCTCGAGCTCGTGGGTACCCTGGTGCCCCATAAGGCAGGTTTTGTGGTTGGAAAGGAAGCGGCGGGCCTGCGGCATCTGTGAGAAGTGCAGGATCGATATTGCTGAAGTGAAAGATGAGAGGTGGTGCAGGGTTTGGTGGGTCAACGACTCGCATGGCGCCGGCGGTCGTCGCGCGCAGGCAGCAGCAGTTGGTGGCGGTCGAGGAGAGAGCCAACTGGCAGCTCAGGGGCCTGCAGCGGCCGCGCGTTCGCGCGATCATTCCCAAATAGGCAATTGGGGGTTCTCCAGCGGAGAACCGTCAAAGTCACAAAGACGCTGTGAACCCCCCGCAGGTTCACAGCGCCTAAAGTGTGAACCTCCCTAAAAGAGATCGACTGGGGTTTGCAGATCTCAGGATCTGTCAAACGCCAATATGGTAAAAATATTACATTCACCCTTTGACAGTTCATCGGGGAAAATTGGTAGGTATCCTTTGTCAGACGGAGTCTAGTCAGCAAATGAATACGACTAAACACGGCTTACCAAATGAGCAATATGCGCTCGCTTTTTCTAGCAGCAGCTAGGAATCCGTCAAAACGAGGAATAGAATACCCTCGATCATTGAAATCCCGATGTTGGTAATAGAAAGAGCATAAAAGGAGGTGCGCAGTATGATATTGGCAATCATATGCTCGACTAGGCTTGTACAGGAAGGTTTAAGTTTCACAACACTGGCAGTGGCATGGCTGACAGCCCGACGTTCGTCGGACGATGCAGGGGTTCGGCGTTCGACACTCAGCCCGGATTTCAGCTTCTATGTGGGATGTCGAAGTGCAACTTCTAGCCACGGCGACGGAATGTTGTGAGAGGAACATTCAGGCGTTTTCGCCAGGCTTGATGGACTGGCTTGTAGAAACTTCACACCTTTCTACTTGAGTAAGTTGAATATTGGCCGAGCCCTGGTCGCGGGGTTCGTGATACCCACTTTCATGTCCGACAAGTGAACCGGCATTCTCGGCATTCAACCGGAGATTGTTTTTTACTGCTCGACAGTTATAGACACTTCATTGTATCGCGCGTAAGTCACTAAGAGTGTGGATTGTCACACTACTTTTCCGGCAGTCTACTATTGACCGTATTTCAAAGATCCCTATGATTACTCGTGTGTCGTCCTATGTATTCCCTAGATGAAGTCGCTCCGATACGCTTTCAGCCGGTGTATGAAATGCGGACTAGGATCAAGATGCGAGTTTCCAGAGATAACTTGAACTCAATGAGATGGGGACTTTGAAATTTACATCCTGTTTCATAGGGCAGTAAGGACTGCTGATGAAAGAAGGGGATATTGCATTTTAGGAGGAGTTATTCAAACGACATTGTCCTTGTCCTCAAAATGGCGTATTAGCTTGCGATTCAACTACAGATGAGCAAAAATTCTCATCGACCGACTGACCTGAATATTATCCTTGTGCAGTTAGCGGCATACCATTTTCGCTGGAGCAAATGTGGCGCTCCCCAGAACTGCTGGCAAGGCTTCTATTCACTGGACATGTTTATTTCACGCCTTCCATCAGGCTCTAGTGTTAGTCTCGTCCTACTGTGATTGATTTCGCATTGCCTCCAACACGAAGGCCAACATTCAACTCGCCGTAAGTTGTATTGCTTATTTCCATTGCAATGATTCTCCAAAGTCGTTGCCGCTGGCCCGGCGAAAGGTATAAAGGCCTCCAGCCCAACGTTGAAATGGAGCAGCAACAAGCACTTCTTCACTCTCAGAACTAAACAAGCAACACAATGCGCTCCTCTCACCTTACTATCACCATGTTCTCCACCAAGGCTTTTACTTTTGTCGTCGCTGCAGCGATGCTCCTCGTCGGACAGGTCCAAGCTGGTGCAAACATTCCCCGTGCCGCCTTGATCGCGACTAACCCTGGTAAGACATCGAGTTCTGTACGTGCTCACCGACGAAACCGTACTCATCAACTACTATCAGTCGCTGCCTGCAACCCCCCGAACAACGGAAATCATCACCTCGGCTCCAGCTGCAAGTTTTTCTCTGGTCCCTCCGACAAATCCCCTGTCGTCTCTGGCAGTGAGCAATAATATTCCTGTTTTTTTTTCTGTACAGTTTTCTCAATTAATTTGACCGCCATGATAGCCTGTATCAACGAGAATGGTGTCCTGACCTGCGTCCGCGGATAAACGTATCCAACCGTATACGCTGACATTCAGACGTACAGTAGCGAGTAGAGAGAATTTGAAGCATGGATATGGTCTTCAGAATGATGGATGTATGATGTACCCGAATATCTTTGATGATACATGTGTTTCCCCAGGATACTAGTCAGGATGTCAGAGCAGCCGTCTGTAACACGAAGACGGTCTTCACAACTGACGATTTGCCTACACACTACCTACGCGCCCCGTGTTTATGAGTGTCTGCTTTTAGGTCTCATCCCGCCGAGCGTGTGGTCACCGATATGATTGATAGGAAGCCGCAGGGTAGGTACGTAACATACGCGCAAGAACCCAAACGGATGAAGTGTGATGGTATAGCATATAGTGTAGGTATAAATAAGGAGAGTTGAGTGAAAACGAGCGCGATTCTGAGATTGAAAAAAAAGAGGCGGACGTAAGAATGAAAAGAGGAAACATAGAGATTGTAGTAAGAAATGGCGAATTAACAACGCCGGAATAGGAATGCGGGAGGATAGATAGATGGTGCATCGGAACGTGTGTGGCACGAGTGACGACAGCGGAAATAGGAATGTGGGTGTAGGACGATAACGGATGGATCGCGCAGAATAAAAGTAGTTATCGCAAAGCGGAAAGGAAAGGTAGAACATGAAAAGAAGAAAGAAAGAAAAACTAAGCGAGCCGAAGACTCGACACCCAATACTCAAAGACATTGCACACAGGGCAAAGTCCGAGCGTCAGGCTATGAAAAAAAGGGAGGACCTTCCCCTCCCCGACAACTAGCCTCTGTGGATAAGAACAGAAAGAGGACGAGTCGGCCTGGTCCACCGGTCTAAGCTCATACCAAGAAGGTTCAGCTATAAGTTGAACCATCCCTCACAAGCTAATGTGAGAGTAATGGTATGAGCTGAGATCGGACATCCAGACTACATATAATGACACAATAGTAAACGAATAAGAAAGGATGACGAAAAACGGGTCAGAGGATGAGGCCAAGGGCACTACTGCTTGAGCAGCGTGCGCGGAGGCGAGATAGAGATCGCGGGAAAGTGGACGGGTCGTGAGTGAGCGATGAGGCTGACAAGCTCGGCCACGGAGGATCGTATGAGTGCCGCGTAGACGATCTGCGACACTGATCATCCATTGAGGAGGGCAAGTCGAGTTGAGATAAAAGCCAGACAATGACAGTGATGGTAGCCTCTTATGTCGAAAGGCCGGTAGGGGTGTTGGAAGATATGAGGGATAAATGCCAGCGGAATCGAGTGAGGTTGGGGAGAGGCCGGGAGGCTGACATCCACTACTGCATGAAGTAGCGGAGAGGCTGAGCTCGGCGGGTGCGTCGGAACTGGTTGACAGGTGGTTCCTCCGAACGCAAATGGCTGGTGAGTCAAGTCGTCTAGTGATATCAGCAACATAGTACTGATCTGGCAGAAAAATCAAACTTACCTACAGGCATATGTCCACGTAGCATAACATCCAGCCTGAAAGACATACGACACGCAAGGGTGTTCGATACCACGAGTGGCAGATATCGAACTTTGGGAATGCAACTCAATATAACACAATGAACAACGCAAGAGATGTTGAGCTTACCTAACGAACAGCATGCATCCATCACTGTGACACAGTGGAAGCATGCCTCAACGTGAATGGATCTACCATACCGTTGGAGACTCTACCTCAATCATCAAGGTTGAGGAGAGGGGGTGGAAGGTAAGAGAACGAGAGAGCAAGTGACCATCCCGCATGACATGCTCGACGGTACATGTAGAACATGGTGGTAGGAAGAAACCATGGCGGAGATGGTGAAGAGAAACTGCCGAAACAGGGGCTGCTTTTATAAATACTTAGAGGTGGCTGACACTCAGACCGACGACGCGTGTACTGCTGGTGGGCTCAGGGCTGACCACGTTGATCGAACGCGACGTCGGGCTCGATTGCAGTCGATCCGTGGGTGCGCATCGGCATTATTTCGAAGACAGGGGGAGCGACGCGATCGAGCTGAAAGCCCCAAAGATAAATAGTGTCACGATTACGAGCAATGAGACCGAGGCGGTAGCACGGACGTAGGGAGACCCTGCGTCAAAAAAGTAATAGGCTAGAAAATATGCCCTGAGTGGTTAGTGTTCAAGCCATTTGACCCAATTGACCCCGACTCTGCGGGTCAGAGCTGTACCATTGATCGCCCACTTACCGTTGCAACGGCACAATAAGCCACGAAGACGGTGATATCAATCAGTTGGTATTCTAGAAATGCTATCGATACATGTTGTGTCCAAGAAAATATACCTATATAGACTGAATGAGAAACACCAAACAAAACAAAAGTCGCAAGCAAGATACGCACAATGTACATCACACTCAATTTGTCCTGAGTCGATTCCCAGCAACATTCTCCAACTCAAGCGCATGGTTATCCGAGAATCCCCCACACCCAACAATCCCAATTTCCTCCATCCTACTGTACACGCCTTCATCGGCCACGGCATCGGTAAACCTCACCCTCTCCGTAAGAGCTTTGACGATAGCCCTCCCCGATAACCTCTGACAGTTCCACAACTCCAACGAGGATAGCAGCGGCAGACGGAGGTGTAGTGGCCGGTCTAGCTCCAGGTCAAATATCATGTCGTCGTCGTCAAGTGACGTTAAAACTCGGGGTGCACGGTAGGGAGCGAACATCGCGATGACTTTATCCGACATGTCTGAAGCGACGATCCGGAATTGCCGCAAATGATTCAACCTACTGAAGCACCATTGAAAGTCTTTCGTCCGCATGTCAGCGTAGTCCATAAGGAGGACCTCCAACGGTGGATTACTCCTGCGAATGAGGGATCGAAGACCCATGCCTGTCGCATGATCGCTCCAAGGGGATTGTGAAAAGTCTCCCGCTTCATCATCGCTATCCCCATCTTCCACAGCGTATGGATAAGCTGGGGACGTAGCAAAATCACACTCCGTATTAGTGTGTTCGAGATGGAGTTCGGTCAAGTTCGGAGCGTCGATATGCGAGAGTAACGTTCGCACAGCACAAGAACTATGGATAACAAACGTGCGGAGATTGGGGAGCTTGACGATGGATGGGATGACAGCATTGGAATATGCTGGGTCATGAGGAAGACCTTGGTACTGGAAGTATTCGACGCTGGGACAGAATGAGAGGAACTCGAGCATTCGGAGGGGATCTGTAGGCCCCTCGAACGTGCTCTCGCATATAACGAGTTTTGTGACATGGAAGGGTGTCATCAATGAAGGAAGTGGTAGCGTGAGGACGGAGCATCGGAATGTTATATCATAGGAGGATGTATTGATATGACAGGGAGCTTGCACGATTGTTGGTGAATTACGAGAGCCTTCCTCCAAGTCAGACTCTTCGAGGTCTGAAGGATCTCTGATCACGATCCGCAACTCCCGGAGGTGCGCCTTGGCCTCGCTAGAGGTGTAAGCTGAGAAATCCATTTCCTCCTGAATCTTGCCTCTGAATGCGCACTTTCGCCAGCGAGGCATGTATTCGAAGAGAGGGATTATCAGAGGGAGCAATTTATCATGGTCAGAGATGTGTAAAGTGATATCCATTGGTAGAGTCCCAGAGTTCAGCATCCACCAACGAATCTGGAATTCAGAGCATAAACGTGGACGGCGATCGTCAAGGGAGAGGTATTGCCATATGCGCGGTGAATCATAAGCTATCTCTCGCCATGATTTGCAAACATGTGAGATGGTGAGAGCTATGAGGGGATCGTCCTCCGAGTCTTGAGCACAGTCGACGAAGATCTGGATGAGGAGCTCAACGGGGAGGTGGGCGATTGGTGAGGTCTGACGAGCATTACGTTCTGCGATCATTTCGGGTCTATGCAAGCCCACCTGCATAGAGTCCACTAGGTTTTTGGTAAGATATGCGGATTCTATGGATATTAATGTTCAGTGGAGAACTCACTGAAGGGGAACATAAACTATTCGTCGTGCAGGATTGAAAGGTCAAGCTGTAAGCACACAGGAGAGCGGAAGTGCCCTATGCAGCTTACAGCTTACCTATTGAATCTGACGCGCTTCATGATCGAGAGCCAGCGCCCGAGGACCAGACTCCCGGCCAGAGGATCTGCAGATTTCCATGGCTCGTCGGCATGACCCGAACTGCCGAAAAGGTGAAAGAGTGCGTTTTATTGCATTTCTGGGCTGCAATAGCTGGCAAACCGTACTTGAAAGACTCTGTAGAGGACATGGTCATGAATAGAGAAGTGAATCCATGATAGAGACCGGTCATGGAGCCCTAAGATAGAGTTTTGCGATAGACAGAATGAAAGATGGAAGGCTGAAAAAGGGAATTCCTGCTGACATAAGCACAGAACTGCACAGAACTGGGTCGTCTGGCTTCCAATCCGTGAACTCTATTTTCATACTGCCGTCAACGTCGCGCTCGTCGCCCTCCCTACCGCTCTTCAAGGTAACTTTCCCTCTTTCCACAAAATGCCGGGAGTACGAGACATCAGGTGCGTTACAGCCCCGAACTATGCCCAAAATTTCCGAATCGAAAGAGACTCATTTTGACCCCATTTTATTCTGTCTCTTGCAGCGCAGAGGCTTTCATCGCCGCCTACAGCTCTCACCTCAAGCGTTCGGGCAAGCTTGAGGTCCCAACATGGGTCGACCTTGTGAAGACCGGCTCCTTCAAGGAACTCGCACCCTACGATCCTGACTGGTACTATGTCCGCGCAGGTTCGTACCCATAGGACTCCAAGCATACCCTAAATCATAAACAGGATATTCACACTTGTGCTTTCTTTTTGCGTATCTGCATGGTTTATAGCCGCTATTGCAAGACACATCTACCTCCGCAAAGACGTTGGTATTGGCGCTCTCACGAAACTTCACGGTGGCCGTAACCGACGAGGCAACCGTCCCTCGCACCACAAGGACTGCTCTGCCTCTGTCCAGAGGAAGATCTGTCAATCTCTCGAGAAGATTGGTGTGCTCGAGCAAACTGATAACGGTGGTCGACGGATTAGCCAAGACGGTCAGCGGGATTTGGACCGTATTGCAACTGCTGTTGTTGAGGCTGCACGGGAGGAGGAGGAGGAGGAAGAGGAGGAGGAAGAGGAGGACGAGGAGTAAATTGTTATGCGCACATTTTGCTGCTATTTGACGTATCTTTTTGCCGACTCGACGATGTTAGCAGTTACCGCCCAGAGTGCTCTCCTTCACTGCCGCCTATTGTATGATCGAGCATGCCCTTTTACATTCCATACTCTTATGACACATGCGATCATGAAAACTCGGCCGTCTCTTTCCATGCATTGGCCTTTGTCACGCTGCAACGAATATCACCCAGTGACATGTGTGTGTCAGGTCTGTTATATGACTGAGCTTCATCGAAGCAATGGCATCTATAGCTCAGTCAAGTCCGTCGACTGACGGTAGATCATAGATTTTAGTGTCAGGTTTCAATGAAGCTTTCCGCAGTGGCGAGACTCGCTCTAACTTCGCGCAACTTTAATATGTTCTACCTGAACTCAATACTAACATCGGCGAGATATTGTATAGCCCTACGTTTCGTCCTATTGGTTACCCGACATAACCTCACGCCAGTGAAGAACTCCGCAAACGTGATATCCAACAAGGCGATCTAAGTATAACAAGCAGCACGGCACACCCAGAACACTGCCACCGTACCGGTGTTGCAAAGAACGACAATGAGTATCACGGCATGCTACGTAGCGTTGCAGGCTCGATTCAAGTTCAATGAGCACACAAATTTATGAGATGCTAGAAACATTGTAATGAGATGAGAGAGTATAAAAACCGGGTCACAATGGATACACATGGGGGGTGGGGTAACTGTTGCAAGACTGTAAAAGAAAAACTACTAGCGCTGAAAGGAAAAACACAAACAAATGTCAAACTGATACCAGAGCAGACACAACGACGAGAAATGAAAGAATTGTAAGAGTGTAGTAGAGGAAGACGGACGCGAAGAAGAAAAGAAATCCAAAGCTCCCCGGAGACGAACAGCGCGCTATCATCCACCCACCCTCTGTCGGAGAGAGTCTGAGTACAGGGACAGAAAATGGATGATGCGCGTGATGGTGAAAATTCAAAGGGGATATGGGGCGTGGAAAATGAAAGATACAATATACACATTCTTGCATCAAGAAAAGGGACACGGACGGTAGGAAGGGTGGCAGGGTGGAGGCGGGGCGGGAATCCAAAACAAGAAAAGGGGCGGTGGGGTGGGGTGGATAAAGAACAAGTTTGGAATTTTAATGTCACAATGTTGGTTGATGTGGAGAGTGGCGGCCGTGAGGGTCGTATTTTCATGAAGATTTTTAGAAGTGACAAGGATGTGTATAATGAAAGCATCATGAGAGCGTGTAACAACTGTGGCTGTGGGATGGTGGTGGTGGACCAGATTCTTGCTTTAGTTTGGCGCTACATGCCCAAAAGACATGGACGAGGAGTGACACAATTGCAGGGCGTAACAAATTCTTCTAAGGATGGAGGAGGGACAGAAAACAGATGAAGATAGCGGAGGGGAAATGTAAGGAAACATGTATGTGTGATGTGAACAGATTGAGGATATCGAGATAATGAGTCGAAGAAGCGAGACGAGTTAGTGAATAGCGAAGACGTCGGTCGGCCTAGAGGAAGGTGCTGGACGGATGCCAGAGATCATGTCGGCTTGTAATAGATGGTCGTAATATACTGTAAGGAAAAGCACCACAGCATTAATTAGCACTCTTGCGCAAGACAAAAGCAACGCACCACCTCATAACATACCTTCTTCCGATATCTTGTCGTGTTCGCGACAGCGAGAACACCATTCCGAATCGCACTTGTGCTTAAATGATGCAGCACCACATGATTAGGTACTGGCAATACGCTGGCATCATCTGCAATAGCAGGTCCATCCAGTTTCGCCACCGCAACCTTCTTCGCACTACCAGGTCCATCGCTTGCCTGGTCCTGAATCGGAGTCGTCGTACCAGAAAGCGTAGTCACATCGGTACCAGATGCGGTTACCACAGGCAGCGTGAGGGACGGCGGTATCCCACTTTGGCCCTCCCCTTGTTCCGCATTCGATATACCCGTCCCCTCAGAAACGGCAGACGTCATGCCAAGATTCGAAGGCCTACTCCTGCCTTCCCTGTCCCTTCTCGAATGATGTGACCGACTTCCCTTTCTCGATTTCTCCCGTTCTGATCCCGTAGCAGAAGACCCACTCGCGCTACCACTCCCTGACCCTGTCACCGCACTTGTCCTAACGTTCAGGATCAGTTTGTCAAGATGCCGCGGCAGGGTGGGTGCAGGCGGAATGTTGGGCGCAGGTATTGATGACGATGACGTGGGTGAATCTGCTGAAGCGAGATAGTTCTCTTCTTCTGCCGCCGCTTGGATGAGCTCCGGTGGTATGACTGTGGTCCACTCGCCATCATGGGCGGTTGACGACCCAGATGTTGCCACCCCATTAGCAGTACTGTTGTCGCTCCAGAAGCTGTTGAATTGGCTAGGATGGCTATGGTTGGGACTTGCCAAAGGTGAGAGGCGGGCCGGCGTACGCGGACATGACGACGAGATAGCAGAGGAGGTGACATTCACGTAGTTAGCCAGCGAGCCATCACGATCGTCTACCGCAGTCGAATAGTCCTCTGCGATACGCCACTGGTCATCAACAATGAATTTGAAGTGATGAGTCCCAGGGAGAAGCTGCACGGCTGCAGTCCAGGTATTTGTATGTGGGCTAAGAGAAAACGGGGTTCAGGAGGCATTGAATATTGATATGGAATAGCTTACTCGAAATCCATTGGTGTACGACCATTCCAGTTATCATCTCCTGCCCTGGCAAGAAAGACGGTCTTGCCTCCACCACGCCACTTTATAAGCACGGTAATAGGCTCCGGCTTCGAGGCATCATCGTCCGCTTTAAGCAGAACAGGCAGGGTACTGTGTACGACCTCAGGCACATATTCAATAGAGTGAGCAGGAGGCTCCTCTGGGACAGGTTCAGGAGGAGAACCTGAGACAAAGGAGTGGGTAGATGGATAAGCGCTGCTCAAGTAAGACTTGTGTCGCGATCTATTGCCACCATGCTGATTGTTGAAAGGGAGGTGAGCTGCGGATGGCAAGTTGTTCTGAGGACGGAAAGTCTGAGGCTGAGGGTTAGCGGATACAGGGATGGGAATGGGAGATGATGCCCTGGGCCTGCGATAGGCATTGTGGGGGGAGACTGATTGAGGAGAGGAGGCGGGGGTGAGGGTCAAGGACGCCAGGTCGGGCAATTCGAGTGATTTCTTCTTTTGACGGAGGGATTTGTGTATTCCTCGATAGTTGGGCGCAGGACTACCCCCTCTAGCGGGTGAGCCTGTGCGATTGGACGAAGAGTCGAGCCTGGAAGAATTCGCGTGCAGGTTATTCTGGTTGATTGCGCTGGATGCTGAGTTGCCCATGCTAGCACGCAGAGCACGATGAGCAGAAGAGGATGGAGGTCGAGGAAAGCGTCCTCGACAGATGATGGATGGAAGCCAGGAGTTGGGCAATAATTGAGTAACAATCGGGATAAGATTGGCCCTATAAGCAGGCTGATCAATGCGCGATCAATGACCTTGTATAGACTATCAACAGACTATCAATAATATATGTGTTAAATCATATAACACATATGCTTATATCTGCCGTACGCGTTACTAACCCGGCTTTATTTCTTTATTATTGCTACTCCAGTTCTAACCCCGCTTTGCTCTTGTTTACCGGTTCTCGTCTAGAGTCCTCATGCATACCGTCTTCTCTCTTTCAATTCACTGGCTACTGCGCACGAAGGTTCTTCTTTCTTCTGCCTTCTGACATTCGATCTGTCAATGCCGTTTAAATTGCATCCGGCAGATATCAAAATCTTCCATGTGATAACCTTCAAGTTTACAGTCGCTCCACACTGACATTTCAAGTCGAGTCTTTCGAGTTACGACATTTGTAAAGCTCGGTCGAACTTGATGGAATGATGCTGCTATCATAGCCTATCCGTCCCATTCAATAATACGTAGCTACTCTCACAAGAACCACGGTACGTTTATCCAATCAGAATATCTCGCATTACACTTCGCAGGTCTCAGGCACCCAAAGAACTCCCACTCCTACATAGCCATTCTTCTCCTTCTCGTTCGCCGACGTCTCTTCGGCGGACCACGCTCTTTCTATTCTCATGGACAGAGCTCTTGGAGTCGAAGGCGATGCCATGGAGGGCGCGGCCAAGGATAATGGAAGATAAGCATATGAAAGATCTTACCACATGACGGGTTCGTTCCCTCCTTTATTGTCTTGTTCCTTGACATAACGACCAACATGGATCTTACCGTTACATCCCACTCTTCCATCAAACTATATGTTGTCGTTCTGCCCGAGAAACATTATGGCAGACACTAGCTTTGGCAGCCCGTGCGATTCATGGTCATAATGCTTTCCACGGAAACCCGGAACTTGCCATGGACTTGCGTTGACTCATTCTATTTTCTGAGGCTTCGGGGTGGTATGCACAGGACCCTGGATGATACCCGTCGAGGTGAGAACTCATTCCGCAAAAAAAAATGGGTGTCAGACCACTCATGGGCCTGGGCATTTGTCTGGGTTACCGGGGCTCTGTGTAAGATGGCTGGTCCAATGCAGACCAGAATGGTCGTCAAATTTGTCCCGAGCAGGTGTCACTAGGCATCTCGCTTTGAATGGTCATGTTTGTACATAAGTCAAAGACTTAGCCGGAGATCAACTGTGAGTATTCGCTCTTGTCACTGACCTCCTCAACAGGGGTATCTCGGACAATCTCTTTGTTCCAAGGTCGAGGCGGCCATATATGTCATTGTTTCCACTCGAACAATGACCGCCCATGCGGTTCATGCTGGTAGTGTTTTCCACGACCACTCGGAACTTGTTATGGTCTTGCGTTAATTAATTTTGTCTCAGAGGCTTCGGGATGATTTGTACATAAGACGAGGACGTAAAATGGCCTTTTCCGTTTTCCACAGGAAATTGATTGTAAGTATTCGTTGTTGCCACTAATACTACCAGGTAATAGACTCGATTCATCTCCATCGCGCGACGCACCTCGGACAAATATTCGGACGATTTCAATTTGGCTGTGAATTAGGTACAGGCCGCCGACAACATTACATACAAGAGACTTGTACAACCATCCATTCATCCCGCACAGCTCGGGCTTTCAGACCCCCCGTCTCTAGTCTCTACAACTGCCTCAACGCTCGTAGGTTCTGTCCAACTGTGCCACAGAAGGACGTATACCGATGGTCTGGACGCTACAAAAGCACGCCGCCCAATGTGTTACATAACGACCACAGTTCTGCAGTGCAGATTCCCCCGGGAAGCTAGACTCGAAAGGGTTACCACTTCCTTTCTTCTTCTCCCGTGATGCTGCGACTTGGAATACCTGGCCTTTTTGCCTTTTCAGCACAAGCTCGTTGGAACGATCACGCATGCCCCACTTCTTTGGGTTTCATGAAACGCGTATTTGATCAATCAAGCCCCTCATCCCTGGCATCTTAAATCTCGGTCGGAGACGTATATTTCATAAAGGGAAATTCATCGACAAGTCGAGACTCGGACATCTACATACAGGTGGACATGCTTCTCCTTCTTAACTTCTGGCCCAACGTGCCAACAATGAATTGATGAATGTTGACGTGTTTCGTGGACGTAGAACGTTGATTTGTGACAGCGGCGTAGTGCAGATCCTTTGACGAGGTTCAAAATGTCCATCACCACATCACGTATTTCCTCCATCACATATGGTGTGTACGCGTTCTTAGATCCCGGGCTGTGTTACAACAAACAACTTCCGCACTCGCAGCGCTATTTGTGTGAGTCTCACATGACAAGGGTCCAAATCTTGTGGACGAATATCCCCTAATTTCCTCTGTTTGTGATCATGGATAGTATCCCTATCTCAGACTCTTGCATACTTCTTGGGGACACAACAGTTTTAGATCCAGAGCCATAAATAACCTCGGTATGGGTATATTGATACATCTACGTCTACAGATTGCATTCTACATAGGAAGCATGACAGATAGAGTCCAGGCAAGCAATACAACATGCTGTTCACTTCCTCTCAACATATCCCAACTTGGACCTATAGTCCGTGCAAATACGAAATCTCAAAGGCCGGACTTGCCCAAAAGGTCTACACCAACAAGTAGACGAAAAGCGTCACACCCGCTTGCCTATATGTGGGTCGTCACCAAATGTACTTTCAGTCAAGTCAGTAGTTCGCAATTCCCTGTTTGACAATATGCTTCGAGTTGCGAATTGCATAGACTCGAGTTGCACGTTACTTGTGTACTTGCTTGTGTCGGATGAGGACGTGGGTCCGCCTGCTCGGAAGACGGGCTGTGAGACTTTGGTCAGGCGTGAATGAACATCGTTAGATGTCAGTTCAAGACCGGCGAGAACCAGGATCATCGTGGGTACGATAGCCTAGAAAGATGAAGGGCGTGTTTAGTGGTCAGACAGTCGACGAGAGACACGAGACAGTGGGGTTAGTGGCTTACCGTAAGTTGAGCGATAGGATCATAAACGATATAAAACGCGTTGGAGTTGAGGAAATACAATGTGAGTTCGCAGATGAGGGCCACGGAGTAGATCATGCCCGATTCGATGACGATCAAGAGGACCCTCCAGTATCTGAAATGCATCTTTCCACCGGCATCGCGAAGCATATACCAAACTCGTAGTGAAATCAAAAGAGTGACAGTGACGTTTGTTGCAAGTGAGAGACTGAAGAGAGAGCCGTTCCATATTTGAAGGATGTGTGCGAAGGCACTCCGCAAGGCCTTTTCTTTCGCGAAGTAGACGGTTTGGGCAAACCCGCAGGCTAGAGGTGTATTAGATAGATGTAAGGCTCGGAGGTCAGTAGCAAGAGGACAGAAAGTGGGTGACTTTACCTGCAGATGCCATGACTAGAAAGATCGGTACAACGCACATCTTCCAATCGCGACCCCAGACCAGCCAGCATCGCCAGACCTGCGTGATCGATCAGTTCCACTATGTCTATCAAATCGCGAAATACAACGCACAACCACGCCATCTCCTATGATGGACTGGTTCATTTCACAGTTAGTATATTTGAAAATGAGAGAGAACTCTGGGAACTCACGTTGACCGTGTGTATCCCGACCTTCACTACATTCGCCGGAATGGATACGTCCGAGAAAAAAGCGGCAGGACCACCCTCCCAGTCCCTCCGCCTTATGAATCCCTCAATAAGCCTTTGGAAACCTAACGATACGTGCGCGGTGGAGAACACAAACATGGCGACAGCGACAGATACCAAGAATTTGTTGATTTTGGGTGTTCGTCGTTTGTAGGTGAGGACAAAGATACAGACCCAAAAGAGTACGAAATTCATGCCTATAGAGAAATATCGTTAGCGGATCGATTGTGCACATTTTAATCCTGGTGTCGTTATACCATAGAACACAGTCTCTAGCCAAATGGCGGTGAGGTAGGCTTTGTCCAGGAGGATTGCCATTATTCAACTACTTGGCACGGCGATGAAGGGGGAGGGGAGGGGAGAAAGAGAAAAGCAACTATGAGGGACGGTGTAGAAACCCCGGGATGAAGGCACCTCTACGATGGCATACATTGTTCATGCAGTTTTGTAGTCAGGAACTCGGAACGATTACGATCTTGGCAAGCAAGAACAGCGAGCGCTATCAGGCATCATTGATGGCTCCACCAGAGAAGTCTTGCCACGCGCAACTCTCATACCCAGAAGAATGCCTCACCGGTGCATGCATTCATTTCGCTCTGCGCACGGGGTGTGCCAGCAGTACTGGATACATGATCCCGTCAATAGTGACAACACTTATCTGTCAAGCTCGCGATGTCTTGGCTAGTCCGCGTTGAATAAACCATCATGATGTGGATCTGGGGTGGAGTGCGAACTTCTGAGGTACATTTGTCGAGCTCAGAAAATGATTTGGTATTTGATGAATGTCTCGTCTTTTGCTTCAACACCGAGTAGTCAAATCACCGTCTCTTTAGTAGCCTCAGAGGATATTTCGGGACCGCAATCTTCTCACTCTAAATCCGCCGAAGTAAGTTCAAGTAGATTCGCGATGACAGGTGACGTGGAGATTCGAAATTTTGACCCATACGATTGGACGTCGACGCAGTCACACTAGGTTTAGGTTCACAGGCTCCTGGATGAGATGATTGACTGTTCAACGGAGAATATTGAAGCATACCTACACGTAAAACAGTGCGTACCTTCAAATCAAGCAAAACGATTGGATCCTCCGGTGAACCTCTTAGACAACGTGGTATCCTAGGATGACCGTCAGGATCAAATGACTGGTCTCGTGTCCAGGACGTTTGTGGCTCAGATACTCGTATTTGGGTAGTTGGAGGTAATGCATAGTCTTGCATGGATGCGGACAGCGCTGACCCCTGCCAACCTGAAAGAAAGTAAAATCATTCCATCAACATATCTACACCAGAGATGTGAAGGCACGGGATGCGAAAACACCGGGGAATCCGAACGAAGTGGTGGGCAAAAACAGCGAGATATCGATCTGCATGGATGGTTAGAGGACTGGAAATACTCATTCAGTAGGATATACCAGGAGTAGAGACACCTGATTCACGAATAGAGGCATAGACTCGAAGATGATATAGTAACGATGAAAATTAGGCAAGTAGCGGAGTATCGAAGGCGTAGTGCAGGGTGAAGATAGGTGCCGCAGAACGAAGGTATGTCTCGCGGTTAGCATATGGTTTTATGGGAATATAGATTGAACGAAATGGGGAATCTAACCGAGCCAGTTGAAGTGTTAGCCATGTGCTGGTGAGGTATCAACAAAGTCGCACGCACCTAGCCTAGAGATATCGATTTACGAACCACATCGTCCAACCTGAAATCCAAACATGCCACGAAAAGGTGTTCGGCATTGACTGAAGAAGATATCGAAGTTGCAGACGCAGCTAAATGTGAATAGAGCGCAAGGGAAAAATGGGTGCAACATACCGAATGATCTATGTGCATCCAACAAGATCAAGCACAAACACACCCCCTTTGACGTACTTCAGGATATCATGCTAGTCGGAGGTTATAATAGAATTGTCGAGCGGTAGATGTTGTTAGGACCAGTATAAGAGCGCGTGACGATATCGTAAGACATGGTGGGCGGGTGTGTGTATGTAGTGGAGAAGGCGAGGAGAAACTGGCGGCCTGAAGCTTGAAGACTTCTTTTATATTTCGTTACTTGCCTCGACTGACGCGGATGCTCTAATCGCGTGCTACAGAGCTGATAGTTGGCGGCGGCGACCGAACTCGACGTGCGTACCATAAGAGACGGGTAAGCACGCCTTTCATTTGAACCTGGAGCGTCAAGAGTATACGTGAAGACATATGTACCTCACCCATAATTCTTAGTATATTCGAATTAGAGTAGTCTGATTAGAGGTTCTGCAGCGATATAGAATCATAACTGGGTTAACAGTTACGTACGAAAGGTCCGAGTGAAGGAGTAGAAACATCCTAATGACTAACTGAAAGTAGACAAAGGTCAACAGACGTTATCGGAGAAGCTTGGAGAGAACGCACCAGACACAAACCCATAACCCCAAACCAACCAACCAAACACAAAACATTGTCTATTCGCAAGACTGACGGAGGACAAAGCGTAACACATTACACTGATATAGCGGGTAATTAACCGAGCGGGGTACTCTGTCTGATAAGAAATCGTTATCATATTTATGCATGCATGCATGGCCCAACATAATCTTACGTATGCGACTTGAGTCTTGAGAGAGATGAGAGGAAAGAGAAAAGAAAGAAAGGGGGGCAAGTGAAAGATACAGAAGGAAATATACTTAGGGGGAGACAAGGGAGAAACAGATAATGGCACAAAAAGACCAAGAGGAATGAACACTGCGAACAGAACTCTTTTTTACACTCACCGCAAAGATAAGCAGCGAGAAAGGGGGAGGGGATAAAGTGGAGGGAAGGAGGCTAAAATGCAACAGATGTTTGAAGCGTCCATGCGACAAGTTCGAATGTATAGGACAGAAGGACGGGAAGGGCATACCAAGGAAGCTGTAGAACAGAATGTTGTTGCTAACCAGACATATTAGTCCAAACGTGTGAGATAGCTCTGAAGATCACTTACAAGGAGCAATGAAAAGAGCATGATATGGATGTTATCGTTGGAAAATTTCGGTAATCGTCCTGCGTCTCTCCTTCCTTGAAGAAAGGAGAGTCGATGCTTGACTACTACTTGCAGTAATGCTACCACGATCAGGAGTTCCACTTTTGTCAAGCGAGACACGACCTCTCAAGCCAACGGTCCTCGGTCTCTCTGTCTCGGAACCAGACATCGGTGAACGCAAGGCTGAGACAGCAGAAATAGGTTCTTCGACAGAAGACGTCGAACTAGTACGTTGACGACTGTGTGAATCATGTTGCTGCTGTAATCCACTGAGGGTAGATACAGAAATAGTCGAGGGTCTTGAGAAAGTGACACCATTGGTATGGTTAAACGAACTAGCAGAGTCGTTCCTTGGCAATCGTGTTGAACTGGTCTCAGGTGAGTGGGATACGGTGTGTGGCGTTACGGCGGTCGTAGGGTTGGATGGTTTGATTATGGGCTGAAACGAAGATGATGATGATGCTTCAGCCCTGACAGTAACGTTAGAGTTGCTAGAGATCTTTCGTCGGGTTGACTTATCGGTACTTGCGGAGGTGGAGGAGGTGGCGCTACGTCGAAGCAGGGATTCAGATGGAAGCGTAGGTAGTGATGGGGGTATCGCGAGTGGGGGAAGAGCACGACTGCGGTCGAAGACATTTCGAGGGGCAGGTGTAGGAGAGGGTTCGTAGGAATCTGGGGAATCGAGTACGATGGATTGTCTGGTGCTGGGATCTGACGTTGTCCTTTGGTCTCTTGGCGTATATGGTTTCCTCACCGAGCTAGAAGACAACAGACTTGAGGGAACCCTGATGGTCTGCGGGGTGTGATCCATGTCGTCAGAGACGCTCCTAGCTTCGTTGCTAGAAGCTGCACTGCGAACTTGATTCATGGAAGAACCAGGTCGACTGATTCCCCCATTAGTCCGCTCACGACTTGCCAGCCTGCCTAGATTCAAGGAAACTTGACTAGTTTCACGAGGATCCCAACTTCGTCTGGTCTCCCTACTCCGCCTACCATCCGAGCTCCGTCGATCGACAGAGAGCGTACCAGCGCTCACACCTTCCGACGTAGACCGCGCTTTGCTGACAGAGTCATCGTCCAAGCTCATTGTCCGAGAATGTTGTTGCTGATGCGCGTTGGCTGAAGTGGTCGCTTCGCGAAGGACCTTCCCGACACCGAGTAAGAACGCAGTCATCGTTCGAACAACCTCGTCGCTCAATCGTAGATTGTCTCTGTACTCCATACCAACTCGAGCCCAAATCTCCGCTGCGTTGGCATTATTCGAGTCCGAAACTTCTGCATCAATCTGCGCTTCCAGCGCTTGATTGGTGCCAGCTTTGAGTGCTGTATTGAGCTTATCCGTTGTGTGAATCAGATGTTGAGATGTCTGGAAGACTTCTGGTATGGTCGACGTAGTGGTCTGTCCCATTGGCGGTAATCGAGATAAGTGAGACTCGAACATGGACAAAGCGTCCAGCATAAGACGACGATGTTCCATGTGGGGATCACGAGTATTCTTGCTGCCCATGGCTGTAGCTGGCAAAGGAGCCGTGTGATTACCATGCCCACCAAAAGGCGAAGAATACAGTCGGTCGTGCACTGAAGTAGGATGGGTCCGAGAACTCTCATCAGAAGCTTGATAAGAGCTCGACGAAGAGGGCTCGCGCTGCAGAGGATACGATGACCTATACGTGCGAAGTCCAGCTGGTGCCGTCCTCGGTTCGTCGGAATGCAAAGCTGCCATAGAAGTGCCCGGCCTATTGAATCCTCCTGAGTACGATACGTTGCGATCCTGTCGTTGAGCAGGCGTGCGTGGATCTATATTCCTGGACCCTCCCACACTTTCTGAAACGCGACTGAAAGAATGTCCCGCCGGAGGTGGATGGTGGGGTTCACCGTTGAGAATGGATCCAGAACCAGTCGATCGCGTGCGTCTGGGAACTACTGCCGCACTAGTAGTTGCATTACCAGCAAATGGATCGTCATTTCCGTCCTTTCTTCGTGTCAAGCCGGCCGCCCGTAGACCCTCGTTCACAAGGCTCCGTCCACCAGACATATTCAGGGTTAGAGGACTCTCAGAGCTAGCCGTCTTATGTCCCTGTTTCCGACCATAGCCACTGGTGTCGCCTTCATGATCTTGGGCTGATAGATCCTCTGATAGCCATCTCGTCTGATGCTTGCGTGTGAGCTCGCGGACAGTTGACGATCGAGCGTATTTGCGAGGGGAAGAGTTGTTGCCGTACGAAGTAGAGGTTGACGCTCTTGGAGAACGCGGTGATGGTGAACGACGTAGCGCGCGCTCTCGGTCACGATTTCGGAGTGGAGTTGTCGGTTCCTGCTAATAGAAGATTTAGCATAGAGTTAAAGTAAATGTGAGAACAGCCCACCTTTCCGTCCGTACTCCGGTCATTCTCTCTGAACTCCTTCGGCAATGGATTGCGATTCCTTGGACTCTTTCGTGAGCTCGCCACAGCAGCCAACGCAGCACCAGCAACATCTTTTTCGTCGTCATCCTCTGCGTCGGCATACCTTGGCTCTCGCATTGACATGATCGAAACTCTCTTCCTTGGCGTCCGTGACGGGCCAGGCGAAGGTCCCCTACTCCGTTCTCTATCCCTACTCGGCTCCCTATTACGCCAGTTCGCATTTGGATTGGCATTGCGAAAAGACTTATCCGGCGTATCGGATGCAGATAATGGCCTTTGACGAACGAACCGGTCCTCACCAGGTCTGGCTTCGGAGTAGGACGTCGTAGGAGTGGCGGACATGCTATCGCTTGAAGAATAATGATGACCATATTCACGATGGGCCTCAGGCTCACGTTCGGTTTCAGATCCGGAATGTGTATGATCGTGACGGTCCTGCCTTACACTTGAAGAACTGCCTGCAGGAAGTTGTGTGTTTGAAGGGTGTGAAAGAGAAATTTGTGGACGCGTAGACGAAGACAGACGTGATGGGTTGTACGAAGCGGCACTCGGTGAAGTATTGCTTGGAGGCGAAAAAGGTGATCGAGAAGAGTTCGATGGTGCGGGCGAGCTTAAGCGAGATATTGAGGAGAGCTTGTCAAGCACCTATTGTCGATCAAGACCCAAAACAAGTTTAGACCAGCATCGAAGGTATCCACAACAGCATATAATCGCAAAGAACGTGAAGCAACAGTGACGTAGTTAGAGCAGTTGAGATGATCAGACGCGATAATTAAAAAGCAAATGACTGAGTATTGAAAAGCAACAGCGCGTCAAGATGGACATACCATGCGGTTACGCTGCGTTAGACTTCTCACACGTTGCAGAGCAGAAATATTCTCCTTCGTAGTCGAGGTCAAGGAGGATCGTTTGCGTTCCAGCGAAAACCTGGCGGTGTCATCTTCATCGTGCTCGTTATCATGCAGGTCGTCTTCATCATCTGAAAGGTTTGCAGTCCTAGGCCTGAGACTGGTCTGGGATTTATTGTACGAGCCATTGAACATTTCTGACGCCGAGCCAGAAGCAGCCTTTCTTCGAGCCCTGCTGCCGCTAGGACTATCCTCGCCCACACTTCCACTGCCAGTAGAGTTGGTTGCAGGTGGTGAGGGAAGGCCGGAACCGTTTGATGATGCGCTCGGACTCGCTGGAAGGACAGGAAGTTCAGGAGGAGAAGCGGTTGAGTTTGAGTCAAGTGAACCGATAAATATGGCAGACAGAGGACGTTTGTGAGTTGCGAAGGGACGGCGGTTCATCGAGAAATGTTCAGGCGCATGAAGAGATGACCGAAGGTGTTGAAGACAACCACGCCGCCGTCAACGGCGAAAAGAACGACTATAAACGAGGGCGGCGTGGTGAAGGCAGGAGGCAACGAAGGCGTGGGACACCTGTCGACTCGTTCGCAGCATGGAAGCGTCTTTGCCCTAAACCGCTGGTCTCTCCTTCATCCCTCCATTCTTCATTTGTCTCCTATCTTCGCGCTAGCAAATTCCAAGGAATGGTCGTCGCTCAGACACGCTTGATACCGATGGGAAAACATTCGCTTGACGACCTTCGTCTCACGACATTTTCCAATCTTGGAATTTTGTCCAGGTAGGGTGAAGATATCATTTTGCGAAGTGCAGCAGTGTGGTCATGAATAAGAGCAGGACGCTTTTCAGGTTTGACATACAACTGTGTGCACATATTGATTCCCTCCGTGCGCCCACACCCACCCTCATGAGTGTTGGTTTAGTTCAGGTTTCGCTATATCGGTTCTTGCGCTTGCAATCAAATGGCATATACACTCGTCACCATTCTTCCTCCTGTCTCACAATTAAGGCAAGGCGTAAGTGCGCTCCTCCAAACCGTTTCACGGAGGAGTGACGGAATCGTTACTTGTCCCCATCAACTCGAAGATGAGCATTGACGAGCATGCTGAACTGGAGTTTGCGAAGACACTCAGATTTGTCTGCATTACTGGCTTCGGAAATTACAGTTCGAGTCTACCGATGCAAATGTTCGCCTCATAGCGAGCGCGGTCGCCGCGGGCAGCTATGTTTTTGTTAATCCAGGGCAAGCGTCGTCCGCCAGACTGTCAGCCACCTTGAACTAAGTATAAAAGAATCACGCTCCCTTCTGACTTCTCTTCACCTCCCCCGACATGGTTCTCTTCCTCCTCCCATGTCTTTCATTGCATGCGCCCATCGGGCATGTCTTGAGGGATGGTCACTTGCTCTCTCGTTCTCTTACCTTCCTCCTCTCTCCTCAACCTCGATGATTGAGGTAGAGTCTCCAACGGTATGGTAGATCCATTGCCGTTGAGGCATGCTTCCACTGTGTCGCAGTGATGGATGCATGCTGTTCGTTCGGTAAGTTTCACATCTCCTGCTTTGTTCATCGTGTTATATTGAGTTGGGTTCTCAAAGTTCGATATCTGCCATTCGTGATATCGAACATTCTTCAGACTGGATGTTACGTTCCGTAGACATATTCCTATATGTAAGTTTAACCTTTCTGCTAGATCAGCACTACAAGCTGACATCACCGACCAGGCGACTTGGTTCACCAGCCATTTGCGTTCGGTTGATCCACCTGTCAACCAGTTCCGACGCACCCGCTGAGCCTAGCCTCTCCCCTACTCTATGCAGTAGTGCATGTCAGCCTCTCAGTCTCTCCCCAAACCTCACTCGATTCCGCTCTCGCTTATCCCTCGGACCTTTCGACACCCCTACCGGCCTCTCGACATAAGAGACTACCATCGCTGTTCATGTCTAGCTTTCATTTCAACTCGACTTGCCCTCTCCAATGGATAATCAGTCTCGCAGATCGTCTACGCGGGACTCGTACCGTCCTCCGTGGCCGAGCTTGTCAGCCTCATTGCTCGCTCATCACCCTTCCGCTTTCCCGACACCTCCTTCTCGCCTCCGTGGATGCTGCTCAAGCAGCAGTGCCTTTGGCCTTATCCTCGGACCCGTCTTTCGTCATCTTTTCTGATTCGTTTACTGTTGTATTATTGTATCTAGTCTGGACACCCGATCTAAGCTCATACCATTACTCTCACATTAGCTTGTGAGGGATGGTTCAACTTGTAGTTGAGCCTTCTTGGTATGAGCTTAGACCGGGGGTACCAGGCCGACTCGTCCTCTTTCTGTTCTTCTCCACAGAGGCCAGTTGTTGGGGAGGGGAAGGTCCCCCTGTTTTTCATAGTCTGTTACTCGGATGTTGCCTTGCGGGCAATGTCTTTGAGTATAGGGTGTCGAGTCTTGAGCTCGCTTGATCCGGTCTTTTTTTTTTCCTTTTCTTAACTTTCTATTTATGTTTTTATAAAACCCATACATCCACCTTGCGATACCCACCTTCACTCCGCGATACCCATACCTTATCATCTCTGCACCCACATTTCTATTCTCACTGTCATTACCTGTGCGACTCCTACGTTCCGATGCGATACCTTTCCTATTCTGCCACCACATTTCTATCCCACTGTCATTACCTGGTCTTTTCTCATTACAGCCTCTCTTTTCCTTCATCCCTAATACACTACTTATTTATTCACTCCGATCACTCCGATCACTACTTCGCTGTTCTTACTTGTATCTCGTTTGTATGAGAGATGTCATCTGTCCTCTTCCTTCCAAGCTCTTGCATTCGCACTCGGTGGCTTCATCTTGGTCGCAATACCTGCGGGTGGCATATTTGGTAATCAGTCGGAATCCCAGATGCAGAATATCCTTGGTAATCCTGAGAAACTCTTTACTTCTAGGACGAAGTAGAAGCTCAAGCCGAAGCCATGGTAAATATTGTAGACAGCCGAACTCTGGGGGAGATTTGTTCGAGCTTGACTGAGGATCATCGCTGGTGTCTTTGGAAAATAGCAAATATCATGGAATTCGAGTGCATGGTACATTCATTGTTCGAGTGTGAATTCGAGCTTCAACTTCTCTCTACTCGACACTACTGTAGACTGTATATCGGGCTGTTGAACCAATCACTGGACGCAAGTGAGGACTCCATTTTGGGGAGCACAGGCTATTTCGGCAATCGAATTAATGTTAAAATAAAATAAAATGAGAACAGTGAGACTCACTGCCAGAGATGACGGGGGAGTTGTCAGAGGGTCCAGAGAAGAACTTGCAGCTCGAGCCAGTGGTATGGTCTCCATTGTTTGGAGGGTTGCACGCCGCGACTAATAGAAACAAGTAGGTATATATGACTTCGTTCAACGGGTAGAAAGCCCAATATATTACCTGGGTCAGTGGCGATCAAGGCGGCGCGAGGGATGGTGGTGTCTGCTTGAGCATGAGCAGCGAAAAGTATAGCTGTGGCGACGACAGAGGTGATAACTTTGGTGGAGAACATGTTGATAGAGAGAACGGTTTAGTTGGTTGAGTTGGTTGCAAAAGTGAAGAGGTGCTTGTTGTTGCAACTTCTCCAGGTCAAGCAGCAGGACTTTAGACCTTTCGACCCAGTCGAGTTGCTAAGGACGTTCGTCATGCAGTGAGCGAAAAAAGACATAAATCACTGTGAGTGGAACAAACAAACTGATACTCCACCGAAAGTGCGAAATCAATATCAAGTGGGACGATGAATATGTAAAGAGTTGGCTGTCCAATATCGAAGTCACTACGGCCAACGTGTGCTGCTCCACGGGGCACGACATAACGGACTTGTGATGCGGCTACGAGGAGGCATGAAAGGAAGAGCTTTAGTGGTTGTGAATCAAATTCACACTGTGGTTCTAGTAAAAACACATCTAAAGCCTGAACATAAAACGAACATGAACGTCCATAACATCGTACTGACAGTAACATTTCTCACCTATGATAAGTAGTTGGATGCCGTACCACCAGTTCTTCTCCCGTTTCACAACAACAACCAACGTGCACGGCGTCGACTCGCACGCACAGCCTACACGCTGTACTATGATTCGAAGCATCTGTTGAATGAAATAGTGACCCTCCATCGCAACGCCTCTAGTTTGGAAAATCACTGGTGAACCACTGGCATTTTTTGACCCCAAATTTACCCCCCGATGTCACGGTTTCATGCATTGATCAGGTTGAAGTGAGTCAGCATCTCAAGCAAGACTTCACGTAGAGGACACAGGACATGACCGCAGGCCTGTGCTCTAATTTAGTCTTCGTTGGATTTCTTGGAAGTGGTGATTTTTGGGTATCTGAAGGCTAACGCGACGCGTTTACACAAGAACTGGAACGCGTCTGTGGCTGTCGAACAACAATTACAATCTCCGACAGACAGCCGAGCTTGCCGCCTCTTAAGGGAAGTGAACGTTGAGCATCACTGAACTCCAACGCGATAAGTTTACTACACGTACTGTACTTATGTCAAGATGAAGTGCGATTGAAGACTCGTATAATGAAGCATATCAAGACCGATACGGCTCCCGCTGTTCAGCCACGGTAATGTTTCTGTATATATACTTACTCCCTCGTGGTCATTTGTAGGTTCAATTCAACCACCACTTCCACAGGAATGCCAACCCCTCCCCACAGGACATTTTCGACGGGGACGAATGGAGCCGCAAGACAGCTAACGCCTGCGGCAGCTGTACTAATTTACAAAACACATGTGGGGCCTTCGATGCTTCGATGAAGTTGGAACGGACTTGATCGATGCATGAACGCCGCCTACAGTCCATAGGTGATCTTCCACAACAAAGACGTTCAATATAGCCGATATTTCGTTTCACAGATGCTCCAAAATCGCGGCAAATACGGTAATTCGGCGAGCAGCATGGATTCTATTTTCAACCCAAATATCGGGGACGGCTGTGCGTGCGAGTCAGCAATACCTGGTTGACTTCAGTCGTGGACGCGTCATCTATGGATGACCCGTTGCACAAACCTCGAATATTTAGTGCAGGTGAGCGAAAGGTTTTGTCTAATGTTTGTTTTGAACGTTCTTGTGCATCCTCCTCAAATCCGCCGTAATGATTCACATGCAGTTCATATTGCATTACCTCTGGGCTAATGGCACCATCAGACTGAGCTCGCCTACTCCCAACCACTTAACCTCTTCCTTTCATCCCTCCTCATAGCCACGTCACAACTCCGTTATGTCGCGCACCGTGGAACGGCTTGCGGTGGCCTTGATATTGGATGGCCAACTCTTTACATATTCATCGTCCCACTTGATATTGATTTCGCACCGTCGGTGGAGTATCAATTCGTTTATTCCACTCATAGTGATCTTTATCGCTTTTGCTCACTGCATGACGGACGTCCTTAGCAACGTCGACTAGGTCGAAAGGTATAAAACCCTGCAGCCCGACGACGATAATTTGCAACCGTAACAGGTACCTCTTCACTTTTGCAACCAATCCAACCAACTGAACCATTCTTTCCATCAACATGTTCTCTACCAAAGCTATCACCTTTATCGTCGCCGCAGCTATGCTTTTCGCTGGTCAAGTTCAGGCCAGCGTGAACATCCCTCGTGCCGCTTTGATTGCCACTGACCCAGGTAAGACTTGAGCTTTCTACGTGTTGGAAGATGCCATATATGCTTATTGCTTCCATTAGTCGCGGCGTGCAATCCTCCAAACAACGGAGACCATACCACTGGTTCCAGCTGCAAGTTCTTCTCTGGACCCTCTGACAAATCCCCTGTCGTCTCCGGCAGTGAGTCGCATTGCTCTCGTTCTGGACAGACTCATCGATTCTATTGCCGTGATAGTCTGTGTTCCCCAGGGTGGCACCCTCACCTGCGTCCGGTGATTAACTCTGCAAACCCATGTACATAGGAACGAGTAGGGAGACGTTGAAGCTCGAATACTGATTCGGACAATGAATTATGAATGTACAGTGCATTTGAATATTATATAAGTTCTGCTGGTTTCCCGACTTCCATTGTGAAACTGAAGGTGTTCGAAGCATAACCTGCGACTCGTTGACTTCAACATTCAGACTTGTTTGTGTTGATTTATGCGGTTGTGAAGTATTGGCCTAGAGGGAAGTCCGCCGCACCTTTTGGAGGACGAATGCCGATTCTTTTCAACCTGAGTATTAGAGTATACTCAACGGTTCATTTCTGACCTAAGCACCAAGATGGTAAAGTGCAGATATCACACAATGAATAGCAAACCAAAGAAGGAAGTCCTCTTTCTATACAACGCTCCTGCGAAGAGGAGAGCAGATGAATCAGCCTACTTATATGCCCGATGTAAACTCAAGCCAAACCTCGGATCATCTAGTCGTTGTGAGCCACAAGATGATCGATGATCAGTGAGCAGGGAGTATGAACGTACCATTTCGACAACGTGCGTTTGCTACGTAGCACAACCTGGTGACATTAACTGAGGGTGGATATTGAACGTCTCCCACGCAGCTGAATACGAAGTCCATCAATAGACGGAATGGAGATGACATAGGGAATAAATGGCAGGCATGATATCTACTGTTTTGAAATGTCATCCGATTGCCTCGTTTCCCTCGTCTTCTCAATTGGCTCTATATATACTGACATTCTTATTCCCACTGTCATGATGTCGATTCTATTCTCGGGTTGACTATCCCTGTAGGTTTCTACCTCATTCTTTTGGTACGTGCGTGATACTGGAATCTCCATCTCTTGTCCGTGAGGATATGTGATGCAGTCTTGTGCCGAATGCAACTCTTTTACTGACCGGTTGCTTGAAACCCGGGGTCATGATCAGGTACGGTGATGGAGCTACCGATTGCAGGTAAGGGTCTTCCGGATTTGTACTAGTGCATTCTCCATGTCAAATTCATCGCAACTGCTTCCGTCGAGTTGGTACGCCACTGCCAGGTCGTCTATGCCACCGCATTAGGAGAGATACAAAGCGTTGCGAACGTAGTAGCGAACAGTGGTTGACGTGCATAGCAACGGAGAAAACGTTGGCCGGGGCCGAAGCTTCGAAGTGGATAAGCGCATGGTTGGCAACAGAAGAGCCTGGCAAAGCTGAAATTAGGCGGGCGAAACGCGTCGGGCTCGGAGCTGTCTACAAGAGCCTATCAAGATCAAGAGACGGGGAAAATGCACGATCGCTGAATCTGTCTTGCATTCTCTGCAGCACTTTTGGATTCAGGAGGAGTGGCCGTAGCCAGCTGAGTCGGCAACCGAAAGAGGAGGACATCCCAAGATGGGCGAGGGTGCCCAAGAAGGGGATGGCCTCCGAGCGATTGCCTAATATGGAAATCAACGCCACGCCTCTTCCCCGAAGATGGCGCTGTGTAACTCCTGAGCGCCGGATACGGATGGCCTACTTGGGGGATCTGCCAGCGAAGACGAGCTGTGGTCGCTGTCGAGCACGGCGACGAGAGGCAAAGGATCAGGGAGAGACGGGGATGCAGCCTAGAAGAGACTAGTATAGAAATTAGCGTAGATGGTGAAGCACACATAGTACGGATTTGTACATACGCCCACTTTGGATGGCCAAGGGGTGCTTATATATTCAGCCCGTATTCAACTGCGCCTGTCCCCGGCCTCTTCCCTTCGCTCTGCCTCCTGCCTCCTGCCTCTGCCCATGAGTCGCTCTTCCCGCTCCCACCCTCAGAACATGCCTCCTCCTGACGCCATCATGGGCCCTCCGCCGTTGCCTCCAACCATCGTCTTCACCCCTTCTCAGGCTCCTGCCCCCAACGCAGGTCCCCAGGCCAGCTCACAAAAGTCGTCTCACCCGACTCAGGACGTCGGCGAAAAGTATAGTAGGCTGAAGAGGAAGTACTTCGAGCTCGATGAGGTCAGTGTCGTCGCTATGGTACAGTGCCGTGCTGGCTGAATAGGTCTGCCGTAGAAATTTAAAGATGCTGTCATTGAGATGAACTCTGGTTATAAGCGGTCTGTCCTGTGGAGAAACGAACGAACGTGAGTGCCTTCTCTCTTAATTGTTCCTTGGCGTCCGTATTGGGTACCCTGTCGACGTTGGATGCGCGAGTGCCTCGCTGCCATTGTTGTCCAAGACCACCACTACGCATCCAAGTTTCGTCGCCTCAGGCCTTGCTCGCCCATCCAGGGCACCAGCAGTTGTCTTTTGCGTAAGGTCTACTCAGACGATCACAAACAATTCTCTTATTGGTCCTGGATCTGGCCCTGAGACATCTCTTGTGTCGTCATCTTGTCCATTCGATTTCTTCGTTGCTCTCTGTAGCTAACTATCCCGTCCCCTACAGCTTGCTACTCGATCGTATCATGGAACTCGAAAATAACGTCCTTCCCAGTCCCAACTCCTTTCCAAGCCCTATCAGCTCGGCATACCCACGTAGTCTCTCCAACCCACGCGCTCAAAAAATGTTCATCGCCAACCTTGACCAAGGGATCATGGAAGCCGAAATGGAAGATCTGGACGAAGATCCGCTCATGCGATCGCGACACATTGGTCCTCACATCCGCAAACGACAAGAAGCAGAACAACGGGAACGTCAAGAGGAGGAAGCGCGCGAAGCCAAGAGACAAGCGAGGAGACCGAGAGGGTCGGGGGCGGCACAGAAACAAAAGGAGACGAATGCCGCAGCTAGCACAAGTAGGAACGAGAACAGCCATCATCACAACCCGCCGTTGCAGTATGCTCATTCGCCTTCTGGTCAGAGAGACTCCCCGTGGCTGGTGTCCGAGACCGGTACTAGGCTACGCTTGAAGCCGCCTGCGCCACCCCCGTCGTCAGCACCAGAACCGGGAGCTGAACTCAGCATGTCGGCGCATCATGCTCAAATCCAATCCGAATATCAAACCCAACCACAGACCTATCAGCTACCTCCACCCCCGCCGCCTCCACCGTCTCAATTTCGGGCTGCCTCTCGTACACCACCCGAGGTCCATAATCAACAGCAAGCCTATTCTCAACCGCAACCGCAACCGCAATCTCAGCCACAATCACAGTTTCATTCACCGTCTCTCGCTCAAGCCTCTTCTCATGCTCAACCGCCAGCACACGCTCATTCTTCTCCTCAAATTCAAATTTCTCATACACCCCAACCTCAGGTCCAACCATCACCCCGGCCTGAACCTCAACCACAGTCACAATCTCAGTTTCAATCTCAGTCTCATGTTCAACAACAGCCTCAACCTCAGCCTAAGCATCAAGAACGTTCAGAATCGCCTTTTCCGATAGCTTCTCCTCATGAGGAGAAGCATACGTTTCTGACCATGCCGCCACTACCTCTACCCCCACCCGTCCACCAACAACCACCACAACAGCCCCAACAACATCAACAGCAGCAGAAGCCGATCATCCTCGAACCACAGGTCGCTCATCCTCAACCGCAAGTAACCCTCCAACCAGTGCAACAATATGTCACACTCTCGCCTTCAGCCGACTACCGAGCCACACCTATGGATCCTAACAAAGCCGCCCAATCTCAGATGCAAATCACCCTCCGCCCAATGGGAGGTAACGGGACCCCAACAGGGCGACCTAGTGAGCTTCAAAGACATGCGAAGCCCAAGAGACTGAAGGCGCATACGGTGACCAGCAAGAGCTATAGTATCCCGATGGTACCGAGGGATAAGGATGGGAAACCGCTTTTGCCATTGAATGTCGGGATCATGACGGTTTATAATTTGGGAGAGATATGTAGGAGGGAACACTTCCATACGGAGAGGTATATCTTCCCGATTGGGTACGAAGTTACTCGGTGAGTCAGATATTTTCAAACTCTACTACCACTGTCACTCCGTAGAGCGAACGACTAACTTATTCTTTGTTTCTGTTGCGTTGCGGTCTACCAATGTAGTCGATATTACTCTACCGTAGATCCTACCACCGAAGTCAATTACCGATGCAAGATCCTCGACGGCGGGGATGGACCCAAGTTCCAAATCATCGCCGATGACAATAGGGAGGATCCTGTTCTAGCCGGGACGGCTACCGGTGCTTGGTCTACTGTCGTGAAAGCGGCGAATAGTATCAGGAGTCGGCAGCATAGTAATTCGGTTTCGGGGCCGGATTTCTTTGGGCTGGGACAAAATACGATCAAGCATTTAATTCAGGAGTTGCCTGGGGCGAATGAGTTGAAGAATTATGTGTGGCAGAAGTTTGTGGAAGGAGGGTGAGTGTTTATCTTATTCTCAATCTTAATGCTTCAAACTCGTTGTGTGCCTCATTACTCACTCGTCGCCATCTCCATCCAGCCCTCTTGGCGGTCGCCACGCCGCTGTCATACCTGCCCTCCCTGACGAAGCCGAACTCAATGGCAGTCAACTCATTCAAGCCCTCAGCGGTATCGAACATCTCAACAGGGTCCCGGATGATCTCAATGGTTCGAGTAGTAGCGGTAGCCTCGTCGGTACACCTGGAAACGGGTATACCGGTGGCAGGCGACGCGACAAAGCCAATCGCGACGTCACTTCCGGCAACGGCATGGCTACGCATTATTACTCTGAACAGCAGGGCGAACTCATCGAGATCGAGGACGGAGAACGGCCTCGAGAGTTGCAGATCATTCAAGTGGACTCTGAGGATATTCATAATGGCCAACCTGCTCGTCCAAGGTCGAATACCGCTTCGGTAACCATCACGGGTGCACCGGTGACTATGACTAGTACGATTAAGCCGCTGACTTTTCACCAGGAATATGCTATTCCTCCGCCCCCACCTCCCGATCCGGCACAGCATAATCGGAAAGAGAGAAGAGGGAGGAAGAGTTCGAGGGTGAGGGAGCAGCATGGTGGGTTTGAAGAGTATGTGGTTCCTGATTCAAATATGAGCACACGGTCTCCTTCGAGACAACGAGCTTCGCATTCGCAATCACCAGCTTTGTCGCGGGCTGATCGCGATCGGGAATCGCATGAGCAGCAGCAGCATCCTCCGTCACAACAACAGATCTACTCTCCACATCAACAACATCAAATTCCTCCTCCTCCACCTTCTTCTTCTCGCTCTCAGACTTCGCAATCACCCTATCTGTCTCCGCCTAATGGTAGGGGGGATGCAGAGAGAAGAACTTATTTCGCCGGATCGCCGCCGCCGCCACCGCCACCGATCCCAGCGACGTTTGCGAGTATCATGAATGCTTACCCTGCACCTCCACCATCTCCGCGCAGCGAACGCAAACGTGCTGAAGACTCTTGGAATGACCAGCAGTGACGCGGGTTGATGCTCATAGTCTTCGGAGTTAGGACGCTACTGGTCATCCTTCGTGTCGCGTCATGCTGTGCCATGTTTTGTTTTTGGTTTTCTTGAACACTGGATTCTCGTGCTTTTCTAGACGGTATGATATGTATGGTTGTGTCTTGTTTTCGCTCAGGTTCATTGCTTTCCATTCCGTATTTCTGTTTGCTCTTTTGTACTTATCATCTCGAGTCCTACGTCACCGTCTATCCTTACATTAGGGCATCCATGTTATGATTTTCTTCTCCCCCCCCCCCTTTTTTTTTGGTGTTGATTTATGCTAACGATGATATATCACCATGATTGTCTCCCTCCTTCCATTCTCAATCGGCTCTAGGTCTCTGCCAATCAGTCGCCTCAGGTTTCATGTACCTTTTGCGCAGACCCACGACTTACGACTTTTTTTAGTGTCCAGCCCACTTATCAATCCGCCTCAAGACCTATTCATCCCCTAGGCTCCCTCCCGGGATACCTCACCTTGCGGGATGAATACGGTCACCAACCTCACCCGTGGTTTGACGCGATGCAAAGCGGTGCGGGGGTAAAACCTTGACTCTGCTTTCATCGATCCCATGGGCGTGGGTTCTCACAACACTCGACTTTCTTTCCTTCCTCGGGAGGAAAGCGCGGGGTTGTTGAGTGAGGCGATATTAAGCCAAGCGGTCCTGAGTGGTTTTCGGATCGTAGCCTCATTGTGGGACTCCTGCTGTTGCGAGGAATGTGCCAGAATTTGGGGTAGTATGTGGGGCTGACATTCAATGTGATAAAATCCGGTATATCGAAGAAATTCCCAAGACAGTTCAGTTTTCTCGTAGGGCTATACTGAAGTTGACTCCTACCAGTTGCCATCTGTTACATGCAAGAGATACTCACATCTCAGCCGGCGATGTGAGGAGTAGTGCGTTGTTATGAGTTTATCAATGCCATTTTTCCTCCACTCCGTATAAAGCGTCGATGGTAAAGTGCAATTTTGGAGCACGGGGTATCGGCTATAGGAGACCATATGTCTGAACATGTTACCATTCTAACTTGGACTCTTTGATTGCAGACTTCGCCGCGAGTGACCGTGGCTGAGAATAGGCGCTGTGAGTGACCATATGCACATTTTCAGAGGCCGTTGAGTTCTTTATATTTTCCACTGACACATCTTACGCCTCAGCCTGGTTGGGATTTCGTAAGCGTAAACTCACCTGTATAGACAGCCATACCGCTCGTACGATGTAGGCATTGTGTTCTCATAGGCACATTCACTGGCGACTCAATAGGCCTCTGCAAGAAAATCGGGTTCAGCGTCAGCCTAAGATAAGTAATGCAATATTGATGTTGATCCTCATGTTACGGCACCTTCGTCCGCCTCTGGGCTCTTCATTAGTGAGACAACTCCGATGGTACGTATATATACTGACCAGAGTGTAATTTCTGATGAGCAGCATATGGTTTTGAATGTGACTGTAAGAGGCGCAGTTCCATCATGCTGAAACCCAACCATATTCTCCGAGTTCTCAGAATCCTTTCGTTGCCGCAATATCGAATGTCGAGCACCGTTTCAACGTGTCTCAGACACCCTGATCACATTTTTTTAGATGCTCCACCTCCACCACCACCTTGGATCGGATCCGTTTCATCCTTACAGGACCAAACATCGACTATTTCGGCACAATTGGAATGGACGAAGTCCAAAGAAGGTGACGAGAGTCTCTACAGAGTGCTTTCGAGGCTCCAGGCAGCCCTTCGTTCTGTTCACAAACGAAAGATGATGTGGCCAGCAGAGGAATGCATTCCATCTGAGTACTCGAATTATTCGTCGATTTCTTTCTCAATTGCTAAAACACGCTATCCGTTGTTTTCACAGTTTTTCGCCAAGCGAATACTTGATGATGCTCCTACGGCCTATAGCAGACATCTTCAACCAATTGCACTCCCCTGACGTGCTAAAAACACCCATGGAGTGCATAAGTGTTGATCTTGGTGACTGTGAGTTCATCTTGTCTATCTCAGTTTTATGGCTCATGTTCGGTAGCCGTCTACGGTGCGACTTTTGTAGCAGAAGACCTCGATCTCTGGAAAATTGCTGCTCCGGTTGTTTTGTCGCTGGTCAGAAAGATCTCGTCGTTCCCGGTATTCCAGATTACTGATTTCCATTCCATATTAGCCCAACGATTTGTTCAATTCCAACGGTGAAGTGTCTTCACGGGTTCAGTCTGCTCTCTCAAAAACGCTAGCATACCAGCCGTTGGTCCCCTCCATCATCGTGACGAACTTTAAGGATATCGTCGTCTTTTTCCCTCCTGATTACAGGCGTCCGGAGCACACTTACCAAAAGGTACTGACGAGTCAGCCCTCTTTGGCCTTGCGAGTCATCACCACCGCGTATGTTCAGGATGCGCTCCCAGGCGGAGAGTATATTGCAGTACCACCACCTGATATAGAAGTTGACGAAAGTCTCATTCTTCCGGAAGGACCACCAAAAGATCCGAACCAACCTTTGGCATCAGACGAAGAAGTCTTTGCAACACATCACCGCCATTCTGACTTTGACATTGCAACGTTGATACGAGACCGCGCTCGAGCGCTGCAATTCTTCCGTTGGCATGAACACGTACAAAGGCAATACTCCAAAGTTGTCGCACATCCCAATGACACACTCAACGCTATGTCAAATGAGGCTGGACAAATCGTTCCAGACATTAGCCCGGTCTATCCCTTCGACTTCTCTGAAATGCCAACAGATACGATGACGCATCTCAAGTCGGTACAGCGCGATTCACCTCTCATGACCGCAGGAATTACCGAACTGTTCGAGAAGAGCAAGTCCTTCGAACTAAGGATTCAGGACGTCCTCTCGGAAGGCTCGAAGCATAGCATGTGTACCGTTTATCGTTGTCACATCACCTCTATCGACAACAAGCCAGTGTCATCTCCGACGCTGTGTCTCAAGCTGTTTGACGACCGGTTCCAGTTTCTGCATAATCCAACTGAATATGAAGATGAACTGGATGAACCTCTTCCTCGTTGGTTCGATCGGGTGCTATTCGCCGAGTCATACGCTCTCAACGAAGCTTTCGCTTATGACAAGCTTCGAATAGTACAAGGGACGGTTGTCCCTTGGTTCTACGGGACGCATCAGGTAAGAACTGATCTCCTTGGTGCGATAATAATACTCACCTCCCGTCTTGATTAGTTTACGCTCCCAGACGGAACGGTGCTGTATGGTCTCCTAATGGAATACATCGAGGGTTGGGCACTTGACTCCGAATTTGCGCGCAAATTGAGTGCTGATAGGCAAATTAAAATGGTATGGTCGCTAACTATATACGAAAGAATGGAATATCTCAAGTCTTCTTCAGATCGAAAGTTGTCGGCATGCAGCCCGTGTTCTGGATCTTGCCGACGTCAGCCAACGAGATTGGCACGACGGCCAAATTATCCTCTACACGAACCCAACAACCGAACTTGACCACGCCGTTCTGATTGACTTCGCTTCGACGACTCAGACATGGTTGCCTGACGAAGTGAACTACATCGCGAATTACTTCGGCGTTCTACATGTCTTATTGGGCGGACAAGGAGATATTGGATTGGATACAGAACTCGTATGGAAGCACTTTGGGGAACCAGACGATTGGGATCCCCTCGAAGTGTGGATTCCTACGGGTCCGACTAGGAAGATAATGAGAGTTGTTAAAGCCAAGGAAATGTTTCCGTATATCTCTTCCGCTTAGCCCGGTAATCTTCCTGTATGGGTCCTTGACTGTTTACTCACCGCACACAAAATATCAGAACTGTCAACTCACCGCGGTTGCTGGCAACAGCAATCGCAGTCAGTTTCACGCCCACGCCCTCTCGATCGGGAAGCTTTCCTTCCTTTCGAGTAATATGTTGCGTTCGGAAGCGATATGCTGGCATGTAAGTACTGTATCGCGTGTACCTGAGTGATGCAACTGTACAGCCGAGGTAGACTCCAAGCCCGAAAATATACAGTTCCAGCTGGTGATCCGTCGAATCTCACACAAATGCACTGGGTGTCTGGGAGAGCAACAGAAGAAGACTTACTGCGAACGAATTTAAAGAAGACGCCTCTCAACAACTTGGAGGTTGTTCGCTTTCTGGATGATTGAACTGTTCATACCATCTGTCCGATAGTCAACCCAGGCAACGATGGTTCTATTGTGCATTCAACCGCTCTACGATGGTCATCACCGTCGCCAAAATCACTATTACGAGGGCCACGCTCCATCTCGCTTCTCTATATCCTCTCATTTGAAATGTAATACTGTATACGGCATTCATCCTCACTGTCGGAACGCGAAGAACAACAAACACTGATAGACACTCTGTATGGTACAAGTACATGTCGATTCTTGCTAGTCAGATACATGGGAAAACACAAAACGAGATGGATACAATGGTCATTTCGGGTGTCTTTGACCACCACTTTATACGGGGGCCACAACCATACCTTCTCCCCCATCAGCATTAGCTTCCTCATCAACGTTAACAACGTCCACAAAATGCCCCGCCAGTCCATCAGTAACACTACTTACCAGCTCCCTAATAGCAAACATCGCCTTCCGTCTACACCCCGGAGTCAACGCACACTGCAAATCCGTATTTCCCATCAACTGTTCCTCCATCCTCTTCAATCGTCCCACAATATCACAACTGCGATATTTATTCAACGTCACATCGCTCCTAGCAGCTTCTGCCCAAGCTGAACTCCATACGCTCAAACATCCGTGAACGTGGAAAACACATCCGTCTGGACGTGCGAATGCCGGTGCGCTGCGTCGGAGTTGGTCCCAGAGAGAGACTAGAGACATGTGTCCACTGAGAAGGCGGATGATTTGAACTGGGGAAAGGGGTGGGGGAGTTTGATCATCCTCGTTTGTCCCTTCGTCTGAAGAAGCCGAGGATGAGGGGTCAATTGAAAACGTGCGCTCGATTTTACCGTCCATCTCGACCAGGAGAACATAATAGGCCACACCCGCCAACCGTTTCATACCCCAAGTGTCCGCCACGCGCACAGCCCTCCTCACTGCCTTCTCCCTTCTTTTTCCATTCAAGGGATCACTGTTCAGACCCCATATCCGGCCCATCCAGCGCTCTTCAACATAATTTCGGAGCTCCTGGTGTTCACATACGCATGCTACTTCGACTATGCGTTCCAATAGGCGTTCGCTGCATTCTGAGAGGGAGTATTGCGCTGGTGTTGTACCGTATCCGCCGGAAAGCACGTTGTAGAGGGCGCAAAGTGCCCAGGCGCAGGTGCCGCTAAAATGATACTTGTTGAGGATAGAGGTCAAGGTGATAAGTTGTGGAAGTTGGACGGAAGCGGTATGATAAACCTGGAGCTCGTGTGGTCTGTAAAAATAAATTTTTGAGATTACTTCAAATCATCAAGAGTATGATAGGACACATACAGAGAGTAAAGAAGACCGAGGAGGACGCGAAAATTGTCCTCAGATTCGCCATACAATATGATCGGATTCTGATCGCTTGCGCCTTCCTGTGCCAAGTGTCTGGTATTAAGCGAGTGGTCGGGAGGCAAGGTGAACATATGCTGGAATGCGGACGAGTCTCGAGCAAGGAGGAATTTGTGGACCTATGGTAGGTAGGTTAGATATTGCGCTATAGATATGAATTATCACAGTTCCAAGGTCCTAGGTTAGAATAGAAAAATCCGCAAGATGAAGACCCTCAGCCCCAGCAGGTATAGCGTCTCTTGAAAAATGGACAGTGAGTGTGAACAGCCGTATGGAGGAATGCTATACCACCTGGTGACTCGAGGAGAGACGGGTGAGACACCGTAGCGCCCGTGTGGAGACGATGGGATAAACATGTGGTTCTTGTATGTCTTCATCAAAAGTGTTGGCAAAGCACGAGGAAGATATGCGACTCCCGCAGAACATCGAAAAACTTCGATGTAAAAGATGCCTTGCCAACATCTTCGATCAAATCGAAGAAATCATACTTCCTGTCTTCTCCATCTTTTGCTATCTCACATCTGGCAACAGTGAGGAATAATCCATGCTGTCGCATTTACACTCGCCTCTGCGAAACCCGCCAGATGGTATAGCGCAAGCGCCCGCAGACCTGTCACGATTGACACTCACACTATACCGAACTGAAACAAGATCAGAAAATACTTCTCACTGAAATGCTTACCTTGAATAGAGTGTCCCCAACACGAATGACACAGTCCGCATCCGGCAAGTAGAACCTATCGTCCCGATGCAACGTGACATCCTGGTTCTCCGACTCAGAATGAAAGGTAAAAGACGAGTATTCTCCGTCTTTGCATTTCGTAGGGTCCATTGGAGTGCTGGATCCTGACATGTTTGAGTCGCGTGACATTATACTTTCGTGAGCGGAGTGATCTACAATCGTTCGTGTCCTCTGGCGTTTGCGTGGCGGTTCGAAACCAGAATCACTAAATGGTATGTCTTCCAGCTCTTCGTGGTTGGACAAGCTTGGCGAGGCCGTGGATGATGAAGTGGAGGAAGAGAGGTAGGACTGCGGGGCAGCAGAGGTAGAAGATGAGGATATCATCGGAGTGGCAGGGACAACCTCAGACAGCTTGCAAAGCTGTGAGCCCTTATATATGATAGTCAAGTAAGAAGGTCAGCGTTTCAGCTTCCGGCGTTCGAAAGTCATGTAAAAAGAGCGTTCAAGTTGGGTGAAAGTTCCGTTTGCTAACGGAGTTGGGAGGTAGTGGTAAAGGTGCAAACGCCCGTATAGACGCCTATAAAAACCGTTGTGGGCGCACGTTTTGACCGAACGCCAAGGAGATTTGCTCTGGTTAAAAGACTTGCCATCATTACCCGAGCTACATCAACACTGACAACAACGTATATTACAATTCTTCATGTCAACTCATAGCGAGGATCCGTCAGAGTACAAAGACGCGTTGACATCGGCGTCCGACTCACCCAGTTCCAGTCCGCCAACAGGCTCGCCTCCAGACTTCCACATCCCGGAAGCAAAGGACGGGTTCTTTGGCTACAGCGATGAAAAGAGTCTCGCACAGGTATGTATTTATACTTCGTTATGTGTCATCACAGCTCCCATGCTCGCTTCATCAAGATAGAAGAAAAACGTTACGTTCAGCGACGCAGTTCGGACGCAACTGCCCCCTCAAGACCAATCTCCATGCTTGGTTCTCCCATAGTCGGCCGCACTCAAGTCGTTGACGCACATGCCAATGAGGCCCCTATAGTCGGAAGCTTCAAGCTCTCCGTGTCGGACTTGTCTCCTATGCCAAAGTTGAAGGACCTTCACAAGGAGGACGGTCGTCCCGCAACCCACGTTGAAGCACACCTCGGCACCAAAATAGGTACATCTTAATCTCCTTGTGAGGAGTATTAGTAACAATGCTCCTCAGACTCTACGCTCCAGTCTGAGTTTGTCTCTATCTTCGAATCTCTTAGGAAATGCTTAGAGCTGCGTGACAAGTACATGCTTGTCTCTGGTCAACGACTCGGCTTCAATCCCAAAGACCACGATGGTCTTTTCAACGGATTACCGGATGACGTGTCCGATGTCTCTGGTATTAGACCGGATGTCGACCCGGTTTCCTTCAAGGAACCCTTGATATCTCCGTTTGCTTCATGGAGAACCTACCCTAAGCCGCCTCCGCCGCATTGGCATTGGAAGGATAGAAATATCGTTTCTCAGGATTCATCTGAAGAGGAAGAGTTCGTCTTTGAAGAATGCAAGATCCCAGGTGCACATAAATGGGACTTTGAGATTGACGAGAAAGGCATCTTCCAAGTGTACGAGGAAGTTGACGGTGAGTTGCTCAACACTTCGTGTGCATAAAATGTTAAGCTATTTACAAAGATTCCGAGCGACAACCTCGGTTCAACATTCCGAATATCCGAGAATATTTCATTGATTTAGAATATGTCCTTGGTGTCATCTCAGATGGACCTACCAAAAGCTTCGCTTTCCGACGGCTGAATTACCTAGCAAACAAGTTCCAGATGTACAGTCTTCTGAACGAGTTCCAGGAATTGGCTGATCTGAAGGTATGCTAATTAGCCTCTCCACTTTATAACATCCTGACGTACTGAGACTGTGCATTGGTATGTAGCGAGTACCACATCGGTAGGATATCGTGTTTATGGTTCTGACTGGGTCAATCTTGAACGTTGGCTATGCTTAGTGACTTTTATAACGTCCGAAAGGTCGACACGCACGTGCACCACTCTAGTAGCATGAACCAAAAACATCTGCTTCGTTTCATCAAGTCCAAAATGAAAAGGAGTCCAAATGTCAGTTTGCCGCTCTTGCTTTTCATTTCTTAATACCTCCTGTATTGACTTATGGATGCATTGATTGAATGCTTCTAGGACGTAGTCATTTTCCGAGATGACAAAGAACTTACTCTTACAGAAGTCTTCCAGTCCCTCCATCTCACAGCATATGATCTAAGTATCGACACGCTTGACATGCATGCACATCAAGATTCCTTCCATCGGTTTGACAAGTTCAATTTGAAGTATAACCCAATTGGAGAGTCAAGGTTGAGGGAGATCTTCTTGAAGACGGACAATTATATTCAGGGCATGTACTTGGCTGAGTTGACCAAAGGTTAGTGATCTATTGCAACGCCCTCCAATATGTGATAGTATGCTAAAGTCGGCTTTGGGGCAGAGGTCATGACTGATTTGGAACAGAGCAAGTACCAGGTACGCAGTCTTCATGCTTGAAACTACGTCTTCTCAATCTTATTTGGGTGATTTGTTAATGGTAGAACTGCGAGTGGCGGATCAGTATCTATGGACGATCAACTGACGAATGGGACAAACTCGCAAAATGGGTCATCAACAATAAGCTCTTTTCGCATAATGTCCGTTGGTTGATACAGGTCCCTCGACTATACGACGTCTATAAGCTAAACGGGTCTATTAACACCTTTGAGGACATCATTCTCAGTGAGTTTTTCATCCGCTTTCATTTCCAGACCATGTATTCGAAGTAATAACTCTATGGTAGATGTCTTCCAACCTCTCTTTGAGGTTACTAAAAACCCATCTTCCCACCCCGAACTTCACGTCTTCCTCCAGCGTGTGGTTGGGTTTGATAGTGTCGATGACGAGTCCAAAACCGAAAGGAGATTCCACAAGAAATTCCCATACCCGAAACTGTGGGATGCCAAAGAATCACCGCCATATTCATATTGGTTGTATTATTTGTTTGCGAATCTCGCCAGTTTGAATCATTGGCGTAGGTCGCGAGGATTTAGTCAGTACTCAGTATTTTGTTGTGTGCTTGAGTATATGCTGATATTGTTTGATCGTGTCTCGTAGATACGTTTGTCTTCCGGCCTCATTGTGGTGAAGCAGGCGACACGGACCACCTGACATCCGCTTTCCTCACCGCTCATTCCATCTCTCATGGGATCCTTCTCCGCAAAGTTCCTGCTCTTCAATATCTCTTTTACTTGAAGCAGATTGGATTAGCGATGAGTCCCTTAAGCAATAACGCGCTATTTTTGACCTATGAGAGGAATCCTTTGCCGGATTTCTTCAAAGTCGGATTGAATGTCAGTTTGAGTACGGATGATCCGTTGCAGTTCCATTTTACAAAGGTGTGTTCTTCTGGTTGTTAGGATTGAGAACAAAAGTTGACTCGATATGTCTTATATAGGAACCATTGTTGGAAGAATACTCTGTTGCTGCCCACGTAAGTAACCGATACCGCTCCAACGTTATACTACCTCTTGATGACGAATTAATTTCACATCTATCAGATCTACAAGTTTCCCCAGAGTTCGCTAGCAGAACTCGCTCGGAACTCTGTTGTACAGAGCGGCTTCGAAATGGAGATCAAACGTCATTGGCTCGGACAGAAGTGGTATCTTCCGGGTGCCGCTGGAAATGATATTCACAAGGTGCGTTTTTGTTTGTCATGGTTTACTTCTCCTCTCCCGTCGGGAATGTCTTCTCGTATTCCGTCCGGTGCGGGATTTTTTGGACGTCGGGACTGATTCATATTTTCAGACTAATGTTCCGGACCTCCGACTGGAATATAGACGTCAAACGCTGATCGACGAATTAGGGATGATCGGGGCTACCACCGCAGGCGGAGGATGAGCCATCCCTGTCGGTTTGGGGACAGTGTCTTAGACTCGCTCGTATCTCTAGAGCTCTCCGAAATGAACGCGTTTGGTTTTTTTGGGCAGATCCTTGTTTTCCGGACGGAACTGGCGGAGGGACGTCACTGGGAGATCTGATCGGCGATGGCTCCTTGTGATTTTTGGTGATGACTCATCTGTTTTACGAGCACCACCGCCGCAGCGAGATACGTATCTGAGATCTATTTTGTGCCGTCCACGTTCGTCATGCACAGTTCATGCACTAATCCTACCTTGCGGTCCAACTAATGGATCTAATTTCCATGTCATTGTCTTGAACATTCCTGTATCACAATTACCTCATCATGACCACCGAAGGTGAGGGGTCGACAACGACCCACCCTTCACAGTCTCTCAACCTGGATTCGGATCAAACGCCGGTGGAATGCCCCACCATCTCCCAGATAGTCAGCGACGTCGCGTTATACAAGCAAGTCATTGAAGACCCAGAGAAAGCTTCCCTTGTGCTAGACAATGAAAGCATCAAGAACTTTACTGAGCTTGTCGGGAAGGATCTAGATACTCCGGAAAGGTCTTTGGCTGATCGATTCGCTCAACTGTCTGTGGAGGATCTCAATTGGATCGAGGAAAAACCGAAGAGGTATACCGAAGAGCCTGACGGGTATGCAGAGGACGAGAATGCGTCAGTCGAGTCGGATGCCACGACCGTCAGTGTTACGCCCATAACTGAAGACGAACGGCAGAATATGTTGGCATTAAAGTTACCACCAGAGGAGATCGTGTCTCTTCTCAGAGAAGAGTTTGGTGACTTGGCGCCGCCAGAAATCGAAGAGCGTTTGCTCATCGAAACTGACGCGGCGCTTGTACAAGATGTGATTGTCCTCGTGAGTGCAATGCTGTAGCCTTGCCGCAGTCGGCGACTGACAGTTTTATCTACACAGGGTGTTATACATGTCACAACCCATCGACTCTCATTTCATGCCTCGCTTCCCGAATCACGTCCAGACTTGTTTCCCTCTGGCGGCGTGATCAAATCAGGTTCGGCTGTTATCCATCGAACGGGGCTGCATAGGAAACGTCGAGTGTGGTTGGAACTTTCCCAGGACTTCTTGTGCTCGTTCCCTTCCGCGAGCGAGGATGATAGGATACGTCCTCTGAAGAGCTTCCTTCGTACGTCTCTCCTGAATTTGAATTGCGGGTAATTGTAATCCATCAGTGTAGTATCTTCAATGGTGGCACGACCAGAAGACATTCACCATCCACGCTTTATCCGCGTGTTTCTTTCTGGAAACAATGTCAGAGAAGAAATTGTTCTTGAGTTTGACACACTTGAAGCAACTCGAGAGTGGAGACGAGAGTTGATGGGTTTGTCCCACATCCTTCCTTTTGCTACTCTAGACTTACCTTGAAAACATGCAGGAGCGATATTTCTCTACAAACACAAACTTATGGCCTCGCTTAAGCCTTCAGATACGGAAGATTCTGACGGGGTCAAGATCAGTATCCCCCTGCCCTGCATTGAAGGTATCAATCATGGTCGTTTCGCGGATCTGTTGCATTTGGTAACTCTGCAGGTTGATTGCGAGAATCACAATCATAACGAGGCAAACGCTTCTAACGGGAAACGAACTATGCACTCGGAACCTTCCCATGGCCTCCAGTCTATTCAGTTCGGCATCGCGTCGTTTGACATCACTCTGGACGGGCTAGAGCAAATCGTGGAAACGAGCAAAAAACGAGTATTCGCAGACGATGGTTCACCGCTCAGGACAAAAGTGATTGTCGATTATGCTTCAGTCACTTTGAACGACCTGCAGCAGTGTAGAGCAGGTATCCTGACAGATGAAACCGATGATGGGTCAAAAGGCAAGCTCGTTTGTGACATGCTTGGGATTCCATATGGTCCGAATATTTGGAGTACGTTCTCTCTGGCTCACCACGTGTTTGTCCATTAAACATTACATCCTCATGACGTCTTAGTGACACAGGCCCGTCTTCATTCGGGACCAATTACTTCCGGGTACCTCGTAGTTTCTCCTCGATGGATCGGTTTTTGGAGTAGGTCATTGACTCTGGAAGATGAGAAATATCGTATCCAGGTTTTAGCGATCCGTTCAGTTAGCACTACCGAGCCCTGGTACAAAGGCATTCCCAAGTATGGGCTTCAATTGGACATTCAAGGCCAATCCAGCCTTAGATTTCAATTTCGTTCAGAAGCTAACAGGAATGATGCCCTGCGGAAAGTCCGAGAAGCAGTAGAGCAACTACCTATGTTGTCTCCTCCATCAACGCCTTCTTCACGATCTCTCGTATTTGTATCCAGGTCTAATTCGCCGTCTTCTACGCCTACTCCGAATAGTAGTTTTTCTGCGCCCACTACCCCCGCATCCCCTGCCACACCGTCCGCCCGACGCTCCTCCGCCATCCTCGCACCCATCTCACGTACAGTCAACCACCCAGCTCGTCGAAAAATTCGTATGAACTCGGACCTCATCCTCCGTCTACCTAAGGCCGTAAACCTGCCCTCAAATTTGTTCTATTCCATGCCGCCTATGCATTTTGTTTGCTTTACGATTGGAAGCAGAGGCGACGTCCAGCCGTATATCGCGTTGGGCCTCGGGCTGATCAAAGATGGACATAAGGTGACCATTGTTACACATAAGGAGTATAAGAAGTGGGTGGAGGACTTTGGGATCGGGCATAGGACTGCAGGTGGGGATCCCGGGCAGTTGATGAAATTGAGTGTGGAGAATAAGGTAAAATCGATATCTGATATTTCTTATCTTGTTGGTTTGTCGTCCCTACTAAGGTTGTTTTTGGTGTTGTTGTAGATGTTCTCACCTCAATTCTTCAAGGAGAGCATATTGAATGTACGTTTCCATCCTATTTAGGATGATATATTTTATCCTTGCTTACAACGATATATGCTATAGTTCCGATCATGGCTGGACCAACGTAGGTCCCCATTCCATTTTTTTTTGGCATTCCTCGTCTGACTCGTCTTCCGCAGTGCTTCGGGATGCTTGGGAACAATGCAGCGATGCGCAGGTTTTGCTCGAGAGCCCCTACTCATTTGCAGGGGTTCACATCGCCGAGGCACTTTGTCAGTACTTTAACTTATCACCTTTTACGTGTTCGGGTCCTGACAACAATCGGTTCATGTAGCGATACCCTATTTTCGTGTGTGCACAATGCCTTGGACGAAGACCACTCAGTTCCCTCATCCGTTCATCAGCCCGCCTGTGGAAACACCTAAGTTTAATCGGATCTCGTACGTCTCTTTTTTTTGCATGCATTTAGCCTTTCCATTGCACAAACGGGCTAATTTCTTTTTCTAAACCTTGCTAGTTACGTGCTTTTTGATAACGTCATATGGGCTGCAACCGCACAACAAATCAATCGTTGGCGTCGGGAGGTGTTGCATCTGGAACCCACGGACATGACACATTCGGCACAAGCCAAGATACCCATCATGTACAACTTCTCTTCGGTAAGTGAATACTACACTCCAACTAACATTTATTTAAGTTTATACGAATTTATGGTTGTAGTCGGTGGTTCCGAAGCCGATGGATTGGACCGAAATGGCGTACCCTTCTGGCTAGTATGTGATCCGTATCTTATGATCGCTCACTACGTTGTTTGGTTCTGATTTATCATTCCGTCCTTAGCTGGTTCTTGGATAATCCCGATGGATCAAACTGGACTCCGTCACCCTCATTGCTCTCTTTCATGTCTCAAGCGCGTACAGATGGGAAACCTCTCGTGTACATTGGGTTTGGAAGTATCACTGTACCTAATCCTGCAGAAGTTACCCAGAGAATATTTGCTGCTGTTGTTAAAAGTGAGTTCATCATTCATTTTTCAATACACAGAATACTGAGTCTAACGTTTGGTCTACATGTAGGTGGTGTGAGGGCGATTATTTCGAAGGGTTGGAGCGCGCGTATGACACAACAAGGTGATCTTACCGGTAAACCAGTTGAGGTAGATGCTGTCCCAGAGGAGTGTCATGTACTCAACGAGATTCCGCACGAGTAAGTACTTTAAATTGTCGAGCTCCCCGTACGTGGACGCTCATACATTGGCAGCTGGCTGTTCCCGAAAGTCGACGCTGCGCTACACCATGGAGGTGCTGGTACGACAAGTGCCAGTTTGCGAGGTATACCTTCCTACCATTGGCTCTATCCACGAGCGCCGTCACTGATGTTAGGCGTTGAAACATGAAGCGGGGATACCGACACTGATCAAACCGTGGTTTGGAGATCAGTTCTTTTGGGCTTCGAGAGTCCAAAAACTCGGCGTACGTTCTTCTTTCTTTCAACATGGTACTCTTTTGATGAGTACGGATGTGCATGTAAAGGCCGGATTGAAAGTCCCTAGTTTACGGGTGGGGGACTTGGCGGATGCGTTGACACGGGCTACTTCGGATAGGTCAGTACTTTGATTTTTCAATCATGTAGTTTGAATCATATGAGTAGCCATAAGTCGCTGACTGTCTGTGTTCTTAGGATTATGAAGGAGAAGGCGGCGATGGTCGGGGAGAAGATACGTTCCGTGAGTATTACCGCCAATTGTCGCTCCTATCTCCTTTCCGTCCGGAGTCCCTCCTGTCCCCGCGTCCCCGCCTCGACAGCACGGTCAATTTCATCATACCCCTCTACAATCCGGTGTTGAAACTAGAAGCTAATGATAATTGATTATCTCTTTGACAGGAAGATGGAGTACTGAACGCTATTCAGTTCATGTACGTGTACTTGCCGAGGGCAACGCGTACTGCGCAGCATCTGCCTGCCGAGTCGGTAGAAGTCCACCAAGACCTGGAAGTGGCTACGGTGAGCAGAGGTGGAGTTGAAGGCGATGCGAACCCAGCTGGACTGCGGGCTATTGTTACCCAGTATTCCCACTTTTCGAGTTGCAAGCTGCATTCATGATTGGAAGTTTTCGTTCGCTATTTATATTGGATGGTCCTTCGCTCTCTGGATACGTCTTCTCTTTAGCATATAATATCCAAAGCATAGTTTTAAGATTAACCCTGTAGATACCTAGAAGTCTGTTGTATGTACAGTTTGTATAATAAACGTGCATGTATCGTTTTAGAGATTGTATAGACTGTACTGCCTTTTGGACTGTCAATGTCATCCGAGAAGAGACCCTCGGAGCTATAAACACGTTGGGGGTTCTTTGCTTGCAATGCGCTGTCAGATGTCAAGAACAGGCCTGTAAAGCGGCAATACGAAAAACTATATGCTGTGCACTCCAGAGTTAATCTTGGCCAGGTGGGGCGGTGGAGTGGGATCCGATCCATGGTTGATCACGATCGTGGCAAGTGCGATTTACCGGACTGCAACACAAGAGAGGCACAAGCCATTCAGTTCGGCCATAAAGAACACGGCCGTTATATATTGTGAGTCACTGACCGCGTCATGTTCAGCACCGTTCCGTTCCTCGGGCATCTCGGATCTTGCAGAGATTGGTCGAGACAGTCCTGTCCAATTAGCTATTTCCTGTTCCGAGCATCGACGTGTTCGAGTGCTTTTTCGGAAGGGATAGCTTCAGTTCGTAGACGACGTTGAAGAAAGATATGAGGTCAGGATAGTGTGTGACAAGTGTGTGATCGGAGAAGGTTAGCGAGGGCCTCCAGGAAATGATCAAGGGCCGCTCCAATAGGACTTAGGAGCAGAAATTGCTTTATATGGAAGGGCAAACGCGGAAAGATCGGGAAGCAGGTGGAATGAACCATGACGTCATAACTCGACTCTCAGTGTGCTCGCTGTTGGAGACGACGCACTCCGACATATATTCACCGCTGCTCACGATGCCGACAACGACAAATCCCGAACACGATTATCTCGTGCTGACAACACCTGCCGTTCTGATAACACCTGCTACACGGTTCTACCTCCCCGCCGTCGTTACTTGACTATTTAAGTCGCTCTGCACTGCTATTCACTGGCTGTCATCTAGATTGTGTTTACTCCACACTAGCCACCGTTGCATACATGTAAAACACGCCTCTATTGTACTGGTCTGTGGTGTCCTTCCCCACTTTGTTCTCACTTATCACTGTGGACCGGTCCATCTGCACTCCATAGGACAGGTTTGTCCCCATTCCTTTCGCCACATTGGTTGAGCTGATTACGTTCGAAGTGCTCCATACATCTAGCTTATTACCAGTACTACGTCTAGACCCCGTTGCTGTCTACGCCAGCGTGTTTATGTCCATCACTTCCGAAGCCAATACAATGCGTGCAACCTTTCCTCCTCAGTCTGCGCAGGTCTCCGCAAGCCGTGAGCCGACTCCGAAGCCATCAGACAGGGTCGTCTTTTCATTGGCCCATTCAACAACGCATCCACATGTCGCGGGCTTTTCTTCCCCGGACTGGACCTCATCCGACCAACACATTTATGACACACCGAGCCCTATAAGCATTGCTCGTTCCAGCAGCGAAGGCTCTGGACAGAAGCATCTCCCCCGTTCCGACGTTCACTCGACAGATCCTGCAAGAAGAGGTGAGTGTATGCCCCGTTCCGGGACCACGTGGTCGTGTGCGCATGTCAGTCTTTCACGTCTCTCTTATCGAATGGACGACTGGGAGCATCCACAGCCGTCTCGAATGTTGTCGAAAGTGCTAGAGGCATCGATCGGCGCTATTTGCTCGTCGTTGATCGCGCTCGTCCGTTCATCGGCTGGCTTAGTCTGGGCGGCAAGTATATGGACCTGCCTAATTAGGCTGTGCACTCGGGGCGCCTGCGGAGTTTGAAAATGACGAGAATGCGATTGAAATAATTTGAGTAAAGCAACTGGCAGCAGCTTCATCCTTCCTTCGCCGTGCCTGCTGCGTTCTTCTCTGCCTCTTTTTTTGCGTGGAATTGGTTCGCTTTGACCCCCCCAGTCCCCCCTTCCCCCTCCCTTTCTTTTGTCTTCATATCTGTTGTTCTTTTTTCCCCGGTGCACACTCTCCAGAACATACGTGTTCGACACCACCTACCTTCCTTTCTTTTTCGCGTGTCGGTCATGCTTGCAGCTCAAGTGTTCTGGTAGATTCCTTCTGACATCTGACTCGCGCCTCTCGACACGATCCAGGGCTTGTGATTATTCATTTTCTCCGTCTTCTGTCCGATACTTTGCTGATAACCTTTGCTTTTATCCTGCTGCTCGTTCGTGTCTCAAAAGCACCTCGGGCCTCGCATGATATAAACCCCCCAGACGTTTCTGCCAAAGAGACTCTCCTCTCTCACCACGACCGCACGATCATCTCCTCGTCCACCTCCCCAACTTCGACGTCCACCCCTACCTCGTCCTCTTCAGACGATTCTCTCCATCGTCTGAAACCTCAAGATCCTGGTGTTATTAAACCGGGTGATGCAATCCCGTCTCTTTTGGATTCCACTTCCTCCGATTCGACGACCAGCAGCAGCCTTATGGACCAACGGGATATGCAGGATTCCCGTTTGCCACCCACCGGTTCAAGTTCAGATTCTGGCAGGCCTCCTCCATCTGGCAATCGCGGTCGTCCACACTCGCAGACCAATCGTAGAAACCAGCAACCGCATCATCGATCACAGCCCTTCGTGACACCTGGTTCGCATTTCCCTGGCCCACCCTCGCACCCTCCAGAGCAAGCTTCTACAGCGTCTGCACCACCTCCCTTTCACAGCCCACACGCCCCTCATCCGTATGCACCATCCTCTGCACCGCCATACCTTGCCGTCGGTACACCTGCACCCGGAGGGAGCTTCATGGGTTCTGCAGGATCATATACGATAAGTCCACCCCCACCGGTGAATATGGTACCGCAAAGTAGGTCTACATTCGCTTATCCCCACCATCCAAGTTTGCATGCCCACGATACATCCATGCATCCACAAAATCCTTCGCTAATGGGCTATTCTACAAACACACTGGTACCTATAATGCAGCCTCCATACTCTACGTACACACCTGTACCGCCACCTCCGCCACACGGGCATTCACCTGCAGGGAGCTCCTCTTCGAGCCACTTGAATACACCGGTGACAAGTGCTGGAGGTATGCCCGCTGGAACCTCGAGCTATTTTGCTTATGCCTCACCACCCCCACACTCTCCTTTAGCACCTCCGTCTCAGCAGAATACGGGTTCGTCATACGTATCTCCGCATCCCTCTGCGGGTGGCTATGCGTCTCACCGGTTCCCTACTTCACCCTACAACCCATACCCTCCACATACTTATGGCCATACTGGTTCAGTGTACCCCGCGACGTATCCGGCGTTTACACCTGCTAGTTATGCGCCTGCTCCGTTGGAGGGACAGGAATCACAGGGAACTTGGTGGTACATGCCTCATGTGTCTCGCCCACCAACGACGAGTGGCTATGACGGGTATGCAGGTCATACTGCTTATGCTTACCCGGCTAGTCCAATAGGTATGACGGAGTTGGAAGCCGCTGCTATTGCCGCTCAAGGGTACCCTACCGTTTCGAGTGCAGGCTCAAGCTTGTATGCGATGTCATCTGGCAGTCCACAACCATCACAATCGCCTCTGCAACGCCCTCTACGATCGCCCTTACCCCCTTCCTTATCGCCCTTACATTTACACTCACCTTCCGGTCATCCACAGCCGTCACCGTCTATTGTTTCATCGTCATATCCTTCACCTTCTGCGAAGTCCGACCATGCTGGCTCTAATCCAGGTCGCGCATCACAAGGTAGCGCTGGAGCTGCTGTACCGCCAAGTGGTGGGAATCCAGAACGCGGGCTGGGAAGACGATCATATCATCCCAATCCACCAGCTCACAGGTCCGAATGGGTGATGTGGGCGGGGAACGTACCTTCCGATGCTACATACGACGAACTCTGGCGATTTTTCAATCAGCTACCGTCTCCTAGTGCCGAGTCGATGGCAAGTAGCGCCGGTACTGTCGCAAGTGGTGGTAGCAGTTCAAGCATGCCAACGAGTGTGAAGTCGAACCCGAATCCTCCGTTGCATGGTTCGGGATACGGACGAGAGCATGGACGTGGAAGTTATTCGGGTGGTCCTGGGACTTCCAGTTCATCTTCTGGTGCTGCCTCGGGTCCACCTGCGCTTCAGACTCAGAGTTTTGGGCAAGGGACCTCGCAATCTTCACAGCAGCCAGAAGCACCTATATACGGAGGCGTTGAGTCCATATTCCTCATTTTGCGGTCTAACTGTGCCTTCATCAACTTCGCAACGGAGGAACACCTTCATGCTGCTATTCAGCATTTTAATGGACGGCCCTTGAGGCCGCATGACGTTAGGTGTCCCCAGTTGGTTTGTCGTATACGAGGGAAGGACGATGACCTTAAAGCCGGCGTTGGTGCGCAGAGAGGGGCTGGCATTCACATTAAGTGGATCAAGGATCAGAAGGAGAGACACAGACTTGCTAGGAGTATGTCTGTGACCCAAGGGAATACGAGTCCAGTTGCATCTGGAGTTGGGAGAGGGAGAGGCAATGTGGGGGAGCAGACATCAATCTCAAGTTCTTCTGAAGCGCTTACTTCTCCGTCCAGCTCACCTGGAGAGCATCCGTCGATCGCGTCCCTCTCGGACGATGAGCTTGCGTCAGTTCAGCGACGACATGGACGGGGAAGACCTGCTCTTCATTCGAACAGCTCTGGCTCGTTGTCAACGAGTTCTAGTATCTTGCAGCAGTATTTCCCTAAACGTTATTTCATTCTGAAGTCTCTTACGCAGGTAAGTGCCCAACTCGGCATCAACAAGGCGCATGGACGGCCTACTAACCCCCCGTCCCGTTTCAGTCCGATTTAGATTTGAGCATTCAGAAAGGTTTGTGGGCGACACAGAAGCATAATGAAGGGATCCTCGACCAGGCGTATAGAACGAGTAAGGATGTGTACCTCATCTTTAGTGTCAACAAAAGCGGAGAGTTTTATGGGTACGCCAGGTAAGCGTCTGCTATGGTTATTGATTCCGCGGTGCACATTTACTGATACGTGGGTGCTTGGCTTTTCTCACAGAATGGCAGGTCCGATTCTGCGGGGAGAACATCAAGTCTCGTGGGCCTCCCGTTCCGATTCTCCATCGACGCGCCGAGGGTCTTCTCTATCTCAACCTTCTCCCGGGCCAGATAGCCCAACAGCGGCACGTTCTCCACCGACGTTCTTTTCACCGAATGAGAATCGTCTTTATGACGAATCTCCACTGCCACTACCGGTACCTCCCGACACTCCTGTACAAGACAGGTCAACTGTACCCCTATCTGCGCCTGCAGAAATGGGTCGCCCGTATCGTAGGCTCAGTAAACATTCGTCGGCTGTCCCCACGGCGAGCTTGGACGTCAGGAAACTGAAGCCTGCGCTCCTCAGGCGAGACGATTCGTTTGAGTTGGACCCTGGCGCCCCTATGAAAGCCGCCATAGAGAGGTCATCTCCTGACGATGCTCCTTTACCGGGTCAAAGGTCTGGGGGTCCGCTTAGGGATGATGACGGTGTTAAGAGATGGGATATGGTTGGACTGGGAGGGAGTTTGCTTGTCCCTGTGGAGGAAGGTGATGAATCATCGCAGGAGCCGCCAACTGAGGAAGCTGAGTCGAAAGGGAAGGGACGAGCTGTGGAGGCTGGGCAGCAAGAAATTCCTCGTGACGAAGGGCCTGTCTGGGGTGAATCGTTCAGGATTGAGTGGATTCGCACAGATCGCCTTCCGTTTCATCGTACTCGACACTTGCGCAACCCTTGGAACCATGATCGGGAGGTCAAGGTATCTCGAGATGGAACTGAGTTGGAGCCAACTGTGGGCCAGGCGTTGTTAGATGAGTGGGACAAGCCTGATCCTGATCCAGGCCTTACACCTTCTGCCGTTGAACGTCCTGTAGGAACCAAGACCGTGCCGGACTCTGTGGGGAGTCCCTCTGTTCAAGCCCATGGTGTCGGTAGAGGAAGAGGGAGGTGAACGATGAGTAGGATACCTCAATGGCCTGAAGTCAGCATTGCTTCCCTGGACAGAGAGGGAGCAATCCGGTGCTGAAGAAACGGGGGGGGGGGGTTCTCCGCGGCCGATGGAAGAGTTGACCCCCCTCACGTGGAAGAATAGACCATTACTATCACGAAACGAACTTGCTACTAATTCTCAAAATTAAAGGCAACACGCATGCACGCACACACACGAACGCTACGCACGTACCGCACCATTCTTTTCATGTTTTTCCTAGCTTACTCACCCGTTCGGCTCCTCCACTTTTATCATACACGATGCGGGAGTGGAAGAGTCGAGTCGTGTCATTAGTAGTTCATCTTATCACACATCATTTTGTTTGTTTTGTTGCTTTCATTAAGCTTCTTGTTGCGGATTAGTTAGGGGAGACTGCTTTCCTACATTTTCGGGTTCGTCTGTTTGGTTTGCTTTGGGGCCTCATCAACATGCCGCTACTGTTGCATTATTTCATTACTATCTTCCATTTTGCTCGTCGACGCTTTCAAGCATTGCTCCTCACCACACTTACTCATCCTCTCACTCACGTTCTGTAGCAATAGGTAGATTCCTCCATCTCATACATGATAACAATAATCCTCGCATAATGGCATAATACACGATCGCGCCGTTGTGCGCTGGCATTGAGCCTCTGCTCATCAGTTCTATCTTGTGTTTTTAGTGTTTCATTGACTGTAGTCCCCGTGCGCTTAGGAAAAAAAAATTCTTGCAGATCTCATTGCGGAGGCCAAAAAAAAATCGAATTGAAACGACCAAGCGCATGGCAGTGGCCAAGAGTACGTCCAAAATATTTTCCGCCGCCGACCAGTCTACTAACCCGCAGAATTACTAAATTTGGTTTAGAACAACCCAATTTGGCAAAGCCTCCGAACGGCTTGTGTACCCATCGTTTTATGTAAGTAAGTTCGCGGTCTAGACAGCACTAGAGCAACTCCGGTATGCATATGATGGATTGTGAGTCATACTGAAGTGGCAGTGCATACGTGGCTAAGGAAGTGTGTTGTAGTGACATCCAAGACCTTCCAGAACCCACTAGTACTTTCGCTACTCGTCTACATATGCATACATTTAGAGAGGTTCATTAATTACTGGACGCAGGTGAGGGTCCCATCTTGGGGAACACAGGCTATTGTGGCAATCGAATTAATACATAATTTAGTTAAAACGAGAACAAATGAGACTCACTGCCGGAGATAACAGGGGAATCGTCAGAGGGTCCAGAGAAGAACTTGCAACTCGAGCCTGTTGTGTGATCTTCATTGTTTGGGGGGTTACACGCCGCGACTAATAGAATTGATAAGTACATATGTCGTCATCGAGCACATAGAAAGCTCAGGGTTTTGCCTGGGTCAGTGGCGATCAAGGCGGCACGAGGGATATTCATACCGGCCTGAACCTGACCGACGAAAAGCATCGCTGCGGCGGTGACAAAGGTGATAGCTTTGGTGGAGAACATGTTGATAGAAAGAATGGTTTGGCTTTTTGAATTGATAGCAAAGGTGAAGATGCACTTGTTGCATCTTTCCAACGTTGAGCTGCAGGGTTTTATACCTTTGGACTCAGTCGCTGTTGTTCAGGGGGTTCGTCATGCAGTGAGCAAAAGCGACATAAATCACTATGAGTAGTATAAACGAATTGATACTCCACAGAAAGTGCGAAAGCAATATCAAGTGGGACGATGAATATGTAAGGAGATGGTCGTTCAATATCAAGCCCACCCTGGGCTGCTCCACAAGATATGACATAACGAGGTAGTGGTGCGGCTACTGGGAAGCATGAAAGGATGAGGTTTAGTGGACGAAAGTTGGTGACCTGAATCTGAGGGTGCCACTATCCCAGAAGAAATATGATATGAACCGCATGCGAATCATGATAACAGGCTTAAGGAAGATACACAAGAAAATGGAGTAAACATCCGACATGACATTCTGCTCACCTAGAGTGAATAATCAAGTGCCACACAACGGGCCATTCGTAGACAACGACTGAAGTCAACCAGATATTCGTTGACTCGCGCGCACAGCCGTCCTCTATATCTCTGTTGAAAATAGAATTCTATGCTGCTCGCCGTACTGTATTACCGCGTTTGCCGCGGTTTTGGAGCATCTGCTGGACTAAATGTCGGCTATTCATGCTATTGAACACCTTTGTTGTGGAAGATCACCTGTAGACTACAGGCGGTGTATCATCATGCATCGATCAAGTCCGTACCTCATAGAAGGCACCACGTGTGTTTTGTAAATTAATAAAGCTGCCGCAGGCGTTAGCTGTTTTACGGCTCCATTCGTCCCCGTCGGGATTGTGCTATGAGCTGCTTACAGGGTGATTGGATTGAACCTGCAGTCGGAGTACTTGAAATACACATACGGGGGTGCAAGATGGAGCTGAGGAGCAGGGGCCATGTAGATGTAGACGTGTCCAGTATATGACTGTTAAGACCCTAAATCGCACTCCATATCGACAAGGACCGGCATAACTACTGTATGTGTGGAAAGCTCACTGCGCATGTATGAGTTCAACGTTCACTTGCCTGAAGAGACGGCAGGTTCGGCTGTCTGTCGGAGATTGTAATTGTTATTCGACAGCCACAGACGCGTTCCAGTTCTTGTGTAAACGCGTCGCGTTAGCCTTCAGATACCCAAAAATGACCGCTTCTAGGAAATCCAATGGAGACAAAATTAGAGCACAGGCCTGCGGTCAAGTCCTGTGTCCTCTACGTGGAGTCTTGCTTGAGATACCGACTCACTTCAACCTGATCAATGCATGAAACCGTGACATCGGGGGGTAAATTTGGGGTCAAGAAATGCCAGTGATTCACCAGTGATTTTCCAAACTAGATGCGTTGCGATGGAGGTTCCAATGAAAGGTCACTATTTCATTCAACAGATGCTCCAAATCATAGTACAGCGTGTAGGCTGTGCGTGCGAGTCGACACTGTGCACGTCGGTTGGTGTCGGTGAAATGGGAGAAGGACTGGTGGTGCGGCATCCAACTAAGTACGTGTCGCGATCGTAGGTGAGAAATGTTACTCTCAGTGGGATGTTATAAATGTTTATGTTCATTTTACGTTCGAGCCCTAAACGTGTTTGTACCAGAATCACAGTGTGAATTTGATTCACAACCACTAAACCTCTTCCTTTCATCTCTCCTCATAGCCGCATCACAAGTCCGTTATGTCGTGCCCCGTGGAGCAGCATACGTTGGCCGTAGTGACTTCGATATTGAACGGCCAGCTCTTTACATATTCATCGTCCCACTTGATATTGATTTCGCACTTTCGGTGGAGTATCAGTTTGTTTGTTCCACTCACAGTGATTCATGTCTTTTTTCGCTCACTGCATAACGTGCTTAGCAACTCAACTGGATCGGAAGGTATAAAATCCTGCAGCTCGACATCGAGAAGTTGCAACAACAAGCACCTGTTCACTTTTTGCGGCCAATCCAACTAACTAAACCATTCTCTCTATCAACATGTTCTCCACCAAAGCCATCACTTTTGTCGTCGCCGTAGCTATGCTTTTCGCTGGTCAGACTCAAGCAGGCACCACCATCCCCCGTGCCGCCCTGATCGCCACTGACCCAGGTAATATATTGAGCTCTCTACGTGCTGGACGAAGTCATATATACTTATTTGTTTCACTTAGTCGCGGCGTGCAACCCTCCAAACAACGGAGACCATACCACTGGTTCGAGCTGCAAGTTCTTCTCTGGACCCTCTGACGACTCTCCCGTCATCTCCGGCAGTGAGTCTCATCGTTCTCGTTTTCGACAGTTTCCGTATTGATTCAATTGCAACAATAGCCTGTGTTCCCCAAGATGGAACCCTCACCTGCGTCCGGTGATTGACTCGACAACCAGATATATAGTACTGACGAGTAGTAAAGAGAAGCTGAAGCTCGAATTCGGACTGGGACAATGAATGTATTATGTACTCGAATGCTATGGCATTTACTGTTGCCAAAAGGTGTTGGTAAAGATTTCAAATCCACCGTAAACAAATCTCCCTCACAGTGAGGCTGTCTACAATGTTGACCAATAGCTCGAGCTTCGTCCTAGAAGTAAAGAGTTTCTCGGATTCACCCGGAACCATATACCGTGTCGAGATTGCGACTGACTACTATATATGCCATCTGCAGGTATCGTGAACAAGGTGAAGCCATGTAGCACGCATGCGAGAGCGCCGAAGGACGAGAACAGACGATATTCATCATACAAAGGAGATACAAGGAAAGACAGTGGGATAGTAATCAGAATGAATAAATAGTGTACTAAGTATGTAGGAAAAGAAAGGCCGTAACAAAAAAAGACCTGGTAATGACAGTGGGATAGAAATGTGGTGGCAGAATAGGAAAGGTATCGCATCAAAACGTAGGAGTCGCACAGGTAATGACAGTAGGAATAGAAATGTGGATGCAGAGATGATAGATAATGGGTATCGCAAGGTGGAGGTGGGTACCGATGGTGGATATATGGGTTTTATAAAAATAGGAATAGAAAAAGGAAGAAAGAAAAAGAGCCGAAGATTCGACACCCTATACTCAAAGACATTGCCCACAGGGCAAAGTCCTAGTACCGGGCTATGGAAAAAAGGGGGGATCTTCCCCTCCCCGACAACTAGCCTCTGTGGATATGAACAGAAAGAGGACGAGTCGGCCTGGTCCACCCGGTCTAAGCTCATACCAAGAAGGCTCAACTATAAGTTGAACCATCCCTCACAAGCTAATGTGAGGGTATTTGGTATGACCCTAGATCGGGCGTCCGGACTAGATACAATAATACGACAGCAAATAAAAAAGGATAACGACAAACGGGTCCAAGGATGAGGCCAAGCTGCTTGAGCAGCGTGCACGGAGGCGAGAAGAAGCCGGGAAAGCGGAAGGGTGATGAGTGAGTAATGAGGCTGACAAGCTCGGCCACGGAGGATAGAATGAGTGCCGCGTAGATGATCTGCGACACTGATTATCCATTGAAGAGGGCAAGTCGAGTTGAGATGAAAGCCAGACATGGACAGCGATGATAGTCTCTTATGTCGAGAGGCGTAGGGATATGAGGAATAAGATACAGCGGAATCGAGTGAAGTTTGGGGAGAGACTGAGAGGCTGACATGCACTACTGCATGGAGTAGGGGAGAGGCTAGGCTGGGCGGGTGCGTCGGAACTGGTTGAGAGGTGGATCAACCGAACGCAAATGGCTGGCAGTGAGCCAAGTCGCCTAGTCAGTGATGTCAGCTACTGTACATGGTACTAATCAAGCAGACAGGTCGAACTTACCTATAGGCATATGTCTACGTAGCATAACGTCCAGCTGGAAAGACACATGACATGCAAGGCTGTTCGACATCACGAGTGGCAGATATCGAACTTTGGGAATGCAACTCAATACAACACGATGAACAAAACCAGGAGATGTTGAGCTTACCTAACGAACAGCATGCATCCATCACTGCGACACAGTGGAAGCATGCCTCAACGGGATGGATCTACCATACCGTTGGAGACTCTACCTCAATCATCGAGGTTGAGGAGAGGGGAGGAAGGTAAGAGAACAAGAGAGCAAGTGACCATCCCTCAAGACATGCCCGATGGGCGCATGCAATGAAGGACATGGTAGTAGGAAGAAAACCATGGCGGGGACGGTGAAGAGAAGGAAGAGGCTACCGTGCTTCTTTTATACTTACTTGGAGGTGGCTGACAGTCCGGTGGAAGACACGCGCGTTGCACTCGTACGCTCCTGAGAGCTCCCCGCGGCGACCGAGCTCGATGCGGGCCTTAGTAGCCGTTGGCGCGAGGGAGGGGATGAACGGGCACGATGAAGAGAAGGCGTAGATACCGCATTGGAATACGGACCTTCATGGCAAATTTCAAGCAAACCATGCAAGTGTTGGTGTGTGAGTATGCTCTAGGTTCAATGTTACCTATAGGAGACCAAAAAGGCTACCTCGGAGAACTGAAATTAGTAACAGTTTTGGCCAAAGCATACATTACCTGGGGGTATAGTTCAGATTGAACAAGGTTTCGCCGAAAACAGACAGTCCAACCGAAGTCCGAACATTCACACTGTATTGCTACAGAAGGAAAAGAGCACATGAAAGCAACTATGAACAACTGAGAATGGAAAACACACGGGCGACCTCTACTGCTCTACTTCAATGTCACCATATGGCTTCGCCCTGAAGTAGCTCTCGTCAAAGTGGTGCACACGCACAAACCCGTCCTCTCCTCCGGAGGCGTAACAATCTCCTTTCGGTGATACAGCAATACTAATGAGTCGATACAAGAGCGTTAGAGGTTATGTCAAGAGTTAAAGATGTTGATGTGACGCACGTATTGACGGGACCGAAGTGACCCTTTACTCGGCCAACCTCCTCTTCGAAGATCTTATGCCAGAATCGAGTCTCGAACTTTCCTTGTCGCAGTGACGTCGTAGTGACGCTCATGGCATCTTGACCGCCACCAAGGAGAACCTGTACAATCCAGCGGTGAGGAGATGCTCTAGACAGGAACGCTATGCAAACATACATATGGCTTGCCAATTGCAAGGGCTGCGCTGTTCAGAGGAGTTTCGGTAGAGAAGGTCTTGATGACCATAAGTGTTCTCGTGTCGTGAATCTACATCCAGTCAATGTTAGCATTCCAAATCAACCTAGCGTCAGACTTGGCGCAAGCACTCACTCGTGCAGTCTTGTCCTTGCTGCTGGTAATGAAGTATGTCCTATCTGGGCTAAGTTGCAAGTCGGTGACAACATCCATATGTGCTCGTTCGTTATTCAAGACCTCCTCTCCAGTCTTGTAGTCAAATAACGCGACTTTGCCAGACTCGTGGCCGGTAATTATGAGGTTGGGAACATATGAGAAGGCGCAGACAACGGCTTTTGAGCCGATGGGGTTGAAGAAGGATATCGGTTCCTCTGATTCTACAAGCCGTCAATAAATCATACATTAGGGCCGTCATCTCGACTAGAGAATCAATATAGATGAGGACGCACGATCTGTACCATCACCTTCACGGTTTATTTTGAATACACGAATGGCACCCTGATGACCCATCCGTTGTTCTGTAATGCAGACAACTTGTTCATCGTCGTCGCTAAAAGCTACACGCTTAACGGCCGTAGGGAATTCCCATGAATAAAGGCACTTTCCGGTCTGCACAGACCAAAGACGCATAGTGTTGTCTGCTGAGCCGGAGACGAGGAATCTGGATTGGGCTGCATGATGTGAGGGGAAATGGAGATGGACAGAGTAGCAAGATCAACGTAACGTCAGTGAAGAAACCATGAGGATGCGTACAGTCAACGTCAATTGTCCAAACAGCTCCATTGTGATCCTCGTATGTTCCTAGTCGTTCTCCATTGTGGGTGTACCAAACATTGATGACAGAGTCTTTTGAAGCGGAGAAGAGTAGATCGCCCTCAGCGTTGAATTTGATCTGAGTGAGCGAACGCTCATGTCCTATAACAACCCAAATCATAAGTCACTCTTTTCGAGTATAATTTTATGAATCCATTTTCAGACCTTGGAGAAGAATGGGTCTCTAAAGGTTAAGATTGTTTGGGTCAGTCCTGATTCAGGAAACAGCGAGGCAAAGGCGTACCATTGTTGTACGTCAACACCAAAGGAAGTGGTAAGCTTTTGAAGAGAGAAGGAGATGAGTAAGGGTCGGTATGAGTCTGAGTGTCGCAGTCAACGTTGAGCTCAACGGCACCGATTTCGCAAGCAAGAAATTCCAAAGCGCGGCAAGTGCCGATTTATCGTCAGCACTGACTTTGGGCGCTTACAGCTTGCTCTTCTCGTCAGTAGTCTCTCGCTGCGCTCAACAAAATATTGTCGGCACCTTGGAGAATAAGCATTTTCATGCTTGCTTCACCGTTATCTACGCTTTCTGGGTTATAGACTTTCTACTGTCCTTACTCGATAGAGAATGCTAATGACCTGACTGGGGACACCGCGGATCATTTCCTCTTGCGAAAGGACATCTCATTTCAGCTTTTCAAAGTTCTTGTGACTCAGGACGCTACCTCTCTGGCTACTATTCTCTCTCGCTCTGGACCCTGCTGATCGCTTCAGATACCACGGTGAACTCTATCGCAATACTGCACAGGACAATCTTCAGGCGAAACGCCGGCTCGTGGTATAAATCTCGCCTTGCTTGTGTGCCGGCAAGACGTCTACACTCCCTTACTTCTATGGCACCTCCCGGAGTTCATGAGATGCGCCCTAAGCTAAGAGTCGCAGTAGTACAATTTACACCAAAAGTAAGCCTGACGAATAACGCGTCTCCAGTGTCGACGAGAGACCGCCATTCACTATTAATCAATATCAGATAGGTCAAGTGCAGGAAAATATTGCCAAAGCTTCCAAACTATGCAGCGAGTGTGTAACAGATGTTTTTGTCGTCTGTTGACAGTAATGAATTTGAGCACGAGGTGTTATGTAGACTTCGACCGAATTCCGTTGACTTGGTCTGCTTTCCGGAGATGATATTCACCGGTATGTTTCTTTTGAGTGCTATTGATAATGTTTGACGGTCTGACACTGGTTGATGTTTAGGTTATGTGTTCTCTGACTCAAAGCATATATCTCCGTTTCTCGAGGAGCCGATGCAGGGTCCTACCTCTCGATTTTGTGCGGAACTTGCGAAGCGGTTGCACTGTTATGTCATGGCAGGATATCCGGAACGTCTTGCGCCCCATGAAGTTCAAACGGTCACGATAGAGCATGGCCAAACAATCCAACAGGTCGGAGCAAATAGTGCAGTCGTGTACGATCCTCAGGGGAACTTCGTTGGGAATTATCGCAAGACAAACTTGTTCAAGACGGATATGCCATGGGCACGACCTGGTAAGTGCCTTATCTTCTCACTGGACGATCTCCGCATGTACGACCATTACGTTTTGATCCCAACCTAGGGACCGGATTTATGACCCTGCATCTGCCACCGCCTTTGAAGACCGTCTGTCTTGGAATCTGCATGGATCTAAATAGCCAACCCCCTGCAGAGTGGAGTCTAGTGGATGGGCCATACGAAATAGCAGACCATTGTGTTGAGCAAAATGTTGACGTCTTGATCTTGCTTAATGCGTGGTTGGACTCTGGGGAAGAGCCAGATGAACAGCGCGACTGGCACACATTAAACTATTGGGCCTTACGACTAAGACCTTTGTGGGTTGATCATGACAAGATATCATCCGACCAACAGGCTTTACACGTGCAGGCCAAGGAGACCGTTGCAATTATTTGCAATCGATCTGGTGAAGAAAATGGTAAGTGTAGCACTTGCTTGGTTCAGTGCTTTGTGCTTGTGTGAATGCCAATACTGATTCACATGATTTCTTGGGTGTTCCAGGCGAAACGTTCGCAGGCACGTCCGCCTTGTTTTCTCTTCCGTGGGGTTCTGGGCGGCCACGATTGCTACACGCCCTTGGGCGGCACACTGAGGGCATCGCCATTTGGGTAGTTTGACAATTCGCGGTTGCTGTGCAGATGTCGCACGACTGGCTTCAAAAGGGAACTTTCGGCCGTGGGCGGGAGTAGTTTTTGGTACAAGCGTAATGAGTACTGTATGTACTACCTGCTGGAGGAGCTCACCTCGGCTTGTAATTCCATTCATGCGAAACACTACATGTTATAAGAATGAATGCAACACGTTAGAAATTCGCCGACATGCTCAGTTCAGTAAGACAATGGCATGATGTGGGAAACAACACTAGGATAATGGCTGAGAGCTTGAGCGTCTCCAAGGAGTCCAAATTTAGGCAGGGCCATTTCATAGCAAGCTTTGCAGAGTCGATAAGGTGCTTTCTCCTCCTCCACTACCTCTCGTCTTGCCTCGCCAGATGGCGACCATGTCTCTTTTCTTTTTACTCCTATGTATACCGTCACTTTCCAACGCTCATTCTCCTGACTTCCGACGCATGCCACCAAACCCATTCTTGAGACGATCGAATGTACCGCCAGAAGGATACTACAACCCCTTGGACAAGGGTGGGAGCATGCTAACGGTATGGTCACTTAGGAGTAGTATCTTGGGGCCATACTGAAGGGTGTGCTTGAGTAGCAAGTGCCAGTGACGTTCCCTGCAGGACTTGGTGAACCGCTTAATGCCATCATTTCTGGCTTTTCCGATTCCGACGTGTTGAAGGATCAAGAGACAGATGGTGGTCTACGAAATTACTTCTTGTAAGTCATTTACTTCCGTTAACATACGTTTTAAACTTCTAAAATGTGATAGATCTTTTGGTTACTCGTCCGAATGTCTAGGCCAGCACCTTGGTGACGACCAAGCTGCAAACCTAGGGGATGGTAATGGAACCAGTACGTCAATGTCTGAACAGGATGTGTTTACTTCAGTTTATGAACCTTTTGAGCGCTTTGCAGAAAACGAAACCGCAGTCATTCGGTGGAATTATGGGGATCCTCAATTAGGTTCATGTAGAGAAACTATCGAAGGTGGTGGTCACTTTAGGTTTTGGGTGCAGGATGGAGATGACGCGGACAGGTTAGTCTGTTTCGGTTGTGGTTCTTACAAAAACTCATGCTTTGACTTGAAGTGGAGCACTATTCCTTGCTGTTTCGTATGAATTGCCTCTTTCCCGTGAGTGCGCGTCAAGCTTCCACAAGGATCCCTTCCGCTAACACTTGACTCAGTGCAGCACGATATTATTCCGAATGGGTGAGTAACAATCCAATCTCGAACATGTCTGCAGCTGAAGTTACATTGTACAATATTCAGGTATAACCTCGGAAGGTCTGTTGCTCGCTTCACCCGCTTTGTGGTGACAACGCTGACCACCTAATAGGGACTGGATGATTGGCAATGCCACGAGCCAAAGTTCGCTCATCCCTACGACAGAACTTACGAATGCCTCAACCTATTCTGGTCAGACATCGTTCGATGGTTACACTTATCAGACAGACGTGAAATACGTTTCTGGCCTCCTCTCCAATTCGAGTAATGGTATCAACCATTATCTCAGTGTTGGTACAAATGGAGCACCAGCAATAGATGGTCTCATTGCTGTGATGCAGGTCAAGATTGTCTCGAGACCTGAGAAGTCATCGTACGTGTGTCTTTGCCTTGTGACGTCTACTCGCGAACTCATGCAATCAATGGTCTGTACAGGACAATCCGAATATCACCACCTCAGTCATTACGCCTTCTCTCATGTCTGTATGCCCTGGTGGCTGTGGCTCCCCTCCTCTCGCTATCGCTATAACACAATAGAACTTCCCACGGACAACACATTCTATACTACAACATTCTCACTTCACGCATTCGGAGTTAATGCCTTTTGGATCCTAGACTACGGACACTTTCTGCCGTGATTCAATATTCAAAGTTGATCGAAGTTGTACATACCCAAGGCTTTGGATGCTTGTTTCACCCCATCACTTCCTTTCCCAAGCCTCGCGACCCCGACTTTTGACTTACCTGTTTATCGCTGTTGCTTTCATTTATGCTCTTTAGCTTGTATTTTATGTGTCAGACCCACTCGTTTGCCTTGGTATAGGACACCATCTTTACGACAATTCATGACGTTTTGCGCATTCTTTTGCGTGTTGTCACGTCCGCGATGCTGAGCAAATGTTCGTATTGCTCTATACATGTGCGAATGATCCGCATCATGTTGAATACTACACACACAAACACCTACAACACGAAAAGGAAAGGGTATTAACAAACGAAGAATGAGGAAATCAAGAAGCTATGAACAGAAAAAAAGTATGTACAGTACGTATGTAGACGCGTGTAGAACACAAAGGGGTAAGCAACTAGCAGCGAATCATGTACAGGTTAAATTAGCATTACAACGGTAAGACAGGAAGCAAGACATTACAATGGATGATCGCAGATGAAGAGTTAAGATCCAATGGATATCGTCGAGCAATCAACTAGAAAACTGACTAAACGAAACAACACTGGTGTTAGCCAGAGAGAGAGAAAAACAGTGAAAAAGCGATAAAGGTGGAAGTGGGTATATACAGTTTCATTTCTGGGTAGAAATGTATACGAGGGTCTGGGTACGATGTGTACTGCAAGCACATCATAGTCCATGTGTTACACAATCGCGCTGATGAACAAGAACCATGATCAGATAGGACTCCCACAAACATCAGAACAACGAACCTCCGTAACGAGGCCATTTCTCAGGAGTTAGTCCTAAACCGCCTGTCCTATAATACTCTCTCGGACAGGTTTAGCACCAGCATAACTGCTGAGCCGCTTAGCTGCAAGGAAAGCAGGAAGGTCCTCATCCGGCATGCGCAAACAATCGATAGGGAACAGTCCTCGTCTGCCATCGCCGACCTGTTCCCCATACGCCCATCCATCATCAAACCTCTTTCGCACGCGGACCTCTTCACCAGGTGTCACGGCCATCTCATCATCTAGGGTAGGCACAAATGGCCGTCTGATGATCTCGATTTCGGCGAAATGTTCTGCATTGTCAGAATCGGCCGTGATATGAGTTTCTACGCTGGTGAAATCCGCGAACGGATTCTCCACGCTGTAGAACTCATCGTCGGTCGACTGTCGCGAACGGGCCGTTTCTGCTCGGATAGTTGATTGAGAACGATTGACCGAGAGCATTGCCTGAGACTGACGGCGCAGGTCATCTTTGGGAGGTGTTGGGAATGACCAGGATTCTGTAGGTGAGAAAGGTCGCACGGATATAGGAGAAGGTATAGGACCCTCAGATAAGACACCACCCTTGAGGGTCGCGCTCTCCGGAACAGCAAGGTACTGGGAAAGCTCAGAATGAGACCTTGTGGGTGACGACAAGGCTGAATGCAAACTGCCGTCGCTATCAGTCAGGCTCGTACGGATTACGGGTGTCTGAGATCGCTGTGAGGTGGCGGCCGGCGACGGTACAGTGATTGACACTGAATGAACAGATGTGTTTCTGAGAGCCATTTCTGGGTTGGGCGGTGAAGTCGGTGCGAGAGGTGGCCATGGGACGTTGAAAGGATCAGTGTCGGATGTCGGTCTGAATGGCCCACCACGATCGAAGTTGGTACCGAAACTACTTCGATGCGACAGACGTGCATTGGCGAAGTATTGGTCATTGCTGATCGGAGTGGTACAATAATCGTTTCCGTTCCGGGACCACCATTGTCGGCGGGCGGTACGCTTCGATCGCGAGCATTTACGTGCAATGAGAAAGAAGAACAGAATTGCTAGCAAAGCAGCAACTACCGCAATCGCAATTATTGCACCTTTGGAGAGACCATGATGTGCGGATGGCCCATTAGGAGAGCCAGAGCCAGGGTCAGTGCTACCATTGCCATCACCTGAACCTCCCAGACCATGAGTTGAACCTGAATCCGAATCCGAACCTGAACCAGGCGAGCCATTTCCACGTGAAGGGTCAGAGTGGCTGCCAGATGGCTGAGATTCTGGCCACGAAGTTAATGACCCTGCGAAATCTACAATGTCAGAACTACCAGATACATCATCAGGTGGGTCCTGAACATTAACTGCTGCTTGGAATGAAGGGACCGCAGTTGGGCGAGTGGAGCCAGTTTGACTATCGTCGTTACCACTGTTGCTGGAACCGAACGACGACGAACCCGAAGAACCCGATGGATTGGGTGGAAAATTCCCTGAGGTCGGACTTGACCCAGAAAGTGAAGAACCATTCTCGTTGTTAGCGCCGTTATTGTCGCTGGGTGTGGAAGGGCTGCTAGGAGGAGCAATCGGCCCTCCATTGTTGTCATTGTCGCTGCTTCCTGCGCCGCCGTTGTTGCTGCTTCCATTACTCCCGTTGTTTGACCCATTGCCACCTGAATTTCCATTTCCACCTCCACTGCTGCCACCGGTATCATTTCCGCCACCTGACTGATTCCCTCCAGAATTTGACGGCGGCGAACTTGGCGGTGGTTGTTGAGGTACAGGAGACGGCGAAGGAGACGGCGAAGGTGCAGGCGCGGGAGCAGGCGTAGGAGTAGGAGAGGGAGAAGGAGAGGGAGAAGGAGAAGGAGAAGGATTAGGCGTCGGAGCTTGAGTAGTGGGTGCAGGCGTATTCGTATGTGGAGGGCCTCCAATTAAGGGAGTCACGATGGGTGCCAGCAACGGTCCAACAATGGGCAATGTTGGAAGGTCTACCGGTAGCTCGATGAGAGGTGCTGAGGGATTTCCAAGATTGATCTTTATGAGAGGGTCGCCTCGCTCTTCCAGCCGTTTTGCATGAAGTCGTCGCATTTTCATGGGACTTGAATCGTGCATAGTCGCACGCGTGTTATGTTATCAACTCTGAATCGATCAAGAGCGAATGTTGAATCAAAGGAGTGTGAGGGCGTCGTTTCAACGACGACAGAAAATGAAGGGATGCGGGGAAGAAAGAGAGCAACCGCCTCAGCAGCGTCGAGCAAGAAGAGTCCTGGAGTACAAGGTCGCCATCAGATGAGAGCTCAAGCTCATGGAGAACCTGGAAGCAAAGCATGCACCATAATAGCGAGCGCCACCCTGCTGGCGCTTACCGGACCCGGTATATTGGATCAACGTTCAGCAATCAGTGATCTCTCCTCAAAACACATTCCTCTACGCAGAAATCATTCAAGTTGCTCACGATGGATTGTGTCGTTAAGGTCAAGGCTACTTGACAAATGACAGGCGTGGATGTGTTGCATAGTCTCTGTGGGAAGGTCCCACTATCGACAAAGGTGAGTGAGCGTTCACCCATCGTCGAAATAGAACCCGACGTGTCTCATTCACACGATCGGAGAATACTCGTAGAGGCAATTGAAAAACGCTTGGGGCCAAGAGTTTCTACTGTTCCCAGGTGTCGACGCAGTCCCTCCAGACAAAGTGACCAGGAAACGGGCAATCCCGCCATCCACGACGATGCAACGCGTGGACGGAATTCATGTGGTGAAAATGTCGGGGGAACACGTCAACTCATGACCTGCGCCAGACGTTAACAGGGCTTGACGTTGGATCTGATGATGAGAATAAGGAAGATGAATATTCAATGTTGTATCACGAGAAGCGTTGCTTGGTGATTTGTGGAGTACGTTCTCCTTGCTTGACAGTCGGCAACGCTCAGCCGAGACATGTCCTCGGTGAAGTCGGTAGGACACTTTGAAATAGTGCTTTGCACAATCCTTCAAGTAGCCAGATAAGAGGTGAATGAACTCACACCACCATAATGCAATCTTGCACAGTTCCGGAAACGTTTGCAATGACATATGTGTCATGAATGCTTCTGCGTTGGTGACAGGGCGCGCACCATACAGTCGGGACGAGAGGTGAGAAGAGAATATCGTGTGTGTCCATTCGGGTGCAATACTCAGCACCGAGGAATGTGTCGTGATATTCGCATTAAATTGCCATATTTCGTGGAGAAATTAGGACGTACACGCCGATGCGCTGATCTTCAAATAACTCCAAGTAAACAAGGTGTGACCATTCTACGGTTTGTGAAAACTCCGTCAGTACTTGAACGCAGATACCTATGAACTCACTTGAACCAGGGGCCCTGACGATGATCAAGAGCAAGAATAGTCCGTTTGTTACGCTACCGAATCCATAGCCTTTGGACAACCACCAGAGGATCTCCCGAGTTGTTGATATATCATGTTCTGTGACACATAGAATCCATTTCAAGGCGTATACAGTAACTGACGACTGGTACCTGCGCACCATGTGTGAGTGCATGCCCGCCAGTTGTCTCGTCCTTTGCACTTGTTGACTTGAACCTTTCTTTGAATGTAGCCGCCGCAGATCGAGGGCATATGCACTGTAAGGTTCGTCAAACATAGGACGGGATGGTCCATTTGTCAAACAGCCAGGACGTAAGAGATAAAAGGTTTGAACTATACGGTGAAGTCAACACACACCTTTGAGGAGGCGGACATCAATTAGGCACATTGATGTTATTGGCGGTCGCAAGGTTTGTTGGCAGAGGGGTGTATATAGGTATGAAGATCATATGACGATGTCATTCGAGGACACGCGCCGATGTGAGAATGGCCAATGACACATCTTGCGCATCTTCATACCGTGATGAGAACGCTGTTCCTGATACAAGATTAGGACAGGGACTGGGCATGTACGATACCTTGAGGGTTGACCAGAGCTCTTGAAACGGTGGATCCACGCAAACGTATGAGAAGCCGGTAAGAGAATCGGTACATTGGATCCCACAGCTACCGATGAGGCACCTCATAGGAAGCCGGAGATCTATGCAAACCTAACAAACGCCGTGCTATATCGGACAATCAACCTTTCACTCAGTGAAAGCAACTAACTCCTTCAGGTCTTCTGTGCCCCTTGTTCTCTGCGCAGCTGAATAACTGACAAGCAATACAATCCTAAAGAAACGCTTTGAGAGACAATTGAGCCACGAGACTTAATGAACGGAAAACTCGTGATCGTACCTTGAGAAAGCGTAGGTTGTACAGCGTTGAGTCCGAGATTCACGCCGATCCTTCGTTGCCGTACTAATCGACCTGACTATCACGATCGAAGACAGTCGATTGGAAAGGGCTGTCTCCGAGTGTCAAGTCATTTATAGAATATATGGAGAATCCCCGTGGCTAGAGTTTGAACACCAAAAGTGACCTGTAGATCGTCAGATGACCCGCTAACAATCACAGGCGAGCAGTGCAGTGCCGCTAGCAAATTCAACGGCTTTCATGTAAGTCGAGCTCCACAACTTCGATTACTTGATCGATGGATGCTCTTTGCGCAAAAGGCAAGGAAGTTTAGACTCCATGTCATCTCCGTAATTGTATTGTTGGCCGTTGAAGGCAAGTGGTTAGACTACAGAAATACGTCCGTTGAAGGCTTCTTCGAGCTCACGAGTCAGGTGGGGTGACCTGAATCGAGCGAACGTGAGCAATGTACTACACCGGCCTTCCAAATGAAGTCACCGAATGCACGCACCTGAGCACCTTTCGCCCATACTCAGATCGATTGTATATCTCATGCAAGCTAGAGAGACACATGTGCGATCTCAGGAACACGTACGAGTAAGAGAAGCTCAGGATTAGCTGCGGGCACATGACTTGAGAAAGACGACTTGATGCACGGTTTGAGTGCCCTAAGAAATGCAAAAGTACCTCGCTTCTATCATATGATTACATTAATGGCCTCAGGAGAGCTATCTTGTGCGCCAAGGACTCGAACGTGTAAGTCCTGTGAACCAATACTCGTTAGTAGGATTGTCATAACGCCGGCCCCTCGAAACTCCATGTAGTCCGAGAGTAGTCGGCGGTAAGCTGGCATCAACTTGTGTACAAATCAACAAAAAAAAGTACAAATCAAGGTACAATCTGGCGGAGTCGTGACCAACGGGCAATCTTACCAAAGACTGATACTGTACATACATGCAATCCCGGGTGTTATTTGTATAGGAGATAACTCACCTTTCCATCCGAACACACATTCATTTTGATATATCCCTATCTCCTTGGTACCCCACCATCGTTCATGATAGGGATTTGCACCGCCGTGTATAAGCGGATACCCTAACACGTTGTACATTGATACTCTAGCTCTCCAGAACCACAATCTTTTCCTTGACAGCGTCTTCGGATAGTAGAAATGTCCGGTCATGGCTGGAATACTAGACTTCGTAGAACAACCACTGACAGAGACATTGAAATTGACATCTTCAGCTAATGGTGGTGATCAAGGATGTCGTTGACGCTTAGCTTTCAGATCGAGGCGCTCGGTCATTCGTTCTCAACGTCCGACAGTCGAGCCACTCGTTCAGTGTTAACCTTAACTGTTCGACGTCCAACACCTGAACGGCATAGGTGGCTCTCGTTTCATGACGCACTCAGTATTCTTTCAGAACGTGTTGCTATCGCTCGATAAGCCTTATCTTCATTCACGACTCATTCAAGTCCGACGTTTAAAATTCAGGAAGGCGAGCATTTGACATGAAGATCTCTGGAGATGGAGTGTTTATTTCCGTACGTCTGCCCATATCCGACCCGTTGGTGTCAACCTTCCTCCGACTCAACTCGTATCAAAAGCAGCGTGATCAGCTAACTTAGCCACTGGAATTGCAAGACATCTTTAGGGTGCATTCATAAATGCGAGTGGCGACCCTATTATGGTCGCAAACTTAGATGAACAATCTTCGGTGTCCTTTGTGGTACTCACCCGTGGCAATGCACAAATGCACCCTAAGGCGCAAGTATTATTTGTCTGACGTCGTATTGATCACTTCCGTTACCGATGCATCAGAATCAGAAGTTCATTGTATGTTTTGAGGGTACAACACCCGAACAAGGCAACACAAAAAGTTGTAAGTGGCAGCCAGGTGGCAACATTCACACTGTTTGGTGGAGTAGCTTGTATTCTTTCAATCGCCGATTAGGCTAACACTCCAACCGTCGTAAAGCATATCACCAGAAGATTTTTTACTGGAGCAGTCACTAGAAGGGTAAACACATGAAGCACCTTTTTCCTTCTTCGGTATGGCAATTTTCTGTATGTTGCAATTCATTCAAGCACACCCGGTGCCGTTCGGGGTGCAACAACGAGAGGCTTGGTTACCGCCAGGGACGACGGCATTACCAAATATGGTCCAATTCCAAATTACTATGCCCGCCACGGCGGCGCTCCCCCCAACACGTCGCCCCCGTAACCGAGCGAAGCATTTACATCAAGCGCCCCCGATTTGCCTTTTTGGGAATCGATGCCCAGTGATCTGACCGACTTTCTCAATGGGCAATGCTTGGGTGAACGCGTGCATCTGGGGTGCATTCTCCATCACGCCCAGGAAGCATATCTTGTGTCAACTCATTCCGTTAGAATCTGTTGCCATTTGGATTGCCGAGACGATTCCAACACGCCACTTCAAAGCATTTTATTGCTCGCCTCTCCCAAAGTGCACGCTGACCGTTGGTGTTCACGCGTTGAGGTCGTTCAGCGAGACGGGTTCGAAAATTGTCAATTTTCTTCAAATTTAGCTGTGCACTGCCAATGAAGGCTTTGTGGCGCCACCAAAAACTTCCTCGCGACCGTTGGGTTTTTTTGGCTCCGCAGTTGCCCGAACAGGATGCCGCCTGCCAGCCGACGACTCTGCTTAGCCACCTGCCTATTCGAGGTGATGATGCCCCCTTTCCAGCAACTTTGCTACGGTTTGCTTGCGCGCGGATGGGAAGGCATGGGTTCACCCCATTCATCATTTAGATGCCGGCAACAGAAGTCTTGAAGCATGTACAGCCAAGGAACGGCTTAGGTTTCAGAACTTCTTATCTTTCTCATTACGCGATGTATCGACGCCGCCAACCTCGTAAGGGAGGCGCTACTTAGCGCCGCGTTTGAACCATGGATCGTTATCTTGCCTTCCGAGGGCTCGGGACGCGTTAACATCGTTGACAAAACGCCGTCCACCGCCCCACCTTGACCACAAAGGGATGTCAACCAGATTTGTTGCCGAGGGCCACCCCTTGACGTCAGCCGCACTTCAAAACATATATAAGGCCTTCCAAATGTTTTCACTTTTCCTCACCAGCCCAGGCATCGTCCTACATACCTATCTCCTACACAAAACACTCAGGCTCTGCCACTGCTAGTTTTCACTCCACTCTTAACGTTTGACAATTCCATTGTTTTCTTGCGCCAAGATGTCCTCTCAAACTAAGACTTTCTCTGCCGACGCCGTCCTCTTCGACATGGTAAGTTTTTCCAACATCTGCCATGTAGTGTATTGTTGTTACTAATCCATCACTCTCAGGACGGTACACTCACCGATTCTATCGCTGCCGTTGAGGCTGCGTGGGGCAAAGTAGCTACCGACATCGGGCAGGACCCGGCGTATGTTATCGCTGCTACTCACGGCAAGCGCGCCGTGGACAACCTCTCGCAGTTCAAACCCCATATCAAGGAGCACGAGATGGACGATGAGGTCCAGAGGTTTGAAGAGTCTATTCTCTTCTTCGCCGACGCGTACAACGTGCACGGTCCTGGCTCTCGTACCAACTCCCTTCATAATTCACCCTTCTCATCCGAGTTTGGCACACCCGCACTTACACCCGCGAGCTCGGCACCTTCGTCGCGTTCGGGTTCGCGTGCGTCATCTTTCGTCGGATCTCTCCAACAACTTGCGGCTATCCGTCGTCCTTCCTTCCTCTCCCGTCTCACGGGTGTGCTCACGATGTCCGCACTCCCTGAGCGTGATGCTGTCACATTCGACGACCCCGTTATGGAGGAGCAACACCAGGACTTCGTTGCTTCCGAGGAGAAAAAGTTGCAGAAAGATCAACTTGCGGCATGGCAGCTTGAGGCTGCAGCCGTTGATCGCTCTGTGCAAATCCTTCCTGGTGTGAAGCGGATGATTTCTTCAATCCCTGAGGGACGATATGCCGTCGCTACTTCTGGCGCGAAGACTTATGGTAAGTTTCAACTCTATGATGTTACGTGTTGAACTTTGATTCTGACCTTCCTCCTTTACAGCATACGGTTGCATGACTCGTGTCGGCATTACCCCACCACCAGTCACCATCACTGCTGACGACAAGCGATTGAAGGCCGGCAAGCCTGCTCCCGACCCCTTCCTGCTCGCCGCCAAGTGCCTCGGTTTTGATGCGAAGAAGTGCGTTGTCTTCGAGGATTCACCATCGGGTATTCGCGCTGGTGTTGCCTCCGGTGCCACAGTCATTGCTGTCTGCACGAGCCACGAGCGCAGCAAGATCGAGAACTGCGGTGCGCACTTCATCATCGACAACATGGAGCAGGTTGTTTGCGAGCCGGTCGGTGAGGGAGAGAACGTGCAGTTGAAGTTCACGATTCTCCAGTAAATTACTTCGTCCCTTCGCCCTTGTAGCCTTAGCACTCGATACCACTTCCTCCTAGTCTTTTGTCATATGCTTTCGCTTCGTACCCTCGCGTTGTCTGTACTATAGCTCGCTTGTTTCGCAATCATTCAATGCCTTTCATTGACTCTCGAGTGAGTTTGTGCCTAAGAACCTTGTAACTTACGTGAGATACATGTGATCGTGTTGCTGAGTCAACGCGACGCGACTCATTAGTGCTTCCGCGTCCGGTTGCGCGTTTATAACAACCAGTCTGGATCACTTTCCTCACATACACTCTTGACAGAAGGTTTGATTTGATCACCCTCCTTCTCGGGGCTGGTCACTCAATACGACACGATTTCAACAGAAGAAGTCTGAATCCAAGCTGTAGCGGTCATTCACCAATCCTCTCGATTCGTAGGGTCTCCCGGGACTTGGAAGACTCCTCACTCCACTGCAAAAACATTAGGACGCTTTGCGCGTAACTAGAATGGCTACTCCGACGTACACCGAGAACACCTCAGTTGCAGATGCTGACAGTGATGATGACTTCGACTGGGAGGAGGTTGACGTCCCACAGCACGACCAAACCGTAGACCTGTCTGTAGGAGATCATACACAAGACGGCCCGTCCAGTCTAGCTCGCCCGAATATTGAGATTACCATTCAAACGAAGCCTAAGAAGGACGAGGAAGCAAAGTACGTACTCATAAATGATTCTCCCATCGTGTGGCTGACCGCGTGTAGGAAGAGAACTGCTCAGATCCAAGCCGAGCGTGTTGCGCGTTTGCATTGTCATCAGATGCATACCATAGCATTGATAGGAAATGCCCGTATTCGGAATACGTGGATCAACGATGAACTATTACATGTGCGTTGTAAATATTGAGTTCAGTTATCTATAGCTTATCGAGGATGTATACAGGCTAGACTATTATCGCTTACACCTTTAGCTATCCAAAATTCCTTTGCTATGATTCACAAGTCGCGTGTGCCCGAAGCCGCCAAGCGAGGCCGACTGTTCGAGTCTGCCATAGGCCGTTTAGTCGAATGGTGGACTGAGTTCTTCGAAGTTGAAGCTACAGGCCATATTCGAAATCGTACCTTTGAAGAGGTACAAAGAAAAACTGCCACTATGAATGACCCAAAAGGCAAGGGTCGTGCTATCGACTTGGACGATGAGGAAGATGCCGAAATCATACGGAGCCCGAAAAGTCTTATGAAACACGCACTTATGCGACGAGGGTCCAGAGACGTTAGTGCACAACTATTCACAGCGCTGTGCAGAGCCCTACGAATCCCAGCCAGACTTGTCGTTAGTTTGCAGAGCGTCCCATGGAAAGCTAGCGTCGGTAAACCGAAACCTCCAAGCAAGAAAAAGAAGACACCACTCAAGGGTAAAGGCAAGGAGGTCAGCAAAGATGAAGAAGAGCCAGAAGAAGACGATGACATGGAGATGGAGGAAGTCAGCATACCTGGCTCACCAGCACCGAGAGCAAATGGCAAAGGTAAAGCAAAGGCATTCCCTGGTGATGGATTACGTGTAGATGGTCGCGAGACTCCCCCATCTGCCCAGGGAAAAGCTAAAGCTCCTCCTGTTATCAACTTACGGAAGAGTAAAGGTCAACGATTAGGTTCGGCACCCGTTGAGCAACGTCGGAGTGAGTATACGACTTTCAGTTAGCTTCTGCACACGGCGAGGCTAATTGATGCTGTAATTTCAGGAGAGCGAACTCCCGATCCCACAACGACACCTCCTGTCTTCTGGACGGAAGTGTTTTCTCGCGCAGATGGTCGCTGGTTACCCGTTGATCCAATACGTGCCATCGTCAACAAACGCAAAGCATTCGATCCTACGCCAAATCCAAATGCAGCGATTAAACCTGAGCGAAATGTGAGGGTTGAGAACCGCATGGTCTATGTGGTTGCCTTCGAAGAGGATGGCTATGCCCGCGACGTCACGCCTCGTTATGCTCGAGAGTTTGGTGCAAAGGTTGCGAAGATACAACAAGGAGGAAAAGGTCGCAAACAGTGGTGGGAGCGTATCATGTCGACGATCCATCGACCGTATCGTTTGGTGAGTTTGTGTCATTTGTTAAGAACAACTTCATGCTTCATATTTGCATCAGAATCGAGACGACGTGGAGGAAGAGGAACTTCACATAAATCAAATGATGGAACACATGCCTACATCAATGATTGGTTTCAAGGATCATCCATTGTCAGTGCTTATGCACATACAGATGTAAGATGTCGAATGGAATTGACGCAGTTCTACTCTAGATACGTCCTTGCTAGACATTTAAAGCGAGATGAAGTGATCCATCCCTTGACAGAGATAGGCAAATTCCGAGGAGAACCAGTCTATCCCAGGTCTAACGTCCTCTCCCTCAAGACAGCCGAGAATTGGATGCGACAAGGACGAAAGGTCCGCGAAGGCTGTCAACCGATGAAGTGGGTGAAACAACGCGCAGTAACCGTGAACAAACAACGCGCGATCGAAATGGCTATGGCGGACCGTTTGGAAGTGGCTGGTGAAGGCAGCGAGGGATTCGGTGCCGAGAAAGATATCATGCAGGGACTTTATGCTGAGAATCAGACCGAGCTCTACATACCTGAGCCAGTTGTCAATGTCAGTGGATGTCCCTTGTCTGATGATCCATTTGATAAAGTAACATCTTCGGAATTGCAGGGCAAGATACCCAAGAATGATTTCGGTAACATTGACCTGTACGTCCCGACCATGTTACCGGCCGGGGCAGCATATATTCCTCGTAAGACTATTTGTTTTTCATTGGGGGCATTCAAAGTTGGCCGCACCCCGTAGCGCGCACCCCCGTAGCATCGGCAAATTCCAGTGTGCTACGGGGGTGCGTGCTGCGGTGTGCATCCAACTTTGAACCCCTCCCTAATATTATTCCGATCTCTAGCTCACATTTCAATCAGACAAGGGCGCAGCTAAGATTGCAAGGCAACTGGGTTTTGATTATGCGGAGGCTGTCGTAAGTTCTACGATTTACTGAATCCATGCAGAAATCTCACTTGAGTACTTGACCGCTAGACTGGTTTTGAATTCAAGAAACGACGTGCTTTCCCCGTCATCACTGGTATCGTTGTGGCAGCTGAGAACGAAGACGCCGTGCTTGAGGCCTACCGGGAGGCTGAACAGGAGGCGGAGAAGAAACGTCAAGCTAAGCGTCAGGACCGTGTCCTCAAACGGTGGACTCGTCTCATTCAAGGTTTGCGTATCCGGCAACGGCTACAAGAACAGTACGCAGACCGGGAACCGCAAGCAACAACCGAAGGCGAGAAGCCGATTGAAGAAGCGGATGAAGAGGTGAGTCAACCATGGAAGCTGAAGGTCTTTGATGGAATTGAAAGAAAGAAAAATAGCATGTACCAGCTGCTGGTGGCTTCCTCACCAGTGCGGACGACGTCGTACAGCCGTATTCGTTGCCTCGCAGTGTATACGCTGCACCGAAGTCACCATCACCATCATCGTTGCAACCGCCCAGTGCCGCCGACAACGTCCAGGAACATGCCGGTCCATCTAATGGCGTACCATTATCCCTGGAAGAAATCCCAGATAGCGAAGGCGAGGAAGAGCTGGAAGTAGTTCCCATACCCAACGGCGGAGCAGCTATTGGTGGAGTACCAATGTCGATGCGTGAACTGGCCGAGGCCGCTGAACGTCAACCGAAAGAGGCACCGCTCGTCGACGAGGTCGAATATTTCCCTTCACCTCCACCTCCATCTGTTGCTCAACGTGCTCTCGAAAAGGCCAGCGGGAAGAGTACTCCCAGAAGCAGAGCACGTACTCGTAGCGGCACTAGCACTCCTCGTTCTGCCAAGACAGCAAAGGAGAAGACGCCTCAAAAGTCTCGCAAACGGACTAGAGAGGACGTTGAATCAGATGTGGAGACAGATGAGGTGCAAGATGTCGTGCCTACGCCATCGAAACGGACACGAGTAAAACCGGCTCCACCGCCGGTGGTGAAATCTGATCGAGTGCTCCGTGCTCGAAAGGGGAAGAGTGAAAGCATGTTAGCGGAGGAAAGGGAGTTGGAGGAGGCATACCGGAAGGCTGTAGCAGAGTGACTCCTGTGCCTTTTCATCTCCGTCCCTGTATACCAAGTTTGTATGTTATACAATATCATATCTACCCACACTAGTACTCTAGACGTATGTTCAGCTACTATACACACCATTTAATGTACCCTTTCGTAGACGGACTAAACGGTATCCTATGAGGCGGCGTCCAATGCCTGTGTCATGAGGTTGCGGGTGTAACCTCTGCTTCAGGTGTAGGCTCCGTTGTAGGCGACTCCATGTTGGTAGAAGCTTCCGCGATCGCTGAGGCAGGAAGCAAAATTGCGAACGTCAGGTAGGACGTGTGTCCTCGGACTTCTGGGAAGGCTTTTGAAACACTCGGTTTCGAGGGCGGCAAACCCGATTCCGGAGTCTCCTCTTTTACGACATGAGCGGTGAGGTTTTGACCATCAGTTCCTGGCCCGGCACCTGCGTCTGATGTTGTTGTCACGGCGTTTGCTCTACGTGCTGTCGTTGGTTGTTCAGTGAGGGTTGCATCCAACTCCTGTGTTACAGACACTTCCGTCCTGACCCTCTTACCAGAACCATCTACTTCATCTGCGTGTCGCTTTTCTGCTGATTGGTCCTCAGCGCTGTCCTCTGTCTCTTCGCGTTTGCGCTTGTCTCCTCTTGAGCGGGAATTTGCAATCTGTCGAAGACGCTTTGCCTCGCGGCGTGCCTCCATTTCCTTCAGTTGGTTGCCGATGGTGCTGACGGTAGGCAGTGGCGGGGTCACGTCGACTTGGTGGGGGCGGATTAATGTTTCGTACATGGTGATTTCTGATAACATGAGAAAAATAGGTCGAGATAGGTCGCGGAGAAACGTAAACATTAACATTACTTCCAAGAGCGTCCGACAGATCGGCGGAGGACTCACCAGTGAAGCCGGCATCATTCAGAGCGATGATAGTCCGCTGGACTTGTTCCATACATGGGCTGAAGCAACATATCCGCGTAGCGCGATCCTTCTACAGAATGATCGTTGATGTGTCAAATTTTGAACTAACTTCATACTACAGTACTCACGCGAAGGGCCTTCTTGGCATGTTCAACGGCGTCCCAGGGTGCAGGCAAATCCAAAAATACTGCAAAGAAACAATATATCAGGTTTTCAACTCATCTTCGTAGAATGCATGAGGGGGCAACGCCACCTGAGTCTACAGTATCCACCACTGTGAATCCCTCCTTGCAAACGTTCCGGTGTGTTAACGTAACAATCTCATCCATACCATGGCTGGAGAATTCTTCTCTGTCAAAAGAAATAACATTCAGCACAAGCATTGCAGAAGTAGAAACGAGCGCGATGCGTGACCGGTGTACATCCAAAACACCTCCGAAGCGAGAGCGATCCGGAGCCGCCAATGATAGCTTTTTGGGCATTGCCAATTGACAAGATCAGATCGCTCTCGAAGTCGTCAAACTGGCTCCCCGGCAAAAGCCACGAGGGCTCAGATCCAAAAAGCCGCACTGATCTTGAGCGAAAATCGTAGCGCAAGATACCGACGCGAATCTCTACATGTCAATAGGCCGGGAACTACAAGAACTGCCATTTTTGGAAAAGAGTGGCGATGGGGGTCGTTCATTGGCTGGGATCCTTACCTGGCTTTGTTGGCACGCGCCTCGTGGAATTCATACGACCACAGGTGACCAGTTGGGCCAACAGTGCGTGCGGTGGAATGAGAGAATGAACCTGAACCGGTACCTGGGAGCAAATAATGGTGTGAGTGAATTTAATCAGATGCCGAGACAGACGCTTGGCAGTAGGAACGTGCAAATAAATGTGCACACGGGCAGATACGCAGCTGAACGGTTGCGAGGAGAAACATTCAAAATGTCCGCGGGAGCCACAAAAAGAGTAGCATAACTACTCAAAGGAAAACATACGCCGGGCGTCGGAACGAGAAACATTGTCACCGAAATGAAACACAAGCCGCTACTCGGGTGGTGGGCTATTGGCCCTGCCAGCAAACATACGTGCAAAATTTTCAAGAGGCAAAGGAATAGAACTGACGCAGATGATGACGTACCGGCTTCAATTACATGACTCCCTGGCTTGATGTCTAGCCAGGAAGTGATGAAGGCGATATCCGCCAGATAGAGAATCTGTGTTCGGTGAGGCAGAGCAAGTGTCCACAACTCTGGTGTTGGCCGCAGAAGATGAATAAAGCCTTTGCCATTTCGAGAGCCAATTTTTGAACCGTAAGGAACACCAATCAGCTCCGCATGGCGATATACGCCGAACCTGGTGTTTAGCTCTTTTCCCGAGGAGATGGCAAGCGGTTGGACAAGATCACGGGTCTAATCAGATGATGACCGTCAGAAATGTATGTACAAAGATGACAAAGAACATCCGGGATGCCGTCCGCAGGAACACTGTTGATAATACGACATACACATGCACTTCCAGCAAAAAAAAAAGAACTCACCATCCAGACAATTACAAGGTCGCCTTCTGCGATCTCACGAGCAGTCGACCACATGCTGTTTGGTCCCAGTGGAAGCTTGAATCCGAACGTAGAAGCAGAAATTTTCAAAGCCTACGTCCAGCTGAACGTTTGAACGTCAACAGAAGACGAAGCTGCAGTCCTCAAGACGCTCAGCAAGTTTATTGGAAGTCACTGATAACTCGTGGGAAGATCCAATGCGCAAGCGATCTATACTCTATCCGAAGACGCTCGTACCACTGGACTGGATTGCTCGCCAACTTCGGAAACTCTCCTGCGTGGACCGAGCTTCCAACGTCAAGAACACGAACATTCTGGTCTTACTCTATATCTTTTTGCAACGCAGAATCCGTTTGAGTTGTGCGTTGAGCTGAGTGAGTGAAAACAAATTGTGCGTCAAGTGAGATGTATGGTCTGCTTTACCGAGATCTCGATGCCTTGTATAGGCATGGCGCAGGTACTGCAACAACACAGTACATAATGCGGTATCGATGTGTTTTCCCGCAATTTGTCCTTCCTTTGCAGGTATTTTTCTTGACACGAGCTTCTACCGTACTTTCGCATACCCTACAGGCTTCATTTCTGTCAGAAGTATAAAGCCAGCTGGAGCTGCTGTCATTCCGGGTCGAGACACCCCTTCTGTTCTCTGCCTAACCTGCTTCTCTTTGCCACACCCTGTCCCCCCGCCGCTGTAGAGTGCCCCATTCATTCGCCTTCTTCTCACCTCTCGACCGACTTTTCCGCCCTCCGCCGACGATGGACTCGGTTTCCTCCCATGTCTCCTTCAGTGCGTTCTTCTCGGTGTCGGACATCATGATCGAGCTGAATGGTCTTGATGTATAGTCGGGATTGTAGATTTCACAGAAGATGTAGGGCATGCGCCACCCTGCAATGCGATCTGGCTGAACGCCTTCTCTTTCCACAGGCACGTTGGGTTTATGCTTCAGAATCTGTCCAGGATCTGCTAGGTACGCAACTTGTTTTTCTTTTCCCGCGACGCCACATTTCACCCATCATGCCCAATAGGTTTCGAACCGCGAGAGCTCATCGGCAGACCTTCGCTAGGACTCGTCCATCCAGACGAGCTTGCTCAGGTTCGCAAAATGCATTACGACACAATCAAGCAGGACAAGGCTGCGACATTAGCGTACCTCCGCATGAAGCACAAAGATCCATGCAAAGGATATATACTCTGTTCAATTGTACGCCGTTTATTTTAACACCTTCTCAGACGCAATTCTGAATTAGATCCACGATGGATACGCATTGCTACTCGTTCACCCTCCCAGACTCGCACCGTGTGCCAGAACGTCCTAGTGGGTAGCGTTTCATTTGCGTCTCCCGGTCCGAGGGCCATGCACAATAACTCCACTGCACAAGAGGTGACTGTCATTACGCCTTCAGCCAGGGATTTCGAATTCAGAGTAAGTTTACCTTCTTGTGAGGCTTTGACGCACCACTGAATGAACTGTTCCTTGCTGCGGCCTTAGAGATGGAATGACCCAAATCCAATGCCTCCTTGTCCCATTCTCGCCCCACCTGGCCGCGGAAATGGGCCTGACGTCGATGATCCATCACATTCACCGCCAATGCGCTTCAACCCACTCCCACACCAGTCCGTCCGAACCTCACTCATTCTTGACCGTTTCTCTGAGCGATGCGGTATTCATTACTGCGCAAATGACAGTATATTGCCACCGGAGACTGTCATGGGAAGGAGTTTCTTTGACTTTGTCACGCCAAGACATGAAGACCTTGTCAGGAACTGGATAGATGTTGTCAAGGGTTGGGGAGTGAATGAACGCGGTCAGCCGAGTGATGGTGGGTTTGGGTTTGGCAAGTTCGCGATCTGTGTACGGGGACGAGACTCTAGGTACGTTTTACCCCATTATTTTCTTTGCCTCATACTCATGAGTCAACTTTTCTCTGACTTTCATTTTATTCTCAACGTCCTTAATCCCGTCAGCCTCAGAACAGATGTCCCTTCTTCGCGGACTCGAAGAAGCCCACCCTCGAACTCCGCTCGTTCTCAGTCACACCCTTCTCGAGCGCGCTCACACTCCCGTCGTGACCTCTCATCACCTCTCCGTGTACGCGAGTACCAAAAACCATCCGCCCCTGGTGACGAGATCATGGTGGATGCCATCTTCTCTGCGCACTCCGACGGACTCCTGGTCATCATCCGGAAGGCCTCAAGTTCGTGATCGTGCGCCACTGTCACCACGCTTCCCGCTCTTCGTGAATTTCACACTCAGACATGAACTTAATGACTTTTCCTGATGATCTTCTTGCGTCTCCTTCTGTATTATCACATCCATTATGTGTCTCTCTTACTTTGTGTTTTATTCTGTCTGTGTATCGGATTCTGGGCTTACATTCTTAGATTTTTCTTCATTCCACGAATGTTGTAAACTTTCTAAAAAGATGCTGTCTAGGTGTAGCGAGTCTGTGTTACTGCCGTCCCGGATCTTACGCCGACGTCTCGAATATTTGGGCTCTCGTAAGTAAATGGAGTGAGTGTAAGCACCACCGTGGTTTCTTTCACACGGCCTGCAAGCTTTGAAGTCTTGCAAGTACTGATTGCCAAAGTGGGAACAACACTATAAAGCGCTCGCTTAGTCAGCAACTAATGCATGACCCTAACCCGAATCTCGATCATCGAAGCACCAATTCGAGCTTCAAAAAGTTCGGTCAGGTTCTTGGCTGAGCCTTCTGTACATTACCACTTGCTCGCTATGGACGACCGAGCACATAAGGCTCACCGCCCTTCACAATCTGGTGCAAAGGCGGAAAAGAAGAAGGGCAAAGGGAAGGAGAAACAAAAGGGTTTTAACGAAAAGGTGCATAATTTCCTTTTCTATGGTCCTGGAAGTACGTTTATGCTTGAGATCGTGTCTTCCGTAGGCTTTCGCTCCAAAGTCTGGTATACGAGCAGACAGACAAGGTCGACGAAATGTAGAACGGGATCAGACTCGTTTACACGTCCCTCTCGTTAACCGTACTCCAGATGACCAACCTCCACCCGTCATTGTCGCTGTTGTCGGTCCTCCTGGAGTTGGAAAGACCACTTTGCTTAAAAGTCTCGTAAGGAGGTATACGAAGCAAACTCTGAATCAGGTTCAGGGACCTGTCACTGTTGTCAGCGGGAAGAAGAAACGGATAACGTTCATTGAGTGCAATAATGACTTGAACTCGATGATTGACATTGCGAAGATTGCGGATTTGGTGTTGTTAATGGTCGATGGGTCATATGGCTTCGAGATGGTGCGTGTTATACTCACTATGTGTTTGAATAAGGTTCTAACCAGTCACGCTAGGAAACTTTCGAGTTCCTCAACATCCTCCAATCACATGGATTCCCAAAAGTCATTGGTGTGTTATCGCACCTGGACCTTGTCAAAAAAGCTGCGACGCTACGTGACACAAAGAAAGCTCTCAAAAAGCGTTTCTGGACGGAAATATACCAAGGCGCAAAGCTTTTCTACCTTTCCGGTGTTCTCAATGGTCGATACCCTGATACAGAAATCCTCAACCTGTCTCGTTTCATTTCAGTCATGAAGTTCCGCCCACTCGTGTTCCGAAACTCTCACCCTTACCTGCTCGCCGACCGTCTGGAAGACCTTACGCCTCGAGAACAAATTCGTGAGTCGAAAGGCAAATGCGACCGTACCGTGACGCTGTATGGCTACCTCCGAGGTACAAATCTCCGTCTAGGGACGAAAGTCCATGTGCCTGGTGTGGGCGATCTTGATGCCAAAAGTGTCACAAAACTTGGAGATCCTTGTCCGCTACCTGACGCTGAGTCGGAAAAGCGGAGAAAGTTGAGTGAGAAGAAGAAGCTCTTGATCCATGCGCCCATGAGCGACGTCGGTGGTGTCATCTACGACAAGGACGCTGTATACATCAATGTTCCTGGAAGCTTTACTCGAGGGAACACAGATAGTGAGTAACTATACGCGTATATGCGCTCTTTCATGAGACTGATGTATTTGTAGTCCCACAGGGTGAGGGCGAGAGAATGGTTATGGATCTACAGGATGTCGGTGCAACCTTAGAAGATGCTGTCGCTCGGAGTCAGATCAAGCTCTTCGGCTCATCGTCTAAACCACTCGCGGTTGACCCAGGTCCAAGTCGTCAACATTACAGCGATGATGAAGAATCTGGTTCAGATGAGGAAGGGGTTGAACACGATCTGGATGAGGGGTCTGAAGACGAGGGCTTCGATGAAGGTTCCGGCGTGGAGGAGAACTTCGAGTCCCAGATTGACTCAGAGGAGGATGAGTTATCGGAACCAGAGGACAATGAAGTTGGCGAGGAAGGTGACCGAGGTCGCTCCGCACCACGAGTTGTACGGCGTTCGACGCATGATTACAAGTCGAAACTCGATCGTCAAAGTAAAGACGTCGAATATGCCGAAAGTGATTCCGACCTTGGTGACCAAGACGAGGAAGACGATCTAGAGGACAGTCGCCGCGTTCACTTTGACGAGGAAGGCGTAGACATTCAGTCTGACGAAGACGAGGAGGAGATATCTGGTGGCGAGGAAGTGCCGCAGTGGAAAGCTAATCTTGGAGCTAAGGCCTTGGCAGCATACGAGCAGCATTCAAGACGGAAGAAGCGGAAAGACTGGATATCGCTCATATACAACTCCTCGCTATCGCCAGAACAAATCCTTGAGAGAGAAGATAATCCTAATGCCTTACAAGATCGGGATGATGATGATATGGCTGACGAGTTCTTCGCAGTCAAGTCTCGTTCTGGCGTGAATGCTGAGGATGAGGACAAGGACATGTCGAAGGAGCCTTTGAACGAGGACGACCTGAAACGGTGGGAAGACGAAGAGCTTCTTGATTCAATACGGAAGCTTTTCATTACTGGAGGTTCGTCTGAGGCACAACCTAACGGCGATGATGCGTACGAGGATCTTGAAGGCGGCGACTTCGAGGACCTCGAGGCCCAAGGAGATGGCGAGGGTGAAGCTCAAGCCGAGGATTCTGAGGCTGCTGTTCTTGCTGCCAAGAAGGAAGCCCTCAAGCGTAAGTTCGATGAGCAGTATGACGATCCAGAAAGCTCCAAGATGGACTTCTATGAGGAGAAGAAAGACGAAATGGCTCGACAGCTTGAGGTCAATCGTGCCGAGTTCGAAGACGTTGACGAAGAGGCTCGTGCACTTGTGGAAGGTTATCGTCCTGGAACGTATGTCCGTATTGAACTTGCCGATGTTCCTTGCGAGATGATCGAGAACTTCGATCCAACCTACCCGATCATCATTGGCGGTCTCCTCCCCGCTGAAGAACGATTCGGTTACCTGCAAGTCAGAATAAAGCGTCATCGTTGGTACACTAAGACGCTGAAGACCAACGACCCCCTCATTTTCTCCTTGGGCTGGAGACGATTCCAGAGTATCCCTATCTATTCCCTCGATGACCACTCCATCCGAATGCGTATGCTCAAGTACACTCCAGAACATATGCACTGCTACGCTACCTTCTATGGACCCGTGGCGCTACCAAATACCGGGTTCTGCACGTTCAACTCGCTTTCTGGTAGCACGCCAGGCTTCAGAGTGTCGGCAACAGGCGTTGTCTTGGATATCGACAGGTCAACGAAGATTGTGAAGAAATTGAAGTTGACTGGCGTGCCGTACAAGATATTCAAGAACACCGCGTTCATCAAGGATATGTTCAATAGTGCTCTTGAGGTAGCCAAATTCGAGGGTGCCAATATCCGGACTGTGTCCGGTATTCGTGGACAGATCAAGAAGGCGCTAGCAAAGCCAGAGGGTTCTTTCCGAGCGACCTTCGAGGATAAGTTGCTCATGAGCGGTACGTAGTTCTTGCGTCTGCCTAACAGCCAAGACATTTGTATTAATTGCTGCTTTACAGACATCGTCTTCCTTCGTGCTTGGTATTCAATACAGCCTCGCAAGTTTTACAACCCTGTCACTTCTTTGTTACTGTCCAATAAGGGCGCATGGCAAGGCATGCGACTGACTGGTCAAGTACGACACGAGGAAGGTGTGAAGACGCCTCTGAACGTCAACTCGACATACAAGAAGGTCGAGCGTTCAGCACGACGATTCAATCCTCTAAAAGTACCCAAGAAGTTGCAGTCCAACCTTCCTTATGCGTCAAAACCTAAGGTCATCAAGCCTCAGCAACGACAGACTTACATGCAGAAACGTGCCGTGGTGCTCGAGCCAGAGGAGAAGAAGGCGATTGCGCTGTTGCAGCAAATCAGGGCGTTGCGCAAGGATCAGGTGGTACGGAGGAGAGAGAAGCAGAACGAGCGGAAGGAGGTGCATCGGAAGAAGGTGGCAAAGGAGGAAGCGAAGAAAAGCGAAAAGGACAAGGAAAAGCGAAAAGAGTACATGCGCGCTGCTGGCATGAAGAGCAAGCGAGAGACTGAGAAGGAAGAAGGTAGGAGCAGCAAACGGAGGAGAAAAGAATGATTGCTCCCAATCTCTTTGCTTTCCTTCTGATCTTTTTTTCTTTGCTACAATGTGTCTTTTTATCTCACTCTACACACATTGTACATTCAGAGTGAATATTATTCTTGCATTAGTGTCCAAAAACAAGTACCATGGATGATAAAAACAAAACAAAACAAAAACAAGTTACTGTAGTCTGCATGCGTCGCAAAGTCTAATTTATAATGAGAAGGCCTGGTCGAGGAATGACTCGATCTGCTTCTTGTGAAGGGCCTGCAACAAATGCGTGAGTCGCTTTAAAAACATGTAACGTAAGAGAAGACGACGCTTACCTTGCTACCAGTGGCAACGGAGCTGGTAGGTTCACGACCAGCATACAATGGGTACTTGCCCTTGTGGTTCTCAGTCTGGTTAGCAGCGGTCAAGATACGAGGTGCAACGTAAGTCCAGCATCCGTTGTTGAGCGGCTCCTCTTGGCAGTAGAGAAGGTCAGCGTTGGGGTATTTATCAAGGTGAGGAGTGAGCTATTCAAAAAGATGTCAGCGTGTTTCCCTGAGTCAGTGTGTGAAGTGAAGCGCGAACCAAGTCGTAGGGGAAGGGCGAAATCTGCTCCAATCGGCTGATGACAACATCCTTGATACCACGAGCTTCACGTTCCGCAATGAGGTACTGGTAGACCTGACCTATAGAATGACAAGGATGAAAAATTGTTCATTATCTGAAACAGAGAAACAAATAGTCGTACCAGAGCAAAGAACGTGCCGTCTAACTTGTTCAGGGGCAACCAGATGTTCGGGATGAGGATCGGGGATGTAGCGCTCGAAGTGAGTGTCGCCGATCATTTCAGAAAGCTCAGACCTGGCTTTGGGATGACGAAGCAACCATTTTGAGAAGAATACGATCAACTAAATAGTGTATTATGAGCAATGAAGTGAGAGAAAGTTAGGATGTCAAAACGTACTGGTTTACGGAAGTCACGGTAGATTTGACGGCGGAGGACGTGGAACTACAAACCAAATGTTAGAACATTCCACTCAATGTCTTGACAACATATCAACTCACGTAGTTCGCGGGGGTGCTATGAAACAGACCATAGTCAGACAAAAGCTCCCATTTCAAACAACACCGAAAACACTCACGTAGGGTAGACAATTTGCATGTTGCAATCCTGGTGTTGACGCTCAACCTTCTCCGGTGAAGGGAAGACATCTGGATGGTCATCACACAACTGGAGGAACCGTTCAATTCTTCCACTTGAGTGCTCCGGCCCCTGACCATCGAAACCATGGGGCAAGTTCACGACCAAACCAGTCCGCTGCAACCATTTCCTCTCACCACTTGCGATGAACTGGTCAGTGATACATTGTGCATTGTTCGCAAAGTCGCCAAACTGAGCTTCCCAAATGGACAACGCGTCAGGTGAGACAAGCGAGTAACCCAACTCGAATCCGAGACAGCCGAATTCGGACAACGACGAGTTGCAGACGACGAATTTTGCTTGGTTGCTGCCGAGGTCGTTTAATGGGATGTACTGCTGTTCGGTCTCCTGATCATGGACAACGGCGTGACGTTGGGAGAAGGTACCACGCTCAACATCTTGACCGGATAAACGGACGTGGATCTTGTCGAGCGCGAGCGAACCGAAAGCGAGAGCTTCAGCAGTAGCCCAATCAATACCCTTACCTTCCTCAACGGTCTTGCTCCGATTAACGAGAATACGAGCCAAGTTCCTGTGAGGGTGGAACCCTTCAGGGAATGAACTGATCGCCTTGCCGATCTTCTTCAGCAACTCCTCGTTTGATCCAGTATCGGCAGTGGGCAAGGTTTCCTCAGCCAATTGTTTCGGCGAGGGGAACCCCGGCCATGCCGCAGACAACCACTCCTTACTCGTCGGCACGTAATCTTTAGCACCGGCGGCCGCCTTCTCCAACATGCTCCACACCCACTTGCGGTGCTCCTCAATGTCAGTCTGAGTGAACGTACCCCGTTCAATGAGGCGCTTGCTGTAGATGGTCAATGGAGACGGGTGCTTCTCAATGGCCTTGTACATGCGAGGCTGAGTGAAGCTCGGCTGGTCAGTCTCGTTGTGGCCGTAACGACGGTAGCAAACGATGTCAATCACGACATCCTTCTTCCACTTGGCACGCCAATCTGCCGCAAGCTGGCACACAAAGTTGACAGCCTCGACGTTATCGCCATTCACGTGGAAGATCGGCGCGTCGATGGCCTTGGCAAGGTCGGACGGGTAAGGTGTGGAACGTGCGAAACGAGGGTCAGTGGTGAAGCCAATTTGGTTATTGACAATCAAGTGGACCGTGCCTCCGGTGCCGTAGTAGGGTAGGTTGTGGAAGCCCATAGTCTCGTAAACGACACCCTGGCCAGCGAACGCCGCGTCACCATGAAGCAAAACGCCCATCGCGGTGGAGTGGTTCCCCTCGTCGTTCTCAAAGTACTGCAATGCTCTAGTCTTTCCGAGCACAACAGGATCCTCAGCTTCTAAATGTGAAGGGTTGGCCACGAGTGACAAGGACACCTTCTTGCCAGACGGCGTCGGTCGGACGTAGTTGGCGCCAAGATGGTACTTCACGTCACCAGCAGGGAAATCGTCATCGTCGGCAGTCCCAGAGAATTCATTCAAGATAGCTTCAATGGGTTTTCTGATGACGTTCGCCAATACGTTAAGACGCCCACGGTGGGGCATGCCCATTGTGACGTGCTTGACACCGTGTTCGACCGAGCGGTCAATGAGGGCCTTCATACCGGGAATGAGAGCTTCGCAACCCTCGAGACCGAAACGCTTCTCGTTGGGGTATTTGCTCGCCATGAATTTTTCAAAAGACTCGGACCAGATCAGACGGTCGAGGACCATGCGCTTCTCCTCGACCGTGTAGTTCCATGGCTTTGGGATCTCGATACGCTCACGAATCCAGTCGCACTGCTCCTTGTCGGGAATGTGCACATACTGGATACCAATTGCACCACCTGCAGAGAAGTCGCCATCAAACGACGTGCTCTGAGAGGCGTATTAAGCTACTTACAGTAGATACGTTTGCAGACCTTGATGATTTCGCCTAATGACATTGTTTTCCTGTCTTCGGTGGCAAAGTGGGGAAGGATACCGGGTCCAAGAGTGATTTGCTTTTCGAGATCGCGCTCAGTGAACCCGTATCGACTGAGCTCCAATTCGGGAGGATAGGCATTACTCAAGTCAGGGTCGAGGATGCCCAAAGGGTCCAGATCGGCGACATGGTGGCCGCGAACTTGGTAAGCACGAACGAGCAATTGAACCTGTGGAGATAATTGTTAGATTAGCATTGAACACTGACCCGTGAACGACCATGCTTGTATCCCAAAGGTTGCAATGGTGAAGGTAGAAGATCGCCAGAAGGGGCCGAACTCGTAAAGTAGCGTTGACTATTCCAGCCACAGCTGAACACCACTACTACATGTCTGCATTGGGGACCGTTGCTACCAAACAACGCACTGTACCGATTCCCTTCTTCATCGTAGAACACAAGCCACAGAGTACCAACTCGCTCAAGCCAGGCAAGCGTCATCTCCACGAGAAATCAAATCGAACATTAGAAAGGCCCATCAGGCGCAGAATATGCAGGAGAAAGAGTATCTCAAATAGCCCTCAACGAATGAGGGACTTCTACAGCTCATGCAATCGTACATTCATCTCGCTCACCGAGTGAATAATCTCTCAAGCGAGAAATGCACGCAAAGGGATATGACGTATATAGTACACCAACAACTCACCTTGAGATGGTCATCTAGCTCGGCACCTCCGCCAGCATGCAGTGCTGGAGCGCCGCCAGCGGGATAGGAAACGAGACTTGGAGGGGGTTGGAAAGCTTGCGCACTTGGAAGGCCTCTTTCCATGCCCGAGAAGTACGCGTCCCAAGATGGGTGGACCGCTTTGGGATCCTCTTTCCAATGCCGGTACATCTGCTCAGCATAGTACGCATTGGTGCCAGTCGCAAAGGCATCGTTAGGCGAGGGCGTTTTGGCAGTAGCATAGGCTCTTATTGAGTTGAGCTGGTAACCTTGCCACCTACAACGCAATGCCACGGAAGGCCAACGCCTGAGCAAACCGGGTGGCCTCTGCAGCATGACTGAAGGAAAGAAAGAGATTAAGCAAAGAATAGAGCTTTGCTGCTCAAATTTTGGACGAGCAGCGGTGGTAGAAGTGGAAAGCAGAAGAGGTGCAGACTGCTTGGGCGCCTACTGCTTGTTGACGTCGAGGAGCGGACCATTCAGGCGAGTTCAGGCGACCTTTGCCTCTGCTGCGATTGGTCCATCGGCCGACCGTCTCCCGACAGAATCCCGGTTCTCCTCGTTCTGACCTATCCTCGCGGAAAACCGTCACGTCCTCTGCGAACGTCATTCCAATTACTCGCTATCACCATGAGCTTGCGCATTGCTTGTCGTGTTTCTCTGCACTCGGGACATCTGATCGTTCCTCGAGCATGCATTTCGAGACGCGCTTTCATCCAGACCGCTGCTTCACACACGGATGAGCCACTACGCGGTATTCCACCTCCTCTCAAAGGTATCAAAATTGTAGACTTGACCAGAGTTCTCGCCGGTCCTCTGGCTACCATGCTTCTTGCCGACCTCGGTGCGTACTACGCGTCCTGCGATGTAGTGGACCCCCGAGGGAAACATGATCCTTACACAGGCTGAATGTACTCAGGCGCCGATGTCATAAAGGTAGAGGAGAACACTCGAGGAGATGATACCAGTAAGCTACCATCTCGTTTTGGCATGCACTCTGAAGGCCTCGGTACCATGCGCTTCCCTTTCCTGAAACAGGATCATGGCACCCTCCGGCTGCACCCATAATCGGGGATGCTCCTGCTCCCTCCTTGCCTCCCGAGTCCGCGTATTTCCTCACAGCCAATCGTAACAAGCGCTCGATCACTGTCAATTTGAAGAGACCTGAAGGACTAGAGATTGTTTATAAGTTGATCAAGGAAGCAGATGTCCTCGTAGAGAATTACATCCCAGGAAAGCTTGCGAGTATGGGTCTTGGATGGGAGGATTGCAAGAAGATCAACCCTCGACTCATCTACGCTAGTATCACTGGTTAGCTTCGCAGACCACCGAAGCGATATAATCCTCTCATCTTTGTCTGTCCAGGATACGGACAGACTGGTCCATATAGCAAGGCTGCGGGATACGATGTAATCATAGGTACGTTCTCGTTTCATTGCATTACCGCTTGTCATAGACGTTCCCTTGCATTTTACTGCAATGTATCGTCAATGGTCGCACCAAATTGTCTGCGCACATATGGCGTGTAACTAACGACAAATCTACGCTTACATACTGCATATATGCGTGTACTTCCTTCTTTTTGTTCGTGACGTCCTGATCGCTTGTGTTTGGATATAGAGGGTGAAGCAGGCCTGATGCATATGTAAGTCACCTTCAAAATCACCATCGTTTCACCTAGCAAGTTTATCCTCAGGCAGCACCGGTGAACCTGACGGCCCACCCTGCAAAGTCGGCGTAGCGGTGACCGACGTTGCAACCGGTCTTTACACTCATGGTGCCATCATGGCTGCTTTGCTATCTCGGCAGCAAACTGGGAAAGGCGTTTGGGTCGATGCTAATTTATTCGACTCTCAGGTTAGTAATCTATTTTGGTTTGTTTCGTCGAAATACTTCGGGCACTGAATATTCATGTAGATTGCAGGCTTAGCCAACATCGCGTCCAACTACCTGATTTCTGGTCAAGAAGCCAAACGTCACGGTACCGCTCATCCGTCAATCGTACCCTACCAAGTCTTCCCGTGCAAGGATGGGTTCTTGATGATCGGTGCTGGTAATGACAGGCAGGTACGTGATTTCTTAAATCTGCGTCTAACAATGTCAAGTATTGAAGAACATTTCTTCAGTTCAAGTTATTGGCAGAGAATATCCTGCAACGTCCCGAACTCGCAGACGATCCCAAGTTCTCAACCAACGGCGCCCGAGTGGCAAATCGAACCGAAATAGTACAGATCATCACGGATACCCTGATGCAACACGAACGTGATCATTGGTTGGAGAAGTTCTCTGGCTTAGGGTACGTTCCCCCACCGTTTACCAGTGTCATATTCTTCAGTGCTGACTTGCTTCCGGTGAACTACATCAGAGTACCCTTTGGACCTATCAACAACATCAAACAAACCTTCGAACATCCCCAAGCTATCGCCCGCGGGGTCACAGTTGAAGTCGATCATCCCCGCGCAGGCAAGGTTAAGATGGTTGCACCCGCCGTGACTTACAATGGGAAGAGGATGCCTGTTGAAAGACCTCCGCCTTATCTGTCCCAACATACCACTGAGGTAGGTTTCGTTGTATATATATGAGGAGTATGTATGACACAGGCTGATTATGGAGGTTGGTATAGGTTTTGCAAGAGCTTGGGTATAACGACCAACAGATCGAGGACTTGCGCGCGAAAAGTGTGATTTGAGTCCTGGATAAATATGGGGGTGGCTGTCTGGTGTGAGCTTTGCTTAGATGGGCTTGGATTCTGTTCATTGTACAACACTATATCATGCAATACGGCGAACGAAAATGTCGCATCTCATTGGGCCTCTTGACATAATGTAGGTGCCAGGGGGGTCATCTCATTTTTGTGAGAAATATTTTCTGAGTGTTCACGATAACGCCCCAAAATACCCAAATATATATTTACTCCGGGACCCCGAAACCGGCGTCGGGTGGCTGAGAATCTTGAATCGAAAAACTGTGCAGCCGCTATACAGCAGCTGCAATGATGCTCACTGCGAGCGACCCCCTCCTCTCTTCTGGTCAAGACACTCTGCAGTCTATACTACATAAATCCAATGAAAATGCATCATGTTCCTCTTCAGGTCCTTCAGGTATCATTTGTGTGAATCGATCGGCGTGATATACCCAGTTGACTTATGAATAATGTTCTTCATTGCTAGACTCAGAGAAAGACCTTGTGGCTTCATCGTTGCCAGACCAAAACGACGGTCATGATAGTCTCAAACGAAACTACCTGAGGCTCTTACCACCCGCTCGAGTCATTGAGATCTGTTTGACTTTTGAACCTCACGTACCGATCTATGTGAAGAACGCGATATGGCCGGCGGATCTGAACGCTGCTATTGTGGCATTACAACTCCAAAAACCCTTTGAGCCCCAGAGCAATGAAGATGCAGAACTTTGTTATCCTCCGGAAGACTCTTCCCAAGTACTGCCGACTTCAAAAAATACTTCTGATGAAGATGCTTCTCGGCAAGCAAACGCTCCGGAAACCAGGCCGTTAACATCGGAAGTCGCGCAAGATGAGGTACCAAGTCCTACAAAAGATCTTCCGATAGACTTGACTCTTGAGCCGCCGACAGCTTCAACTGAAGCCAGTCAAACGGATCGCGTAGCTTCTGCGCAGCAGACTCTTCAAAAAGTGCTGGAAGAACTTTCTCGCTCTGCTACACCTGCACAACCTTCTGCTGCTGCTGCCTCTTCGCCACCTCCGTCTTCCACACAAAACAATATCACGCCTGTCCCTTCGACGTCTGAGAATGCTTCGCAATCTCAACAACCTCATGCGTCTACGTCTCAGACTACAACACAATCATCAACTCCCCAACCTTCCAGTTCTTCACATCCTACCACCCCACATCCCACACATCCACATGCACACCAGGCACCTTATGCTTACCATCCATACGGGTATCCAATTCCTGGACATGCGCAACAACCACCGTACCCTCACACACCATACTATGGTGCACCACCAGGTTATGCGACCCCTTACCCAGGATACCCACCTTATCCTCCACCTTTATCGGGGTACCCAGCGCACCCTATGTCTGCCGCTGCTTCTATGTATGCTGCACGTCCGCCTATAGCACATATGCATCCTCCTCATCCTACCCATCCACCGCCTGCTGCTATGCCTGCACCACCGCCACCGCCGCCGTCGGGTGATGACTTGCCGAGTTATGAGGATATGATTGTGGAGGCGTTGTTGGATATCGTGGACCCGGATGGGGCGGCTCCGAGGGATTTGTTCAATTGGATGGAGGCGAGATATCCGTTGCAGACGAATTTTAGGCCGTCGGCGAGTCAGGCATTGCAGAAAGCGTTCAAGAGAGGGAGGTTGGAGAAAAGGGCTGGTGGGAAGTATAGGTTGAATGCGTCTTGGGAAGGTGGAACTGTGAGTTTTTTCTTGAGTCGCAATTTTTGTTCACATTTTTTTTGTTCGTGTTGGCTGATGTTGTATTGTCTTTTTTAAGACTTCCCGGCGTACGACGCGAAGACCGCAAACTCTTGCTCAAACAAATTACAACCTTCACCATTCACCGCAACAACCCTCATCACCGTTCACAAATGCGCCACTAGCTCGAGGCTCTCGTGCAAGCAGTGCCACTCCAATGGCTACAGCAGGTGGTCAACATATACCTTATGGGTCTTATCCGTACGGTTACCCTGCAGCCGGGTATGGTAGCTACCCCGGTTACCCAGCTTATCAAGCTCAAATGGCAAGCAAGGCTCCCTTGTCAAGTGCCATTTCTACGGCAGCGTCTGCATCGAACGCAAACAAAACTGCCAAGGAACCCGCTCAGGCGGAAAAGGCCTCTGAGGAAGATACTTCTGGTGCAGAACGTGGTGATGCGTGGGAAGCAGCTCAACATATCTTGAACGTTATCAACTTCAACTCGTTACAAGCACAAGAAAACCAACCGTCAACGTCTGGTGATGCAACTGCTGCGTCTACCAGTGCTTCGGCTGGGTTGAATGCAAGTCTCAACGCAAACATTACTTCGACGGCTCTTTCCGATGAACATAGAGCTTCGTTACAAGCCCAGCTTGCGTTACTCGCGGCACAACTTACTGAGCTGGCAGAAATGGATGAAGAGGAGGAACCCGTCGAGGTTCAACCCGCCGCTGCACTTGTTCCAGAGCCAGCGCCGAGTATGGGTATTACCCTTCCTGCGTTTCCGGACGACGCTCATGTTATGATTGACGTCAATCACTTCCCCGAAGAGGTCCAGCATGCATCTCATATGCAGGCTCATGCAGGTTCAGATGACGAGAATTCGGACGCGGATATGGAGATGGTTGAGGTCCCCGTAATGGCCGCCTTGAAGGCTTGAGCTTGAGGCCTGAGGGAAGATACCACTTTTTGTCATGTCGGTCGCGTTATGTAGTTTGTCTTTGCTTTCGTGTTACCTTTGTTAACTGCACTTTGCTTGCTCGTCGCATCTATATATCTATATATGCTGCTGCTGCTGATATAACTGTGAAAATCTCGTTCGTGGCCTGAAGGTACAGCAGGTAACTATGGACAACTTGCCGGAAGAAGGATGGCGAAACTCCGAGAAATACGGAATGACTGTTTACCGGCCGCGTCATACTGCATGAGAGACACGAATGCGTAACTACATGCCGCTATATCTTCTTGACTTTCAACAACCATCTTACTCTTGCACTTAACGCTATATCTCTCTGGAATACCCTTTTCTACTGTAATACCAGTACATAGATGTTGAAACTCGTTCAGCTATACGTATATGACCTTAGTAATGGACTTGCTCGGCAGTTGTCGCTTCAGCTAACCGGTAAGCAGATAGACGGAATTTGGTATGTTTTGGAAACTTTCATAGCCTATCTCTTGCTGACCAGTAAAGACAAGAATAGGCATACATCCGTTGTAGTTTTTGGAAGGGAGATATTTTATGGACAAGGAATCTCAATTACACATCCCGGCCAATCTCATGTGAGTATCGGAAGGGTTTGCACTTGCATTCGTATCGCTGAATTGGGTCTTTTAAAGCATGGAAATCCGCTGAGGATGGTAGACGTGGGTCAGACGGACATCGACGAAGAGACGTTCGAAGAGTACCTCACTGAAATGAGACAACATTACACGGCAGACAAGGTATGTCAGAGTCAATCTCAAAGCCAGTAGGAGACTAAACGTAATGCTCCAGTATCATCTTTTAGGTGCGATGATTACCTCTCATATACTCATCTGGCAAAGCTCACACATATTGCCCTGAGATTTCAACTGCAACTCGTTCACAAATGACGTTGTGGGGTTCTTGACTGGCGGTTCTATACCGGACTGGATTAAAGGTACACGTCTCGCTTTATATCTCATCTTTACAGTAACTGGAACCGACATGCAGATCTACCTTCTGACTTCCTCTCAACTCCGTTTGGAGCTGCTCTGCGTCCGACGATCGATAATATGTTCCGTCGTCCTATTCCAGGAGCTGTTTCAACGCCTGCTACTATCCAACCCACTCCTCAGTCTGCACGAGCCGCTATCAATGCTTCTCCGGACCCTGCACTGGCTTCAACCCTTCTACAATCTGTCGCTAGTCAAGCAACCTTGGGCCCTTCGAGCATGGCTCCACCTTCGCAATCCACGTCCACAGTCGCGGCTCCGGTGCACATCTGTACCAATCCAACCTCTTTCCATAATACCCTCAAGACACACCGTGCCGTAGTTGCGTTCTTCACGTCGGCAACTTGCGGTCCATGTCGCATGATTGAACCTCTCTTTGACCAGCTGGCACATGAGAAAACTGAGGCTGCCAAGCTTGCTGGTGGAATCGCGTTCGCTAAGATAGACATGGGTGTTGGGATGGGCGGAATGGTGGGCAGCGAATATGGTGTTCGTGTGACACCTACTTTCATTTTCTTCCTTGACGGCATCAAGGTTAGTTTCGTCGTTCTTGTGATTGTGTTCGAAGTCCTTAGACTAATTGCATTCTCAGAAACATGAGATGAAGGGTGCCAACCGGGCTGAACTAACGTCACAAGTCAATATGCTTCTCTTTGAGGCGTACCCTCGTACGTGATTCTATCTCACTCGTCAATCTGGTCGATATTCAAGATTTTGTCGTGCGACACTAGCTCATCCTCACTCCAAAGTCACCATCCCAGCATTAGAGAAGGTGTCCACGAACCCAATTCTTTTCACCCAGGTGCCCAAGTTAGACATCGTCACCACGAAGTTATGCTCCTTCGTCGACAGTGCATCGCGGCCCATCCCGAATTCGCAGACGATCAAACATACGTTGTCATCTGAGTTCGCAGGTTACCTAAGGGGTCAATTCTCATCAAATGGCAAAGCTGTCAGAAGTTCCGCTACGCCTCAGATGCTCACGAAGTGGACAGAAACTACAAAGACTCTGGTAGGCCATTTACCGCCATCTCAGCTATTTCCCCTCGTAGATATGTGGCGACTAGCCATCCTGGACAATGTTGTCTCTTCCTGGTGTGCAACTGCGGCCGGAAACATGACCGATCCTATTCAAATACTTATCGTGAAAGCTTTATCGACACTCAGGAGCTCAGAGGCTCCATCGACGATGCGCAATTACATACTCACCACCTTACGACTTCTCTCGAATACGTTTTCAGACCTCACGCTCGCTCATCATGTCCTCTCCCCCTCTGGGAAACGCTCGAGCGTCACGTCACTGGTCATCACTACATTACTTCACGAGGACGCATCCGTTCGAACCGCCGCATCAAGTCTCGCTTTTAACATGGCCGCAGCCATCCAGAAGGTTCGAATTGAACAAATGCGAGCGATGAATGGCTCGGTATCTGGCCTGGACGAAGATGGAGAATGGGAGATTGAACTCGTCAGTGCTGTGCTTGAGGCGATTAGGAATGAAGTCCAGAACGAAGACATCGGTGAGTTTAGCGTATGCAAAATGAATATAAGAAACGTTGATGCTCACATTTGCTTATTGCTCTAGTGCATCGACTGACAGCCTCGCTGGCATTCCTCCTACGATTATCACCTGTATATGAGTCGCAACTCGCGCCGTTGCTGGAAGTTCTCCAGGCGAAGGAGACCTTGCAATCTAAACTGGAGAAAGGCGGATGCGGTGAACAAGGGGTTCAGAATAACGATATCCGTTCGCTAATCGCACAAGTAGCTGAATCACTATGTTAGTTCGTGATTACTCAGAATGCATAGAAGAACATGGAGTCACATAACTCTAGTAGTGCATATGGCATGGGACAATACAAGAGGGGGTGGCATACAACATAAAACATACAGGGACTGCGAGCAATGTACGCTATAGAGCTTCAAGCTTCAAGTAGGGTCAGGGGATTAAAGGAAGTACAAACTACGTCGGATTCCGCTTGGCCTGACGGCTCGTTGCCATTCTTTCAATGGGAACTCGCCGCCGCTGACGGCAGTGGATGCGTTGTCAAGCTGGTCACATTGAGAAGGGTCAATATGATATTCCGCCTTCGCGCACACCAGCTGTAAAAGGCATGTTAGTCGGTCTTCCCAAAGATGATATAAATGATCTTCACATCAGCATCTATAAGAAAGAGTTAGGAAAGCGCAGTTGAAGCTGGGCAGGCGAGACACACAGTACACAGGTGCAGGGAAGGAAACTGCCCTGGTTGCAGAAGCATACACATGACACAAGTAGTAAGAGAGTTCCTGGATTCTACAACCACCAATGTTAACAGACAACTGAACAGTGGTTTGGGATATAAAACAGGTGACTTACTGTTGAATGCTCCAATTCATGTCATTTCTTAGAACAATGTAATGACTAGGCCTGCTTGCTGTTTCATGACATATAGTCAGTGCAAAGCAAGATGTTTATGAGTGCTTCCACTTACTGCCAATAATGCCACTGTGAGACTGGAGATAGAAATCCCTTCCTTGGTTCAATTCCTTGTCAACAACCAATCCAGGCAGGCAGTTTCCTGATGAATCTGCTCCTCTGAAGACACGGTGCGTCAAAGTTTGAGACTGGGATAGAATTACACAGTACTGACTGCGGAGATTGTGGGAAGAAGCGAACATGGTGCCTAGTAAGGTGGTGAGTTATGTAAAGGGCTAAGATGTTGCAATGGAAGACCACACCTCTTGGTTACTATGATAAATGTGAGCTTTGGCAACTGAGGCATCTTAGCTTCAGCAGCAAGCCTCTTCAGAGCAACTAAAAACACAAGGCTCAGATAGCATTTCATGGATGTAAATAGCCTTGCCTTCAATCTGTCCAATCTCTTGCTGACTGACTTGGTCATATTCTCCTTCAGACACACCATCTCTGAAGACAATGAGATGATCCAAGGTTTGCTTGAAATTGTATTTTTGACCATAGTCCTTGATGGCCTCCTGTGATTTCATAAGTAAAATGATAAACACAGAACTCAATATGAAGCCTACCCAAACCATATCCCTGAGATTCTGGATGATCTCAACATGAGGCTCTTGTACTTGAATTTGAGCAGTATATACAGTGGCCTTGTCATCCACAGAAGCAACAAGACTAGCAATGGAAGGTCTGTTGTCTACACTAGGTGCAGGATGAGAAACATCACATCCTGCTTCCAATTAGTAGAGCTACTCAAGTTTGATCTCTGCTATAGACATACCAACAACTATGGTCTTAGTCAAGAGCTTCTCTGTCAATGGAACATAACAGTTCACACCCCCAATTTTTGCATTAATCCTATGAAAATATGATTTATTGAAGATATCATGGTGGCAAATTAAGAACAACTTACTTCAATGCCACATTGTTCAGATACTGGTCATTTGCTTTCTCATACTTGCCAGCTTTCTACATTATGGTGATTAGTATAACTAATGTTACATATTAGCACAGATAGCAAAAGTCTGACAGCTTACCACACACTGAGTTGCTACACTCTTGGTCACAGTACCCCAGTACTTGACCTGTTTCTTGATCTGAGCAGCAGAAGATGGAAGGATGACCACAATGATGGTGGGTGGTATAGACCTTCCACTATTTTTATCTGAAGAAGATGCCTGAGCAAGTAGACTCTCCAAAGACTAAAAGCAGAGTTAGAATCCAAAAGTGACAATGATTACAAAGATTACCTGTGAAACCTGATGAGGATTTCCAATCTGAATAGGAAAGTTGGGACCAGGTACATAGGCAGGGTTGATAGCAATGCCTGGCCAAAATCAATGTGAGTATGCAGAAATGAACATATATGTCATTGACTTACCTCTCTGTAAGAGGTTCCCATGCAGCTTAGTGATAAAGCCTTCTAAAACAGGCCTGGATGCATTCTGATCAAAGTAGATAACAGCCCAGCTGAAGATCCTTCCTGGAAGAGCAAGTTGAATATCACCCCTAACATTCCATTTACCCTCCCTGATTCTCTGCAATGTCATTGAATCAGAAACAATGGAGTAATTATGTATCCAACAAGCAAAACTTACAAGAGAAGGAGTTCCCTTCTTGAACTGGATTTCAGGAGAAGGTATCACCTGGCCTTGAATAGTGATAGGTGTAGTGGAGACTTGCATGCCAACTGCTTGCATAAAGTCTGAAGAAGCATAGTCAAATAATTGATCCTACAGGCATTGTATCAATAATCAATACATTCAAGACAGAATCAACCTATTGGACTGTAAAGAGATTTACCTGACCAGCAACAGCCCCTTGAATGGTGTTAAGCCTATCTATTGGCTTTCTGGTGGACATCTTGACCATTGCTGTTCTCTGGCTCTCCACAAGATTCTTCTTGAAGAATTGGCCCAGAAGAATTTCACAGTATTCTGCAGGAATGACAGCATCCTTGTTGAGTTTGATGCCGAACATCCTGGGATAGTTTGTCCTTGTGTTATACTGCTCTCGGAGGTATTGCTAAAAGTTCATAGAACATCTTCAACAAAAACAAGAGTAACGTGAGTGAGAACTGCACACCTGGACAGTCATGGGCCTTCCATCCTTGTTGAACTCATACAACCCAGCCTGAGAAACTAGACCCTTGATGGACTTGCCAGTGCCTCTCTTCCATTTGGAAGCAGAAGGGAGAGTGGTCGTGATACGTACACCCTTCAAAAATCTCTCGAGTTTTCTCCAATCGACAGAGTCAGGAGTGAGTGCCTCCAGGTATCTAATATTCTTGGGCTGGGTATTCCCGCCGTCAGTGAGGAATTCGACCGCGACCTGAATAAGGGGACCTGGTTTGTACCTGATCAGACAGACAGCTGTGAGCTGGAGTAATATAGCCGTGCTCAAAGGCGACTTACATTGGCGCTGTCGTGGTATCAATATTGATCACAATCTTGTTCATTGTTGGTCGAATGGACCTGGATAATCGTAGTCAGCAGAATAACTTTGGGAGAAATGAAGATATTTACTGGAAGAACCCATGCCAAGCGACAAGTCCTCCACCAATATCCCTCTCGCCTTTATTACTATAGAATGAGCGAGCTCGCACAGCGTTGACATGACGTCTATGTCGACGGATATCAGTAGAGGTCGATGGCAATGAAAGCTAGAGAACATACATGGATGGCGCTTGCCTCACGATGAGCTGTAATAGAGTGACGACACTAATGTCGATACGGCCTTTGTTCGCCACTGCGCTGCGAAGGGCGCTGAGCAAGCATGTTACAATCAGAGGAATGGTCTCTTATGACGGCTACGGTATCTTACTTAGGATCAACCTGTTTGACTGGAGTGAATCGGACTTGGTGGAGAAGGCGTGGGCTGAATTGGACAGTGAACTGATGTAACCAGCATATGTCAAATGCGAACGATGAAAATACGTCTTTGCACTGACCACCTGTGTCGGAATATCGCGATGAGTCGAATACAAAATAGCGCCACCATCGTAGACCGCACGAGGGGTGAAGTGGGAGGCATGCTCCGTCTGGAGCTGGTTGATGACTTCGCGGGCGCGACGAGAAAACTTGCTTGGTATCTCGGGAGATATTTCTGGTGGAACAGACAGACAGAAACTTGAGTATATGCGTACGTATAAAGCGTACGTGTTCACTTACTCACTAGCAGAGGAGTCAAAGGTTCAATGTGAGGTCAATTAGTGACAGGTTGAACTACGCACCGTCATATTGATAAAACGCGGCAGTCGGGAGACGTGTGACTTCGAAATGGTTAGTAGCGACAGAGATGCGCATATGGTTTGCCATATTGTGCTCTTCTTCCAGCAGTTAACGAGAATCGAGGGTTCGATACGTGGACTATTGGAGGGAGAGCTTATGGGGTGTTTGAAAGAAGAAAGTAGATGTAGATAACTTCGCCTAGGACATAATTGCAGCTCAGATTGAACGAAAGGCAGCGAGTTCCGTGCATAGACTTTAGCACCTCGAGGACTGTTGCCCCACCTGCTTTACATAAAACCAAGAGGGTTGACTCACTTTATGCATTTTCAATGTCACCGCAGTCACCCTTAGTTGAATTGAAGTTGAATTGGATATTTTGGATTGGAATTGGACTCCTGATGCATGCGGTTGAAGAAGCCGATATCGCTTGATGAAAGCCGACGCGGTGGAAGAAACGCGACGCGTCGAAGCTGTACGGTCGTCGCTCGCTCGTTTTCCGAAACGAATCACATGGACGGCCGCGATATACGCTCGGTCCTCCAGCTATAAAGCGCTCCGCGCACTGCTCTCGACGACGGACTCCCTCCTGACTAGCTTGGCCACGGTGGCAAGGGACTAAAGGTCCATATAGTTTATATCCATGTTCGCATACCCCTGTTAGACGGACCCCTCTCTATCTCCACCTCGTGCTCTGCTCAAATATAGTTACCACCTTTTTCTGGATAGCTGAGAGACCCTGCGATCTCCTGCTTTCCAACTCACTACTACACACATCATTGCTGTTATGCTGAAGTTGACAACACGAACATCTAAGTTTCCTGCTACGTCGCGTTCCCTTTCGGCTCCAGTAAGTACACGTTTGTTTATTTGCGTGATTGAATCAGGCTAGGCAATGGAATGGAAATACCGAACGTGTTATGCTTCCAGGCCCGCCGGAGACGACGAGATCGATTCTTACATTTTGCTAGCAAGGGATATGCACTGATATCTTTCTTCACCAGATCTCTCTCATGTCCAAACCCCGTTCCCTTAGAACGTCTGCACCCCGGAGGAAGGAAGAAGCAGTTCCTCCGGGGTATGCAGCCGATCCAACAGAAGGCCCCATGCTTCGGTTTGAAGCCTCACTGCCGCGTCTGCCAGTCCCACCATTGTCCTCCACCGCTGCCAAATACCTGGAGACTGTACAACCTCACCTAACACCTTCCGAATTCTCCGCAACCCAATCCGCCGTTCAATCATTCTTGCAATCCGAACAGTCGAAGGTACTGCAGAAGCGACTTCAAGCTCGGGCAACGGATCCATCGGTGAAGAACTGGTTGTCAGAGTGGTGGAATGATGTAGCATACATGGGATACCGCGATCCGGTCGTGGTATACGTCAGCTATTTCTACGTCCATATGGATGATAAGAGCAAGCCGGGACAAGCGAGAAGGGCTGCGACTTTGCTGAAAGCCATGTTGCCGTTTAGAGCTATGGTAGAGAGGTTCGTAAACATGTTTCTCGTTTCTAAAATTTTCTCTGATCGAAACGGTTTGTCAGTAAACAGCTAGAGCCAGAAAAGGTTCGGGGTGCTCCGCTATCAATGGATTCATACAAATGGCTGTACGTTTCCGTCTCTAAAGCGAACTGTAAAAGGTGACGTCGTGACTTATGACGTCTCTGTTTCTGCTATAGTTTCCATTCGTCCCGGTATCCGACTAAACCTTCCGACACGGCGCGAAAGTTTGATCCTTCCAAGCACAATCACGTTGTCTTCGTCAGGAAAAACAAGTTCTTCGTTGTTCCTCTCGCTGACGCGAACGGACGCGAATTGAGTGCAGCGGAATTGGAAACGCAAATTGAAAATGTCATTCGTCTCGCTGGTAACACTAAAGCAATACCTGTTGGAGCACTCACATCCGAGAACCGTGATACCTGGACTGATGTACGTGTGTTTTAGCAGATGATTCATTTATGTCTGGACTTGAGTAATGATCTTGTCTCTTTAGGCACGCGAGGCCCTCCTGGCTGCGTCTCCGTCCAATGCAGCGTCTCTGGAAGCGATCGAATCCGCCATGGTCATCGTCTGCCTCGACGACACCAGCCCTATCACTCGAGAACAAACCAGCTGGGGTTGCTGGGTAGGTGATGGACGTAATCGCTTTTACGACAAACATCAAGGTTAGTTTCAATTCAATAATTTCCTTAATTTTCAACTATTTTACTCACCTACCATTCACAGTCATTGTATTTGAGAACGGCAAATCTGGCTTCCTCGGCGAGCACTCATGTATGGACGGCACGCCTACGCTTCGTATGACTGAATTCTTGCTTGCAAGCCTGGTGCATAATAAAGTTGACCTCGGACCTGAACGTACACCCGACACGGGCAAGAACCTTGAGCCGCCAAAAGAGCTCAAGCTTGTTTTGGACGCTAAGGTTGAGAAATACGTTAAGGAGGCTGAGCAGAACTTTGACAAACTCGTCGGCTCGCATGATCTCGAGGTCTTGCATTACGATAAGTATGGAAAGGAGCTCATCAAGAAGTTCAAGGCGTCACCCGATGCTTGGGCTCAACTCGTCAAGCAACTGGCTTTCCACAAGATGTTTGGTCGCCCAGGCGTAACGTACGAGAGTGCACAAACTCGTAAATACCAACTGGGTCGTACGGAGGTCATTCGCAGTGCTAGCAACGAGAGTAAAGCTTGGGCTGAAGCTATGCTGAATCCCAATGAAACGGTATGGATTCATGTTAGGCTGCGTTATAAGTAATGCTTTTGCCTGACGTTATCTTCATTATAGGACGAGCATCGTGCGCAGCTGTTCCGCAGAGCTGTAACTCGGCACTTGCAGTATGCCGCTTGGGCAGCGGACGGACAAGGTGTCGATCGTCATTTATTCGGTCTCAAGAAGGTGTTAAAGGAAGGCGAGCCTCTGCCTGAAATCTACAAGGACCCTGCGTTCGCACGCACGTCTCATTGGGAACTCTCAACCTCACAACTCTCATCTCCTTACTTTGATGGATGGGGATATGGTGAAGGTGAGCCATGTTCCGTTCACATCCAGAATAAGCCTTGATTCTGACGATTTTGGGCAGTTGTTCCCGACGGTTATGGATTATCGTATTCCATTGGAGACGAGTACATCCGATGGACTATCACTAGTTTGAAGAGACGAACTGCCGAACTGAAGCGTTACCTGGCTGAAGCTGCTGACGAGACCAAAGCTGTGATGGAGAGAGCCGCTGCTGCAGAAGCCCAGAAACAAAAACCCAAGTTGTAGATGTTTTTGACGTATTAGATTTCATTTCTAACATGCATCTGGAATGCATGAGTGATATCCTCCGACCCAATTACATGATGTGAATTTTGAAATACGCATTCAATGGGGAGATTGAGCGAGGCGTTGAGTGAAGTCCGCTCAAAATGCGATGTCCATACTTTGAATTACACAAGAATTACATGATGATCGAACAGAACGGGATAGACCGGCGGCTCTGTCCGCGGGGTAGGCTTGCTCGCTTAGACAAGTTCACGAGCCTACAGTATCTCCTTCGTTTCAAAACAACATACCAGTGTTTTCTGCGATCTAGGTCGCTCTGACCGACCCCGCGGTCAAAAGCTCGCGACATGTCGAAGTCGAGCAAAAACAGCATTATCGGTAAGTTAACAATCCAATGAACCCATCGCCGAGTTGTCTGAAAATAGTCGGACGACCTCCAAAGCTGGCGCGGGGTGTGGTCTGGTCGCAAGTATAGCGACCTGTCCTTTGGATGTCATCAAGACTAAGCTGCAGGCTCAACAAGCCTTACACAATCAAAAGGGGTACCAAGGGATTGTCGGTGAGGGATTCTATCAGTAAATGCAGTCCAATTAATGAGTATGGCTGAACGTGCGTCCTGCCATTACTTTCTCACATCTAGCCACCGTCAGATCGGTCGTCAAATATGATGGCATTCGTGGCATGTATCGTGGTCTTGGCCCTACGATTCTGGGCTACCTTCCGACGTGGGCAATTTATTTCGCGGTGTACGACGGGATCAAGAATCATTTCGGGGCGAGGCCGACGGACGACACACCAAGACAACGAATATACCCTGCACCACATGTCAAAGGATACCAGCCTGTTGCGAGAGAGAATCCATGGACGTTGCATATCCTATCTGCTATGACGGCAGGTGCTACTAGTACCCTATGTACTAACCCTTTATGGGTCATTAAAACGCGATTTATGGTGGGTTCTTATCTCTCCTAGAAGAATTCCCATCTAATTTCAAGCAGACACAATCACGAAATGAAGTCAGATATAAACACACACTCGATGCTGCCATCACAATATACCGGACGGAAGGCTGGCGGGCCTTCTTTCGTGGTCTTCTACCAAGTTTACTTGGTATACTCCATGTCGCCGTCCAATTTCCACTCTATGAGCAGATGAAGACCTGGGCGCGTACGTTTGGCAGATCCTTTTTCATCAACGAATTTCACTAACACGTTGCTTCTTCGTTCAGGGCGGCGAACAAAGACCCACGATCTATCACCATCCGACATCCTATTCTGCTCGTCCGTAGCCAAAATGACTGCATCTGTAGCTACATACCCTCATGAGGTGATCCGGACACGTCTACAGACCCTTCGAATATCTCGGAATCAACTTAATGGAGGCCCTCGACCAGTAACCGGAATCATCAAGACTGCAAAGAATATTGTTGTCAACGAGGGATGGCGAGGACTCTATAGAGGACTTTCAATCAACCTAGCTAGGACAGTGCCCAACAGTGCGATCACTATGCTAACGTGAGTTGTCTGTTTAAAATCTCGTGTTGTATGTTCTGATTCTTATGACTCTTACCTGCTCAGGTATGAAATGCTCATGAAGTGGCTAAACGCGCGGGACCCATGATATAGATGGCGCGCATGCTCGACAACCTACGCCGGACGTACTCTCGCGTGAGTCGCACCATTAGAGGAGGATCTACATACTGTACTGTATTGTGCTGTAATTACATACCGCTATCTCTCGTTCGTACCTCTTTTTGCTTTCAATGTTCATTTTAGTTGTATCCATACATAACACTGATTCGGCTCGCCTTCTAGGAACTGTTTAAACTTTGTGATGAACCGATCTTGTCACAAGCTTAAGCTTATGTCGAGGTGTCTCCAGTATCGACTGTTTGACACGCTTGCGATCATTTCAGGCATCCTCAGTGCTGAATCTCTCTCGTTATCTCGTGTGTGAAGTGCCAATACATGCACGCGACGTAATGGAAAGACAACTTTGACGAGGAAAGCCAAGTCCTATTTCTTGGGCTGGGTCGTGATTGTGGATAGTGTGTGGCTTGATGTGTCCGACAGGTCGTCCCTGGCTTGCGCACACTTCTCGTCATGCCCGCAGACCGATTCCGCATCATAACGGCGTCATCAGGGCGCAAGCCAAAGTCGTCATGGGCGTAAGCTGAGCGCTGAGCGTTGGAGTGGGCGGTCTGTGATTATGGGAACTACGATGTGGGCGGAGACGGCGTTGCGATACGAGAATAGCCTCAATACACAAAAAAAGACAATTTTCATCTTCTGGAATGAAACTCGCAGGCGGCTGCGGCCAATCACCTTGCAGGTGCTCTGAATAGAAGATGGACACAAACAATACAAGTGGTATCTTGGGAGTCATTAAGCGAGATGTAAAGAAAACCAGACGGCGAATAAGTCAGCTTCAATGAATGGATGGTACAAGATTGCGGTATACGAAAGAAAAGGCTTCAATACACCCGAAGAACAAACGAGTAGACACCTCGCCTCACCGCCCGGTTCGGGTCCGGACACAGTGATAGGACTGCCTTTCGGGCAGCCCGAGAATCCTGGTCTCGGATATAATTGAGGGAACGTGGATAGCCTGATTCATTTTCTCATGCGCCGGACATGGGAAATGAAGACAGGACAAGTTGGTGATTTGCCAGTTGCTGAGTGGCGTGGAGCGGGGTAGGAAGAGAGGAACGGAGCAAGATTTAGACTAGTACCAGGCTTGACCCCGGATTGGCGACTTTGAATGAATGACGACATAACAGCCAAGGGCAATCAAGGACCTGATCGACAGATTCAACCTATGGTACAAATTTGGGATTGATATGATTTTGGAGTGGAATCAGGGCTGGTCTAGCCATGGTGACATGTGGAATGTTCAAATGAGCGGACGGCGGTCAAATGGGGTGGAGCTGCTGCACGTACAGGATTGGAAACAGAGAGCGACAGCGCCATTGCCGCCAAGGGATAGTGCGCACGACGGTGTGCGAGGGTAATGAAATGTCCGCAGATGGTCGGACCAAAAAAAGCTTTGCTAAGAAACTACGAATTACCAGGTAAGAGTCCGCGAAATGTAAGGAGAACAAATTGACGACAACAAAGACGACCACGATATGAAGACTATGAGACAGGAAGTAATGCACAGAATGGATGGCAAGGGAGGGAAGTGTAGGGGGGGTGGGAATAGTGGGAAGATAGCTAATAAAAAGCTGGAAGTCGGAAAAAAGCGGTGGGGTGAACAAGAACGGTGGAAGAAGCATAAGAAACGAAGCAGGACAAAATAACATGGCAGGTCGCTCTAGTGTGGATGGTCCTGTACTGTATCAGTGTCACTCAGCGTTTCCACCTTGACGCCTCTTGACGAGCTTACGCTCCGGATATCTCTACCCTCTTCAGCCAGTTCTCTATTGATCAGCTCGGTCGGTTTAGGATGAGTATCTCCTTCGTCCGGACTTTCGCCTTCTTCCACGGGCTGATCTGCGAAGTTCGGTTTTCGAAGAGCCGTTCTAAATGCATCAGCCATTACTGCTGCATCTGCACCCGAGAATGGTGCCGCTTCGCTGACTCGAGACATTGTAGATGCACCATCATGAACGTCGGGTGAAGTTGGCCGGTGAGAACCTCCGGCACCTGCGGCGAAGGCCGCACCGCCCAGCAGTGGTGATTGCGGCGTATTGCCGGTGTGCGCATTAGCCATCATTGGTGACGCTGAGCCCATCGAGTTGCGATTCGATGCTGCGTCCGTACGTTGGTTTCGTATGCGACGTAAAATGAAGAAAATGAGAATGCCAGAGGCCAGCAGGGCAAGAGCACCTAAGACGACGATGACGGCGATTGCCCAGCGAGGAAATGATGATCCGCCATTTCCGCTTTGTATGCTGGCTGAAGGATTAGGGACACCGGACGTCGTTGTTGGACCTGCCGTCGCTGATGACAGAGAAGCGGCGATAGCTGAAGAGAGAGAAGCGGCAATCGCAGAAGAAACAGAAGCTGCAGATGACGCTGCTGCTGCAGACGTTGAAGACATGGACGCCGCCACAGAATCCGCGAAAGTTGTTTCTGAGCTTCATTAGATAACGGAGATGCGTACGAACCAAATGTCACTTACGAACGGCGGTAAAAATCGGTTGGGGTAGTCCCTGTAGTCTTACGTCGTCATCAGGCCCAGTGACAACCCAGTAGAAGAGGTAGTTGAGATCGGTGCCACGCCAGTTGACACCGCGGGGACCGAACCAAGTATCATTTACAGGAAAACGGAGAACACCCGCTCGACCCTTCGGATTGGGTTGGCGTAGCCATTGATGAAGAATCGTCTGCGACGCAGCGTCGAATAGATAGATATTAACCAGACTGGTGCGAGTAAATTGCGGGAGGTTGCTATTCCCTAAGGATACGCCAATATTGTAAGTGCCTGCGATTGAACACGCTCCCTAGCGTGAGCACTCACAGACAAAACTTGCCAGCTGATGCTGAGGTATCGTGGAGTTGGCCGTTGGGAAACACGAAAATACGCTATTATCCGAAAACGTCTCACACTGCGTCTCCGCCTGGTCTGAACATACCAAAGTTGATTGAAGTTAGTGCGTGTGCTTCAAGCAACGCTTCAATGTCGAAGCGGTATAAGAACGCGAAATAGGTGCAAATACGCACTGACTAGGTCTTCATCTGCTATTACATCCCGTGCATCCAGAGTCCGATGTGACCATCGAGCGGTGTGGTTTGACGTTGATGGTTGATCAACGTGTATCCTGCGTTTGAGAGCCGGAGGGGGTATTGGGGGTGGAGGTGTCTGAGCTGGCGCATTCACAGCGTAACGTCGAGAAGGAGCGGGCATGAGGAAGATAAGAGGAGACCCTTGGAGAGCGCGGAAAAAGAGAGAGAAGGACAAGGACCGGATAGCTCGTCAGAGATCTGAAAAGCAAGGGGACAAATGCGCATTATCCAGGTTAGGGAACGCGGGGCTGTCGAGTACGGCGAGCCGGGCGATGGATATCGCTGTCGAGGACGACGAGGACGATGAAGAGCACGGGGAGGTTATGGGCAGAGGAGAAACGTCGACATCAATGAGCCGGTCTCACCCACGCCCAAACATATCCAGATCCTTCTCTTACGTAACTCCTGCCTCTCTCCCTCCCCGCCAAGTTCAACAGCCCAGACTCATTTTCTCAATTCAGTTTTTTCTCCTCTGTCAATTCTCCTACCCTCCTGAGCTTTTTTCTCCTATCCTCAGTGTTCACCCAGGGCTCGAACAGCGATCACTGAAATAGACACCCGTACCTCGTAACCGTCCGACGCTTGCTGAGCAAGCCTTGCTCACATCAATCTGTATCATTTCAATCTTGACGAGCATATCCGACTCGTCTGGGCTCTCTGTCCATCTTTTGGGTCAAACTCACACGACCTCTTGAGTCTCTGCGCTGGAAGTTACGCTGCCATGAGGCTCACAAGGGACCCAAGCGCCACAAAGGCCCTGGGACCCACGACCGCCGACCTTGTGCCAGGAACGGTACACCTTAGTTTCTTGCTCGACACCGCATGCATAGGAGTTCATTCATCTTGTTCTGAACGCAACTAGCAAGACGTTCTCCAAGCTCCTTTTCGTTCGACTTGGCTTTTCTTTCCCAGGCAAAGGAAGTCTAGTGCACATAAATTGATAAACCGTCTTCTAGTCCTTTGAAGAAGGTTCTCGGATGCTTTACCATTTCGCCGCTTGCCTACCGCGAGCGCGGAACATCTATGCATGTCTTGAGCCTGTCTACTCAACTGTTGCTTGAATAATATCCTCTTGCGACGGAGCGCATCATCAACTGTGATACCGTTGCTGCTCATCTGTCATTGACACTGGCCGGCTTTGTGAAAATACCGTGCCACCTTTGGGTGTTTCGGACCTAGTACCTGGTAATGCTTCTCATGCGCAAATCCCCTTTCTTCACAATGAACGCAAGCTTCGACGTCCCACACTAACGTGCTCCGGGAAATTTGGTTTGCTCAAGATGCGTTTCCTCGAAATATGTGCTTCTGATGTCGTCTCGAGGGCCTTATGCAGGTAGGAAATACTGCCTGCTCCTTTTAGCCACACATCTTGTTTGAACCTGAAGCTTAAACTGCTTCATGTATTTGAATACATAGTTCAATCGGATGTTTTGTTAGTATGTCGCGTAAGAGCTTGAAACTGCTGAACGATCGACGAGTTGCGCCGTCGATCATTTGCTACGCGCCCACGTAAACAACCTGCATCCTGTCTTCCTGCGTCGGCCATGTTCAGACAACATACCCTAGATATTCAGACGTAACTGTGAATTGTGAACTCAGATACAAACAATGACTGACAGAGGATACTACAACCTCCTTGGACATTTATCCCGATCATCCACCACCCTTCCAATCTCGACCCTACAAGCCTCGATAGCTCACTACCTCGCTCACGTTCAACCGTCGCCGACGCCCTTCGTAGCTCTCGTCATCAGTAGCCCACTATTTCGCGCTTTATCATACCCTAGACTTCAAGCCCTTTCGACTGCGTTCCGTCATGGCGTTCACATCAAGCTGAAGCTGCTTCAGGAGAAACCAAGCGGACTTTTCTCGCGCAGTTATCGTGCCCGAGTGGACGAGTGGGTCCATGCGGTCTTGAATGGTCTTCAGGGTGGGATGGCCAGTTTGAAATTAGCTTGTGCTACTGGATGTCTGCTCGGATTGGAAGACTGGGAAACCGACTTAAAGGCGAAGGACAGCAGAATGCGGAGAAAGGTTGAAGAGGAGGTCGTGGTTGCTCTGGCTGAAGTGCTCGAGATGTATCCCTATCTCAGTTCTGCTGTGCATTGGGAGACTGAGTTCAAGCACACAGCAACAGAAGGTCAGTCGTAATTCTTAGCATTCAATTGCCTTAGCACTCATTAGTATAATTATGTGGCAGATGACGCTATCACAACTGCACTGTTGATTGCTTCCCCTTGCATACCGCTGATATCGCATCATAGACTCAAGGCGCTGCAGCTGCAGGTGCGTATATATACTGCTAATCCACCTACGCAAGATCTGAAGACTGAATATATGCACGTTTTCAGACTGTATGTGGCAGCGTCCTTGCTACAATTACTGCCGCCTTCCAAAGGGGTACCTTCTTGTCCAGCCTAGGAGCTTCGATTTCTCAAACAGCCGATGGAATCCTCTCGATCGACGTGAGTAGCCGAACATAAATTAACCGACCTCCTCTTCTGCCCCTGTACCCCACATTCCCCTTTACCCCGCATAACTCTAACCTCCTGACCAAAATTAAGCTGACCTTGGGACCGATCATTTCTATTAATGCGATTATAGGCATCCTCGATGTTGGCCAAGACGATTCGTGAGATGGCAACATCACCGATCATGAATTCGATGGCCCCCCTCTCTAGGACTTGTGCGTTGACATTGAGTATTCTTGTGGAATCACAGCCGAAAGAGGGATGGATTGTTATCACGGAAACTATGGAGAAGCTCACAGCGCTTTCGAGAACAGTGGAAACTGACTGGATTCGAAGTCCATTGGCTAGTGTGGTTGAGGAGAGTGGAATTGGTACGCTGTTTCTCCAGCTGCGATTATTCGTGGGTCCTGATGAATTGTCCTAGCTCCGGATTCTCGTGAGCTTGCCGCGACGCTCTGGAACAACCTCAAGACACTCCTTTTCATGAACATAATGATTGTCCAATCAATACTAACCACGCTAGTGTATACTTCTCAACCCTCTCTGTCTTCTTCGGACACCTCTATGCGCTCACCTGCACCTTCATCCTACTCCTTCGCGTTAACCGCACTCCAGGTATTCTCTCATCTCTCTTTCGTGCTACCACAATTTGGCGGTGTTACATCTACGGCACAAGGAGGGTTTTCTGAGTTGAAGAAAGTGTTCTACACTGCACTTGACGTCATTTCGGCAGACAAGCAGGAAAGTGAACGGTTTGTCCATGAGTTGAGTAGCATTGAGCTTCGTGGTATGTGTAAATTTCCTTTGTCACCAGTCGAATTAACGGTCTGAGCCTTTTTTAATATAAAGCTAAGACCACTGAGTTACCTGTGCACGTTCACCACGCGAAGAAAGCCTACTCCCTGGCTTGTATCGAACAACTGGTTCCCGTGTTGAGCGACGAGTGTATTCGAACAGATGTGTATCCTATGTGTAATCCGTACGTCTTGCTCACCCTTTCGTTCGATAAAACTGCATTTTCTGACGGACTATGTGTAGACACCTGTCAGACTCGACCCATCGAGAAACCTATGAGTCCGCGCATTCAGTGATGCTCGCGATCTTTGCCTCTCATGCACGAAAGGCCGCTGGAGGATATATTTCGGAACCTTTCGCGGAGCAGATCGTGCCGTTCTATGCTCAGTGTCTGCTCGATGTACGTAGTCCTTCAATTGCTTACCTTCATTGTTGTGCTGAATCCTTGGTAGAACTCTGCAGATGGGCAGTTGAGCACGACGCAGCTCTGTCTTGCATACGCCGCCCTGGTTCGAAGTGCTGGTGCCTTCGGAACCCAGAAGGAGTCAAACCATGAATCTGGGGATGCCTTTACATGGTACTGTCTTCAAGCCCTTCTCGATCGCATTCATTCTATATCGACGCAACGGCCCCGTTCTGATCATCTTCATCGTCTTCACCTCACGCTCGTTGCGACTGTACCTTCTGTTTCCCTCACCCTCCTACCCAGACTTCTTGACGAGATACAGACCGTCATGCGGAACACCACGGAGTCATCGCGTCGAGAAGAGCTCGTTCATGCACTGTTCAAGGAGCTTCTGGAAAATGTTGGTGACCAAGAGAAGGAGTATGTGATGCGATGGTGGTATGAGCATCAAGAAGAGTTCGGTGTTGTTCGGACCCAGGCTCAGAGGCATAACGTTGCCACCGACGTGCCCGAGCATGACGTTCAGCCTGACCTTGTATCTCATTTGTAACAGAGTATCAGTTTATCCGTTGTCGGATCCCTGTGGGTCGAAAGCACGGACGTTCAGTATGTCGTATGAACTAGGCTCTTGCGTACCTTGGGCGAAACGGATTTGACTGACCTGGATTCTTGGTATTTACTCGGAAGCTGAAGGTGAAACTGTCAGGTGTGGTGGGTTCAATCGTTGTACGATCAAAGACTACTGAATTGACGAGTTATTAGTCTTCTTCACAGACCCACCATGAAAGACAGTCATTCATAACGAGTTGTACACTGCTGTACAGTACGATAGACTTGTCTGACACTCTTCAACTTTGGTTACGTCATGTTTCCAATGGCCACTGGCAAAGCAGATCGCCTTCGGCCGATCGACTACACGTACCAGTGTCTACATGCTGAACATTGAGGCATTTCTGCCAAGTCTAGAAGCACATGTGTTTCCTCATATGATCAACCGAGGGATGTCGACGCTACTTTCGTAAGTAACACCGTTTGTCATCTGTACTGTCCATATCGATGTAAACATCGGCTATGAAAGGCCAATGGAAGGTATTTCTTTCTTGTTTGAGTATTTTCAGCGACCTACACGTGCCTTCAACAACATACAGATTTGAATATGTGCAGGTCACTAGTGCTTGCCTGGACCATGCAATTGGTCATCCTTTGGACAACTGCAAAAACCTCGCAGAAGTTTCGCAACCCTTCGGAGCATTCATGCCAAGTTTCAGCGAAGTCAGGCCCCTCAGGGTAAATCTGAGGGCTTTTCGGCCAGGCAGAGATACAAGGATTTTCCTCGAATCTTGAAGTCTCTTCCGGTCAAGGTGTTCAGGTGGTCAAGGTGGGTCAGCCATATTTGGCTTCACTTTCTTTGCGATTTTCCTACTGATGCGTCTTTCGGAACCAAAGCGGTAGCGCTCACTAAACGCACTGCATACTAGGCTGTACAGCTCTGTCATGCGTTTGTCATCACAACCAACGCATGTCAATGCTTAGCAGGAGGTTCTAGGTGAGCAGGTGGCCAATTGTACTGCGTATGTCGCAATGTTTGGTCGATGCAGACGGTGTAATGGCTTGATCCATGCGATCATGTTGAATATTTGTGCGGTGACCGGATGTCCGACCAGTACTTAACAGTATAAAGCCCGAGGGTCAATGGCTGTCATGACCCATTGACTTGCCTACAGCAACTCATCATTTCTACGACTAGTTACGATGCTTCACAACGTTTTCGCTGCCTGTGCCCTTCTGGCTTCTGTCGCCAGTGCACTTCCTCAGTACCCTGCGGCCGTTTATGACAAGGTAACCGCTGCAACCAACGTCATTGATTGAACAAAGGATCTCACCTTTTCTGTGTTTCAGGTTGCCCGTGGCTTCGATTACAAATCTGCAGCTCTGACCTATGTCGGGAAACAATGGGGTGTCGTTCCCTCCTATTCTCTTCAGTTCCAGTCAGTCGTGGAGGGAACGGACACGACATCTGCTTTGCTGCGCCAAGCGCAAGTACGTGGGACGTTTTTCCCGGATTGAATAGGATTCTGATATCTACATCGCAATCTCCCGCAATCAGAACGGTGTCGCTATTGATAACACCTATGCCACCGTAGTCTTCGATCAATCCTACAAGATCATTGATTTCGAAGGCAAGAAGGCAGACTTCAGTATGTACCAGCATTGCGCCTGTCAAGTCACTCTACTTACTTCCATACCCGCAGCCTACGTCTACAACAACCTGCCCTCTATCAGTCTTGACGCCGCTATCGCTGCAGGAGAGCAGGCTTTGCCTGGAGCGACGTACACCGGAACCTGGAACAACGACTTCGCATACCTCGCGGTCCCTGGTGCTGCTCCTGGCACCCGTGACACCGGGCTTGTCTTCAACTATGTCATTGGGTTCAAGGACAACAAGACGGGTGTGGTGAATAAAGCTTATGTCGACGCGCTCACGGCACAAGTCAGACAAATTTAATAATGGAGACCGATTGACGAATTCTTGTATGCAATGCTACTTTTCATAACTCGTTGTAGCTGTAGTACATAACCATCATGACTAAATCGAATCTGTTGTTTTACAAACTTCACTTTCCTCAAGCTTCTATGGTCACTTTGTTCTACGGTGAAGAGACCGATTAATATGTGTATCACTGAAGGATAGCAAGGCCTAGGTGTGCTAACCTTGTAGAATGCAACATGATCTTTAATGTTACTAGCCGCGGCCTTCGGCTCAGGGTAATACCTAGACAAAAGAAGTTAGCGATGAATCTAACTCGTTATCTGATAAGCTGGGGCCTACCATGCCACATCTTTGATCGTATTACCATCAATTGTGGCATCGTAGTATGCTGCAGTCCTGGTGTGAACGTTATGAATTGGTAATGTACTTGGGGCTCGGATTTTGCGTTCACTTACCCCTTCCAAGGGCATACGGAGCTACGGGTATCATCAGATAAGACGCTACACTCCAGTCTACTAAAGACCAATATCTCACCTGGTGGAAGAAGGTGAAAAGAAGTCTTTGTTAACAGTGTCAGGAGGGAAGTAGTGGTTGTTCTCGACGATGACGGTCTGACCGGACTCTGCCAGAACCTTGCCGTTGACAATTGCTTTTACCATGATGCTGTCTGTATGAGTGTGGTACAGCGTAACTGATCAGAGGGGGTAGTATATATACCTGAGAGCAACGCTCACGTCACTGAAGCAAACAGTCACTGAATTGGGACTTCCGAACACAGGCTGACCAATACCTCTCCAAGACCCCGATAAGTGACATTTCAGCGGGCCGCAAATCACCCACAGACCCTCAAGGCGAGTTGCAAATGCATTAGCTTGCACAACGGTACATACATCGCAAACCATAGTAATCCAGGAAATCCAGCAACCAATGATATTGAGATGTAGTATAAGGTAAGAATGTCGAGCAACAACGTAGCTGCGGGTATCAGGAGAATGGGATCAAATGCGTGACCTTCATGTGGCGGTCTTTTGCTGTGAAACATACCACTGGATATTACTAGTCAGTATGTGAATTTCAAGACGAGGATGTATGCACGTACATCGAGCATCCTATCAACGCCCTCCTGCATGCCGACTATTGGCTCATAGCCCAGCAACCGCCTGGCCTTCTCGATGTTATACCAACGAGAAGCACAACTGAATGTGATACGGAACCTAGTGAATGTAGGCTGCTTGCCAACAAGCCAACCCCACCATTCAGCAGCGCCTGCTAAAGCTAACCCGACCTCCCTCGAAAGCACAATCCGCTTCCTCTGTGTCCGATGTTCGCCTCTGAACTGGTCAAGACGTGACCACACTAGGCGAGGGAGATCCCAGAAGTAAATGGGTTCGCCGTTTGTGATGAAGAAAGCTTGTCCGGCCACTGACAAAGGAGCGTCGCCTCGTTCAAGAGCATTCTCTGAGAACTGATCGAAGCGAGTACGTCGCGATGGACGTTGTGCTGAGGCTTTGTAGTCGGGATCTCTCCAATTTGACTCCAGTTTCTCGGCGTCAGGCGGCGGAGTCACATAAGGACCTAATGGCCGAGCTTCTGAAGTAGGAATACGATGTTGGCCTGTAGTAACGGAGATAGGCGGAAGTGCAGTTGAAGAGAACTCATTTCGACGATGATTTAACAACTCTTCTGACGGAGGTTCTAGGTTCAACTTGTCAGCAGCAAGGAGATGCGCATGGGCAACATTGCCAACGTAAGTCCAGTCGAAAAGGTTGTTATTGTCGCCGACTTGGAAGTGAGTGCGGTTACTTTCGTAGACGTCACGTAGACCAGCCATGACTTGTCGGTCACCAGGTCTAAGCGAAGGTCAACATGAGTCGCAGGACAGTGCTGAAGCACACTCACCCAAAGATACCTGCTGGTCTCAAAGCGACCGTAAGCAGGCCTTTCACACCATTCGCCTCCAGAACCATGGCTTCAGCTTTAGCCTTTGATTCGTTGTAGGCGTCCATGGCTTTCGCAGGGTAGGGTACACGTTCGTCCACGTTAATGAGATCCTGACCGTTAAATACAACACCTGCCGAGCTCGTGTACACCAACTTCCGCACACCCACAGCTTGTGCAGCTGAGATAACAGCCCTTGTGCCGTCGACATTAACCTTCCAGTAGAGTGCGGGATCTTCCAGTCCGTGAGCGGGAGACGCGGTGTGAATGATACAAGTAGCACCACTCTGAAAACAGATTAACCGTCAAACTACGGTTAAGATGAACGGGAAACAAACCTTTCTAAGTGCGTCCGCAACTTGCTCTCCCTCGCTTATATCTCCAGAGAAGAAGGGGACATCGTGGTACCTCTGTACAACGTCGAAGACATAAACAATGTCTCCTCTCGCGAGCAAAGCCTCGACAATATGTCTTCCGAGGAAACCACTGCCTCCAATAACAAAATAAATGTCGCGAGTACTTGAAGACATGGCGGACAGAGCTTGCTGGTCGTACAAGCGCGCAAAGGTGGAACGACGAAAGCTCTAGCCTCTATGCAGAAAAAAAAGAAAAATTCGGATACAGGGAATCGAACCCCGCGCTTCATTGTAATAATAATAAATCCAGCGAGAGCCACTAAATATCCGAAATCTTTCATGAAAATATCCTCCATAGGCTAGACATAGGAAAATGATACCATAGATTAAGCATGAACGGTGGAGATGAACAGTGACTCTAGCGTATCATGAGGCTCAAAGGTAGGTAAAACCACGATATCATCTGCTTGACCTTGAGCGAGTAGCGCAGCTCCCTCCAATGGTTTATTAACCCCAGGTTGTCTCCGTAACAAATTGAAAGTCATGGGTAGTCTTCTACTAATTTTATGGTCAGCTTCGGCCATCATCAAGCTCCCAACCGGGAGAAAGACAACTTCCAGAGGTATTGTTTGAGGCGGGGTTTGCAACGCCGGTAACGCCATAAATGATTCCGAGCCCACTCCAACACCGATGGCAACAATGATACAGAGGAGCTTAGAACCCGATGTGAGGCGTTAGGAGCCCTACTAGTGACCTTGGCGGTAAGTATGTCCACACCAGCGACGGAAATTGGAAGGGATGTTCTAGTGTTTCATCCCCCTGTTCAGTGGTGACCCAGCCTTGACATATACACGTATACGGCCGTTACAATGCGTCGCGGAGGAAGATCCCCAGAGGTCCTCGCCGAGTTCCTCGAATGATTCGGACAGTTTCTTTTCCGTGGAGCCGAGGTGCATCTTGTTTAATGGTCTGGAAAATCAGGATAAGATGATGGAATGACGGAGGTCCTCATTATGATTACTTGAGCCAAGAGACAATTGGATGGAGCTATAGTCTGCTATGTACTCATAGTCAGGCTTGCAATAGGACACCGCTTCAAGTGTTTTCTTTGAGGCCGATACACGAGATTATGGGAACGATCGTGTCGACAGCAGGTGAGCGTTGAAAGTCGGTATTTCCGCCGGCAGCGCACACTGATCAAGCGTGGTTCCTGGGTAGCGTGCTCGAAGCCAGATTATGCGATTATGATATTCATATGCAGTACCTCAAATGGCGAGTCCAGAGGTAACGAGCACGTTCTGGTCCAATTGTCGAGTGTGCGTTAGAGAAAATCACAGGGCAATCAGATTGGTGAATAATTTCATCGTGGATGAGCGGACGTCGGACGGTCACAAATGCGGAATTTTGGTAGAGCTTGTAGTATCTCGAGAAAAGCCGGCGGGTGATTGCTATTGCACGTATCGACAACTGGCCATGGGTATAACTTGAGTATAATCGAAATTGTTCGAAAAACTTGATTCCCAACCACTGTCAGAGCTTCTGACGAGTCTGATGTAAGTAATAACGGTGGCTTCAAGAGACGTTACAACAAACAACCATGGAAGACTGGTGCGTCTGAACGGCACCATCTTCGTTAGTTGGCCTCCGGACCCACGGTCGTCCGCACAGTACTCCTGGCCTAAATTAGCACATTGAAGGTTAGGCGTACCTTGCAGTGGGTAACTCATCAATGGCTACACTTTTGAGATTAATGAGTAGTAATCCTGCCAGCGTATACTCGGTGTTTGAAGAACAGCATCTCTGCAAGGAGTCCACTAGATGTTACCTGCCATGTAGGCGTTGATACCAAATGTGAAGTGTTGTAAGGAGATGACCCAGATTATGTGGTTCCTGCAACCTCGATAATGGGGGATTGCCGAATCACTAGAGCGCCGCGGGATCAACTGGTACAACATTCTGTGATCTAATGATCGGCTATTGTTTTTGCTTCGATCTAGATGTTCTATCTTATGGTAAGCCCTGGTAAGTCGTCGGACACCCCGAACTAATACAAATTCTATTGCTCCGCGTGTTTGTTTCTCCACCTGAGCCTCGGGCCTGACTAGGGTCGAATTGCCCAGAATCGAAAGGGCACCGAACAAAAGGCAGTTGCATAATGATCGGCGTCTTAGGACACCAACAACAAGAGTAAGATACCGGTTTCAAACTTTGCCCCTTTTCCCGGGCTCCCACATAGATTTGGTTGTATTGATGAAGTCGAAGCTTCTAAGTTAACAAGGACGGGATTACGCACAGTCCTGCTCATCCTATTCGTTCGCTTCTCCTCCCCTCCAGGGGAATGGGATGGAGCCATCTCCCTCATCTTCTTTCCCTCGCGATCGCTACGTGTTAGCCGATATCGTATTCAGCGAATTTGCGCCAGCAATTGCTCAACAAAGGCGCCGCTAACCGCTTGACATTTCTGTTCTCATATATACACTGCTGCCTGTGCAGCGTTGACCCCTGTCCGCTTTTCATCCTTCGGCTGGAACCATGGGGCAGTATGATACTACGCTAGGTGCGTGAATGTCTCTGTACTCTTGAAGGGATTCTAAGTATAATATGCAGGCACCTTCCTCGTTGGCATCATCTGTGAGTGGTAATGATGTCTATCCGAGCCAGGTTGACTGAGTCGATGCGGTATAGTCAACACCTATCTCTATGGGTTGGTGACGTTCCAGTTCGCGAAGTACTGGCGAACCAGTAAGTTTTACTCTCAGATAACTCTGTATTCAAATAGTTATGACTTGTGCAGAGTTCGATGATCCCCTTGCGATCAAGTAGGGCCTTGCAGCTTTGAGACAACGTATTGGTTTGACTAACGGATTTTATTTCTAGGCTTATGATCTTCTTTCTGTTTGTTCTTGATACTTTCCACAGCATGGCGTATGTTTTCGTTAGCTTGTCACAAGAACATAGGCTGAACTAGGGCGCCATCATAGGGTGGTCTACATGCTCTGGTGGTACTGGTGAGTCACTGTCCGCGATTTCACTGTCCTCTCCAAGCTAACTCACCAGAAAAGTGTAACCAACTACACAAACCCATCGGTATTGGCTTGTAAGTCGTCCTCTATCTTTCTGCCGCCGTGGTCTAACGCTCACTGATATAGTTGGTCATTGGCCGCACATGTTCACCCCGATTGCGACCGCATTGGCTGCCGTCATGACACAGACTTTCCTAGGATATCGGTCTGTCGATGTTCTTAATAGGTTTAGCCCGTCGCTTACCATTTCCCCCTACCAGTATCTATCGTCTCTGTCGTAGCAAGATGATCTACGGTCTCATTTTAGTCATCGCCATCCCCGCTTGCGTATTGGGTATAATCACCGGTGTTCGCGCATTAATCATTCAAGTGTGAGTCGAGTCCTTCCCCCCGATACTCGGCTCTGCTGACGCCATTTTTGACAGGTTGGCAGGACTTCCCGTCTTAAATAATATTATCATCGGATGGCTCGCTATGCAAGTCGGGTGTGACTTCTTAATTACCGGTATGTATGTTTTTAAGGAATATATCGTGTTTACCGTTGACATCTGGTTGGTGAATTACAGGCATTTTGATATTTTTGCTTTGGCGTTCCAAAACTGGCTTCCGGAAGACTGATAGTGTAGTTAATCGTCTAATGCGTGGCGCAGTTCAGACAGGTCTCTTTGCCGGTATATTCTCCGCAGCGGACCTGGCAACGTTCCTCACTCTTCCGGAAACCAATTTGTATGGTATGTTTGCTATCCCCATCGGTCGTATCTACACCAATGTAGGTTCTCCCCATCCGTCTAGCATGACGGGTTGAAAGGTATTCTGAACTGATCGACTTGCTAGACGTTGCTTGACACACTACTCGCTCGTGGCGAACTGCGAGAGATCCTTGCCGGTTCTATTGATATGGATACTACTGTGGGTTGTCATTCTGTCATGTTATCTCAATGGTATTTACGCGGCTGCATATAGCAAGGTGGTGGACAGAGTACTGTCCAGTGGTCGAATCGCCCACTGCAACCGCAGGGTCTACAACTGACTGAAGTGTCAGTGCAGCAAGATGTTGTCACTTTTCACGATGATGCTCATGAACAAGAGCAGAGCGGCGACGAAGCTAGTTTCAAGAAGCCAGGGTCCATGCACATCCCCGTCTGAGGTTGATGACTCCTTTTGTCCCACTTTTTGCTTAAGTTGTCGTATATTGTCATATTGTTTCATTTTGTGCTATGGTCTGTCCATATCAGTTGTGCTCTCTGTGCTCTCCGCTCGCTTCTCTTTCTCATTCTTCACCTTTGTAGTGCTTACATCCCGAAAGACTGTATTGTACATATCTTTCACGCCGGCCTGACCCAGATCGAATAGATCATATTAGCTCGTTTAATTTACTCGTTCAACACCGTCTGTATCGTAAGCAACTAAGCGTCATTGTGGTGTTCTGATTATATACATTATTCTCTACAGTATGTGACATTGCTAATAACTTATGGCTTGCGTGATATCTAACAAGACGAGAACATGGAAAGCACAAGAAAGCAATATCCAAATAATCCAAATCGTATGCACATACGGAAAAGAATGCAAGTAGTGCTGCCGAATTATGGTCTCTGCAAGTCCACCTGTCAGAAAAGCTTCTCATAATGTGGACTGGCAACCTACCCTCTTAATAAATAAGGTATCCTCTTCCCTCTTCTGACGTTTCTTTGGTGGCCGTACTACCTTGGGCCTTTTACTGTCACCTTCGGACGGTGCTTGAGCTGAAGTAGTTGCTGTGTCTTCGTCCCGCGAGGCCCGACGCTTCCGTGGCGGCATCGACTGCCCAGATACGCCAGCCTGATTACTGGTTGAATGGGGGTTAGTGGTATGTGATTGTCCTAATGGTATCATCTTCATCCCGTTGATAACATCATCGACAGGTGACTGAGTCGGTATAGTTTGTGAATGATCAGTAGTAAGGGGTAGTGGACTAGGAAGTGAAGGTAGAGGTGTTGGTGGTGCAGAAGCCTTGGCAACCTTCAAAGGTCGAGCGATTGGTTGTGTGCCTGCAGAGGTGAAATAGGTGACATCCGCCTGCAAGAGTAATTAATACTGTTCCAACAAACAACAGAATGAGACCCACCTCATAGAGACACGACCTCTCCCTTGCATCCGCCACGATCGATCGCCAGTATTCATCACTCCTCTCCAATGTTGCCGCATGTCCGAGGATGAACAACGATGATCTCGCACGAGTTAGAGCAACATTCATACGCCGAATGTCTGGTAACAATATAAGTGACCGACCGTCCAAAGTACCAAAATCAATGGGACGCACCTGAAAGGAATCCAACCCTTGAAACACCGGGACCTGCACGGACGCATGACAAGATGATTATCTCCTTTTCCTGTCCCTGAAACCCATCGACAGTATTGAAATCGACGAGGTCCTTGATTGACTCTCCAAACTGACTCTTGAATGCTCGGCGCATTTCATCGACTTGGGCTTTGTACATAGAGACGATTCCAACTTTGAAGTCAAAGTCGTACGAGAACTCGCGGGTTAGACGGTTGTATAAGGCTATAGCCACTTGACACTCTGTCAAATTCTTTTGTGAACGTCTCGACGTAGTTTCTTCTTGTCCTCTGTGCACGTTATAGAAACGGTAGACACCAAATTTGGGATGCGTGTGCCAAGGTTTGCGGGTCTTCGTTGCCATATCTGGGCCGTCAATCAGTCGCCCATCATAGAAGAGACGGCTGGGAAGTCGACTGATTTCAGGGTGCATTCGATACTGAATACTAAAGAACAAAACAGTCACAAACGGAGCTAGACGTCAGAGGATATACTAACCTGAGGAGATGGACAACATCCGGACGCTGCTTCTGGAGGCGTACAAACAATGACTGGTTGTATGCGAATTTGCTGGCCTATATCGCGTCAATTTGTTAAGATGTCAAGCAGCTTTGCAAGTGTGATTACAAACCTCTTGAGATATCACTGTCGGGGGCAGCTGCTGTGGATCTGGATAATATTGAGCGGAGAGTTAGAAGAAAGTTGTCAACACATACCTCCCACCATAACGCAGCGAATGCAGCTATACTTCATTGGTATCAGAGAACTCAGCTCGATAGCTTGTGCAGCTTCGTCTATGACAACCATTTCGAACTCATACGGTTCCAGAAGCTCATGGCCCGCTCCGGAAAGAGTGGTACATATCACATCGGATTCTCGTAGTACCTCAGCTCGGTACTTGCGACCTATCGCATCCAGCGAGCGATTATTCGATTTCTCTTGATCTCTGAGCTTGTCCAGTTTGTGAGTCAATGCTGCTCGTCGTTGGTTGATACTACTGAGTTCCGCCTTTAGATTGGAGGATCTGGTGATGTTGTCATGAGTGTTCTTGATTTCCGTGAAGATAGATTCTCTGCGATCCTTGATAGAACCGAGTTCTGCACGCAGCAGGTTCATTTCGTTATTCGCAGAGGAAGATTGCTTCTTCGCTTCGGGGTTTGCCTCAAGTTTCGCTTTAACCAATGTGTCCAGGGCTACATCTTGCACACTGACGTTCATCGACTGCGGCGCGCCGACTCGTACAACCTTCGGCACCGTAGATTTGCGGCCTGCGCCCGAGATACCCTGCGTTAGTCGGTATGTTATCTCATCAATGGCGGCATTACTCGGAGCGCAAAGGAGAATCTTCTTGGGTGCCTCCTTTTCTGCTGGGCCTGCACTACGGCCAACGTGGACGGCAGTAGCTGGCTTCGGGCGGCGCGAAAGGAACATGTGCACTAATCCACATATAGTTGATGTTTTACCCGTCCCCGGAGGCCTGTAAAGAATTGAGAAATGAAGCCGGTATAGGATATGGCAAAGGTCGTACGTACCCTTGAATCAGAGAAAATCCGATAGTCTTCATAGCGGCAAGAATCGCTTTCGCTTGAGGTTCATTCAGATTGTACGAGGCCATGGTCTGCTGAATCTCTGTTTGATCGCTTGCTGTCTGCCTGGTCAAGTTCGGTCGCAAGATGGCCTCACAGAGATCATAATAGGGCAGTGCCATAAGAGCGGCATACTCTCGCAAGACAGTAGTGAGACTACAAATGGTAAAAGTCAGCCCATGGAATGTCTGAAGCGCGTTCTTCCTCACCTAAAGACCTTGCTGACTGTCCATCTTGAGTTAACTTGCGGCCCGGGCCCATTTGGTATCATCCGTACAGTAACCTGCAGAGCTTGGTTTGGTTGCGATTTGACATGCTGTGTCTTTGCAAGGAAACCTCTCTTGTGCTCCGGATGTTTTAGAAGGACAACGTCCGTGTCTGTAAGCTGCCAGTCTTTCCTCACACCTTCCTCTAGTGACAATTCCAAATCCATCCACTCATCCGTATACTGTCTACCAGATACGCGGCATTCGAAAGTGTCCTGATTCATTTCCTTGCTCTGTTGGATCTGAGACCAGCATTCCACGAACAGAAGCGGTTCGAATATATTCCGATAATGGCCAGGGTCAGAGAACCTGTCAGGAACGCGAAGCAGGGAAAGTTTTTCCCCCGGAGGTTCAGGTCCCGCATGCTCATAATCCCGTGAAAGGACTGCACGATGCAGATATGATATATCAGGCTTGAGGCGTTTAGCTGCACGACGGGGATCGTCCTGTCTACGCTGATTCAAACGATCCATTGTGGAATTACGTGCGTTGGTTGGGAAATCCATCACTTTTATTCCCCGCCGTTCCGCCTGACGTTTCACCTTCGGTGTACGTTGCATCCTGGCAAGTGATTCAAGAGTGTTTTCTTCATCATCTGACTCCGAACCGCTAGGTGACGTGGTCCACGCCGCGGAAGACGTGCCGCTATCCCTGCGTTCTTTGGTCGGTCCACTGAGTTTACTGCTCAGAAGGCGACCTGACAACACAGCGGACGGTTTGATGGAGCTCGTGAATTTAGGAATCGTGTGAGATGCGGCATCCAGCTTTCTTTGGTCTTCAGTACTGAAGAAGTCAGACTTCGTGGGCCTAGCCGCTTGTGAAGTTTGCGTTTTCGTGGACGGGATAATGTCCGCTTTCTGTGTCGAAGGACGTGTGTCAAGGGTAGTGACGAGGCGTGAAGGGCCTGCTCTTTCCGGTCTTAGGGTCTTCGCATGACTTGGATGCTTGGCTAGTTCACTCTTCGGTGCAAGCTTGTGCTCGATGATCTGCACCTCGTCATCTTCCTCAAATTGTAAAAGCTTCTCGTGTAGGTTCTTTGCTCGATTTGCATCCAACAAGGTTCCTCGTCTACCAGGGCCACTGCCTTGTGCGTCGGCGACGAACTTTCGCAGCTTCTGAAAGGAAACATCGGAGGGTTTGATGGTCGCTGTCTCTAAGAAACACGACAACAGGGTATCCAATAGGGCAAAAGATTGATGCAAAAGCTCCTCGTCTGTAAGACGAAGCCAACGAGTCAGTTCCAGCAGTACAGGCTGCAGGTCCTCCACCATCCGCTCTCTTATGCGCATAGACTTCTTTCCCTTGGAAGACGCCTCCGAAGGATTGTAGCCAGATGCTGCCATTTCAATGACTTTTCGCTGTGCCAACATGTCTCTCCCGAATATGAGGGCATCGCGCATCCACAAGACCATCTCTGCGTTATTGAAATATGCAGCCCATCTTGGAGTTCTGGAGAAGATGACGGTCAGAGCTTTGGTCATGTAATTCCACCAAGTGAGAAGCGAGTTTGAATTGGTGTCAATCTCGAGAGACTTGAGGAAGTTTTCCTGCAGAAGTAGGCCGTCGTCCTTCGAACACATAACATCAATTATGTCGGTGAGGCATAATGCGAGCGATTTCGAAACGCTGCATGCCTCCGGGACAATCTTCGCATACTCGGAAAATATCTTCAGGAATTGGAGGATGCCTGCCATCGTCGGACATGGATGTGACTGTAGCAGCTCACGGAAGCAGTCTTGCCGTGAATCGACATCCAATGTGATACCAACGATATTCTGAGCCGGTTCACGTAGATCTTCCATTGGCGAGAACATGAGCATCGTGAGGTGCTGTACCACGTCTTTTGTCCCGAATAACTGAAGCATAGTGCCCATGTCATTCAGTTGGAACCTGGAAGCAGCATCCGAGAAGCCAGAGCGGAATATAGTAATAGCAAAGTTGACTTGCTCCAGGACTTTTCTGGCAGAATCTAGGTTCGAGAACTGCTTCAAACTATCGCTGTATGCGACACTATTTTGCATGTCCGTATGGCTGAGTCGCGATAAGATGGAAAGCAGGATAGAGATCCCTTCGACGTCGCTCGGATCGATGGTTTTGTACAGCTGGGTCCAAATACGCTCTCTAATAGTGAGTGGGTCGGGAGGAGGAGAGTCTTTCGGTGGACGAGCAAGGGTATTGATTGCGATGGCTAGATCCTTTGTATCCTTCGTAAGTGCCAGCCTGACCAACCGCCTCACTCCAGCTCTCGCTCCCTTCCACGCGTCGCCAGAATAAAGCTTCGAGTTGCTGAATCCCACCGTCACCAACATGTTCGCGTGGATGTCAAGGCAAGCACAGGCAGCGTTCGTCTCAGGGCAGCTTGGTTTACCTTTCACATCTGGGTCAAATAGAACGGCATGCAATGTCTGCAGACATTGTAAGCAAACAAGGCATTATGAAAAGCAGGCTGGAAACTGACCTTGCATGCGACATCTATGGCACGAGGCCGAACGTCTTTGAACCTCTCGTGCTGTAGCTGTTCACAGAGACATTGTATTACTATCGGAAAGACGTCGGTAAATGCGGGAAGTTCGCCAGCAGCTTTGACAAACGGCTGTATCCATTCCAGGCACCACGAATCACTCTGGCCAGCGATTAAGTCTTCAAACCTAGGATTGTCCTTGACGGTATCGAAGATAACGACAGGAAACCCCGAATCCTCGTCCTCCAACAATGCTGGTCCAATTCTAGTGAGTAGAAGCGCAAAGCTCTTCAAAACGTGAATAAAATCTAGAAGGATTGTCGAAAAGAATCAGGAAAACTCCGTCAATTATCAATATACACAAGACAAGGAGAACTACACCTACGAGTGCCAATATCGGACAAATGCCCGATGACGACTTTGCGCACATCCATCTTGAGTATAGCGCTAGATTGAAGCCACTCATAGGGTACAAATCGAAGGACCGTAGAATAAGACGACCATAGGATGGATGCATCGTCCGTGACAGGTATTGAAGTAAGTCGCGTCGCCTTGGATTCGTTGGAGGGTGGCGCAGTAGCCACAATTGCGGAGACTTCTTCAAGCGCTTCGGCGTGCATTGGCAAGAAATGGTCCGAATGTATTGGAGTTGTCTTGCATGCTTGGACCTGTTCCGTTGCCCATTGTATGAGTTTGGACTTTCTAGCCATCATCAGAAGGAAAAGTCCGGGGGCAGGGTTATCACTAGGCCAATCCGAATATGGCTTTGGAGGTGGGTACGACTCTAGAATTTCCATTATCCTTGGATCACGCAGGACGAAAAGACTGGCACAAATATGGTAGACAAGTGCAGAAGGTGCAGAAGAAAGTGTACGATCTTCCTGTACTGGCGTGCCAGGTCGAAAGTTGGCTTCGGCTAGGCCGTCCAAAACTGAATTGAGCTCCCATACCGAGAGACTTTGATAGAAGTTGGTCAAAACATCGTCCGCGAATGCACCAAAATATCTGTGACCAGTAGAATGTCAACACTAGGTCCATTCATGCACAAACTAGAGCCACTCACGTATGCCGAGAGGTTGTCTTGATCTCCTGAAACTTCTGAATGCATGCATGACATCCAAAAAGACAGCGACGAAGCTGTTCCCTCCAAGCGTCCACTCGAGGACTATTGTATGCGTGAAGGCGAATTAGAAAGGTTGCAGTCTCGACTACAAGTTCATCCGCTTTGTGACAGAACCAGTGGAAAGGACGGTCTTCTGGCGTGTTATCTGTCAGAAGGAAGTTATAGAGAAGGCCCAAGACCTCATCTGAGGCAGATTGTGTATTTGCAGGGTTGTCGCGAAGAGACAGAAGTCTTGACTTGATATCCTCGACATTACTTGTCGGACCACCCATCAAACAATGCCAGCGCCCGTGATAGTATTTTGCGTATGCATGCGCAGTATGGAGTTACAGTGATGAGGGGTATCGAGTGACTTATTCACGAGGCAGGATAGGAAGATGGAAGTAGAGTGGTAAGAGCAGACGAAGTCGAAAGGACTTAGAAATCCGACGCGATCGAGCTCATATTTCGTTCGTGACAAAGACATAACGAGATGTCACACAAGCGTGACCTGTCGTGACCTAGGTGAGCGCTTGTTTTTCTGCCAGGTTCAAGCAAGGGTTCAAGTTCTCCTTGTGCTGTGAGTCAATTAGCAGCGGATCCTACTGCCAAACCCATCCCCGCCTTCCTATCAATCGCGATGGACTCAGCCAACCTTGATTTTATTAACCGAATGCTAGAACAGGACTCTGAACTGAGAGAGGTATCATGGTCGCTCTATCTGAGATCGGTCGGCTCACTCAATCATACGTTCTACGTAGAAAATCAAGGATCAGGTCACAGAATTTGACAAAAAGACTCGTACTATGACCGGCTTGTTGAACAAGATACATTCGACGCCAACTGCACAATGTAGGGGCCCTAGAGCCTGACTTCGTAACGCATTGACGATGTCGGACCGTATCAGTACCCCTCCTATTGGACTCCGTGCAACCTATCCTAGAGAGCTGCAAGGAAACTACAGGGGCTATAGCAAATTTGGTCCCAGCAAACCAGTTCTGGCGTTGGAAGGAGATGTGGTCCATCTCTTTACGCAATGCTGTATTCTCGGCCACCTTGATCGAGTACCTTAGAAGCGGAACCCTGTTGACCCTCCCCCAAGTCAGCGACATCCTTGGTAGTAAGTGCTGTGGACCCCCTGTGAGATCAAGATCAATGGTGATTTGTACATAGTTCAGCCCGAATGGCAAGACAAGTTTACTCTCGCAGCAGAAGATTATCTACACGGGCTTATATCTCTCGTGAACGAGCTGGTATGTCTCTCGATGTGTAAGCGTCGATGAATCGAATACTCATGCTTGCACGCAGTCTCGTTTGGCCGTGAACTCTGTCACCCTCGGCAATTACGAGGAGCCTCTTAGGATCTCCGCCTTTGTAAAGGACCTCTTCGCTGGGTTCACAATGGTAAAGCCTGCCCCTGTAGCGTGCTGATTAACGTGTTCATGAAGTTTCAGTTGAACCTGAAAAACGACGCACTACGTCGACGATATGATAGCTTGAAATACGACATCAAGAAGATCGAAGAAGGTGCGATGATTGTTGCTCTGCGTTTGCATATTTTAACTGCTCGCAGTCGTATATGATATCTCCTTACGCAAGCTTGCACCGGTCTCCGGAAAATAGTCAGCTCCAAAAAATTCTTCTCATACTTTCTTTGGTAGTATGATTCCAGCTCCATTCGTCTCGAGCTGTAGTCTACTGAACACTAGATGCTTTTATCGGAGGTAGCTCCCATCCTTCAGGACCAAAACGGGGAATCACCATTGATTCACCGTCTTTGTTCTGAACGGGTTTTGAAAGTGTGCATAGGGTTTTGCCCAGACTCCATAACCACGCTGGATTGACGGTCGTAACACCTGTCAAACGATCAATCAGTCGACTAGCACGAAATAATAATACATCGACATGCCTTTGATAAAGATACGAGATGTTCGGACGACCTCAAGATAAACGACAAAGTCCGGTGGCGGCATGTTGGCAAGGACAGATGATGGATGGATATAGACATCTTCGGAGATGCCCATGGCTCGGTATGGTACTCCTTTCGATGTTGTAAACTGTTGGCCCGAGGATGGGGATATCTTGTCCTTTCGTACGGCTACTTGATCAATGAAACCAGCCGCGAGCAACTGCCTCAACACCTTGAGCTAGTAACCAAAAGTATTGAGACCCAGCAGTTAACTGATTTATGATAATATGTAGATACCTGAAGACCGCTTGGTGGCTGAAGGTTCAGCACAAAGCCTACACTTGCATCGGGGAAATTCACTTGAACGATATTGCTGATTTGAGCGCGCAACTTGTGAATCTCTTCCATAGCCTGGTCAAGAATCAGATACGATAATATTTCTCTGCAAAGAGCATCCATACCTTGGGACGGACAAAATGTTCGGCGCAGAACTTGTGACCTCCCCCTGCGTATTCATATGCACCCACGACGGAAAGAATACGAAACACGTCGCTGGAGAAGTTTCCCAAAGACGCATGCGTCTGAATAAATAATCAATGATAGATCAGCATAAGAAACAACAGAACGAACCGCCTGTGATTGGAAGAAGGCTTTCCGCCGAAGCCTTCGAGCCTCCTTAGCCTTAACAGCTTCGTTAGTCAGGTGAGCGAGAGATTCGTCCTCTTCTTCAGAGTCGCTGTCGTTTCCCTCCAAAGCTTCTTCACGTAGGAATGGATCACCAACGGACAGAGCAGATACGATGGCGATAACGTATGGTAAACAACCATGCTGTCGGCCGCTGACCAACATCCTAGAATAACGAGGCGAAAGAGGAAAGAGAGCCATAGCCCTTCCGATATCGGTGATTTGCCCATTGCCAATAACAGAAGGCGAAGGGGTGACAGCACCGAGATGTGTTAGAATGGTTTCCGCCTTCTTTAGGTTGAGACGATCCGGAGGAGTCGGGAAAGGAAAGTTAATGACGGCGTCGACATGCATGCTCTTCATCTGCAGGACAACACCTTCAATTGGCATACGAACAATTTCTGGCTGAGAGAACTGCTCAAAGTAATTCTCGTATAGAGCAGACGAATACAGGCGGTAGCAATGACCAGGTCCTGTTCGACCAGCACGACCCGCTCTTTGTGCTGCAGACGCCTTCGAGATCCAGGTGACTTGAAAAGCTTGTATGCCATTTGTAATGTCGTAGCGTCTCTGTAGTCAACTTCAGCCTTAAGCCACACTTTCAGCATAGAGCGACAGACCTCTTTGGCTCGTCCACAATCTACTACATAGCGGATCCCGGGTATCGTGAGAGATGTCTCAGCAACGTTAGTTGCCACCACGACGAGGCGGGACCCGGGAGGTGGAGGTTGGAAGACCCGCATTTGCTTATCACTCGGCAAGAGAGCGTATAGGGGTACAATGTGCATAGGACCTGTTCATTCAGTCAACACAGGGCTCAGTGGGGGAACTAAACGACATACTATCAGTCTCTTCCGTGTCGATGCCTAGGTCTTGATTCTCGTTCGCTTCATCGTCGCTATCCAGCGCGTCCTCGTCCAGGTCAGCATCAGCTTGTTCACCGTCAACATCAAGCGCCAAATCCGCAGGTTCTGACAGTCCAAGTTCTACATCCTCAGCCTCTACATCAGCTGCAGGATCCATCAGTATAAACATGATCATATGGTACGCTAGAATACGAACCTTGAGCCGGAGCTACCGTAGGTCGGCGGGGTGTATCATCAGCTGAAGCATCTCTATTGGCGTCTAGACGACGAGCAGTCCGTTTCCGTTTCTTCTCCTCTAAAGCTTTTGAACTATACTTGGCTTCTAACTTCCTGCAAACGCCTGAAATTTCATTCTGGCCTGTCAGGAAGATGAGAATGCCACCTGGAGGAAGCCTAGCGTGTATCTTGCTCGCTTTGCGTATCGCTTCAGAGACGTAGTCGGATGGTGTGCGTCGGCTGAAATGGATGGTAACCGGATGTTGGCGCGCAGGAACGTTGATGATCGGGGGTGGAGTGGGGAACAGGGTGGTGTTCTCGGCAAAGTCGGCTACACGTAGTGTTGCAGACATAATTATGAGTCGAAGAGGCTGAGAAGAAAGAGCAAATCAGCATGCGTCTAGTAGAAAACTGGAGGGTTGGATCGTGTACCTTTGCGCCATCCCTCTTCTCTAACCACATTTGTTCCCTCAGCTTAATGACTCGGCTAAGAACACCAATTAGGATATCCGTGTTCATACTCCTCTCGTGAGCTTCATCGATGATGATCACGGAATATTTAGTGAGCAAGAAGTCTGTCGCGAGTTCTCGGAGAAGAACACCGTCGGTCATGAACTTGATAGATGTATCGGACGACACAGTAGCATCATATCGAATTTGATACGACACTTTTGATGATGTAAGGGACAATTCTTGAGCTACACGAGACGCCATGGACATGGCAGCAACTCGACGAGGTTGGGTTACGCCGATCATACCAGGGTTGTCTGAAGCATATGGTATCAGCGCGACCCGTAAGATAATCAAATTCATTTTGACGAACCACTTCCTGGAGAACCGAAGCCAGCTTCATAAAGAAACTGTGGTACCTGTGTAGTCTTCCCGCTACCAGTCTCACCACAGATGATTACGACGCTATGTAGCAGAATAGCTTCCATAATTGGCTGCTCCTCGGCAACAATAGGTAGCAATAGCCTTGCTTCCTCCACCTCTGCGGGTCTCGCGACGGTAACGACCTTTCGCTTCGCGGAAAGCCCTTCAACGTTGCTCGATGACTCTTGAAGTTGCCTAGCAAAGGAAGTGTTAGGCAGAGCCAAATCTTCTCCAAGCGGACCACGAATTTGTCCAGGTTTGGAATCAGACTCGATTCTGCGTTTCTTGGGAGGCGGTGGCGCAGAGTCTGTGAGCTCTACAGGCGCAGGTGCAGAAGGGTCCGGTATGGGGGCCACATATGCCTTAGCGGTGCTCAGCTGCTTCATAGCCCACTCCTTGAAACCTAAACGCTTGCGTTTTGTAGGTTGAGGGCTGTCTTCCGCAGGTTGCTCCTCAGCACCTTGCTCTTCCACCTCACCGCCTTCCGACTGGCCATCAGAGTTAGACTCTAGTTCAGCATCAGATTGCTCCTCCTCATTATCATCTGTGTCGTATGCCGAATCCGAACTATCGAACGAGGTATCCGATTCATCAGCAACTTGCTTCTGCGTGGCACCAGTCTTCCATGAAGAGAACGTCGTCTGTACACACATGTCAATGTAAAGCATATTCTTGATTGTAGACGCATATCCGAACCTTAGTCCCCCGAGATTTCTTCTTCTTGATGTTCGGTGCCACCACTTTCCCATTTGAATCCCGCTTCAAGGCTGAACCAACTTCAGGTATCTTCGCCACTGCTACCGCAGAAGTAGCCGGAGCGGTAGAGAATCCTGAGTCCACAACGACAAACGGTTTTGAGCGTGACTTTCCGAGTTCTTCATCCGAGTCTCGGTCATCTTGGTCGACATCCATACCTTCGTCGACATCTCTATCATCTTCACTTTCGTCCGTTACACCAGAAGTATAAGTTGCGCCCTTGCGTTTATGCTGTCGCTTCGAGGTTTGGCCATTGACGGCACGACGGATATCCTTGTCTTCCCGCTTATCAAGGATCTCTTTGTGTGTTCTGGCAGCACCTGTACCTAGGGTCGCAGAAGATTGTAAATCAAGTGCACTAGGGAGTTGTGCTTGACTCTTTCTTTAAAGCCCATGAGTGAAGTATGATAGCGGGAATGTCATATAACACGTACGTTAGCTTCTCAAAGAGAACCACCCGTTCTTCTTGCTTCAACTTCTTCTCCTATTGATGTCCGACATATGTTAGCGGGCGATCGAATATCTGAAAGTTGACATTACGAACAATGTACTTCTCCAATCGTTTTTTCTTTTTACTGTTGACTTTGGACTCCTGTTGAGCAATGAGCTAGGTATGATACACAACGTCAATTTAATCATCTAAAGTGTGGTTGCATGTATTAACGTACCTCCTGCTTTAACTTCTCCCTTCTATCCAACTCCTTCTGCTCCTCAGATTTCGGCACAATGACCTCCGCGTTAGGATCAGCATTTTGCTGGGCAACAGATGCCTCTCCAGCCGACCGAGATCGTTTCCCTTTCTTCTTGTGTGAACCAGCAGTAGCTTGACGAGCCTTCGCGTTATACCTCTCGCGAGTACGATTCATAGCCGTTCGGATAAGCAAAGCAAGAAAAACTAGGAATTATGGGAAGAATACAGTTTGACAGATGTACGGCCCGGCCCACGGCCTTAGAATAAGGTCCAAAAGCCAGAGTACAACGGAGTACCTTAACAATTGCCCGAGCGAGATTCGGAGTTCTTGCAAAAGTTCCCCGATCACTTTCAGCACCCGTGGGACATCCTTGGCGATCAATGTTACTATCCCGATGAGGTAGGTGTAGTAGTCATCTACAATAGAATATCGAACGTCGCCAGTGTAGCATCGCTATAAAAAACATTTCAGAGCATACGAGAACGCATAAGCATCATGAAGATACTACAATACAGCGAGTACGTTGCTAAGATTACACTACACGAGTTTAAACCGATTGATACACCAGGCACATCACGAGAGAACCAGCCCAACAACAGTAACGACAAACACCAACTCCAGCACTAAGAAATCCCAGATTCCGATTGTGAGTGTATGGACGCGTCATCCAGACGAGTGAGGTGATGAACGAAGATGACGGCCGACCCGGGTTCCAAAGTAACAAAAGTCAAGCACAGCTCGCCGCGGGTCAGCACCGGAGGTATCAAAGGAATATGAAAGAAGAAAAGAGAGAAAAAGAGAAAGTCGTGCTAAACGGCACGTCTATGGCACAAGGTCGTAGACGCTAGGTCTATGACCCAATGTGAGATTGTCGTCCCACGGCGAGTTGGCTTAGTTGGCTTTAGCGAACGCAACGAAAGCGTTGTAGTTGAAGATCTGGGGGTTGTCGGAGAACGTGAAACCCTTGGGCGATAGATCGACAACAGTTTGGCCATTACGAGTGAGGGTAGCGTGCATGGTAGAGCCGGGAGTGAGGGGAAGTTGGAGCTTGGTTACACCGGGCTGCACGATGAAGTCTTGAGAGTTGCCATTACCACTTGACAAGGTAACGGTACCAGGTGCGGTAGAGAAAACAGCGACCCACATGGCATCGGTCATCTAGCTCCAGATTAGACTCATGCCAGAATCACCTTGAGGTGAGTGTGAGTGCTTACGGTATCCGCATTGGTAGGCTTGCCAACGGGGTCGGGGGCGTTAGCATTCGTTGAGGTGGGGCGAGCCCAAGCGTAAAGGGCATCTTGAGCGATCTCAGGGTACTTGCCAGTCTTGAAAGCAGTAGCGTAGTAATTGGTCATATCAAGCCACCCTGAAGCATGGTTAAGGAGAAGAAAAAATGACATGAGTGTCAACATACCATCATGAGCATTGCCATCAACCCATGCTTGGGAGTTGGGCTGGGCACCCTTGACAGGAGCAATGTAGTGAGACTCGCCATAGTCATTCCAGGTAAGAACCTCGACGAGGTCGAACTCATCACGGTTCTGGATGACACTCTCCCAACGAGTATTGTAAAGGTGGCTGTCGGCGTAGTAGATGAACTGTCGCAGCAAGACATCAATCTCACATTCAGCGTTTCATCGGAATCAAGACTCACGTTCTTGTTGAAACTGTCAGCGCCATAGTGAGTGAAGAACCAAGGGCTAACGCTAGTCATATAAGCTTTAGCGCCGCTAGCGGAAAGGCCCTTCAAGCCGTTGATGCACGACTGGTCAGAATCGGTGGAACCAACAAACTTGGCCAATGTCTGAGAAGCAGTATTCAAAGCAGCTTTAACGAGAGGGCCAAGATGAAGGCCAACACCACCAAGGATGGAAGAGACCTTGGAGGAAGTTAAATCCACGGGCCATCCAGCATTCCACTACGACATCGATCAGTATGTTGTCAGATAGATGTTTCTGGACCACGTACGTTGAAGACACCGTCCATAGCACCACTCCATGAAGGAAAACTGCCAGGGTCAGCGAAGAGCGCTGGGACGAAGAAAACATTGCCATTGAGTTGGGAGTAAAACTGCGATTTCCAACCATTCTGGGGAGATCCAGAACCAAAGCTACATTTCTCGCCGGAGAACGTCGATGCGAAAACACGACCATCGTATTTGAACTGTGCGGGGTGGTCGGCGTAGGTAGTCACATAGTTGCGCAAGGCAGCCGCATCAGCAGGCGATCCGCATGGCAAGACGCTGGAAAGCAAAACAAAGCGATACATTAACAGTCAAACCTCCGCCGTCAAAGCAATTCACCCACGTCATGTCAAACGAGATGAACATCTTGAAACCAGTGCCAGAGGCTGCTGCAGCGTCGTAACTGAAATTGCATCATTAGATCAAGCACCAGCGAGCCCTAACTGTGACCTACGCCATCTTGACATGTCCAGGTTGCCAGTCATCGGTGCCGATGTTCAGAGCGAAAGCATCGATACCGGAAGCAGAAGCAAGTTTAACATCATCTTCGAAATCCTGTTGGGTATAAGGGAATGCATTGCCCATCATGAAATGGGCGAAGACAGCCTTGCCATTGCCGGCACGCTTAGAGAACGCGTTGTGAGAGAAAGGATGCGAGACGGGAATGGCGTTGACGAGGGCGGTGGCGCAGAGTCCGAGAACAACAAAGAGCGTAGTGGCGTACATGATCAATTCAGTAACTTAAGAGAGTGTCTTGTACAAAGAACGTGGGGGAGGAGGGACCTGGGGAGGGAGAAGGTCAAGGACCGCGCGAGCCACGAGAGGGTCGGGATTGAAGTTCAACATAGCTCTGGAGGAGAGTTTTAAAGGAAGAAACGGAACAATGAACCGACTAACCGTGTTTGGGACAACAATCGCCATCGAGGCCTGAGGATTGATAAAACCTTCCGGCGACGTTGAGTGATGCGGGTTGGCCCTGTTTGTACGCCCAAATCGGTAGCTTCAGGTTCGTTTTGTTCTCACATCAACAGCGCCCGCGCCTTATCCCCCTGACAACAAAAAAAAAGTCGAACTTAAGCCTCAAGCGCATTTCTTTTCTGCACAGTCTTAATTGTCTTCTTCATCTCCGAGATCTCAGATGTTTGCAAGTCCCGCAGAGTCGTCAACACGACGACCTTTGTGCGACACAGAGCGTACCTCCAGTGACACTCTTCATGGGCGTTGAAGGGATCTCCAGAGTGCCATGCGGGCCTTTTACGTGGATTTGTTGTGGCTGCGAAGATAGTTCGCATAAGGGCCTGACAGGCCGCGACGTCGGCGCCCTCTAAACGGGAGTGTTATCCGTGACGGGCACTCCCATGATTGATATTCGGTGTACTTTGTTTTGGAGCACCAGCTCATAAACATAGCGAAGTCTGCGGAAAGGATACGATTTCAATTGTTAGACCAGCAACGCATTCTGACAACTGGTCAATGGTGGATAAGCAAGTTGAAGCAAGAGCCCCGGAGTCGGACAAATGGCTATTGAAATTGATCGATCCCGATTACGGACCCTAACCCTAGTGAACGCCTAGTATAAGATCGTACGCTTTACTAATACCTGGATACTTGGACTTACGCGTTCACTGCATTTGAAGCTGACCCTTACTGACCTCCAGTCTGAAATTTTTATGAAGTAGTTCTTCATTTCCACGGGCATTCCAACAACATAGCAATACACTCACCATGACAACACGCCGGCGAGCAAATAGTATGACAGACGCATTTGGAATGAGACGTGAATACCGGGAATTGCTCCAGAACCATCCAGGAATCGCGACTGCTCTAGCGGAATCCTTGACTAATGTAGCTATCCTTGGCCAGCCCAGTCGTCTGTTGGTATCTTACAAATCCGTTGCGTCGACATCGCTGTCACCGCTGATATTTTTGTTTCATCTTTGTAGCAAGATTGATGAATTCTTGTCGTCGTTACCAAAGCTCACCGAACAGGATATTGTTACCTCAGAGTTGACGGGTTCGCCTTTCCATTGTACTCGACAAACTTCAACTTATCACGCCTGACTATCTTGACAGATGCCTCCTGTCCCATCTGCATAACGCCCTTCCTTGCACTTCTTGCAGAGGAAGAGATGGCGGTTGCCATGGAGTCTCCGGCACACCACACCGAGGAACTCGGAGTTACGAAGCTTCAGAACAAATGTGGCCATGTGTTCTGCAGAAAAGAGTTCAGTGTCCCTTGATCTTTCTATCACAGGACGGTTTATCACTCATGCACATCAATTTGATCACTAGTATACAGAACTGGTTGCGCGGTGGTGTACGTTTGATTTACCTTCTATTTGATCTACTTACCGACGAATTACTTCTCTTCAGCACAATTCATGCCCCACTTGTCGACGCACTCTTGTTGACGTAGCAGCACAGACTACACCTTTCAATGTTCAACCACCCGCTGTCGCCGAGATGATCGCAATGTTGGGTCGAGTGGATCCATTTGACCCAGTGGGAGCTCGAGACCTTTACGAAGTTATAGATGTTGACGTAGACCAAGTCCCTGAAGCTGACGACTTGTTCGCAAACACCGATATTCGTCTTCAGGCACAACCAGCTCCAGGCCAAGGTGAAGAGCATGATGATAGACACGAGTTCACCTCAATGTATTCTTGATTTTCGTATTCGGTGGACGGTTACCGTTTCCTATCTTCTCGGCTGGGTTGTACAATAGGTCTGTGGCTCATATTGTAATCGTGCTAGCGTTGATTACTCTTAGTATAACCCCCTACTCAGCTGTACTATACCTTAGGCTTTAGCTTCCAAATTTCAGCTTTTTCTTCTTCACCTTTTGGGCGACCATTTATGGGCTTACAGCTTTGATGGCATCATTGCTTACGATCACGATCAATCTGACGTCAAGTACACTCGCCTAGACTGAAATTCGCCAAATCTCTTTCTGCCTTTCGCAACTATGTTCGAACCTGATCGTTCGCTGTTGAATCCAAAGTTTAACAGTTACGTACTTCATTCCTTGGATCAAGACAAGGCCATCTCGAGATATCCGCTCAGTAACAAATTATCTCAGACAAACATCTCTGGTCGCTCGCCCCTATCCTTCCAGGAGGTCCAGAGTCGGATTCGTCACAACCACCTTACCGTAGGACCCAATGGTCGAGCAGTGTATGTGGACTCGGACTTCAAGTTGATCGCTGCCGATGTCGACGAGGTGTGTAGACGATATCGTTCTTACCTTATGAACTGGAAGAGGACTGAGTAGTATCTTATCGAAGTAGGCTACGCTCGTGCCGAGCTTTCATACACTTTATGAGCTGCCTCGTCCAATCCAGGCATCCACAGTGGACTCACCTCATCGTGAATACCCATCTGCTGCTTTCATCAATGTGGACAATCTGCTGGTCTCGGATGGATACGGCAGTATCTACGCCATTCACGTACCTCAATCAGGGCCAGCGAGAGTAATCAACTCCTACGAGTTATCAATACCAGAGGTTTATGAGTCCGCACAAAGCAGCGTTCCATTTCGGTTGCATCGTGTTGGTCAAACCTCCGAGGGAACGTGCCTAGCTATTTTGTCTTCCAGGCATTACAGCAATTCATCGTCTACAAGCTCAAAAGGCAAAGTCTCGAACGCAAAGTTTGACGTATGGGGCGTCAGCATCGATTTGGAAGCAATGTCACAAGATCAGTCTCTGCAGCTGGACATCGTATGGCACAGGCGAGGAAATGACGTCCCTATCTTTGTTGCCTACGACGATCCTCGCAAGGCATTTATGCTTTTGGGAAGCAATCCTTATCGAGCGATCGACGTTGCAGCTCCAGCTACGTATGAACCTGCTCCGGATGAAATCGCACCTATACCTCGTGCTGGGGAGAGCTTAGATGCTCGCCCAAGTGAAGACATCCTATCGCTCACAAGACCTCCCCCGTACTCGTGGACTCAGACATCTGATTCTGTGACGGTCGCCTTCCCTCTTCCATCCGACACACCAAAGAATGCGATCAGAGTGACGTTCTCTCCTCGCACATTGACCGTCCTCGTGCAGAAAGAAGACACTGATGACGCACTCTCCATCCCTCTTCCTCACTACACGGCCAAGGTTCTATGGGATGGTATCCAGCCTTCCGCGAGTTTCTGGACGTGGGATCGTCAAGCAGAACACTCTTTCGGCCTCCTCACATTACATCTTGACAAACAACATGAAGGCACGCGGTGGGCCCAAGTCTTTGCATTGTCTGGAACCAGGCCTGCAGGAGATACTTCAGAAGATGACGTCGAAGTGCCAGAAACCCTGGACCCCTCAGAACTCTACCTGATCCGGGAGTCATTGGAAAAATACACGGCTGCGTTGCAGAAGGGTGAAGACGCGAGCGGGTTGGGGTTAGGGCGTGGTGTACCCAGTCTAGGAGAAGGTGAGATGGACCCGGAGATCGACTCTGCCGATGCGAATACGGTTTGCGTTACGTGGGTTGGTGTGGATGGAAGCGTGCCGTCTTGGGAACGTTCGCTGGATGCACCATTCACTTTGCTTTCTACTCCGTTCCCGAGCTCACCGGCCCCCCAACCCACGCTGATTGTGAAGAACGGCGTCGATGGAGTGTTGTTCACGTTGAGCGAGGCGAGTAGTCCTTCGGACCCACCAGAATGGAAACACACATCGACCTTTTCGGCATTGTCATTTGTACTCGCTTCAAAGCGGGACACCCGCTTCGTCCACCATGTATCTGATCAAGCAGTACTCGCGTTCGAGAGTGGCACCCGAGGGAATGTTTATATCTATCGAAACACTGCCGGCATCCATGATCCAGTGGCCAAACAGGCCGTCCTCAAGATCGGCGGAGGAGCAGGAGGATCATTACTGGGTGTCGGCATGATGCACACCAAAGTTGGGAAGCCAATTATTCTATGTCTTTGCGAAGGAGAATGGATTGTAGCGCACGATGTATTATAGATACAAAGTTCGAACTCTAACTTGGAATCACAGTGCATACATGGAAGTGTTTGACTTGAAGTACTTAAATACAGGAAATGTGTATGAAAAAAAAGGATCGTACACGTATACACAAAGTGGACTTGAAAAAAGTATGAGAAGGGGGTATCAGAAACAAGGACGTCAGACACGGTCTGCTTGTTAACACGTTCGAGTTGAACGGATAGGTTGCGTGACTAACGCATAGAAAAACACTTCAACATGGCATTAGACCCGACGTGATAGAGTTAACAGGCGATACCAGAGGAAATGAAGAAAGCAGACGATGGACAAAATGAGGACAGCGGGGGAAGTAACCGATACATCACATACAGACCCAACAGAGAACCACCAGAGTAAAAATACAAATTGGCGTTATATCAAGCTTTGAATGGGTCTTCACTCTTGTCAGCTAGACCTTCAGCCCGAACAGCGTCACTGGGGGCGTCTCCGCCGGGGTCAGATTTCAGTTGGGGCTGATGCGCTTCACCGTTAGGTATAGGATGCGGCGGTGGAGGAGCTTCGCCTTGAAGTTCCCGATGTTGTGAATCCGTAGACTCCACAGGTGAATCTGCCGGATGTGCGTGGTCCTCGTCAGGATAATCCAGCTCGTCATCGGAGTCACTGTCCAATTCCTCCAGCTGTCTCCTAAGGTGATCAGTCATGTCCTTTGACTGCGGAGGTGAGTCGGCGAGGAGATCAACATCATGATGGTCATCGTCTTCGTCCATGTCATCCTTTCCACTGAGGAAACCGTACATAGGGTTGTTTTCAAACGTACCCCTATCGGTCAGTGCCCCTAGGAACCGCACGATAGGCGGCTGGATTCCCTGAGGTTCCGATTTCTTCTCTTGTGGTGAGCCTGCCTCTCTCCTTCTCGCTTCGTTTGCGAGATATGCTGCATGTCGTCGCCTGAAAGCTTCCAAACGTCCCGCGGGATAGAGTTGTGGCAACTCTTTAGGCGTGTTGTAGCCATATCCGGAGTGTGTGCGTTCCGAAACCCAGTGGTACCACTCCTCTTCTGATCTACCGTGCAGAAGAGCAACGACGAGGATGGTCATGTTGTCGCAACCGAACCCAGATCCTGAGTTCGTGTCAGGTGCGAGACAGTGGTCGCAAATGATTTCGCATATTTCTGGTAGCTTTTTGCCTTGTGAGATGAGTAATCTCACAGCATCGACAACTTGTTGTGAAGTCAAGCAGTCCCAGATACCTGAAGGACGCATGTGAATATGATGTGAGACATATATGCAGAGGCGCTTCAAAGCTGAAGCTTACCATCACAGGCAATAACGAAGAATTCGTCTTCTTTCGTGATTCTGTGTTCAATGATCTCCGGGTTACTTGTGATGATCTGAGCCTCCGGACCAAGTGATTGATTCTTCTTGTACTCGAAGTCACCGAGCGCTCTCGCAAGAGCAAGGTTACCTGTGATATGTGTCAATGAAGTGACAGTATAGGGCATTGCTATATGACAAACCATTCACTCGTCCGAATTCAACATACCCTCCTGCCTGGACAATTCGCGATCGCTCAGCTGAATTGAGCAAATGTCAAGACGTTGCAACCCTTCAATGGAATAGAAACTTACAGTCATTCACAGGTTTGTGATCATAACTGAGCGGCTTCGCTTCACCCTTGACGCTGATGACTGACCGTGAGTCACCTGCATTCGCCTGTAATATGAGCTCATGAGGAATACTGCGGGGATAAACATCAAGAGGGACTTACCACAAAGATACGACCATCATTTGTTACCAAAGCTGCTACAGCAGTGCATCCTGATGTATCGCGAAGGAAAGCAGGATCTGCGTAGAACCAAAAGTGGTAAGGGTTATGACGTTCAGACCAATAGCAAGTCAAACGGACCTTGTCGCATATCTGCATCCGTCCCAAGGAAAGCATGCTTAAGCGCGTCAGGGTAGGCGTTCTGCCTGTATGCGTCATCTTGAAGAAGTTTCCTGTGAACATATTGACCGGCATAATGGGCCACGGCAGCGCCTAAGACACAAATGAGATTCAATGTATGAGACGTAGTCATCGGGATTGCGCATACCACCATGACCATCGTAAACAGCGAAGAATGTATTTCCGTCCCCATCGAAATCGAGGTCAACAGTATGAGCATCCTCCATGGCTAACCAAAGTCGGGCATTAGTACAGGTGCAACAGCTTGAAACATTGAACGGGGCATCCGAGAAGAACGTAGGGGAATACTGGTCAATGGGAAGCTAAGACTCACTTATTCTCCACCCCTGCATCTCTGTCACCGCATACACAAACTTCTCATTTGTGCCATAGTCCGTTTTCTTGTCGGTAGCTAAAATGGAGACGCATAAGACGTTATATAGACACGTAGAACAGTGCGATCTAACCGGGTACTGAAAGAGTTTGTCCCTGCAAAGCAAACATCAATAACTAGCAACAAATCAGTGAAGATAAGAGCTACTGACCATGGCTTGCTCCTGATGGAAAGAGAGGAACCAAAGATGGGAAGATCACAGCGTGGACTCGCGTGAAGCAGGGAAACCGCACGGTGCAGTGATCAGAGAGAAATCCGGGGTATTGCAAACGAAGACGATGGTAGAAAAATTGGCAAGCGGAGGGTCGTGTGGACTTTGAAGCAAACCCTTCCAGCCTGTGTGCCGCTGTTTGTGGAGTCCTCCTCTAATTTCTCGCCCAAAAAATGCTGTACGTGACAGTGACGAGTCACACAATAGATAAGATAAAATTACACAACAGGCCCCGCGCACAAATTACAACAGCTTTGCAATGAACGAACAGCTACAGAAAGCAAATACACTCCTACTTGACAACGTACTTGGCACCACCCATAGACTCTCCATGTAATACAATCATCTCCGCGTCAGGGATCGACTTCGCTCCGGAGGACCAGGCGTTTGTCCTCGTTCCCTTTTGCCGCCGGCTTCTGGCTGCAACAGTTCTGCCTCACGCTTCGGCTTCAACGGGCTCGGAGAGGCCGATTCAGACGGACGTCTCCTTCTGGATCGACTTGGTGCAGCTATAGGAATTTCTGGACTCGCATCCCTCGCAAGTCGATCAGGCGTCGAGAGAATCATAACATCTTCATCGCCCGGCCACACACGGGGTCGGTCACCGTCATCCAGTTTGAATGAAACCCTTCGGCCACGCGACTGGCTTCGTTCCCTTATAGCAGGCCGCAATGGCACAGGTGAAGTAGGCGGCGACGACGACGGTAATGGCGAAGACTGTGGTGGTGATGAAGGTGGCAAAGTACTACTAGACCAATTAGGATCATACGAGTATGGATATGGGTGGGATGTATGTGTCGGTGTTGACACCGGGTCACTTCTCGATGTAGACGGGCCAGCTTCAGGCGAGGAAGACTCTCCCTCCTGAAGTCGTGACTTTCGTCTATGTTGGTGTGAAGGTGTGAATGGGGGTGGCCATGGAATGTGGTATGGAGGATACGATGTTCCGCTACCTAAAGGAGGTGCAGAACCAGCCATGAGATAAGCCAAATGGTGAACCGCCTGCGCGAAATGGAATTGAGCCTGAGGGTCATGAACGGGTATGGGTAACATGGGCATCGAAGGGTATGGCGGATGATGGTGGCCGCGTCGCTTGTCATTTTGCTGGTGTTGAGGGGTATGGGGAGTCGAATAAGGATATACTGGGAATGGTTGAGGTTGAGATGGCGCTCGAGATGATGCACGGGGTGCTTTCGAGGTTGAACGTCGTGATGGTGGAGAGGTAGCGGGTTCAGAATCTGCATATATATATTAATTAGACAGCTCATGGTAAGAATCCAGAGTCATAACCCACCTGAAACGATTTCCGGACTTCTTCTTGAAACTTTCTTCGATTTAGTCTTTGGAGGCGAACGTGGTTTTGGACTGACAGCCTCGCTTGAAACCTTTTCTTTTTCCCTCGATTTATCTTTAAGACGATTAGATTCCCTTGTTCTCCCTTTGGAAGGCGGACTAGGAGTCGCAGTACGTGTCTTCCCCTTCAGTTGCGTTATTCTCACAGGGCTGGAAGATGCCAAAGGAACGTCATCCGAATCCTCGTCCGAAGTAAACGAAAGCACGCGTTTTCGTTTATATCCTCGTTTCGCTGGTGCAGGCGTTGCGTCGTCAATTTCTGAGCTTATAGCTCGACTATCAGAACCCTTCTGTTGCAAGGCAGGTGGCGATAAACGAGAAGATTTGTTCGCTGTCAAAGGGGAACTGTTGGGCTTAACCTTGTTCTTCCCCTTGCTTGTACTTCCGTTCGCAATCGAATCAGTCGTATAACCGCGTCCACGCAGAGATGAAGACTGAATAGGCGATGACGGCTCACGAGATGGTGTGCGTCGGGGCGGAGGAGTTGAAGGAGCCCTGCTCTTGCATCGACGCGCCAACACGACCTCTGCTACCACCTTTGTCTTACGAGCTGGCACCGACAGAGGCGTATCCGATCTGCTCGATTTATCTTGTGCCTTGCGCACAGTAGGTGAGGAAGTTGACGCAATATCATCTTCGGTTTTGTTATGTACACGACTTGGAGGGGGCGGTTCATCCGCATTGCTATCCTCCGAATCCGATCTGGGTACTGGTGGTGCTGTTGACCTACGGCGTGGTTTGGGCTTAGGCCTCACATAGGTAGATTGCTTTGGAGGAGACGGTAGAGGAGACGGTGAGCGACGCGGAAGAGAGAATACATCGTCGAAAAATGGATTGTCGGACGGTTCGTCCACGATTGAAGAGTGGGACAAAGAGGAGCGCGGTGGGGTCGGCAACTTCACTTTAGAAGAACTGGCCACTGGCGGAGGAGTGACTGCACGTATCCTTCGCGCAGGTGTCTTGGACTTAGCTCGTGTAGAACTCTTAGGTGCAGATCGTATCGGGCTGGAGGATAATTCTCGAGCGGGAGTCTTGGACTTTGCACGAGCAGGAGTTTTCGTTTTCGAAACTGTGGGTGCAGGGGTCTTGGATTTCGCCCGCGGCACAGCTTTCGGTGTGGCCTTGACTGGCGATAAACTCGGTGACTTTGGACGTGACTTAGAGCGACCTCGTGGTGAAGATAACTTCTGTGGCGTGTTCTGAGGTGAGGGGGACGTAAGGTCAATGATTTCGGGGAACATGCGCGGTGGCGTAGATATTATTTTCGTTTGTTGAGGCGTCTTCAACGCTGGGGGTTCCTCTTCACTTTCCCATTTCGCAAGCTCGTCATCAGAGAAGTCATCATCAGTGTACGGACGGGGGCCTGGTGTCCTCCTGGGGCTGCTAGGCGGAGAACTGCTGCTTGGAGGAAGGGAAGCCCCTTCCGAGGCGGGCAAATCCTCTTCGAACGAAGTATAACCGTCTTCAATGTCGGATGTCGAGGACAAGCCATCTGCGAGAGCTTGCAAAACATCGGCCACTGATCCGTCTTCACTGTCCTCATCGAAAGCACCCATTTCCTTCATCCGCCTATCCGCCTCGAGAAATGCCTGCAAGTCCTCTTTGTCCGCAGGATCGACTTCACCTATGGGCGGCATATATCTACGTGGAAGCTTCAACTTGAGTTGCTCCTCTACCTCTATACCTGGTGCAAAAGCATCAATCTCATCCACATCGTCGTCGTCATCTTCTTCTGTAGGCTCATCGTCCTCTCCAGCACTGGGCACGTCGAATCGAGCACTGTCAGCAAGAGATCCGAACCCAATCCTCCTCTTCTTTTTCAGCACTCCTTTGTCCTTGATGATGACATCGTGCTGAAAGTCTATGATGTCGTCCTCGTCCAATCCACGCGCGTATCTCTCCTCCAGTTGAGACCACACGTTGAGGACGCGTAGTGCAGAGGCGCGCCTAGCATCATTAAGCTCTTCATTTGTAGCAGAAGAAGACGAAGTTGGTGTTGATCTCGATAACGAGGGCACAGAACTAGGAGTAGATGCAAGCCTTGGTCGTTTCGCAGGAGGCGGAAGGTCGCGAGTTGTGTGGGTAACTTTAGTTGGAGAAATAGGCGGTGTCGCAGAGGGAGTAGAGAATAGTTTGACTGGGTTTCCTGGCTCCGAAATTGTCGAGAAAGAGGGCCCAGCATCCGCCATGTCCCGCTGTAATGACCGTTCCTGGCGCACTGCAAGGAGGCATTAACTCAACGACGCGAAATTATGCTTACGTAACACACGCGACGCGCCTTCGCGTAGATGTCCAACTGAGTCCCACACTGCTTCACGGCTTGCTCACTTCTTGAACTGCCGTTCTTGAATGTTTGAATTCTCATAATTGTCATGATTCATTTGCACTAACATCATTAGTCCCCTACCGACAGGCCTGCCTAGTGGCGTGACTCTCAGTTCAGTCTCAATGACTCATGCATATGAAAGTGGACTGAACCTTTCGTTGTGCTTTTATCTCAGTCTCCACCTGTCCGAAGCCTGAAGATACGAAGGCATTTCTAGCTGGCTGAACACCTACGAAATGGCGTTATATTTCGACCTCCTCATTCATATACTGGAACTCCTGGATGCTAACGGTCTCCGTTCCACCTTGCATGCCTGCACGCTTGTGAATCGTGTATTCAACGAAGTTGCCTCGCGCATCGAGTAGACGGATGATTGTGTCAGTCAACGTGGATATCAAATACGCGCCCGAGGCGAGGACGGTGAGTCAGTTATTTAGTCTATCATACCTCAGACCACCAGTTCGCCCTTTGTGAAGACGTTCTAAACTGTCCATGCGACGAATTCGTGGACGTCGTCTGTGGTGCTGTAGAAGACTGGAACAATATGCAGTCCGCCTCAGTGGATGTAGAATATCTCGCTTCAGCAACATCCGTATCTTAGGTTCTTGCAATCAATGTCTTCTACGCGCCCAATGCTGAGAGCCTTATCCTCAACCAAAGGCTCGATTGTCTCATCATCAGAAGTCTTGATCGAATAGGTTCTCAGGTCTTGTACGACCGGATTAAAACTCTCGTCAAGTTTGACGACGTTAGACCTGAAGGTATGTGTCTGTTGTCTTTCCAGACGATTGTCCAGGTAAAACGGTATTGATATGTTGGTGTATAGGATACGAGCCATAGGCCGGACGAGCAATTCGCTGCGGAAGCATTTCAACAGTGTGCATCAACAGTGCATTCCTCATCTTGGCCGCCTCTACAGGCTCACCCTGGATCTTGGCGGTGATACCTCTACATGGTCGAATTCTGACGTCGTGACCATAAAACCTAAAATCACTGGATCTTAATTGTTGACACGAGGTAATGACTACCATCCCACGGGAGCTCGAGCATGTTCTAACTATTTAGTTCAGCTATACAGAACCGAAGGCCGTCCGTTGCACCTCCCCCATTTGTGCTCGTTAACCTTGCGCTTTTCTGATGAAATGCACAGCAAGGAAATTGCTACTGCGATAAAGAAGTTTATTCGCCGTTTGTCCTTGCACTCGCCCTTGAAAGAGCTGTGGATACTGTCCTGAAATGCTGATGACCTAGAGGACCACCTGATTCGAAAACATAAAGAGACTCTGCGCATCACGCGACCAGGACTACGCTCCATCCATCTCCAAGACGAGCCGCAAGAAACCCCTTAGCTCATGTTTGAAGCTCGAAGACATCAGTTTTGCGATGAGAGCAAATTTCCTCTTACGTTTGATTCTTTTTGATTTATTGTGCCAAATATTGGAACATGTTATATTCCAGCGCGGATTTCCTCGGTGCTCGGAGCCATCAACAAAACTACACACTGCCAGTCTGTTTACGACTCACGTCAAGAGACAGCCTTCCATTAGCGAACAGAATGAAGTGCGCTTGTCGAATGAAAACGGCGTTTCCACCGACTGGAAATTGACGGCAAGGAGTGGGACGTAAGTTGGCATTTTAGAGTTTCCGTACCTTCCATCTGATTTCATTTGTGATGTTTCCAGGGGCATTGGACCATCAACGCAGAAGGTCACGCAAGTTTCGTCGTCGAACAAGCTCAGAGGGATCGAAGGGCGAGTCGCATGAGTGGAATGTCCGTATTCGTTAACCCAACCTGACAGAAAGCTGAATGACACGATGTTCAGTGTTACCAAACTCGCGCACAATGATCTACGTTCTAGCGCCTTCAATGATGCGCGCTTTAAGCCATCGATAGGACAGTGCCGAAATATGCTAAGGCGAGAATCTCCTTGCAGCGAACCTCCTGAAATGCAGGACAGGCAACACCGTCAGACATGCTCAAGGGTCACAATGACCAAGTGAGGACACATTTGCTGGACTATCAAGATTCTGATCCATTTACGAGCCGTTTCAACTAGGAGACGAGTTGACCACATATGGGCTCCAACAGCTTCAAATGTCAATAGGGAAAGCGCACAAGAGATGCGATCTTCGAGTGCAAGATGACGTGCATCTTCGCCACCCGAAATGAAATTCTGAGCGCGATACTTAGCAGTGAGTCGCGACCAATCTCCATCCAGGATCCTTGAGGATTATGCGAGGCGAGTCTTCAAGGCACAGCTAAAGAGAAAATGCTTTGCAGCACTGGCAGTGGAGCTTGAGCTCCAAGCCAGCCGGAAAAGAGAACACCTCGAGGCGCACGATTGTCTGTAGTGTTAATTGTCAAGTAGGTGCAAATCCGGCTCACGACGGCATCTAGAAAGCTCTTGGAGGCAGCAGACGAGTAAGAAAGCATCCAGACCTCCAAAATCTGTTTACCCAGGACCTCTCAGTATCAGCCAAACTTTGCTAAAAGTGTTGTACATTTTCGAAGGCCCATCAGTCCGCGGCTTCCGGACGGGCTTCGTCCTGACCAAAGACGCCAAGCTCCATAACGACCGCATAGGTATGGACTTTTTGAAGGTCGACGATCAGGGGTGGCCCATGATACCAAGCCGAACTGAATGCTACGAGACACTCTTCCTGAACCACGGGATGCAGGCGAAGATCGAAGACTAGCTATAGCCCGTGTGAAAACCTCGTACGCAGTACACATTTCTCGCCAGATACGAGCATCGAAAGGGGACCAAATGTAGCAAAATTTCACATGGTTGAGTTCGTGAAGGCTGACGAACGCTTGTAGGGTGCGTTGTGTGACAGATCATAGCATGAATCTGACTTCACGTAGGTGTTTTGAAGCCTATGCCTGTCCTCCTCATCGGCCTGTCACACGACAGGAAAAGTGCACGTAACCCCTAGCTGCCACAGAGGAGTTATCTAGGATAAGAATGTTAGAAGACACCCACGCTATCCGCGTCTGATGAACCTTTAGATAACCATTGCCGTTCGACTGCCTACAACTCGAAAATGAGCGAGGCCTCTGCGGTAGAATTGGGCCGAAACGCCACATCACCGAGTAAAGACCGTATCCAGTATGTATCTTGGAGATAAGCTCCTTTTGCAACACTGCAGTCATCTGAAGATACAGATTTCGCAATGGATGTCCAGGTTCAACCAAACTGACATAGTTTCCTGATCGAGTGGGGTGATCAAATTCCGTATCGGGCCGATGCCTTTTCCTTTCTTGCAAAGTGCAGCTGCCAGGGAATATTTCGACTTGCTCGACTTTCGCTCATTCAGATAGCCAAGTTTCAAGGCATCCTGAACTTGCGGGAGATTGGGCATTAACCCAAGCACATTCGTTCATTCTTTCTTTATACACTGCGACGCCGCATGCTTGAAACTCCTGGCGCACCATGCCATCTTCAGCGTGGCCCGCTGTGCCGAGAACCTCGGTCCAAACCTTCTTCACGGTGGAAATGAACCGTGACGAAATGCTCTCATGTTTAGCAATGTACTCACAACATGAGTCCGTGGTTCTGCCGAATGGCACCGACCTTCGATGTTGACCTGGATCACTGAACCAGTTATGCTCGTGTGACTGCCCACAACTGACCGTATCCTTTATAATTGAGCTCGAACAACTCTGTTTGCTCACTCTACCGCCACAGTTCTCATGCCTTTAACTTCTGACAGCTTTGAGTTTACCAAAAACCTCGTTATGCATCGCCCTCCAGGAGTGAAGGTTAGTATCTCCGATATTCTCGCATTCAATGACTGATAAGTTGATATAGAGGTCACATCATACATGGCATTCCCCTACGACTGGCAGAAGCCATTTCGAGGACTTTATGCTCGAGATTGGGGCAGATCCCCGTGTCGCACATGTATGTTGTGTGCCTCGCCCTGGTATGTTATGTATCCTTTGCGTTCCTACTTACGCTCAATTCGGACGAATTAGATGTAATGTCGGCGTATCACGCATCAAAAGAATCAAAAGCGAACTCTATCGCAATACACAAGGGGGATGATATACAATCCCGTCACCAAGAGGTACGGTCATTTGTTCCTATGTTGCGCCAGAATGAGGACTAATCGGACATAGTATCACCATAAGCGACCCTCAAGCAAACCCGAAGTCCGCCGTCTGAGCTCTCAGGCACCCACAAATACTGCTCTCAACTCTGGGGCAGCTGCGCGCATGTTGACACGTCTGTCCGTCGCTTCCAAGCCAAAATCATCCCAAAGCTCCGTGCCTGAACTTAAGTCGCATACGACTCTGAGCTTGGATACGCAGTCATTCCCTTCCTCGCGGCCGTCTCTTTTGGCTGTAACATCTGCGCGCGATAGACTTCATGCAATCGCTGGGCAGGAGGAGATCGTCCGAAGACCCTCTTATCATGACTGCATGTTATCTGAGGGCCTCCGACCCGTAGAGAATAACTCTCACCATCGCCCATCCAATGCCCCGCTGTATTCGTCTTCTACGTCGCGCACGTCTTCATCCTCCATGGCCATGCGCAACAGTCGCCCTCCTTCCTTCACATCTATCGATACTGCTTCATCGTCCGAAGGACCAGCGACGCCTCGGGCAAACTCTCCCATACGATCGCTCGGTCGCGAGCGGGAAGTATCATTGGAGAGTCTTGAGCGTACGTCTAGACTTCGTACGCCCACGTCATGCGTGACCTGCAAGAAGTCCGGATCCAATTTTCCCAGCTGCCCAAAGTGCGGTGATATGTGGTGCTCCAGACAATGCAGAATAAAAGCCTGTAAAGGCGGCAGACATTCTTCAACTTGTCGTGGAAGAGTTGCAAATGTCTTCAGTCAGGACGCTTAGTCCGGACTACTCATTCTCACATAGTGCATCGTTATATTGTTACATCTTCACACTCAGTTGCTTATACCTTAAGACCCGTTTGGCTATCATGTGTCCATGTCATGCTATTTATGCTGCACTTGTCCCATCCCATCATTCTCCCATGTCGCGCTGCGTGTGGTGGGAGAACGATAAACCAATTCACCTCACGAGTTGCTCTTATGAGCAGTCGACAGACATCCTGTACAACAGTGAAGATAGTGAAACACATGTTATGTGCTTTCGTTGTCTGTATTTCCCCAGATTTTTGACGATGTCAGTACGCCGTTAGTTATTACATACGAATCTAGCTTCTGATCTGTACGTAAGATCACCGGGACCTCTTTTTCCAGTCTGGACTCTGGAGCAGTGGCATCATTGGCTCATCTCCGCTTTTTCGTCGCAAAATTGTCCACATGTTTTTGTCCCTTTCCTTGAAGATGAAGTAACGTTCAGAGCATTGGATACTTTGTGGTGTTGGCTTGATACTGAAAGTTCCAGCTAGACGCGCGGCATTGATATATTTGGTGATACCTCTTATCTGCATTTCTATCTACTTATCCGCTTTCCACCATGTACCTTCGTCCCTACATCCCTACCGCATTCTGATTCGTCCCTTAAACCTGTCATCCGCATCGGCTTGTGTTCCGTCCTTCCAGCTTTTCTCCACAGCCTTTATTAGACGCAGAGACCTGGCCTGTGTGAAAGTAAACCACTGCACCTCGGTGAAAGTTACAAAGGTTGGTCGTGTGATACATAATTGTCATCCTCTTTGCTGATATAAAGGGCTGTATCTTTAGCTAGGTCTATCTTAATACCCTCCCCACGATTTCCTGAACATGTCACAGCCTGTAGTGGGTGCGTTTGAGGGCTCAAGGGATGTAAAGGTGCGTTTTGTGTTTACTTCGCACTGAGTACTCCTATTGACGCCTCCTTCTATGAAAGAGTTATTCGACAACAGAGCGAGACACCACAAACCATAAACCATGTAAAAGTTCTGATAGGACCCTACCGAGTTCCAAAATATTTCCTAAAACCGTCCAGCACCTACGTCTCGATCAGCATGCCCGTACAAGATCCGCCACAGTTCTTTCTACTACTCCTTCTCCTCTCGCACATACCCATTCAGGCCGGAATAGAGCGTCATCATCTACCAGTCCATTAAATGCCGGTTCTTGCAGAAGCCGGCTCTATTCTTTCACAAGTCTTGGTTCAGGTTCCGTACCCAAAGCCGATGCTGTCAAACCTGTAGCAGTAGGCGCAGACGAGACCATCGGCTCTTTCACCCCCACAAGTTGCCCTAGACAACATTTGCATTCACTACTAGGGGATGCCTCGCCTAAAAGTCGCTTGAGAGACGCTACAAGGCGACTGAACATCAGTACCAACGCCTTACTTCCAAGGAGGCCGTCTGAGTTCTTTGCTGAAGACTCTGCGCGGTCTTTATCGCCTCCGGACTCACCCATACCTTCCATATGTCGTACTCCATCGTCTTGCACCGACTCGGAATATTTCCCTACTGCCCCTTCGTCCGCGGGTCCTCTCACACCCGTTCATTCTACGGACTCCTCGCCTCATGCGCGTAAACACGCTCTCCAATCATCAGAAGTTTTGGAAGCATTGGAGGCAAGGTCGAGATTCTGCCTACGCACGTCTTGCGCTACATGCCATAGACCAGGCACAAATTTCCCTTGTTGTCCCCGTTGCGGAGAGATGTGGTGTTCGAGGGAATGCAGGTTGCAAAGTGGTAATGGAAAACGACATATTTGCGCGGGAGCTCGTTGAATGTTGTATGTCCTCTTCTAACCCCCAATAGTTTCTCGAATCATCTTATCTTGACCTTCCTATATCTCTTCTCCATTTTCTTCATTGCTCTTGTATATCTCCAGGATGGATCGTAGTATTCTAGATCTTCTCTCATGCATATCTCGCTAGCTATCCTTCGTACTGTTGTTTTCCAGTGTATATTCTGAATCTCACCTCGAATCATTACATATGTTGTCAATATACAAATATTCAAGATTGCATTGAACCACAACACCATGATCCAACATCCGAAATCCAAGACTATGGTACTGAAATTCCGGTGACATGTCAGACATCTCCGATCGGGCGGAGTGAAAAGACGTAAGTATTGAATAGCGTGGCGGACAATGGGAACCAAAGTCTGTCTCTGGAGACACCAAAAGCAGCGACGGGAATCCGCAGGGATCAGTCAAAAATAATCTTCTTGCCCTGTGGGGCAACAAGACTAGGATTTAGCTTCTCTTTCAGGCGTCTTTTTGCCTCCCATGAGGGATGTAAAGGCTTCTCTTCCTTCTTCAACTTCTCAGCTGTAGAGTAACACATACTGTACATGAGTTTCGTGCTGGGAATTAACTAAGGCCGGGCTTACCTGAACGCTGAAGATTTTGCGAAGGTTGTGCGCGGGAAGGCCCTGACGTTGACCTGCCATGAGGATGACCACCTGATTGTGGATTATGGCGCTCTTGTCCTTGTCGACCCTTCGGGGCCCTGTAATTTTCTTCACGCTGTTTCTTGACGTGATTAGCATTCCCACCATATTTCTTTTCCCAAATTCTACATAAAAGTCAATTCCTCTGAACAGCAACGAAGACGAATATAATGACATACGCTCTTCTGGCCCGTTGGCCACGACGATTCTTTCGTGTACCGCCGTCTACAGCATCGACCTCGGCGTCCTCCACGTCTGAAGCGTCGGAATCACCGCGAGTGAAGCCAACGGAAAGTGAAGGAAGGAAAGTTGATGCAGCGGCCGATGTACTGGCTTTGATAACAGACTTGGCGGCTGAGATTCCATCCTTGCCTTTGGCGGGCGGTATAGGTGCAATTTTGCCTTGCTTCTTGGTCAATCTGCTGCCATTTTCGTCTTCGCCATCCGAATCCGAATCTGAATCCGACTCAGAGTCTTCCCCACCGTCAACGGAGCCAGACTCCCATCCACCATCGTCAATTTCCTCATCATCCTTGTCGACAACGTTGAGAACCTCTTCACTCCATTCTGATCCCGCTGATGTGTCGTCCTCGTCCTCATCATCTGCGTTCTTAGCCGTTTTGAGTTCAGGCTCGATTTTCGCAGCCTTCCGCGGTGGTTCGGGGACGTTAAATTCCTCGTCCTCCTCTCCGGGTACTTGATCTGCCTTCGCGGGACTTAATACGTTCCTCAGACCTTGAACGACGCTTGTGACTTCCGCCGCAAGGGCTTTAGAACTGAGAATATGCGCATGAACCTTGGCTGCCGGTGAACCAGGCGTAGTTGGTGCAATTAAATTGGCTTCAAGCTCTGTTGAAATGGCGGCAATTACATGCTCATTTTGAGCGAGGAGCTTATCCTTCTTGAGCTTCGTCTTCAGAGCAGTGTTTCCAAATGGTTCATGATCGATCACCTGCAGATAAAATATGAGATGATGTTATTCAGAGGATGTGCAATTCAATGACCTTGATAATCTCCAGTTGAGCCTCAAGGTCTGCCATTTCGCTGGAACCAGGATTCTTGGCTCTAACAACGACAATCAGCGAAGGCACGAAAGAGGACTTGACGACTATACCTTAAGCCCTTCAACTTTTTGACAAGCTTCTGTGTCTCGAATGCCTTCGCTTTCTTAGCAGCCTTTCGTACTTCTCGTGCGTCGTGATGCTTTATGCCTTGAGATCGTCAGGTTGTTCAGGCCTTTCAAGACAGCACCGTGTGACATACCAACTTTCCCGAAATCCTAGTACCTATGTCATCCTATTCACGAAGTCAATTCTCGTCCAAGTATGTGCATTGCAACATATCATACTGACCTCCGTACCGGGTGCCCTCTTCCGTTTAAGATTTGGCTTGTTCTCATCATTCGGAGACATCGTGATAGAACGGTACACGTTCAGGTAGAGTGGTTACAACGTGCTGGATAAATTGTCAACGAGTTGCTGCGAGGTCTGAAAAATGAAACCGAGGGCTGAAGCAGAGTAAGAAACGTGAAAGCTAGGTTACAACGTTAAGCGCACACTACGAATGTTATATTCCACGAGCGCCTGACGTTGTGATCGCCATTAAGAGATCGCGTTCAAATTCATCCATCCTTCACATAGAGTTCTCATTCTAAACTTACTACTTACCAGGAGGCGACATGGACGATGAACAGAATGAAGGAAGACTGTATAGAGGCTTTGAGCGATATCAAGAGTTCGTCGAGACCCAGAATGCCTTCCTGTTCTTGCAGTCTTCCCAAAACCTGGATGATTCTACTAAAGAGTTGGGACTATTAACCAAGCTATCGATGATCGTGAGGATCTTTTTGCTTCGTATTATACATTCACTGAACTCTGGTTAAGTTGGATGAATACCAAGAGCAATCATATCTTTTAGATCCATATCTTGAGCAACTAGTAGCTCCCGTCGTAGATCAGTTGAACGTCCACGCTCAAAGGCTTCAACCACTCAGCGGTGACTCTTCACAAGGATTCAAGGTCGGTCGCCTTGCTACTTTGATGTACTATTACATCAAGTTCCGCGGGTACAAGACGATCAGTAAGTTTGTCTACCGTTGAGCAAGATGCAATAGCTTACTCTCGCGCAATTAGCCAGGTTCTTTCCTCACGAAATAACAGACTTGTCTGTTGCGCTTAATTATCTTCTCCTTCCTGGCGGTCTCCCTCAAGATCCCGCACAGTGGCCGTTGCGCTATGTCATGCTGCTTTGGCTTTCTCTCATTTGCATGCTTCCTTTTGACCTGGCTCAGTTCGATGAACGCGGCAGTGTTGGTCATACTGCTTCGCAGATCGAGACAGTAGGAAAATCCCACTTGAACAAAGCCGGTATTGAACGCGATGCTGCAGCCATTCTACTTGCGCGACTTTACTTGCGGTAAGCTCATATTAATACTGATCGTGCATTATCTTATTCATACAGCAAGGACATGCACACCTCACTACCTGCCTTCCTGGACTGGTGCTATCAGGTTATCCGCAACCCCGCTGAACCATTCTCAGTGCGTTTCCAATAAGTCATGTACATACCGTACCTAAAGGGTTTTAGGCGATTGGTTGCACTCGGGTGCTCTGTGAAGTCACCAAAGCAGGTTCTGCTGACCTTGTACAAGCAAACTATATAGCTCTGCTGGACATAACCCGATCGATATCTGAGCATCCTACGCTCCTCAATAATACCATCATGCGAAAGCTGAGGACGAAACTTCTCTCTCGGATCGCTGTGCGTCTTCTTCCTTCAACCGGCCCTAGAACTCGCCGAAAAGGTAACTTTAGATTCTCACTGTCTGGGTGTCCGCTAAAATCTGCGGTAGGTCCTCTTCTTTCTGGGGACGATGAACAAGCCAGTCCGAGTTGCCATGAAGAAATCGATATAGATGTTCCCGAGCAGGTAGAAGAGATCATTGAAGAATTATTCCAGGCCTTACAAGACAAGGTTTCTTTCGTTGTCTTCATGTCTAACGGCAAATTAACCGCTTTGATGTCTCCATAGGATACTGTTGTACGGTATTCTTCGTCAAAAGGCATAGCTAGGATAGCCGAACGTCTCCCCAAGGATTTTGTGGAGCAAATTCTTGACAATGTTCTCCAGTCGTTTTCCATTCACTCTATCGGCATGGCCCGTATGTATGAAATGCCGGCGATCGCTGAAGCAACCTGGCATGGTGCATGTCTTGCATGTGCAGAGATGGCGAGACGAAGTCTAGTCCCGGACAGCAGGCTCTCAGAGCTCTTCGAATGGATGAGTAAAGTAAGTCGAACGTCACATTATATTAGAGGCTATCGATTGAACTTAAAGTGCAGGCCCTGTATTTCGACATTCGACAAGGTGCTCATTCTATTGGATCGAATGTGCGGGATGCTACGTGTTATGTCCTGTGGTCACTAGCCAGGGCCCAAAGTGTCGATGCGCTCGCGCCTCTAGCAGAGCCGCTAGCTCAACAACTCGTGACCGCGGCTTGTTTCGACAGGGAAGTCCATATACGCAGAGCTGCCAGTGCCGCTTTCCAGGAATATGTTGGACGAACTGGACTCTTCCCCCATGGCATCGACATAATTCGGAAGACCGATTTTTACGCCGTGGGCACGAGACGACACGCATTTCTAGTTGCCGCATCGGAGGTCGCAGAGTAGGTCACAAGCTCATACTTTGACATTAGCCTTAGAGGTTTTCTCACTGCAACTCCATAGACACGTTGAATATCGCTCGTCACTTCTCGAGCACCTGATCTCGGTGACGATACGTCATTGGGACCCCGCAATGCGAGAACTCGGTGCAAAGTCAATCTGCGAAATTTCCAAACTCGATACGTCAAGTCTGGTATTGAAATGTTCTGAACGGGTGGTGAGTGTCATGGTATTCCTTGCCACGTCTCTGCTTGACAAGAAATATTCAGTCCGAGTACCTAACGTTCCCGGACGTTGGCGATATACATGGCGCGCTATTAACTCTGGCGGAATTGGCTGCTACCTGTCACGATATACCGGAACTGGTTGAGGTCCGCCGACAGGTGAGAATGATGCACGTTCTTAGGAGTTAAATTTCTAACCAATGAGACAATAGATCTTCTCGTACATTTCTCGCGTCCCGTCCAATATCGTACAATCTCCTCGTCACGAGCTCGTTACTGCAGCCGCCTGTCAACTGATAGCAAACAGCGTGTCCGTTTCGGAACTCAAGGCACGACAGACAGCGTCAGTACCAGAATGGCGGAAGATCACAGATTTCGCTTTAAAGAGTAGGAGCCCTACCGTTCAGGAAGCAGCTGCAGACGCCATGGCGGCCTTGAGCAAATTGATCGATTGTTCACCAGTGGTTCAAAGATGAGTGCCGTTGTTTCAGTGATATAGTGTATGCCCGTCTAACGTTACGTATCCCTTCCACGTTGATTCGAGACGCGAAACCGACATCACCACCAGTCCAACAAAGCTTATGCCGGATACTCGGTGTTTTGGATTACAACGCTCATCCTCATGGCTTGATGCAAGCTGTGGAACATCTTCTTGCCAGCGTCGATTCCAAGGTACGATACGATACTTTGATCCACAGCATATATCGTGACAAGCAATTTAGGCTCCAACATTCATCTCTAACGTTGAAGCTAGGAAGAATGCCTGCGCTTCTATACCGCTGATACTTGCAAACGTACTCCCCAACATATCCGACCGTATGGCGACCTAACATCTTTGTCATCGATGCGTTCTGATCTTGATCATTTCAGATATATCTCCTGACCTCTCACGCCGCATGTATGGCGCTTTACAAGCTGGCCTTGCAGATTATACTATGGACGAAAGAGGCGACGTGGGCTCGTGGATACGAATGGTCTGCATCAAGGGTCTAGCCGATGTTGCGGAACTATTTCTGACCAATGCTCCGAGAATACCCAATTTCGCGGACTACTTGCCTGCTAAGGATTATCAGCGGGCGGTGGGTGGTATCCTGAAGCAAGGTGTAGAGAGGTTGGATAATGTCAGGCAACAAGCTGGTCACCACTTTTTGCGGCTATTGGTGTTACACTTACCCGATGTGCCCGATATTGCGCAATGGAGGATTCATGGTGAGTCTTTTATGAAAGAACTTTTCCTAAGGTATGTGCCCGGAATTTTATTGTTTGGTGGCCGATTCTCAATGACATTTCAGTGGCGACGACACTGTGGGATGGAACGAAGGCGCCTGGATTTATCCCAAAGCTGTGCAACTGTTAGATATTCCTGCATATCGCGAATCACTCCTGGCTGGTTTGGTCCTCAGTGCAAGCAGCAGGACTGACAGCACGGTAAGGTCCCATCCTCTGTTACCATGAACTTGTCAGGCTAACCAGGCTCAGCAACGGCCGGTGTCCTCAAGTTTGGTCAACTATGCCAAGACGCTGGCTGTCTCTAATGATGATCCAACAAAGTACAGCCTGCGAGGCCTTGTGGGCGACCTTATTGCGCCGGCCAGCAGGAACCTTCTATCAAACGCAATTGTGATCCCTGCCTTGCAAACGTTCAATGTGCTTCTAGAAGCAGATGCACTGGAACCATTGTATGAAGACGAGCAGGGTTTGGCGAGGTGAGTTTGTTCAACGAAGCCACCTAGGATTGAGGCTGATCGCCTATGAGCAGTTTGCGTTCACTACTATTGGCGGCAACCAAGAACGCCGCGCGTATCAAGAATGTCCAGAGAATTTTGTTGTCAATGAGGATGTATGACTGGCCTGTCTATTTCGCCGCACCGTACTCACGTGGTGATATGTGTAGTGTCGTCAACCTTCTGCCAGTTCCAACTTTACGCCTTCAATGTGTTGTGCAATTACCCATCTTCTTGGCACACCAATATCCGAAGGTCGATCTAGCCTAACTTCCTTTTTTACTCGCTCTCACACCATTCTACAGGTCAGAGGTGATACGGCTGAATACCTTTACCTTGTCCTTCAAAGCAAAGACCTGGGGCTGGAGACGGATGAAGTAGAAGACATTCTATTAGAAACTGCATGGTATGTTTAATTGCGGCATGCCTCATATTTTCGTCTACTCATTGATCATGGATCGCAGGACTTCGAGTGATATCTCTGAGGCACGGGATGCTGCTCAGCAATGTACGAAAGTCCTGAAAGATTCAATTTCCTGACGTACACATGTCACGATGACATGTATCATACAGTGACGTAAATCTACTGCCGATTTTTATTTCTTTGCGCTGTATATCCTCGAGAGGCTAGCTATCTGGGAAGAAAATCAGACATACCGTGAGAAAGTGTGAACCAAGTCAATTACTGTATTAGGCGGTGTGCACCGAATGTAGGATTGGTGTGCGGTCATTGCCTAGCAGCGGCAGGCTTCGCTGTGTTTATTCTACATCTCATTTGTTTCTTCAATATGGCCACAGCGGATGCGCGAATCAGCGATAAAGAGCTAGCTGCCATTAACGCTGCAGCCGTAACCAAAGAATACCGGGTGCAGCCTCATTTGGGTACGCCGAGAATGTTCACACATCATGAATGGTACTGAATATCGTGTATATAGACTACCGAACAGTGTCAGCGATCAACGGGTGTGTGAGAAGCATCTTGGGGTTGTAGTGTTGAATAAGAATAACTGAATCGGTTCTGCAGTCCATTGGTTGTTTTGGACAATGTCAAGGTAAGCATCGCCGATCGCTTCAGCGTTGACTTCACCGACTTTCGTGACGCGTTAGTTTCCATCATACAATGAAATTGTACAATTAACACTACCAGATGGCACAAAACGTGGTGGCCAAGTCCTCGAAGTGCAAGGCAAGAAAGCTATCGTGCAAGTGTTCGAGGGTACATCAGGAGTAGATGTGAAGGCTACACATGTAGAGTTCACCGGCAGCAGCATGAAACTCCCCGTGTCTGAAGATATGCTGGGTCGTATATTCAATGGATCTGGTGTCCCCATTGATAACGGACCTAAAGTCTTCGCGGAGGATTACCTGGACATCAACGGTGAGCATGCCTCGCCTTCATAGGTTCTCACTAGGCTCATCTTAATATCTACACAGGATCACCCATTAATCCTTACTCTCGAATTTACCCCGAGGAAATGATTCAGACTGGTATCTCTACCATTGACGTCATGAATTCCATTGCTCGTGGACAGAAGATCCCCATCTTCTCTGCCGCTGGTCTCCCTCACAACGAGGTGAAGCATTCATTTACATCCGACCGTTGCTTTATTAACATCGCGTGTAGATTGCTGCTCAGATCGTGCGGCAAGCGGGTCTTGTCAAGGGTCCAACGAAGGATGTGCATGACGGACATGAAGACAACTTTTCCGTCGTGTTCGCGGCTATGGGTGTCAACATGGAGACTGCGCGATTCTTCAAACAAGACTTCGAGGAAAACGGCAGTCTGGACCGTGTCACCTTGTTCTTGAACTTGGCTAACGATCCCACGATCGAGCGAATCATTACGCCTCGCTTGGCCCTCACGACAGCAGAATACTACGCATACCAGCTCGAGAAACACGTGTTGGTTATTTTGACCGACATGTCATCGTATGCTGACGCACTACGAGAGGTAACATTGCCTTGAGATCTTGCGTCATGATACACCCTAACATTCTATTGTAGGTTTCTGCTGCACGTGAAGAAGTCCCCGGACGACGTGGTTATCCCGGTTACATGTACACGGATCTGTCCACGATTTACGAGCGTGCAGGTCGTGTTCAGGGACGAAATGGCTCGATCACACAGATCCCCATTCTTACCATGCCGAATGACGGTAAAGTTTCTCGCCGATGCTGTAAACACCCGCAACACGCTGCTGACGTTACTTCATAGATATCACGCATCCTATACCCGATCTTACAGGCTACATTACAGAAGGCCAGATCTTCGTCGACCGACAACTGCACAACAGACAGATTTACCCACCAATCAACGTCCTGCCCTCCTTGTCCCGGTTGATGAAGAGTGCTATTGGTGAAAAATTGACCAGAAAGGATCATGGAGACGTGTCGAACCAATTGGTGCGTCTCTCATTAATGCACACTGATACCTCCGTACCTAGCTGACGTCGGCTCGGCATATTCTAGTACGCTAAATACGCCATCGGTCGTGACGCTGCGGCAATGAAAGCCGTCGTTGGTGAGGAGGCGCTTTCACCAGAAGATAAGCTCGCACTTGAGTTCTTGGACAAGTTCGAGCGTCAGTTTGTCGGACAAGGTATGGCAATTCTGCAGCCACAGCGCTCCGATTCCAATGGGCTTACTTTTCATTTCTTCCCACTATCAAGGCGCTTACGAATCGCGAACCATCTTCGACTCGTTGGAACTTGCGTGGAGCCTGCTGCGTATCTTCCCGAAGGAACAACTCAATCGTATTAGTCCCAAGATCATTTCCGAGTTCTACGCTCGCAAGCCGACTAGGAAACCGACAGAAGAGGCGAACAAGGCGGGTGGTGGTAAGGGTGAAGAGAAGTTGATCGACGATGCATGAGGGAATGTCGAGGATGGTTTTTACTTTCCTTTCGACTTTCCGTTACGGTCTAGCAACGCAATGCAGGCGCAGTAGGTAGTAGATGAAGGACCTTTTTTGAGATGCTTTTGTACATTCCTCTTTTATCGAATGGATAACCCACGCATTTGATTTGGATTTCTTCATAGGAGCTATTACAGAGTAGCCACGACGAAGCAGCGTTGCTTTCATGGGCAAGGAAGGTCTTACGTGTTACCCGCAGTACTGCTGGTTGCAACCGTTGGGTGAAGCTTCGACCTGACAATAACATGACGTCAGAAAACTTTCTAGAAGGGTTGAAGAATTGTATGGTGAGCGGCAGTAGTGCTTCTGAAAGGCGACATATGTCCTGGAGCGAAGTGATTGGGAGAGTGGGAAACACTAGTACCGGTATCCTTCAAATATCACTTAGACAGGATCCATGGACATGACAGATACTTGCATTACACGCGGAGGTCTCGACCAGAATCATGTCATGCACTTGCAGCTTTCAACATACGTTCATGCAATCACTTACTTACCGCCCAAAAAAGTCTTCCGTAAGAATATTCTACATGGGTTATACGGCGGAGGTTGACAATGCCCTTGCCATTTACCTCACCTCACCGTCCACGTTGGAAGAATAGCTGACGTGCTACTTGCGCGACCAGGCCCAGGGTATTGTCAGTATTCTCAGGGTTTGGCTCTTAGCTATGAGACCATGTCATCAGCTTGCCAAAGTCGTCCCCGCAATGCCACGGTGAACAGAAGATAGCTGGCCCACGTTCCCGCGAGTCTGTATGCATTCGACAAGGTTCTATCATCCTATAGCACGGAAGTGGGGCCTTTTGAACTCAGATTAGATGATTGCATGATTGAAGAACTTTGTTTGGTGTGGAGGCCGTGATGCTAGAACGGTGATTGAAAACTTGAGTGCATGAGAAATCACTTGGTTCGCTCACGGTTGCCAACTTGCGACGTCAACATCATACATGGATGAGAGAAGATACACAGATGGAGCGGGAAGGTGAAATGTATGGGATAGTTTCGGGCAGGATAAGGTACGGGATTGATGGGAAGGGAGTAGCAAGGGATTTGGAAGAGGATCGTGTTCGGCCTGTTCACCTAATTTTGATTCGCGATAGCAAAGGGGACCAGACAGATGGGGAAACCTCGTAGAGCGAGATAGGCATACCCAGCCTCTTTACGAATCCATCTTCCAAGGCTGAGTCACATTGCAAGTGAGCTTCCTTATGAAGGCGTAAAGTTTACGGCTAGCCCTCTTGAACTCTTACTTCTTGAGGTGAAATGGTTCCATTCGACGGTTGCGTGGACGCCGATGGTCCTGAGCCTGAGAGCCAGGGAAGTTCAGGGACATTGCAAACATTGTTCCGCGGACAGCGCCTGATTGAACTTGGATAGGATAGGGTCCGTTCTAGTGAACACACATGAGATTGGCAGCTATGGAACTAAATAAGAGATCATCGCTGGACCTATCTGAGAGGTCGACAGATGTGGACAACAAACACCGACATCCAGTGGCATCTGAAATGTCAAAGAATCGGTAAGAATCAGTACCAAGAAGATAATATGGGCAACTTCCGGACAGACCGAAAGCCTCATGGCGATGGCCAGTTACTTACCAATCTGTGAAAGCCCGAGAGCCCCCCCTTGAGACCGGAGGTATCGTACTGCTGATTCGTAGTGGAAAAACCATAGCAAGAGGAACTTACTGTACATTACGAAAGATAATTGCATACTCATTCAGGGCGGGAATTGGGTGAATTGTATTGGTCGCCTGCATGTCGCGTGGAATTTGGAAATAAACAAGGTTGAGGATTCGCGATAAGAAGGTTAGGCCGAGTTGAGCCTTGAGCCACTAGATCCCTGCGAGCCTCGTGCCCGCTGTGTGGGTGCAGCTCCAAACAACGCTGGTTACGAGGCGATCGGAGGACGGATAAACATTCATTCAAAACTAAACGTTTAGATTGAACCATGGCTAAGTGGGTGCACAGATCAGCTGCCCTTGAGCTGGAGCCAGCCGTGTGTATTGGTGGCTCTAGGGAGTGCTTTCGAGCAGCCAGACAAGACAAGCGTTCCGAGCGACTTATGATGCACACCCACTTGCTCACATGTGTCCGACAAGACGGCGGCAGGATTCAGGACCGCCGGACCCCGGTACATGATTGAGAACGTAGAGAACGCGTTTGAACTGTAAAGCGTGCGATATCTGTCGACGAATGCTCGACGGAGATTGTTCGAAGCTGATCCGCTGACTGTGTACGACAAATGGCTTTAAGGTGCGGTGTTTTTCGACACATTTGCGCTTGACAAAAAAATTTATACTATATCAGCATGGGGAAAGGGGGCCACGGGAATCGAACAACAGGGCTAAGCGAGACTTAGCGAGACGCTGTCTGCGAGCGTCGTGCAGCTGGCATGAGGCAGGTACGAGATGCAGAACAAAAGAAAGATAGAGCCGGGATTCGAAGTGTAAATGAATCTGAGGTATGGGGCTGTTTGTAGCGTGAATACAGCACAAAGACAACGCAGAGAGATGGCATTTTGAGCATGGGAGGAGAATCGCAGCACATGCGAGAGGGCGTCTGGAATCGGAACGGGTGTGTAGGCGTGCAAGTGGTTGAGAGACTGATGCCAGGCAAACAAGCGGCCCACCACGTTTGACCCGTTCACCAGGCTAAATATGGCCGACTATTCCATCCTTCTCCTTTCCAACTATCTCCCTCTTCGTCTCTGCTGCTCGTCCCCAGTCCATGGACGCCTTCTCTAATGACTCTGCATTCCAGTCCATAACCCGCAAGAGAAAGGCCGATGGTGACGATTGTGGCCCACAAGACTCTTCTATATCCTCAGACTCGTCCTCGGGCGTAGAGCCCATGTTGCTCGACTCTTCTGCCACGCCACGCATGCCTACCAAGGCTGCAGAGGCCCAGTCGACATCCTGGCTACTGGCCCAGCACCACCGCAGTATCGTTGTACCCTGGCAACCGTCGGCTGCACTCTCAGCCTCTTCGGTAGCTTTAGCTTCGCTAGAGGGGCCTTCCAGACCCAAGCGACCGCGTATTGAGATACCGCAAAGCGTGCCACTCGCTGCACGACGGTCTCGCAAAGGTCGCACACCTTTGTCCTCAGCTGTTGCCTCCCCTCGTAGGTTCTCTCGTCATGCTCGCGCTGGTGGACTCAGAGACAGTGGCATGGTCTCAGCTAAGGATCCTGGTCCAAGCAGATCGCTTCTTGTTCCCATCCAGAACTTCACGTCTTCCCGTCCGCCTTCATATTCAGCGCCCGCTTCACCGATCGAACCTCTTCCTTCAAGTATACCCTCCCAGCAGCCTCCGGTGAATCGAGACACTCTTAAGGAGCTGGACCTAGATGCTATTCTACGCAATCCTCAACTTCGTTAGTCGCTCCCGATTCTTTGCATTTATTAAAATTGCTCATAACTATATTCAGGTCATGATCTACTGTTCGACTCGGGACTGCAGTTCCGTCCTACTTCGAGTAGGCGAAAGCGCGATGTGGCGGATAATTACTGGCTCGCTGTCGAACGCGAGCTAGAGACTGGTTGCACATGTGTAACCGTCGATGCTAACGGCAAACTACGCGACCGTGTCTGTGTCTGTAATTCTTTTCCGATGCCAAGGTCGAGGTCTATTCGCGTCTCCTCGTCTTCGGGAGATTTCTCCACAGTTCGGACGCCGTCTCGTCTCAAACCTCTTTTGTGCGAACTATTGGAAGTTCTCATATCTATCATTCAGCCTGTCGTCGCCCATTCCAGCAGCTTTGGCATGCCATCTGGCTTGTTGCACCCGCAATATAGCCAAAGCACTTCTCACGTAACTTACCTCCGGTCGATAATAGACGCAGACCTTATCCAGCAGGAGGTTGATCACAATCTGTTCGACCCATCCGGTGTCTTCAAGGCCATAGGAGACATCATCCGATGTTATTGCGCGCCTATGCGAGACCAGGCTGTTGACCAAATGGTCAAGCTTGCCCAGTCTTGCGCCCCTGGCGGTACAGGAACGAAATCTGATGCCGTTCGAGCGATACGACTGTGTTTCGAGATTATGGAATTGATGAAATTGGTATGTACATCACATATCATTCTTCTCCTCTCCCCACGGGAAATGTGTGATCTCATTCTGACGTTGTTGATCAACCTCGTGTTGGTCCGTTCTTTTCTTTCTTTAGGATGTTGCGAATCACCAACTCCAGACTCTCCGTCCTTATCTCATTCAGTCATCGGCACAATTTGAATTGAGTATGTTTGAGGAAAGCCGCCAGAAGGGAAAACTCTCACTGCGTGTCACACGGGACCTGCTCACGTCGGTCTACTCCGAGTTGGCTGACAACAACAGTGTTACTGCGCCGGACCTCACAGTAGCTGTTTTCCGCAATGCGAAACTATCCAGACATACCCAAATTCAGATCACAGTGACGAAAACTATCGTGAACCTCATATTCAATCCTCCACCTCCATCCTCCCCACCGCATTCTCCATCATCATGCTCACATCGCAAAGGCCCAGTTGCGCAACCAGGATACCCCGAGACACTCTATCTCGACCATAGCAGGCTAAAAGCGCTTGGCAACGATGTGTCCGACTTGACCGCACTCTATATGCTACTGATGCTGTATCGACAACTCGTGCACGCCTCGGGTTCATCGCATGGCCCAATTAAACTCGATGAACTTCTTGCTCTAAAGAAGGAAATCTGGGAGATTGGGCCACAGCATCTAGGGCATTGTTTCATTCATAGTTCACACGATTCCTCAGATACCCCTTCCACTCCGACAGTTCGACACGCAGAAAAGTCTCCTGCAGACTCGAAAAGGTGGCGCGACGATCTCAATAATGTTATTCTACAATTGACGACACGTGCGGGTGATACATCATTCCGTACACGTATACCCCCTTCAACTTCTTCTTCATCTTCCCTGTCCGATTCGCAGAACACCAGTTTAGACTCTCAATCAACCCTTCGCCTTAACGATCGACTTCCTGACCCCGCAATGCTCCAACTTGCTACGAGCTGGGCAGACACCAACCTTCGACGCGACGCCCCTCTATGCGTACTCATGCGTAAGCGGGTTCGTCGCCTCGTGGAGGAACGGACTATTCAGATGGTCGTTCCTGCTATCAAGACGCCCACTAGCTCAGAACTTGCAGCAGGCTTGGAACAAGATCGCGTTGTCGCCAGCGGGCTTGAACCCCTCATGCCCGAAATCAACCACCTTGCAGAGCGGTTGACGAAGCTTGTGTCCATACACACGAACGTTTATGGAACGTTGTATGCGCAGCCAGGATTCCTGCCCGAATTCCCCTCCCCATGAGGCTTCTGCATTTCCCTATAACTTCACATTTCGCGCTGGAGTTCATTGTTCCGTACCGCCCGTAAGCTGTGGGCGGTTTGGGAGCTTGCGTTGGTTTTCTCCATTGATGATTTCGGTTGCCTGGTTTCCGATTCTGTGTTCTGCGTTTATTTCCTTCGACGGGACATGCCTTTGGCATGTGTTCGACATACACTCGTTCTTTGAAGTTGGGCTACCGCCTTTTTCTATTACGTTCTTACGCTTTCCCTTTTTCCTCCTTACGAATCGAATAGTGACTCACGAAAGTCATGTAAGTACTTAGCTACACCGTGAAGTAATAGAGACGAAGAAGTACAACAATAAATTGCCTTCTACCATTTCTATTTTTGTGTTCAGATCCTGCAACCTGTGGGTGGCCGCATTAAGAGGCGGTTAGGGGTCTTACGTAACACCGCTTAAGTGAAGCTGTATTCTTACCCGCATTGCACTGGCTTTGTACTCTATTACAAGCACACTGATACTCACATTATTCATGTGTTAGTTCCACCACAATGTCGAGCACGAGCATTGAGCCGTCCTCGACGACGTCGGATGACCCATTCTTCACCGATAACCCAGCAGCAACGACGACGTCTGGTGGTGGGGGTGGCGGAGGGTTTGCTTCCCAGTCTACGCCTTTGTATCTGTGAGCGAACTTCTAGCTGGGAGCTTTTTTTTCCCATCATCCCCATTTGCGCATATACTCATGAGTAATATTTGTTCGGCAGATTTACATTCCTTGCAACATTGTTTGTTCTCTTATTCGTATCATGCGCCATTGTCATGAGGTCGTTCTTCCTTCGGAGACGGATGCGGCAGCGCATTGATGAGGCTATAGCTGCGGGCGTGCTGTTGCCTCCTCAGACTGGTCCTGGGTCGAGGCGAAGAGATTTCGGGGAGAAGCCAAAATTGTGGGACGCTTCACTAAGCACGCCGAGTGACGAGGATTGGGAGTCAACTACGGTGCGCCTACATTGATCATATTGTTGGGGGAAGGCTCCTGAGTGCTTATTACATTCTATAACTAGCCTGTGTCTGTCAAACTCATCACTTCTGACTCATCCTCTATACCCACGTCTCCCTCTCCGCCTGAATCGTCAATATTGAGAAGGCTCAACCCATTTGCTCATCTGAAATCATGGCGACGACCCCGTTCAGACGCGCCGTCGAGTCCCCCTGATCCAACGACACTACCACTTTCACAGAGCCATCCTGGACTCGACGAATCGATTGCTCATGCCTCTGATGTGGAGGTTTCTCTATTCGTCGCTATGCCCAACCCAAACAAGCCCACCTACGATCCGTATAGGGAACATGACTCGGACTTCGGATCGAGGAAGGGCAAGCAACGGAGTTCGATGTCGTCAGACTCGTATTGGGATGAACATGAGGAAGGAGTGCCAGACGTTGTGTTGGGCGTATGCCATGTGCCGATGAAAGGTGGAAGTGACGGACTCAGACAATAATGTCTCCCCTTGTTTCGCATCTACTTATCCTCATCCTTTGTAGCAGTAGTTCTTCACTTTGGCATCATCACTTTCTATCTCTTAGCAGACTATTGTATAACACCCCCTATTGCATTCTTGCATCAACTTGTCCCATCATCATTATTTGTTTGGAGGACACTAGTCTAAGTCATCCATGTCGGAGTCGGTTGTCCATTCCTCATTCCCGTCATCTGCTTCTACATCCCCTTCGACATTTTCTTCCTCCTCCTCATCCTCCAACCCCTCTACCATGAGGTCAACAAGACCCGGAAAATCTTCATCTTCGTCCTCGGTGTCAGATCCTTCGAAGAATTCCAGCTCTACGTGCTCTTTTATCTGTCGCTCCTCATCCTCTTCGAGTTCATCTGTGTCCTCCAGGAGGACCTTTGACAGCGACTTGCCAGCCTCCTCCCTCCTCTTGACGAATGCCAAGACCAGAGTACCACTAAGTCCTCGAGACGTGAACTCCTTCAATTTTGGACAAAGCACACGATCGTTTAGATTGATGCCCTCTACTCCACGACTGTCGCCCATCAGTAGATCGTACCATATCAGGTCGAGATAGTGGAAATTCAAGTTGAGTGAGGTGACGTTCTCCAAGGTGTTCAGTGCTTCATACACTGTCACATGTGAACAAACGATATCGGTGATCTTGAGGTGGGTCAAACCCGTGAGGAGAGGTTTCTTCTGTTTGGCAGTCGGCTTCGAAATCATGCTAAGGAAGGTTCCATAATCGTCCGCTTCAAGATCAAGTGATAAGTCAGCGAGGTTGGGAACTTCGAGACGCTGCATGAGCGAGGTAACATACGGAGCGGATTCGTAGGTGAGGGCGAGTTGGTTGAGGGAAGGAAGGGATATTTGTGTGGTAGGGGGTGGGACAGGTTCGCCTTCGTGACCTTCTGTTACACTTTCAAGCCAGTCTACAGGACCACCTGCAGGGCCTGAATTGCAGAGGGCCAGAGAGCGCAGATTCGGCGACTCCTTGAGCATGTTCGTGAATACCTTGTAACTTGGGCGGACATCCTCGGCGTGATACGCCAACTCGATCTCCTCCAGATTTTTAAGAAACGGGGTACGCTCCCATAGTAGATGCACACCCCATAGTGCAATCTTCTTGAGTCTCGGCACGTTCCCATTGAATAAGAGCTCGGGTACATCCCGCAACGCGGCGGGCTCAAAGTGGTCCATATCCTCGATATTGTCGTGGTTGTACAGCGACAGACTTTCTAGGATAGGTGCGGCAGGACACGCGCTGAGGTTCTTCAGCACAATGGCCATCAAGGAGAAGTCGGAGACTATGAGTTCAAATGTTCGCCATTGCGACACACGAGGAAGGATGAGACCGGCGATCGTAATGAGATCCTTTACCTCTGGGTCATCAGCATCCAGGTCCTCCAAGTCCAATGATATGTCCAAAGGAGCCTGCTGTGCTCGTTCTAGATATGTTATTGAGCGATCATATGGACCTGCGAAGTCTATTGACGTCCATAGGTTTGGTAGATTGGTTGCAATGTCTCGCCAGTGCTTGCAGACGTGCGATACAAGCACTTCGAAAGGCAAATATGGTTTTTCCTCTTCGGTTTCAGAAGATATGTCTGAGAAAAGGTCCTCATCATCTTCGCCTTCCGCCTCCAGCTCCACTCCCAGTTGGAAGATATAGGCGAGTAGTTCGGGAGGGAGTTGGTTTATGATACAGCGACCGTCTGGTGGAGGAGGGATCTTCGATCGAGCGACTTTTCGAGCGATTTTGGAATCCATGGAGATATCCCAAAGCTAGGATGTCAGAGTTGTGAACTCTTCGAACAGCTCAGAGTCCATGATATAACGCGTCGCGTCAATTTGCGATCATTGATCTAGAATCTTCTTTTGTCGAAAAAGGCCAAATCAGGCAAGTCTCGTTGATTACAGGATTTTCATCCAGATACAGTATCGTTTGGAGGGATAGGAATGAAGCATGCAAGAAAAACGACGAGACACTGATATACAGGGGGTATTTATGGATGCAGAGAAAACATGTGATGAGATAAAGGGATAAGTCACAGCGGCTCAGCCAGCCGAGATTGGTGGAAGGCGGAATGAATGAAGGCCTCGTATTGCAACTTCACACCGTCGAAAGCCCAAAAGAGCTGCTCGATTTTAATATCCCTGTATCCTTTCATGACCTGCTCGGTTTCATGGCTCACGGCCAACTCGCCACAACGATAGTTAAAAAGACGATGAGCAAAGAGATACGTTCTAAGACCGAAGATATTTTGCAAGAGAGGCCTGTAACAAGGATGCATCCTTTCGTAGATCCTTGGATCGGCCGCCCGGTGAACGTCGATGAAGTGTGCTTTCGCCGCTCCGATGTTGGCCAAAGATGCCTGTTGACGTGGTTCATTACCAACGGTCCATTCTAGAGTCTCCGAGAAACTCTTTTTGTCGGGGTTGTGGTTCGTCACGAACCAAACGAACAACCAGAAGAACGACTCCAGGTCGTGCTGGTACTCGTGTCCAGGATATTCGTCGGAGAGCATCGCGATGGCCATGAAAGGGGTTGTACCAGTCCTGCCAGGCTTTATGCATTGCCCGGGAAACACCTTCTCCGAAAGATCCCAGTCGCATAAGACCCCCACGACACCGTCAATGGGGTCACGGAAGAACATCACGTTGTTGTTGGAGATATCATGATGAATGATCTTCGAAGTCTTAAAGACCCAGTGGTGAGCTATAATGAGGATGTGATGAGCCACAGCAAACGTGTCCAGACCGAATAGGCACTCACCAGACACAACATCATACCATACTTGTAAAAACTCATCAGGTCCAGTAAGCTGCTCAAGTGGCAAGTAGGATTTCATAACCATGACTTTAAAGACGTGACCAATCATATGAAAAGAATTGTCATCAGTCATGAAGACCCTTGGCAAGTTAGTTTCCTCCATGGTCAACTCAAGAGTGCACTTGAGCTCGACAATATGCTTGAGGTATTCGGGAGCCTTAGCCTGAAGGCGGATGCGTACCCTCCGAATGATACTGTCCTCGTTGGTACCAGAGTACGGCCAGCATAACTTCGCGACAAGGGGCTCGTCCGGGTCCGTCGTCGTTCCCACCATTCGCAGGGTCTTAACGGGAATGACGGTGGTACCGCGGCCCATGGCTCCATATTGCGTGTAGATCTTCCGGTCTTGCTCTTCGTTTACATCGAATCGGAAGGCGACTTGGCCGGTTGATTGGTTGTTGGCGTCAATAGCATTGTCAAGGACGAGCGCGGCTCTGTCATAGTTATCGAATGACTGTCCAGGATTCTTCATGAAAGGTGAGAACCCAAGGTCACTCCTCTTCGCACTGGATAGTGCAGCCAAGACCAGAACGAGAAGATGAGGTTCTCTCAAGAAGTCGAACGGAGCAGATTTGACGACACCGAAACGGTCGCCGTACCAGAGACAGATGGACGTGTCTTGCACTTGGATCCCAGTGTTGTACTCGCGGACGCCGTATGACATCAGTTCGTTCAGGGTCACGATAGACTTTAAGTCTATATCATCCAGAGGTTTGTCCGCCCACGCGAGCTTCCTGACTTCGTAGACGATCTGTTCATCGTCGTCGAACTGGCCGAGAGTAGTAGATGGAATGAGTATCAATTACATGATAAAAAAAGGATTGACGCATACCTCGTTCAAGTCCACACTTATGTCATGCATGCTACGATACGATCGTTCGCTCTTCCTGACATCGACAAAGAGGGCGAGGAAGTCCATGTCATCTACAGTCGGGTGGTCAATGGTGCTCCAGACGATTGTCGGGAGGAATGGGTTGGCAGCAGTAGGTACAGTCAAAGAGAACCGACCATCAAAAGGCCGACACTCATCAGGGATCTGGTCCAATACGCTCTCCAAGAGCTTTTGAAATGTGTTATAGATACCCCAAGGTGCCCTGGTCCTTGATATACTTCCCAAATACGCATCAAGTGGCTCTTTGAGGAGCTTGTATCCTCCTTCTCCTCCGCAAGGGGGAGTAGGGATATCCTCCACTCCGAATTTGTAAACCGATTTGACAAAGTCAACGATCGGAACATCGCGTTTGACCTTGCCGCGGTACTCCTCTCTATAAAAGTGCTTCCACTCCTCTGGGATACCCTCCTCTCCCCGTTGTTGAGCGTAACGCGAGGAGAAGTAGGAGTCCGGGAACGCATTGGCCACTGAAACGGATTGGCCTTCTAGGTCTGAATCAGACCTGTCCCCGAGGTAAGGCGTGGTATCGCCTGTACCAAGAGGTGAAACGGGAGGGAGAGGAGGAAGAGGAGAGGGAGGAGAAGGAGGGAAAGCTGCAGCCATGCTGAACCCAAGGTGGGGGATGAGAGTCGTAGTACTGGGGTGCTGAAGAGGGGAAACGGTCTGCCTGGACGCGACTGCGTTAAGTGTGGCACGGAGGGTCACGCCTCACGTGCTGGTACCTAAGGACAATGGTCACAAAGAATGGCCATAATGATATTGGAGTAACGAGTGGCCCGAGTTTGCACATTGTACCCTGTAGTTTAACATGACATTTTACACTGGAATCTACGTGGAAGACCTGAAAGGAATAGCATGTCTGAAAGGCATGCCTATGTCTGCAGATGGTCGTACTTAAAAGGGAGAACATTGATATAATGCTGTCTTTGTTCTTTAGGCTACATACCTGTGCGCACAAAGGAACGCGGCCCTACTATTCAAGCAGGGGTGCCATACGCCTCCATAGATACGACATGCCTACAACCCAAATTAATATTGTGATTCAGGCTGTCCGCTACTGAGTATGACTCGATAACTGGCCCTTTGGTAATTAGGATGATGAGAGATGATTCAAGTCGACATTGGGAAGATCTTAAGTTTGAACTTACCAGCACCGTTATTAATAAAGGTCTCGTCTGTTCCACCTCCCCAAGGACATTCAGTTTCATCAATCAGACTTTGCTACAATACAGGAAGCTGAAAGCTTGAAGCAGTAAAACAGAAAGACAAAATCGCTTTTGCATGTTGCGAGTCTATAAATCTTCAACAATGATTTATACTTTTGTCGTTGTCGTATGGGTCGGTGGCGTAGCTGGTTATCGCATCTGTCTAACACACAGAAGGTCCTCAGTTCGATCCTGGGCCGACTCATCGGTGATAGTGTCGATAGCTTTTTCTTTTTCTTTTCGTGCATCCACGGTCCTGAGTAGATCCCCGACATCATTCCCACTCAACGCGATGAGCTTTACTATTATATATAATCAGTCCGTTCTAATTGTCTGCAAGAACGTAAATGCGCTGAATGTATATTTCTACGTGCGGTTCCCGTTTGGCATTTCCTCTACGTGTAATGGTGCGGGCGCAGGTGTTTGATAATTTAAATGTACACAGTGTCTGTACAATACTCACCGTACGCAGAGCAACATGCGCCAGAACGCGCTCCTAGAGCATTAAACACCACACATATCCTCGGGGAAACTGTCAACACATCAATTACATTCGAAATACAGATCCACGGACCGCGTCCCTCCTATCCGCTGGATGTCAGAATCGAGTTGCGCAAAGTGAAATGTTGTTGTGTGCATGGTACGACTGTGGGACGGGCTGAGATCTGAAGCCTGAGGCCTGAGCGTTGAGTAGCTACTGTTTGTTCCAAGATGCCAGGCGTTGCAGCACGAGGGTCCTGTACGTGGGAGGGTCCTTCGTAACGCATAAAGTACCGCCAGAGTACTTGCAAGAACCAAATGACAAGGAGAACAGAATAAAGAAAGAAAAAAGAAGCAGCACGGTTAGTTAAAACGTCGAGATGTCAAGTTTCCCAGATTTACTACCTTAAGAAGCCGGACCAGATATTCCAAGAGTCTTGGAACCTAGATTCTAGAGCCTGAAGGCCTGAAGGCTTTGAAGCCCGGACATATTGAGTATTGTACAGCGATGGATTTCGTGGTGTCTGACAGACTGAAGTCTAGAAGAGCTGGCCAAACGTTTCTTTGATCCCCGGTCGGCCTATAAGTTGGAAATTCAAATGAATGCTGACAGACAGGGGGTGAAGCATTAAGTCTGCTGAGTCGCGGTGAAAGCAAAAGAAGGGTGCCATAGAACCAGCTGGAAGTAGAGTATAGAAGCCCGAGTCGATGAGAAGGTTTGAGATTTTTTGAGTTGACCGGTGACCTGGGCAGGATCCAAGAGTATAACGTAGGAGTGACGTTGCGCTGCACAGCTGAGTACTTACTCTAGCTGCAGCCGACTCTTGTGATATCTTTTGAGATCAACGCGTACGTGTACGCCATGGTGATGGATGTTCTACTTAAGATTGAAATTGGAAGAGACGGAATGATGAACCTGCTGAAGCACTTACTTGATCGCCGCCAAGAATTTCAATCATCAGCCTTGCCAGTGGGTCGCCTCGGTAATACCGGCAAAAGGATAGAAGAGGGTATACATACAAATACGACAAAGGATGCCTAGGAGCGAAGGCACTGAAAATTCATTACTGAAGATTGAATTTAGAACGGATCGTCACTAACCCATTTCGAGCCGAGTTATTGAATTGCCATTCCGAGACTGGAGTCGGGGTTGTATATCGGTGCTTCCTTGACTGCGCTGTTGAAATCCCACGCGATAGGTGAGCTCTAATGACACCTTATGCGGAAGAACGCATGCGAATGATATACACAAGGAGACGTTGACAGAAGTCTTATGCAGGTAGGAGGACAGTTAATGAAGTCCTATGTGTTCGGAGGCGGGCTGATGACGAATAATGGCTGGGGAGGGCATCGTTTGAGAGTTGTGGTGAGATGTGTAGGATGCGAGATGAGGAGCGCAGGCGGCGTATAGTACTAGTATACCGTTTGCGAGTAGCGGCTCAATCCCGAAGAGGCTTAGGGGTAGGGCGAGAGCTTGAGCTTAACGGGCGTTGGTTGTCGATATCGAGTTACGATTAAGAAAGGTCGCATGATGGATGGCGTGAGGAATGAGATAACGGGATGAAGCGAATTTCCAGGGCCTTGCACTAGTTTAGGTGTAATAGCGAACAGGGACAATTGAAACCGTGAATAGCTGATAAGCCTCGGAGGACTGAATCTGTCAGGGAACGCATGCGGAGTGTCTAGAAGGGGTTATTCCGTTATGGTTGTGGTTCTGGTGAGAGAGTGAAGACAATAGAGGATTAGCGATATGGGGAAGCGTGTATGAGCGAAGGGACTGGTGAGAAAGCGGGGGTGGAAAAGGTTCATTCCAAGCTAGAGGCATGGAAGAGAGGATCGACAACATGGAGGCAGATAAATCGGGAGGCGATCTAGGGCGGGGTGCTATAAAAGGTTAGAACGACCGGTCAATTAAGCCGAGAGAGAGTCGGTGCTGCAATATTGGGCGGTGCAATAGTCTTGTCAAGTGGCGACGGTGGCGACCAGAGCTGTTGCATGTTTGGAGACTCTCCTCGGTGCACGCAGACGAACAATGCAGACTATCCGACGGGTGTCCGGAGAGGGTTGGTGGAGGAAGGACGCGGGAAGAGGTGCGTCAGAGGAAGAATGGCAGGCGCCTGGCATTGGACTTCCCATCGAGGCATGACAGCCGTTCCAAATGGCCTGCACGCCATGCTTTCTGCTCAAAGGGCTGCTCTCAAGAGAGCGAATCCCTCGCCTGCTCTTCTTCGCATCCTCCGAGCTTCCTGTCTCTTCCCTCCATCTTCCCTCTTCCTCCCCAGGCTAACCGAGACAGGTTACCTTCTACCACCGCTCTCACAAAGTCGCTACTAGTCGCTAGTGCTATACTCGCCCTACCCGATGCCTTTCTGGCGCAAACACCTCCCGTTCCCGTCGCAGGACTCTCAGCCTACATCTGCTGCCGGTCCCTCCTCTCAGACTGTCCCGCCCCCTCCGCTTCCCGTTCATACCGTCCCTGCGCCTGGCACTCACCTTCCCCCGCCACCCCAGACTCGTCCACGCACAATCAAGCTCTCCCCTGGCCGATTGCTGTCCTTACCCGTACGTGTTCTGTTTTGCTTGAGCTTGAACCGGCGGGCGTATGCTCAAGGTCGCGTCGCAGTATCGCTTGTTGCATCCTCCTCCTGCTAAATCGCAACTTCCAACATGGAGCATCACGCCCCAGTTCGATATCAAGCTCGAGGATATCCTCGATCGCAAGCATCTGCCCCCGCTGGGACTCAAGGACTTTGAAGAGTGGATGTTGTTCGTGGAGCATAATGCTGAATACCTGTACGCGAATTCATTCTATGTGTTTTTTTTCTCTCCCTTTCAATTCCTTGTCGGACGCGTCCACCGAGGTCGTGTATCTTGCACGCCCGGTGATTTCTGTACGGCACTTGATCTTCATTTGTTGATTGCTCAATCGGCATCATAAGTGAACCTTGTACCACCCGATTTGATTGCGATCATGGCGGAATGACTGCATTCGATCCGTCCGCATTTACTTACCACTGATCGGATGCAGGTATTTTATCCTCTGGTTGCGAGAATACACTTCCCGATATGCAGCCTGGAAGCAACACGTCAAGCACCAGCAGCAGCACCAGCAGCAACAACATGCACAACGCCAACCGCAACTTAACGCCTCTTCCGCTCCTACTTCCCATCCCACCAAGAAAACACGTTTTACATTCTCCAATTCGTCGCACAAGAGTAGACACGAAGGAGAGCGAGATAGAGACCCGCCGACGTTCTCACGTCACAACCTCTACTCGTCGTCCCCGCGACTCAGCATCTCCTCCTCTCCCTCTATTTCTACTTCTTCAAGCATCCACACGCACTCTTCCCGCCCTTCATCGTCCCACTCGTCTCACTCCGGTTCCCCGACTCCCCTCCGAAAATCGTCCACTCACCCTTCTCACCTTTCCCACTCCTCACGTTCAAGGAGCAAGCACCAGCACGTTCATATACATGGCACCAGTATCACGGTCCCGCCTTCGCCGCCTGTTTCATTGGCTACGTTCTACATGAGGGCGAAAGAGACTTTCCTGACAAAGGGAAGTGCATATGAGCTACACGTTCACGAGGACGTGCTTGTAGTATTCCATTTGAGTAGTTGTCCAAGTGGGAGCAGTGAGAACTTTGGCATGTCTTTCCCTTCGCATTACCCAGCGTACCCTACCTACCCTTCTCATTCCGCCTACTCACACTCTGCCTACCTGTCTCAGCACCACTCCAACTCGAACAATAGAGACCAGACTCTACCTTTACCCCCAGACCCAGAAATCTTTGCAGAACTGAAGGGGATCGTGGAGGATCGGTTGAAGGCGTGTTTGGGGAGGTTTGTGGTGGCGACGTATAATAATGTGGGGACGCCTAGGGCTTGGTGTGGGAGTGCTGGCGGGATCGTCATCGGGACCGGGTCGAGGTGAGAGCTTCTCTTGCTCTTGCGAAGACCATAATTCTAATTTTTCAATCTATAGCGTGCCGATCCTGGCCTCGAATTTCGCGTTGCACGCACCCCGGTGGTGGCGCATCTTTGCATTGCCGGGGATGTGGTTGGGCATGACGATCTTTTTGAGCGCAATGTACGGCGTTTGCATGATGATTTACGTGTTTGGCGATCTGAGGCAGTTGAGGAGTTTCGAGTTGAGCAGGCCGTCTGGTGCGAATCGGCAGTCTCGGTCTGGGGAGAAAGAGGCCGTGGTGGTGCAGCCTATCACGAGGCCGCCGAAGGTGCGGTTGGTTGATAGTAGGGATAGGACGGAGCGGACTGTGGAGAAGGAGAAGATAAAGGAGGAGTTGAAGTCGAGGTGGTCGAGTGATACTACGGGTGTTCAGTCTCCGGCTCCTCTCGTTATCCGGGGACAAACGCGTGTGGATGGGCAGCAATCGTTTGTCTCGCGGTCGCGGTCTTCTCATTCCTATTCCGAGGACTCGGACACAGAGTCAGAAGGATCGAATTCGGACTCGGAGTCAGAAGCTTCTTCTTCTTCTGAGCAGCACTCTGATTCAAATTCAGATACGGATTCAGACTCGGATTCGGATCCATCCACCTCGTCTTCGCTTTCTGCCAAACCGACACATACAGCCCGCCGACCTCGGATCCTCATCTCAGACGCTTTCTATGATGAACATCCCTCGCCGGAGGGTTTCGCTACGTCTACTGGTGGTTCTCTTGCCGCGCCGTTTGTGTCGGAGATTCCTGGAGGGATCGCGGTGAGGAGGGGGAGTCTACCCGGGCAGGGTGGGGGATCGCAGCTGAGAGGGGGTGAGGATGTGGGTGGTGCGACTGCGACTGCGAGTTTTATTAGAGGGTATATTTATGATGAGGGTGAGGTTGAGAGGTTGAGGGGGTATCGGTTTGGGTCAGTCGCGTCTCTTCTCTTTCTTTCTTTACTTATCATCAGTTTAACTGAACTCAAATATCTGATACGTTAGGTCCCACGCAACATCCTCACACGCACACTCCTACGAGGGGGACGATGAAGACGATCGGTCTTCTTCTCATGGAGTCGGTGGTGATGATGAGGAGGACATCGAGGCTCAGAGACAGGCCAGGGTGGCAGAACGACAGCCTGTGGATGAGTTTGATTTTGATGGTCTGCCGCCTAGGATGGGCCCGTTCTCTTCTCCTTCGTCTATCGGTTCGAATAGTCGATCGTATTACTCCCACTCCCAATACCCGCAATACCCGCAATACCCGCAATACTCGCAATACTCGCAATATCCCGAGCATGCGTACCAATACCAATACCAGGCGGAGAAGAATACTACTGCTACTGCTGGTGGGCGTGGATTGCCGGGAGAAGAGGATGGGAAGAGACATAGTTTGGTCGTGGTCGTTGTGTGGATGTTGGTTAGTTGGATTCAGGTCAAGTGTTCGCCTGGGAATGCGGCGGCGCATCATCTTTCGCATTCGCATTCATCGCCATCGACGTTTCCGAAGGCTGTATTCGAGGAGAAGTTGCCGCAGAGTCCTTCTGAGAAACAACAACATCTCATGCCCTTTCCCAACACTACCAACACCAACACCAAACTCACGCCATATGGGAATAACACTCAATCTGCTCAACCTGTCAATGCCAAAGTTACGAAGCCAAAGGTAGAGACGATGTCATGGCGAGAATCATTCCGTCGGGTGTCTGCTGTGCCTGCGTTCGCTTCGCCCTTGACGCCGGTGTTGAACCCGATTGTGGGGAGGGCGCAGTGGGAGATCGTGGTGAGGAGTGCGGTGATTAGTGCGGTTGTGTGTGGGAGTGTGGTTGGTGCTTTGATGGGTGTTCCGGTGTCGGGTTGAATCGTTGGACTTTGGGCGTTGAGAGCTGGAATCTGGAGTCTGGGGTGTTGTTTGGGCCTCGCGCGTTTGTGGTGAGTTCTATTTTCATTTCTGTGTGTTTGGTGGTGGTTGTGAGTTGTGGTGCTTATGTTTTGTGATCTAGAATTCTTTCTGGAATGGGCCTGAGTCGTCATGAGAACCAAGGCCACGTTTTCTGTGATACTTGGACATCTTGTGCAAGGACCCTTCGTCGCTCGTTTTTGTCGCGCTTTGTTTTCTTTTTTCTTTCTTTGTTTTCGCTCTCGAATTACGCTCTTTCTCGCTCGGTCATTTTCCCCTCCCGCTCCCGCTCCCGCCATCCCCCCAACCTGTTCTCTGTTTTGTCTTTTCGTCTGCGTTCTTGATGTATTTGTATCTCGCAATTTTCTCTCTCCTCCCCTCTTCCCTCTCTCCCCTCTCTTCAACTTCCGCTGTGCAATATGTCATTCCGTCCTCTACCATCTCCTCTCTCTTGGCTTCGACTTTCACCTTTCACTTGTCTCCACCTTTCCCCCCATTGAACGCTTTCCAGCAAGTTACCATTTACAAGTTAAAGTTCCTGTTACCGTGCCCACTTCCCACTTTCCTTTCCATTCTTGTCCGATTGCATTTTCTTCTTTCAAACTTTGTGTATTATTAAATATATTCCGTAGCCCTTTTTACTTGCACGCTGGCCCTGCCATTCATTTCCACCGTCGTTACATGCCATCCCCACTTCCTTCGTACACATACACGCTGTCTTTTTCTTGTATGTGGTTTTGCATGGCTTGTACGTTGTTTTTAGTTAGTTAGTGTACACGGCGTTGTCATAATATGATGATAATGTGTACTTTTTACTTTGGGCATGAATTTTTTGGGCTCACATCGTGTATTCCGATTCCTTGAGGGTTTGACTTTCGTGTGAGATCATACATACTGTACATGTTGGAATCATAAAGGGATGAGGGGGTGTGGAAGGCAAGACTTGAAGCTTGAAGCTTGGTGCAGTTCATTTCGATATCGATACTTCCCGAGTCGCCGCCCGCCCTATGGGCCATATGCGCGGCGGGTGGTAAACGTCCTTGGAACACGCAAAAAGTATAGACTGCAGGCTACATGAGTCGGCCCAGGTTCGAACTGAGGACCTTCTGTGTGTTAGACAGATGCGATAACCAGCTACGCCACCGATCCTAACGTCGACATTAAATCGTAACAAATTCATTATCATTGAATTTGAATTTCATTTCACTCTTGCGCGGGCGATGTCAAATTCAATCGATTCGGCTGCAAACTTTAGGTTCTCAACGAGTGCAACGTTGAAGGTAAATGTATGTCGTTGTTCGTCGTTGTTGTCGTGCATCGTACCATTTGACGCTATTTCAATATTTTTCAGTCTCCATGTTATGTACTACCACTGTGGCGTACGTTGGCCGTTTATATGTACATATGTCAATCGCTAGGACAGTCCATAAAGCATCCGAGTACCCCCTCGGGTTAATGAATCGATTTGGCGACGGTTCTGTCTATTCCCGACCTTCTCCACATGGTACACGGCTTTTCCAATCGCCTGCCGCCGATCTCTAACCAATAATACTGTAGCATCCACGCTCGGCTCAGCGATACCAGACGGTTTGGATTGTAATTTTGCCACAACGTCATCCCACTCTCCAGAGCACCAGCCTCATGGATAAAGGTAACGTCGTGAGCTTGTCCTATCGTTTCTTTCGGTCTCCTTTTTACTCTGTCAGTGGGTCTGTATCCTGGGGGGTGTCTTGATTGATAATAAGTATGATGTTTTTCGCGAAATTGAAGAAACTCCTCCACGCTGGGCAAGACAAGGAACAATCCAAGGTAAATTTCAAAAGACCTTCGTGAATACACTGTGCTATTGCGACTGATTATTTAATCTTAGAATGTCGTCTCAGCTCCTTCTGTCACACTTTCAGCGGTGAAACCTCGATGGAAGTACGCTTCACTTATCGCTCTGGTAAGTCCCTCAAATATTTCAACCCATTGTTCGTTACATCATATATCCATGGAATCTCCAGGCTACCGCAGCTCAAGGAGATGACGCGGAGGTACTTTTCCCTAGATTGTTCATTCAAGCTGTCCGACCCAGACGTATCCTGGTTGAACGGCCGATCAGTCATGGCGTTCTGGCCAATTGGTTCCTTATGATGGTTCGAGTCCCTGCAGTTTTTCTAGATTGTAAGATGCCGATATCTCACTTATTCTAGCTTGCCAAAGGATGTCTTTGTATCCCCGAAGTCAATCACATGCTTGGCATCCAATTTACTACCGCCGCCCCTCTTGGGACACAGCTGGCTGGCCATGAACATGCCGATTCCTCTCATGATTCATCACTCTCTCAATCTACTGATTCGAGCGACAGCACCTCCACTATCGCCGTCTCTCCAACGTTGTCTGCATCTGCGTTCTGCGACTCTTCGTTTGCGGGATTTAGCAATCCACCTCGATCTCGCACACCAACTGACATCAGGACTTCGTCACCTGCTAATACCACTTTGGACCGATTGTTCTTGCAAGACTTCACTATCCAAAGTCAACTCGGTGCCGGTAACTTTGGAACTGTACATTTGGCGAGACATAAACCTTCTGGCATCCTCACTGCCCTCAAAGTAGTCTCAAAGTCACCTAAGCCGACAACGAAAACAATGGAGAATACATTTTCTTCATCTAAATTTGCGAACAAGACACGGGATAATTCTGGCAGTTGTGAAAACCCCACCATGGCACATATTCTCGAGCAGTCTGAAACTCAACGCAGCGAAGCTCAGAACTTCCTTGGTGAGGAGTTTGATGACGAGGGCGAGGACTCGTGTCGCGATGAAGACGGAAGCGCTACGAGACGGGCATCCGCCCTTGAAGAGTTCTTCGCTTCGAGACGGATGGAAAGTGTTCAAGGAGTCGTGCAGTTGCTTGGCAGTTTTCATGATGAGAACAATTTCTACTTTGTCATGGTATATCAAGCTTCATTCGCCATACCTGGAAGGGAAATCGATATTGATGCCTTGTTTGTTAGCCATACTATCCTGGTGGAGACTTGCAATCCCTACTGGAAAGAGATCATCGTTTACCTCATGAACAAGCACAACTGTATACCGCTCAGCTCGTAAGTCGCTTTCCCGTTATTTCATTCGATACCCGGCGAATTATTTTCAGCTCCTTGGCATCGAAGCCCTGCATGACCGTGGCATAGTCCACCGCGACCTCAAACCTGGAAATATCCTTATCGACGACAATGGCCACCTCATCATTGCAGACTTTGGCTTAGCCAAGTGCTTTGAAACCCATATGACGCCATTCGAGAAATCCGTCTACTCTGTTACCGACGACACTGAAAGCTACTTTGCAATCGACCAAACCATGAGGGCGTGTGGGACACCGGATTATGCTGCTCCTGAGATCTATCTACAGGAGTGGTATTCGTATCCGGTGGATGTGTGGGCTATAGGCGTGGTTACGTTCAGGATGTTCGTTGGGAGGGTATGTCTCATCTGTCACTTTCAAGTAGTAAACGTTAGTGGGCTGACTTATAGTTTACGTGTGTTCATGCGGTAGTCGCCTTGGGGTTCGTGTCTTTCCATGGAAAGTCTTGCCACGGCCATTGTGAGGCAGCGCATGGAAGTGGAGAATTGGGAACGAGGTGTATTTGAGATGCATCAGGAGACTGAATTGTTCTTCAATGCAGTCGGTACCCTATTCAACATTTATCTTAAAATACTTACTAGATGCATGCTGCTTATCTGCAGGCTCTCGACAAGGACCAGATCACCAGGCCGACTGCAAGTGATCTAAAGGCACACTCTCTGTTTGACGGATTGTGAGTCTCTTCTGTCATGTCTTCATGATTCGTAGCTCCAATAACTGCTGTTAGCGATTGGGACAAGCTCTCTCGTCGCGAGATTCTAGCACCCTGGGTTCCCATGCCTTACATGAAGAAACCCAACATTGAGATGGAGCCAATTGATGCTGGCGATGCTTACGACTCTGATGATGATCCTACGCCTTTCATCAGCTATACCTCTCCCATCCTCGTTTCGGCTTCTCAAAGGGACTCCAACTATCTCACTGAGCCCCCGATAATTGAAGAAATTGTCTGCATACATCCAGCTCCGCCTACGTTGCATCAATGCCACACCATGCTCGAACAGCTTCTCTCAGACTTCCCAGCTACGGACAACACGCTCGTATCTTCGTCCGACCACCTCTCGCTCAAATCTCCTGATGCCGCCAGGAGTGCTATGTCCAATGCTGTTGTCTCTGTTTGCTCCTTTGCTCCCCCGCACGACGATCCCACTCCGCTTACAAAGTTCAAGAGATGGGCAAACCAGCTTTGGCAGTGGAAAACTCCTCAAATGACTATTGTCTGATCTCTCGTGTGTTTTCATGTCTCGCGTGTGGAAAGCTCCGGAATCTCTCGCTATTTTTCTAGTTCTTTGCTTCAACATCACGCTCGATCTGGCTTCTTTGAATACCTGGACTCTGGTTTCTTGTCTGCATACTATGGATTTTGGGGTGAATAAATACATACTCTCGTCACGAACACTTATTTTGTTGAATGCCAATACGCTTCCTGCCATATGTAAGACTAATATTTGTCACTGATACGTATACCGTACTTCATGAAAACGCTGGACCGATTGGACCAACACGACGGTTTCTCTGTGACATTTTACTCCAGTATAGTCCTCCTGACCGAAACTATTCTTCCGCCTTTTATCGTCGTACGATCGTAAGACGGATTCAGTACTGCTGATTGAGTTGAGTCATTGTTGTGGAGGAGAACAAAGTCCGCAACGTCGCCCACTCGAACAATCATCGGCCGGGACTCCTTTGAAAGTCGGGAATCTTGTTGGCGGCCGATGGCTCTTCGGGCAGTGTTTGTAACAGATTCCTGCACAGTCATTTTAACATATGGAGGTTAAAGGAACCACATCAAAAGACCGTACCAAGAGCACTTGACTGTCAGCCTTGGTGGCCGATTGGAAAACCGCGACGCCTAATGGACACAATGATAAGGGATCTACAGAGCCTTGTGGTGTGAACGCGTTCTGAACGTTGTTCACTGTCATGGCTATGCGCACGTTATGTTCTCTCGCCAAATGGGTGACATTCAGTGTACTTCTGGGGGAAGGATCTGTCCCTCTGCCCATCATGTATAAATCACTCTGCGGAAGTCCCACCAAGGTGATGGGTAGATTATGCTCGTCGACAACCCGTTTGTACTTGGCCCATTCTTCACGACTGAATAGTGCCAATCTGGTTGCATGTCCTACGCAGACATGTAACTCCTGCTTCCATGTACCGCCTTTCATGCGAGTTTCCAATTCTTGGAGGAGATACCATATGAGGGGCTCGGAAGAACTATCAAAGTTATAGTCGAGGTGGAAGTCAGCGACAAGGGTATGTTTCCATGCGAGGTCCAGCACTAAACGGATGTTCTCCTTCGCCATGGCGATATTGGGCTCCACGTAAGGCGCAGAACCGATGGCTTCGACACCGTCCAAGGCGGCAGCTAATGAAAGGAGATCATAATTCTCTCCCGGCTGCTCGCTGTCTGACGTGTATAAAGGGTCCTGAGCGAACACTGCAATTCAAATAATGCTGAAATTAACGGTGAATGTCCTTGAATTGGAAGATGGGCATTACCTGCAATTTGAACATCGCACTGCTGTTGAAACTCTTCGCGCAAGCGGACACCCGCATTCACACATGCGAAGCCGGTAGTGATATCAATCTCAACATGTGCTCTCATGGAGGTTACTCCACATTGTACGCTCTGCATGATCAATTGTCGGCCACGACGGAGGATGCTCGCTTCATCTTTCGCAAATCGAGTCTTGGCTTCGGCTGTCATTGCCAAAGCTTCCCGGAAGTCGCTATAGATTTAGTACAGTCAGCTCCCTTCAGAACAAATAGGAACCGACATCGTACCCTGAAACGATTTTCAAATCGCTGTACTCATCGAGAAGGAAACATTTGTCCAGATGAATATGAGCATGACACAACCTGTCGATAATGCTATGTAAGTTCCGAAGCTAGTGTTGAGAACGACTCGGAATGTGAGATATAATTGATACCCAGGGATAAGGAGGCCCGCTGTCTCTAGCAACGTGCCATCTATGTTGGAAAATCCGGGCTCGTTTGTGTCGGGAAATTTGCTAGATTGCTGAATGCGGTGAACCTTTCCATTGAGACAAAGTACGTCATAAACTGCCCGTGTCCCATCATCGTTTCGTTCAAGACCCGGAAGCGTAATTCGGCGGATTAGAAATTTTGAAGGACTACTATTTTCGTCCATATGTCTGTTCCTCGCGCTGCCAATAGACTCAAGCTTGTGACGCACACGATGATCTAGGTTTGATACAAAAGCATCAAGGTTAGCGACAAGGTTTGGATAGCGACCGCGGACTCACCAATCGTCAAGAATAGATCTCATGTTCAATTAGCTGGACTCACATGCACATGCCGTTTTCCAATACCGCTATCGATAACGACGACCGTTCACGCCCCTATCCTGATAGGATCCATTGAAGACACGGTGATGACTCTCGATTAGTAGGGTATGATATGATACATGGGTGAATGCATAACGTGAATGATGGGATGCGGGTTAGCGAGATTGAATATATGCAAAGTCCGGGGGAGGGAGAGAAAAGGCAGGCTGTATGAACCGAATCCAGAAGAATAACCTACAAGTCACGCTGCAACCCTTCGCCGCTTTGTCCGAGTCCGTTCCTGATACTCATCTTCTTCTCCAGAGCTATAATTCTCATTTGCGACGTCAGGCCCGTAGAGCTGTTGTCGCCTTTCCAAGTCCGTTTTACGTAGACGCAGGAGTTGGTACGATAACGACCGGAGGAACTCATTCTAGTATGCATGTCAGCAACTAAACACTGCGATACAACCGAAACGACATACTCTGGCGAAGCGAACTTTAGTGCCCGGAGGAATAGCTGCCTGAGCACGTTTTTTCTTCTCGTTGTACTAGAGGGTAACTCAGGATGCAAGAATTAACAACACCGTACCAAGGACACGTACTTTGCGTTGCTCTTCTTTCAAAAGCACTGAGAGATGTTTGATCCACTTCTGCATGTTCGACTCTTCCTTGCGCATCTTGGAATGTGCGTTGGTCTGACGAAGCAAAGTATCATCCGCATCCGCAATGTCTTCGTCATCGCTATCAGGCACAGCATAGCTCTTAGCAGCCGACGCCGTACTCCGCCTCGGTCGCTTGAGCCCTCTTGGAGATTGCGGTGAGGCACCGATACCAGCTGAAGACGAGCGAGAAGGGGTAGCTAGACACGATGGGCCTGGAGTGTCTTCCGTCTTCACTGAGTATTCTGTCACGATCTTGACACGAATGCGAGAATACCGTCGCTTGCGAACCTTGCGAGGTGTCCCAGATAGTTCTTCAGGTGTGAGATAGTCCTCTTCACTAAAGAAAAACTCGGCGCCGGCTTCGATGTCATCAAACAGGGCAGAAGTCTAGCACGACAACGATCAGATCCCGGTGACTAGAGCCATAAAGGGCTAAAAGACAAACCGGTGCTCTGCCCAGACGCGCCAGGATCTTGAACTGCTTCAAGGTCACAGGTATTCGAGCATTGAGCGAGATAGACTCTCCAAAGGAGACATGGGCTTGCACAGACTAACAAAACATGAGTAAAGTCGAGGACGGATTATTGGTGCTACAATTCGTACCATAGGATTTCCATTAGCCACAGCGTGTAGCATATACACAGCGGCTACACCGCTACGAACACCAAATGTGTTGCGAATGAGTTTACCCATTGGCATATAGTCTACAAGAAGAAAGACATGAGATACGTCACTACCATGGATCATATCGTGACGTAGACTTACCCAGGGGATATGTTAGTTTCCCTGCGGTATCGGTGGTATTCATATGGTAATCATAGAACCTACGGCGACCGCGAGTCTCGTCTTTGCGGATCATAGTGGATAGGGTGTCCTGCCCAATATAATCCTTTAAATCAGGTCAGCAATCAAGGAGACATTCTAAGCCTTCATAAAAAATGAAGCTTACGGTATCTTCAAGTTCGTCGTCCGGTGTGGGCGCGGCCTCTTCAACGTCCTGCATCTCGACATCCTCGTGTCGGACAAGAGCCTCCCGATGCCCAGACTGTTGCTGCTGCTGGAGCGCCAACAGGTGTTCGAACACGGGAGGGGTATGTCTAGGCATGACAAAATCCCTGCACAAGGGAGCCTCGTACAAATTACAAAACCTCTCATTTTCCGAAGCTGGCAAATCGTCCACTCGAAGCATATAATGCTTCATGACGTGTTCTCGAATAGAGTCGACAAGGAATGAATAATTCGTCATCATCTTCTCGAGCATCCTGCCTTTGCATCCGATCTGGAGGCACTTGAAAGCGACTTCCTGTACAAGGTCTTCCAGATCGCTCCGAGACATCTCCATTACCCTCCGAGCGTATTCAAGCACACCGTCGAATCGCTCCGGTGCAAAACGATTGATGAGAACACCAAATAAGTCGTCTCGAGTGACAGGGTTTAGGCCGAGTGCCTCAGTTTTCTCCTTGCAGGACCTGATGTAAGCGTCTGCAAAGACGATGCGACCGTTAGAGTTGATGACTTGTGTGGGCCTTTCTGAGAGGAAGATCTGTAAGAGGAGAACGACTCTGACGACAGGATCCTTAGCAGGGTAATCTAGGAATAACTGTCGGAGTACAGCATGAGTAGTGAGGTGCGCTACCGAGCGCGTGTTGATGAATAACTGTGAAACATGCATCAGGACAAGAGTACAATTGCACAATGTTGAATATGTATTCCACCTTAATGAGATCCTGAACGACCAACCTGTAAAGACGTAAGCTCCGTATTGTAAAAGACATCATCAATGCACTCACGAAAGTTCAAATCTGAGGACGCCAGTCTTATCAAGTATCTTGAGAGCATTATATGCAGCTTCATTCGACTTGGCCTCCATGCAAATTTCAGCGGCTACCGTGCGAGTGAGGAACATTCTAGGATATTACCCAAAGACAATTAGCATCAAACAGTGACCATGACGTGTATGGATACTGACTGGGAATCCAGTTCTGAGAGTTGTCGGACATTGTTGACAATATCACTGGTTCGATTATCGACAATGCCAGCTGCCTTCTCGAACATCTTGCGGAACACAAAATTTCGATACTTCAAAAGACACAGTTCAGTATATGCACCAAGTGTGACACAGCTTTAATGTTTACCTTCCGATCCATATTGAATCCATTGGCTCGGGCATATGGCAACAGACGGGGTTCGATGGCGAGAACAAGGGGAAACTGCGACATCATTGGGTCCTATTGGCACGATAAATAGAATTCCGCGGAGTTTGCATGAGTAGGACATACCTTATTACAAAAAGGAATAAACTAATACCAGTGAGCGAGTGCAAAATTGATCTAACGATCGACTGCTGCAACACACCTTATACTTTTCCATGATATCCCGCAACGTCTCCCACTTCAGAGTTCTCTGCTCGGGAGACAGCCGACTCTCCTTCAACAAGTTATTGAACTTCTGTCCATCGTCGTCGCCTTTACCGACGGGAATGTTTCCGAAGCGTTCACCCGCAATGGACAGTAAATGGTTGACAACAGTGAAACTCAACGACCGGGCCCAGGGAGATTTGATGAAATGAACTAATGAACGATAATAATGTTGAATTACGCATTGGACGAGATACCGCGAGAGGTGAGCGCCTGACGACAGGAGGATCTGAGGGTGGAGGGGTGTTACGGCGGCGAACGTGATAAATTAGCTCGCAATAAGAGACCGGTGTGAAATAACGAGGACGCACATCGATAACCCTGTTATTAATGAGCTTCCCCCTCCCTAAAGCCCAATAAAGGGCTTGGATTTTTCCGTAGCGAGAGAGAAAATATGAGGCGCGGACATACGGATCCTGAGTGAAGGCGTAGATCGGTTTGGATACGACGCTGAAGTTTGTGGGGTCGTCAAGCTCGTTAAGTATAATCTGGAGGATCTCGTCTGCATCGAAAGAATGTGGAGGCAAAATTTAATGCACATGGAAACATGAGACAACAGTTTCCAAGAGGGTGGTCTGTAAGGAGAACACCCACCGCAAAGGCGATCCATTCTAAAGGCAGTCTAAACCCTGCAGGCAGTGACGGGAGCACGTCGTCGGGAACGGTGAGCAAAAGCGAAGACGTGGAGTTGGTTGGTGACGGTGGCAAAGCAAGAACGGAAGACCGGCGGGGCATGAAGATGTGACTGCCACAGACCCCGATTGACGGCTGCCATATCAGGAAGGCGGACCTCTAAAAATGGGTTATTCCTCGCCGTTTCTGGGCAGCTCTTGTGATCACTCTGTCCTTGAGATCCATACGTCAAATGTCTGGTAACAACATCATGACTTGTAACATATGTTTTGCACTGTAGACTACGACAGAAAGAAACTACTCAAAATCTACCGCTATAGTACCCGGTCCACACGCGCCACGGCAATTTCCATGTCTTCATCTGTAGCGATGGATGAAAAGCATCAAAGTTTACCTGTTCAAGACGCTCGAGGTACAGCGCGTTCGGTATCTAGAACCGCAAAAGGTTGACAGAACATGAGAAAACAGTACCCACCATACGTTCGTAGCTACGTACCGCGGACAAGAACACCGGTCTCGCACGATCCGGGACTTTTCCTCCAGTCTCCTTGAACATCTCACGTGCGGTGATCAAATGGTCATTAGCTACCGTGGCAAATTCGAAGACTGCATCGTCGACTCCTTTGGCTTCTCCACCATACCGGAAGACTTCTTCCTGATTGACCCCGTGCTTGGCTGTAATCTCAGCTGGAATGACCATCCTACCGCTCTTGGCATGGTATGGGAGCGAACGCAGTAGAGTTCCAATAGTCTGAGAAACCCCAAGATGTGAGGCTGCGTGTGAGAGCTGTTCGGAGGAAGATAGGGAGAGCATGGATAGTAGAAGGTAGTTGAATGTCGATGACGTTGACTCTGCATGTGCAAGTAGCGAATCAAGTGTCATGTGTGTCGGAGTATACAGCTCAGCATCCTGCCCGTTGCTTCAGGTATTTGCTTTGCTTAATCAAATAGCTCGGAACGACGTACCCTGGCATCGATGATCCTCTTCAGGTGATAACTGGGCAACTTAACCTTTTGCGTAGCGTCATACAATGCTAGAGCGATAGGATGTTTCGATGGATTTCCCTACTTCAGGTCATGGGTCAGCGGAACGCAATCGATTACACGCATAGTCAAACGCACATCAGAAACGGACTTCACCGCGTCTCGCCAGAATTGCATTCTCATCTTTCCAATCATAGGATTCGATACGGCTTCTTGCACGGTGGCTAACTCAACCTGAAAAGGGTTTATCTCCGCACGTCGCGCGGCCGCATGGGAGGTCTGCACTCACATAGAATGCCCGCAAAGCAAAGAACGCCGCTTGCAAATGTCGGGGATAGAAATGAGATGTTAGGAATGCTTCATAGTCCCGTTTTCGGACAAGGTACTTGCAGTAAGCAAGCGAATCTTGTAATCCTCCCGCTTGACCAGACCCAAGTTGTGTTGTCATAAAGCGGGCGGAGGCATGCATTTTGAAAGTGTTCGTCGCATGTTGACTGGCCGAACGTAGCATTCGGTGTACACTAATGTGACTTCAAGCTATTATGATGTCCAAAGGTACGAAATATGAGTGACGCGAGTGGTGGAACAGAGTTGAGTTAACGCGCATCACTGTATGACATCGGCCGCTTGCTTCCGACCTTCCGTATCCAATACCATGTTCGCTAGTACGGTTCCCTCTTTTGATTTGCACCTGCAGCCATGGCAATTCAGCGTTCAGGCCTCCAGAAGGAAATCCTCGCTCTCTACCGTCGGTGAGTAAAATCCCAGCTCTCAAATTATTTACCATTTCACATGGGTTTGACTAATGCAGAGCATTACGAATGGTCCGAACCAAACCACCACCAACCCAGGAAAAGTTCAGACTCTTCGTCCGCTATGCGTTCAAAACCCAAGCAACGGCTTTATCACCTCGAGACGTCTCTGCCATTGAACACTTATTACGCAAAGGCCGAAGGCAGCTTGAAACATATGAGGACTCTCAAGTACGGGACTGCTGGGTCAGCAAAGAAATGTACGAGTGGAATGAGCGGGATAGACGAAGAGCCCAACAGCACAGTGCCTCATAATGCATCATCATACTCGGAAGCAATGAAATAGTCGTGAGTAATGTACGCTACCTGTCTAGATTGCGCCCTACATGTATTTAATATACAGCGATACCCATCTTGCACTTCATAAAACCTGCAAGCAATGTAGGCTAGCCGGGAAGTGTTATCACTACATCCTTCGCCTATGAATCAGAAGGAGATCCAGTTCCCTGCGCCGCCTGTGCATTATCAAACAACCCTCCAGCAGCCAAACTCGCAGCTTTGCCTTCTTCCGCAACTTTCGGTTGTGCCTCAGCAGCGGCTGCAGCAATTTCCCGAGCTTTAGCTTGTTCCTCTCGTTGTTTTCGCGCGGCTTCTTTAGCCAGGATCTTTTCCCGTTTCTCTGCATGCAGCTTCAACGCGCCTTCGTATGCAAGCCGACGTTCATTGAGGATGTATTTAATACGGGCCATAGATTTTCGGACCTAGAGTAGGATACAATGGAGCTTGTTAGCATATGGATTTGATAATGATAGAAATGGAATGCAGGATATGGAGCGCAATATTGTTGGAGGTCGGGTGAAGCCATGATGCATTGAAGCTAAAGAAAAAGTACGCACGACGTGTGATCTCGTAGACCCTCGAAGTGCATGAATACCAATGCTCAGCCTACGCCCCTCCTCTCTTTGCGTTGCCCACAGGTTCCGTTCCCGTAGAAGAACATACCACAAAGTATGCAAGTCTTGGAAGCTTTTGCGACGCAACTCTGCCGCGCTCCATGACCGACCTAAATTACAGCGCAGCCGCCAATAGAAATTGAGAGACACAGTCAGTCCATCATAGAACCCACACCGCAGTACCCAAAGACGTACCAGGTTCCATACCCTCGGGAAGTATAACCTCGATAGTCTCATACTTCGTCTCCCCGTTCGGACCCTCAGTCTTCCTAAAGAACCCATACAATCCGTGATTCGGGTTGGTTTTGATGTTCAGATGCGGTCGCAAAGCACCCTCCTTTGGGAATTTATCTCCTTCGAAAGCTGACTTCTGATACGCATCTGCAGGAAGCGGTGGTTCAAGTGGTGGTGTTGCAGGTATGTCCAAGAGGTCGGCATATGACCGCGAAGAGGTATATGAGAAGGAGCGGGCGGCTTGTGCTGGAGCTGTTAGGGAGAGCCTCGAGAAAACCCCCAGGAGAGTACGCGAACAGGTTATCGACGGGAGCATGCTGGAAGGAAACTACAGAACTGATGCAGCTCGTGAAGTTCAAGACAAACTCATGAAACTCAAAGGCAGCGTTGCGCGCTTAGGCGAAATTGAGACGGTCAACAACCCTAACCTCAGAACACACCAGGTCGGAAGTAGCTATATACTAGTTAAAGTACTACTTGGCCCTACAGTACTGGTGGAGCAAGAGAAAAGGAGAATGTAGCAGCCAGTGAGGCAAACAGAACATGCGGGAAAGTATTCAATGAGAACTCTTCTTCTTGCTGGTCTTCCTCTTGTTGACTCCGCCCTTCGCCAACACCTGCTTGAACCGTTTGCGCACAAAAGTGAATGCACGATCGTTCAAGTTCAAGTTGCCAGTTCCCAAAAAGATGTCTTCCTCCGTGATTTCAGTACGAGTGGTAATAGTCTCTATAATGAATGTAGGTGCTTCAATAAGCTCCGTAGGGTAATCATTCTCGTCTTCAAGAGTGCAGTTTCTTCCTCGACCGAGCGCGGGAGGGACACCGGTAGGCTGACGAGTGCTCCGATTACTGGTGTCGCTACCAGACGAGGAGGAAGAAGAGAACGAATTTGCCTGTCACCTTCAATCAATATCTGAGAGCATGGGAAACCTGGAAAGGCACGCACTCGACAAGTATCCTTCCAAAACTTCAATGAAGGTAGTTCCAAGGGTAGAGGCTGGCCGTAGTTGGCAAGAGGTGAAGTTGGGTCTGCAGCGAATCTGTAGCCTTTAGGAGTACGAGGAGTAGGGAATGGAATCGTGTTCATTTCGTTAAGGTCGTGAAGGAATGAATGGAATGAATGTGGGGTGTAGTGGGTGAAGACTCGGGACTCGTTGTGGTGAAAGGATGAGGTCAGTAGGAAGGCGGCGACGAAAAGACTTCCGGAAAGAAAGGCTGACATTGTCATTTGAACTGGTCGAGGTTGAAGAGATCGAACCTGACGAACATCGGGGTCAGTTGTGGGCCGGATTATATATTACCTTGATACATTGGTGTCTGAAGATCTGTGAAGGGTAAGAGAACAACATTATCACAATATACAGTACCAATAATAATGGTACATTATCATATGTCCAAAGCGAACAAAGCAGACCCCAACGACACCTCTGCACATCTACTCAATAACCTCATCATCCTCACTGTCATCACTGGTTTCTCTCGCACGTTCACGTCTAGCAGCGTCTCTCGCTTTCTTCGCGAGTTCTTGATCAGGTTTGAGGTCCGCTAAAGCGAGCATCTTGTGACAACCTGACGCTGGACATTGGACCGAACGTTTGCCTGCCATGTATTCGCGTATTGCATTCGCCGAAAAGGAATGGCCGCAAACAGATCTGAGAACGATATATGTGAACATTAAATAATGCGAGAAGCTTGTAAGTACTGACGAGGTTAAGGGATCAACCAAGATCGTCAACGTTAATGGACACTTGTAATCTTGAGTAACACCTCCAACTTGAATGTCGTCATCATCATCACTATCATCGCCCGCCTCTACAAATCATATTGCTACATGAGTAAACAACGCCTGACAGAACAAATCAGCAGCACGTACCGCGAGGAAGGAACTCTGTGACGGGTGGCATGGCGGTATCCGGATGTTGTACTTCCTGAACGCAAAGATATGAGCAAAGCAACGCTGTAGACACAGGCAGCACTTACGAAGACAGCTTGACGGTATTTATTATACTGGTCATGCTTCCCATACTTCTGACGAGCCGTCCTTTTCTTGTATTCGGCCATCTTTTCTTGCACTCCAGTCTGATAGCGTTCCACCACATTGCTCTGTGCATTTCTATTAATATTCACTCGATATAATGAAGTGGCTCAGTATGAACGCACCACTTCCTCTCCCAGAGCAATCTTCTCTCGAAGTTCATTCAGAACGGTTTCATGGACCGAAAGCTCATTCTCGGTGTCGATCAATCGCTTCATTGTCGCCTCCAGATCTGCGAGACTCTGTGCACAATCAATACTTGGCATGACCCATTCAACCTGCAATGACATACCTGCTCTCCTTGCTCCCCTTCTGCAAATTCGGCGAAAGAAGGCGCTACGTCCGCTATGAGATTGAATGTGTAGGAAAATGGACCTTTGCGTATTTGTGCCCAATCCAGAGCAACACCGCCAACCTTCATTAGCGCAGCCCTATCCAAGGGTTGGTTCCCAAGGTTTGCAAGAATCTCTTCTGGGTTCTCGATTTTTTCAAATGCGCCTTTCTCCTTCTTGACCTTCAATGCCTTCCTTCGAGGTCGATCATCTTCATCTTCCATATCATCGTCTTCTACGGTTTCTTGCGATGCAACTCGGCTGGCCTCATCTTCAATGGCATCGGGAGAAGGTTCCCTTCGGCGAACTATTCGTCGCGACGGTCCAGCTACAGGCATTTTGGTATTGCACAATATAAGCAGGTCGTGTGAGGAGATAAGCTTCAAGGAAACATCACTATAGACGCGACGCGACTTGGGATTTAGGGCAGGTCGCGACGTGCTTGACCAGGGAAGCGCCCATAAACCTCTCCTCGACCAGCTCAAGCCTAAGTTGAAAGCGGGCAAGGATGCAGTCCGCTCTACGATTCTTCACTCGGATACACCAACCATGGTCAACACAATCTTTGCTGTCAAGGACACTTCTTTCTCCTACCCCTAAGATTCTCCAGCATCCATCGCGATCAATCCTTCTACAATCTGCATGTCGCAATTTCCACTCGTCACCGCCAGCTCTCGCAACTCTCAACCAAGCTGCACGTCGCAAACCACGACCAAGGCGGAACAAGGCCAAGTCTCCTCTATTGGAGGACAACCCTCAGCGAAAGGGTGTTGTTGTGGACGTCATCATTGGAAAGCCCAAAAAGCCCAACTCGGCTAAGCGTAAAGTCGCTCGAGTGAAGCTTACCACGGGAAAGACTGTGCAAGCGTATATTCCTGGTGAAGGTCACAACTTGCAGGAACATAGTGTGGTGTTGGTCAGAGGTGGTCGTGCACAGGATCTTCCCGGTGTCCGGTACGTTCATTCTATGTGCGTTTTGTCGTTAACAACTAAACCGTTCAAACTTGCTAGCTATAAAGTTGTCCGAGGAACCTTGGACTTTGGTGGTGTCATCAACCGTGTGAATGCCAGGAGTCGATACGGAGGTACGTTTTTCAGTGTGACTTTCATGTGCCAATACTGAATGGGCCTCTGCAGCGAAGAAGCCCAAGCAATAGAGATCCACTGCATCTTGTACCTCGCTTTCTGCACTATTTTATATGCACGTATTCTATTCAGATGCAATACTCAGGCTGGAGATCAATATCATGATGATGATGCTAAGGTATACGACAAGAGTGTGATTATACTAACAATCCCCGCAATGCTAAATCCAGGACAACGTGAATAAGGCGTCATGAAAGTCCGAAGTGTCCATAGTGAATGCGTCATGTCATGTCATGTCATAATCAACTTTCCTGTTTCCCTGATCCTTGTCTCCCTCTCTCGCGTCCTCCTCACAGCTTTGTCAATTTCCACATTGATCGCCCAAACCCATGCATCCCTCTCCAACTTGCTCCTAGTCCGATATACCCCAAGCTTCCGCTTGGCATTCAGAGGAGGCACATCGGCATGCATTGTCTTCGTCCCATCCGTAGATGCAACAGGATGGGCCGCTTGGATCATCTCTTCTGAGGGAACGTGCCTCCGGTACCAAATCATGAAGATTGTATCCTCATCGGACTCATCAGATTCAAGCCCATCCCGGTAGCGACGAGGCAAAGATGGAGTGTCGGGATGGTATTGACCTGGTGGTAGACGTTGAGCGGCGATGTAACCGGAACAAACGTAGGCGTCCAGAAGATTGACAGTGAGATGTCGACGGTGGTGTAGAGACGGCGTTCCTGTGACGTGAAATTGGACGAGATGACCAGATACAAGAACAAGCTGCAGTTGTCTGACCGAATCATTTGATATCATACGGTAGTACTGAAACGACTGAGCACTTACTTGTACGGTCCTTTTCGACCCAAACGCCAGAATACGCGTCCACACTTCAGTATGGGTCGACACTCGTCGAGCACACACCAATTGTAGAATACACTCAGCTCTGGCAAGGGCGCATCGGGACTGGGCAGATGTTCTGGTGTTTTCTCCCGAGCACAAACGAACTTCGGAGGACTGATTCGCGATCGCCCAGCTTCATAAGCAAGATTCATCTCTTCTCTGGCATCCATTCGATGTCGTTTTCGCCAATACGAGACCAAAGGACGCAAACGATTGATCCATTCCAAGGCATCCGAGCAGGAATGTGTCTGTAGCAAGCTAAATCAGAATCGTGTAACAATTGAGAAACGTGACGCTCTACCTCAAAACGGATCACACGTCCAGAGGACAGTAGCAACTCGAAGGACCGTCTCATCCTCAATGACGCCTTATCCGTCGATTTATACAATGCTTCATCCCCTCCGGGATCCAAACCATCCATTTCATGACTCTCCGGTGGAGCCCAGAACTCCTCTGTATCCTCCGAATCAAACTTCGCGCGATACACAGGTTCCGCCGAAGAAGGTATAATCTGGAAAGCGCGTCTCACAGCAACGATACTCCTCAAATCCGTCATTCCGGTTGCATGCATGATTTGTCGTCTTCCTCTACATACTTCGATATCTTGAGGCGATGCTTCGATGTCCTCAGTTTGCAAAGGTGCTCCGGGAGGTGTGGGAGGATATGCACGTGCTGGTGTCGTGGCGAACATCCACCCATCGTGGGTCACTAGGTAGAGCGATTGTTTGAGTTGAGTGTTCGGCCGGATACGTTGAAGATAACCTTCCACTGCTGGAGGTTCATCTAGTCGGGTGCCATCCTTCAAGTGAACACGATTCGGACGATGTCGGTGAATACGCAATTCCAAATGAGCCGGTTTGTTGTGCTAGGGAAATCGCAATTAGGCTAGCTCAACTGTGAACACGTTAAGTCATACTCACCTGCTTTAACGCAATTCCGCACAGCACAGCCCAGTCGCGATACTTGTCTTCCACGTCATGGACTTGCCAGATCCAATCCAAATAGGTGCCGAGCCTCCAAGCCAGTTCGAATGAAACTCCAAGTGTCTTTTCTTCTTCGATGAGTGTATTGTAACCAGGGACTTCTCGCAAACCTGCCTCGCATAAAGCAGTAATATTGGCACGCGTGAAGACAGAATATGCAGCTTGGATATCGGCTGAGTCGTAATGGGGTATATCGATCCTGAAATGGGTATCTAGGAAGGGTGCTCTGACCTCAACAAATGGAGGCATTTTTCCGCCTAAATGGCGCCTGAGACGGACACAGCGAGTCAAAAAAAAAGAGGATGTTGCGGGGCAGCCAGTCACTTACCAAAGATGCCACACCCAGTCAACGGCTCTAGTTCGGGCTTTGACCTTGAATACGAAGATGCTCGTTCCTGAGGAACCAAATAAGAGCCAACGCCTCTTCGAGCGAGCTTGCAGCGGTTTTTCAGGGCATATCAAGCAAAAAGTGAGGTCGACGAAAGAATATAACGATAGTCGTGTTGTCATCGAGTCAAGGGGTATCGTGAATGCTAGATGCTTATGGCCGGAAAGCCACTCCTTTCCTGGTGTAGCCTGAGTTGCAATGTTAGAATGTGAGCGGGAAACGGTGAAGACAGTCGTACATGATCTTCGTGAAGCTCGAGTTGGTCCTTGCGCCATGCAACGATGTATTCTTTCCACTTCTCATTCTGCATATGAGGTGTAACACGATTCTGATTCTCGTCAAAATTGGGGCCAATAGTTTCTCGGTCGGTATGTGAGACTCTAACAAGCATGCGATCTAATAGGGAATGAAGGCGTCAAACAAATTGGAGGATTGAAGAACTTACCTCTAAGTATCACGTCTCCCCATCTTACCTGGTTTTCCAACGTAGCCTGTTGGGCTGCACCGGCACTCGTCTCCTGGACTTGGACACCCGTCCTACTCAGGACTTCAGCAGGAGGTGCAGGTGCCCCCGTTGTCACAGGTGTTTCAGTAGCAGTATCAGCATAATGTACTGTCTTGCCCTTGTTCTTCGGAGGGGTAGGAACCTGGCTCACGTCCCCATCGCTTCGAATGCCGTCATGTGTGGGAGTAGCCATTGGTGTGCGGGTGACCAGAGCAGGTTCGGATCGAACGTCGTGCAACGGCCGCGAGGTTACTTGCAAAAGAGCTGAATGAGAGTCTGCACTCACACTGATTGGAGTTCCATGGTCATCCTCACGTTCGTTCAAACTTGCAGGATGTGAATCTCCCCAACCAGGACGCGGATGTTCCAAAGGAGGCGGACTTGGGATAGAGGGGGCGGTAACAAATGCGGTTGAGGGCGGAGCAGTTTCTGCTTGAGTCCCCGACACTGTTCCCGGTGGTGATGTGGCGGGACTGTGTCTGAGCAGGTCCACGCCTAGAAACATGCCAACATCAAAGGAGGAGCCCACCCAACGCTTCACAGTCTTGGATTCCTTGCGCTCTGCGCGAGCCCTCCCCCATTCGCTATCCCTCCATATTCTCCACATCTCTTCGCGTGCATGCCTTTCCGTACGTTCTCCCCAATCTTCCGAACGCCCACCACGCCCAAGAAAGAACTGATGTGCATGATTGCGAATAGCTCTTCTGACGCCCTCTTCATGCTCGTGCTGTGATTCCTCTGGTTCTTGACGGACGCCTGTATGCATCAAAGACGACAGCCATGTTTTGCGCTTTGGAGTCTGTGGAACGACATCAATGGCTTGAAAAACAACCACCTCTGGCAGAGGCCCTATGAATCTGCGATGTCGCGTGTGGCCGCCAGTGTGGTTCAGAGGCCCTGGAGCTGGGTTAACAACAGCTTGAGGAACTGCTTCCGGCGGAGGCCAAGACATTAGAATTTGTGCAAGAGTCAGAGACGTGAAGAAATCATCCTCAAGACACAAGGGGATGATGATGTGCGTGTAAAGATGCTAAGACTGTTGTGGTAACATGAATGCTTGGGTTTGACGCAATTGACGAACGGGCGCGAATTTGAATACTACGCTTTCCTTATACACCACTTTTCTATCCACTTTGGCTCTTACCATGACCAGCCTCGATTGCTTCTGGAATGTGCACAAAACTCAGCCATCTTTCGTTTTTCTTTCGTCCCACCACCATTGTCTCGAGAACAACCAGCTCTCACTTTCGAAGGTTTTACGGAATGGACGTCATCATCCCCGCTCCCCACAAGCTAAAAGTCGTTAGCCATCACCAGTACGACCCTCATGAGTCATTTTCACCCTCGTCTGTGAACCCATCTCCTCTAGATCAGTTCGAAACTTGGTTCACCGAGGTGCAGGGGATAGTAGATGAACCCGAGGCGATGTGCGTGTCAACCGTGACCGCAAGCGGTGTTCCTTCTTCTCGTTTCGTTCTCTTCAAAGAACTAGACAGCCGAGGGTTCATCTTCTACACCAACTATACATCCCGAAAATCAAAGGAACTCCAGGAGAACCCTCGGGCTGCACTGGCATTCTACTGGAAGGCAGTCTCGAGGCAGGTTAGAGTGATAGGACGAGTAGAGAAGATCGGTCGAGAGCAGAACGAAGAGTACTTCAAGAGTCGCCCGGTCGGCAGTAGACTCGGTGCTTGGGCTAGTCCGCAGAGTACTGTGGTCGAAGAGGGCGAACTGCGTGATCGCTTAGACAAGGTCAAGGAACAATTTGGTGTCAATGGGTCTGAAGACGCTGATATTCCGTTGCCCGATTTTTGGGGCGGTTGGCGAGTCATTCCCGAGTACGTGTCTCCCTTCGCGCTACGAATCAAACTTCTCACATCTTTGCTTTCTCGTCTAGTGAGGTCGAGTTCTGGTCTGGAAAACCTTCGCGCTTGCACGATCGTCTACGATACGTCCGCCTCGAGGGTTCGTCCGATGACGATCCCAAGTGGAAGATCGTCCGACTGGCTCCATAGAACCCTAATGCCCTAACCCCCTTCAGCTCACCCGCATCTTGATATCTCGCGAATCAATAATCATGTACAAGATACCATATTGGCTGTATTGATTCCCCAAGAAGAGAAGAGTGTACTGTAGAATAGTATGTAACATGTGAAGTATCCATAAACCCAATTGCAGAAACAGCTGGGCGCACTTACAGATAAATAGACGCAGAAAACTGGTACAGAAACTACACTACGAGAGGATGTCCCAAGAAAGAGAGCAAGAGAGTGTGGTGTCAAGGATGATAGAAGGAGACACAGGAAACAAGGATGAGAGCAATAGTACACGTAAGGTAAGTGCCAAGCGAGAACCCAAAGAACTACAAAGTGAAATGATCAGAACCAACTCATCCAGGTGCTTTCATGGATGTCTTGTCCGAAACCGGTGACATTGCGTAATGAAGGTGCAGTCGATCCCCAAGAAACGTCGCAGCTCTGCACTGAAGTGCGGACCCGTTCCAGGGCGTCGTCGCTGCAAGGAGGCTCAACCGTAGCATGTTCGAGACAACGCGCCAACGAAGGATGTGCGTGCTCGAATGGATTTGATCCCGCGCCGTCCATGATAGGATGAAGGCTACTGGTATTGCATTGCAGTATACCCGTCTTCCTCGCCAACACGCATATCTCGTCGTTAGGGTCTTCCTCAAGCGCGAGGCCACTACGCCACCTCACATATGAAGCATGGCACTTTGTATTGAGAATCTCAACTGCAGGCTGATAATTTGAATCATATCGTCAGATAAAGCATTAGACACAAGTTGTGCTGAACGGGACTCACAAGGAACTTAGCAGCACTCGGGCATCGGTCTCGGGCCTCAGTGAACAGGCGCAGCACTCTGTCTAACTCCTGTAGACCGTGCGTCACGAGCGGACATGATGGAACCTTGGAGATGAAGAAACAGAGCGCCACCTGACGACAGTAAGCGTCAAATAAACCCAACAGCGCCACGTCCGATGCAATACAATACTCACCGCCGCGGAGAAGCAATTGCCCCAGAAGGTGGAGAACCGAACAGAAGCATCTGGCTCCCACCTATACAGCGTGTAGATGGTCCATATGAGGTTACATGAGCTTGTAAAGGTCGCCAGGACGGACGGCGCGTATTTGTGTTTGAATGTGAACCCGTCCGATGCATTGAGAGCATAAGTGAAATAGCTTCGATGAAGTTGCAATAAAGCTAGAGCGCCACGATAATGTCGGAAAGTTAGCCGAGACAGGAACTAGACAGGGTCAGGGAGAACAAACCAATTTCTCGATTGCATGCAATCAAAGCTTGTTGCAGCGCTCTTGGATGAGGAGGGACCATATCGTCTTGATCCATCATCCGTAACGCATTTGGGACATCGAAATCTCGTATCCGGCCATCTAGCCCCAGTATTTCAGTATACTCCGGTGCCTGAATCACCGCAACAGCATCTGCAACCGGCAGCATACAATGTACAAGGAAATTGTGTTGCCACTCGTGATCTGAGATATCATTAAGATCTGCGTGACCGTCGGGGAAGGATGAGACATGAGAAAACGTACAAGAGGCACTCGTAAACGCTCCAGGACCGTCGTCAGAGGAAAAGGTAGGTGACCTGGCGTCGAAGTAACGGACACTTAAAGCTGGTGGTCGACGTAGCATGAGAGACTGGTTCGGACGAAGTCAGAGACCTTACACTCCATCACAGAGGCCGGAAAAGTGACATACCAACCGTGCCTCGATATTCACAATATCCCAAAATAATATGCGTCTTTTGTCTAGTTCTTCCGGTATCACTTTGGATCTGTTGCCGTCACGATCTGCGGGAAGTAGTCAGCCCCCGAAGATTTCACGCAATAGCATGTAGCTGTGCTATACATACGTAGTCCAAGCTGTGGAATGGAGCTTAGAATAAGTCACGACCGCGCTAAAATAGAGAGTTTGACTTACAGACGTCGCGAGTTTCAGCATGAGACCCTGTTTATCACACTAAGTCATCCGACAAAATCGGAACAATGGGACGACAACTCACTGTGAGCCCCCAAGCAAACTCCACCGCCCTCTTTTGTTCCGAGAACATCAGGAGGTACCACACCATGTAGAACTGATCATACGGTGTGAATCCGACTATAACGGATAAGTACACACAGAGACATACCAAAGCATTGACAGCATCAAAACTTGTCTCATCCATCACCGGCACCTCACAGAGGGCAACTCTGGACAAACAATAGTACTTTTCCGCTTCTTGCGAGTCAGAAATCTGTTTGGGGTCCACCCTGCACCCTATCGCGAGGATCATCAGGAAGAGGCCTAGACGATGAGGTAGTAAGGAGGATATCTGGGCATTGTAAACACTGTGGATGAGGTTGGGAAGGAAGGTTTGGCTGTTGTCTGGGTTAAATCTGACATCGGAACGGTAAGAAAGATACAGATCCATCATAAAACGTAGACGTACTGCCAGAAGGCATTGACTCGCGCCTGTTCGCAGAGATACGTTGCTTCCTGAACTGGAGGCAGCATCTCACGGATACGTTGGCGCACATCAGGGTTCAATTGATAGGATACCGACCACGGTGTTGGAAATCCTCGACTGAGCCGTGCAAAATCCTCCAACTGATTACATTGGGGGAAATCTGACGAGCCGCCTTGAGGTGCGGCATATGACTTCATGAAGGACGTCAGACTCTGTACGAGCGGATCGTATTTGATAACTCACATCGTCAAAACCATCTCGTGAAGATGGCCCTGATTCGTGGCGTTCACTGTGGGGGAAGTCGTCGTCACGGCGAAGTCGATCTATACCCGAAGCACCATATGAAGTTGTGGGGTGGTCTACACCAAAGAGCTCCGGTGACTTCTTTATAGACAGGAGTTCCTGTTGTAATAGCGGATGCTTGTTGGGGGAAAGCTGCGATTGAAGGGCCTGTAAGGCTTCTTCCAATTGCCGAATGCGTTCACTCATGCATTTGATTTTCTCATGCAATTGCTCCGTATTCGCGAGAATAAACCTGTGATCACAGTTAGATTTTTGTCACTCCATCCAAACTACTGCGTACCTGCTGCCTTTGCCCCCTGTCAGAGCACCATCTGGGCAGATTTCCGCACATCCCCGTTTGCAGCAGGACTGGCATGGGAATACCCTATCGCACTGTCAGGTCGTCGGCCAAAGAGTTAATATCGAATAGCGGGAAATATTGCAACCGACATGCCTTGAGCTTCAACCTGCGAACAACGGTAGGCCTGAGCTACCAGAGTATTAGAGATAAGTATCACACGTACCGTCTGCATTCACCACAAGACAACGGCCGTTTTCTTCCTTTCTTAGGTGCCCCTTCAGCATTCCCGTCAGTTTCGGAGTGCACTCCGGAGGGACCGGGAACTGGAATGGTGTACGGTCTCATGCCGACATCGATGTCTCTGACTTGTCGTGGACGCTTTGGAGGTCGTGGGTCACCGTCGAGAGGGTCGATGAGAACACCGTTGGTCATGGTGAGCGGCTTAGGGGGAGGTGATGGTGGTGTTGAAGCAGGAACGAAACCCAAAGCACAAGTCCGGTTTTGTCGCATTTACAGTGATGCCTTTCCCACTAAGTACTTCGTTCGGCGGCTATAGCCGGAGCGCCCCAAAAGGCCCCAAACCGTGCCTTCTATCGCTTACGTAACGGCACATCCTCGATCCTATTTCAATCCTTCGGCACAACTGCACCTTCGACTGCCTCTTTGCCTCTCGAGAATCCTGCCTTCCATGTTTTCCGACGGTCTCGGTGTATGGACCTTCTGTTCTATGAAAACGAGGAAGAACGTCTTCGATGATCAGCCCATGGATTTACCTCCGAATCCGTCTCTAAATCCGAGTCGCCGTCTACTGAGACACTCGACTTAGATTTCTATGCCAGTTGCTATATCAATGACGTGAGGAGGTAAATAGACCAGAACAAATCAACATATGACTCAATGTTGATCATTCAGACACCCTGGCGGAATGCCGATTTTTCGGAAATGAGCCTACCGTATCGGTGTGCCAGTCGGTGCTCGTACGTCCGGTACATGCTTGGTCTCATGCTACGTATATGCTCAGCTTCACAGCCCATTCGAATTCTCTCGCAGAAAGTCATGTGATGCGCATAACCTTCAACTTCCACACCTTCTAGTTCCGATATCTATAGTAAATGCATTACTACAGAGGCTGGCAGATTCGGTGCACCATCTTTACTATACGCTTACACTACGGTACATAATGATTTTTTTGACTCGATCCAAAGCTTTTATAAAAGCTATAAGACATATATATGATGCATGTCTTCGAAGTCTCCACAGTTCCATTTGGACGTTCTTGAAGACTTCGCCAACCAGTAATGCAACATGTTTCAGTCGAGCTGGAATTAAAATTAGCCAAGCATCTACCTACATAAACCTAATTTTTGCGTTGATATTCTGAGCCGATTAAGTACTTGTGCTGGCATTCAGGCCAGTCCTCAAACAGCTTTAGTTCTGAACCGATTCGGTGCCGAAAAATGAACTTGTAGGACTTCCATATGCGGTGTGCGCACGATCGAACTTTCGCATGAGCGCCCATAAGCAGCACCTTGCTTTTGAACTACACGTTACAACGCTGTACCCCCGTGGTCCTGGCATAGACGTTTCTTTTCAGTCCTGCCGATATTCTAGAGTATCTCTATCTGCAATCACTCCGAGGCTCTATATATCGAATGCCGACGGCGCCCCGTCACATGTCGCAGTTGCTTCACTGCGGTCGCAGTCTGGGAACTCACGAGCATCGACAGGTTATACTGCGCAGCGCCATCCGCTACAACTCTCGGAAATCTACGGAGACTGTAATAAAACGTCCCATCCAAAAGCTGTATGTTCCCGAGCCTGACGACCCGCGTCCAAGCTGGGGTGTTACTGTAAACAAAATATCCAGTTTTGTCATAATACCCTGTGCGAACTCCCACCATCTCCCCATCCCCATCGATCAGGATTAATCTTAGACATTCTTTTCTCTAGCTGCCCTCATTTACGCGGTCTTCTTCATGGATTTTGGTGAACATGAGCATATATTTAGTCCCGTGAGTACGATATTATCTTTGTGGTCTGATGTGCAGCCAGAACGCGATGGAACGGATGATAGATTGACATACGTCGCAGCCTAGAAGATGGATGCAGCGTCAACGGGAAGAGTTCTTCTCCTTAACGCCTGCTGAACGAGAGCTTGTGCAACCGAAATCCGACGCAGACGGGTCATTATCGAGTTCATGATTAGGTATGCGCCGTTAAACTTAACGTGTCTCTCCTGTGCTCTTCGAGAACAAGAAGCTGATTGCGTGCTGAGAAATATAGGGTAATGAAGGTCCTTATTACTCGAGTATGCGGACAAGTCGGACTGCTCTGAATCCCGCTAATCCCCGGTGATCAGAATCAACCTCAGGTCTCTGGATGGGGTTAAGCTTGTGGCTTTCCTTTACAGCCCGAGGGAAGGTGGTGCACGCACCTTGTTCTTAACTTTGCCTTGGGCCATGTTTGGACTTATAAGGTCAATGATGCTAAAGGAGACAAAGCAGATAGGCGGCTGAAGTTCAGACTACACAGTGTAGTGACCCTGGCATAGAGGCGGTAGCTGCACAATGCTATTTTGCTTGGTTGCCGATGTGCGCCACCTAGTTTCAAAGCTTCACAGATGATGTCAAGTCAGAAATTCTGAACCGCTCTATTGAAGGAGAAAGTTTCTGGTCAGGGTCATCACTTGATTCAAACTTATCAGATGACACCGCTTGCACAGGCTCTTTTCGAATTGGCTACTCCCACGACAGACTTGCCAATATCTCGCTCCTCGAGAGCCCGGCTTGTTGTTCTTCAAGCGGGGGTGTAGCATGCTAGCTTGACACTTCAGGGTCATTCGTCGCTGATTGGATATCATCGAGGTTAGGGTTCCGAAATAGGATCTGCGGTAGGTACCGCATTAGGACAGGCCGCGGGCGAATCTGGAGGCTTGAATTTCCGAATCGCTGCTCCCCTAACACACTCGCTCGTCAAGACATCGCTTGCGACCATGGACGACTCTGGATTCATACCAAGAACAGCCTTCGCCAGTCATACATTGATCTTGTGACAGTTGCTGACCCAATTACGGTCCGTTTCGGGGTGATGGTCGGAGAGAAACGGGCATGGAAACATACAAGAACACCTCCTCGCCTGCTCTCTAACGCGCATTGGATACTTGACTGATCCTTTAGAGTCATTGACTATACTGTACAATGCTTCGAACTAGTACTCTCCTTCGCCAAGTCCCTGTGGCTTGTCGGACACTCGCTTTGGCGCCCGCTTCGAGGCGGACGTTCACGTCTAGCTTGCTAAGGCTCAAACCTGCTTTGACAAGTAAGGGTACTGATGTTTCAGGTTCAGCTGGCGTGGAGGGTCTTCATAGAAGTACGTGATGACTGTAGTATATGTGGTGGATTTTTTGTTTGACCATATGATATCGTTATAGAGGACACGCCGTCAGCTACGGCAGTTCTTGAGACACAATCTGGTGAGAAAGTAGATGTCTCAGCTGGTGTCCCTTCAATTGTGAAGGGTGACTGGGTTCTCTTCCACCCTGTTTACTCTCCTGAAGAGCTTCGTGCTGTGCAAGTAAGTCGTACATTGAATTTATGTATTCGTCTCAAAGAATGTAATTGTGTCGCCCTGCGTAGGTGTTGCATCACGAAGCTAAGACCTTCTCAGACAAAATTGCGGTCTATTTCGTAAGGCTTCTAAGGTAGTCAATCTTTGAGTTTACTCATGTACTCATTCATTGACATGAACTCTACCCAGATGGTCCTTCGACTTAGTTTCTGGTTATAAACACAAACCTCTCCCACCAAACAGCAACAATATGTCGCTTGAGGAATTGCGAGAGGGTGGTTATATCATGACCGAACATGCGTGGTTGAGTGTACGTCACTATCTCTACGTATCCTTGATTCGTCTAATAATATTGCGGTAGCGAATGCTCTTCTTGGAGAGTATTGCCGGCGTACCTGGTATGGTAGCTGCTACGCTTCGTCATCTTCGAAGTCTTCGTCTCATGGTATGTACTCTCAACCTCGGGTTATCATGCGCCTCAAGATAGCAGAATGCTTACTTCCTATCTGTAGAGACGAGATGCTGGTTGGATCCATACCCTCTTAGAAGAGGCCGAGAACGAGCGTATGCACCTAATGCAAGTCGATCTTCTTCACAAATTAAATCTATCAGTATGCTAATAATATCTTAGGACTTTCATGGCCGTCCGTAAACCTTCTTGGTTCTTCCGTATGCTGGTGCTTGGGGCACAAGGAGTTTTCTATAATTTATTCTGTAAGCAATTCCGATGACCCAGATCATTTTTTTCGAACGCCAGTTCTGACATTAATTATGCATGTTTAGTCTTCTCATATCTGGTATCCCCACGTACCTGCCACCGATTCGTCGGCCTTCTTGAAGAAGAGGCAGTAGTTACCTATACCCGGTGTATCCAGGAAATAGAGGCCGGCCATGTACCAAAATGGTAAGTCAACCCGAGAGAATCGACATTGCTACGTTCCCGATCATATGGGATAATCTAAATGAATTCGTAACTTTAGGGAAAACTACCCAGCACCCGCCATCGCCATTGACTACTGGCGTATGAAACCCGATGCCAAACTCTTGGATGTCATCTACGCCGTCCGAAGTGATGAGAGCACTCATCGGTTTGTCAACCATAGTCTGGCGAACATCAATCCAGACAAGGACGTGAATCCGTTTGCGCTTCGGGAACCTAACATGCTCGTCAAAGGCGGAAAGCTTGCGTAAGTACTTTATTCGATGAACCATGTTATATGTATTTACGATCGTGTGACTGACGCCTGTTGTAGGTTTGAGAGGGACGAGGCGGAGCAATATGTCGAGGAATCTCTGCACATGATCGACGAAGGTCGACAGAAGCACGACGATCCTCAACAGAGCCAACATCAGCAGAGTCAACATCGCCAAGCTTGAGACTGTCTCTAGTCTCGTTTCGGCATTTACCTTCTGTAACTTTCTTGGCTCGCATCTCGATTATTCTAGGATCTCACGGACTTCTTCACACACCCCCGCTCGTACCTTATTGTATCAGTGTCTTTACCCGACTCGGACGAGAATTTGGCGTCTTCGTTCGGAATGCAGTCGCTGTCATATGTCGTGTATTTCTACCATTTGCTACCACATCTCTACTCTGATGAATATTATTGAATGACCATATGACTTCAATCTCGTCCGGACTTGGGTAGGGCTTGGAGAGTGTGCATCCAACCCAAGTCCAACTAGTATTCGTCGGTTATTGAGAGTCGTGGATACCTCGAAAGATTTCAAGCTGTGTAGAGAGTCCGGTGTGTCGTGTGATGAAACTCTCAACCGTATGTTCAGCCTGCAATTGTGCATTTATCGAGAATCGTGATTCCCATCGGTGTGATCCTGGCGACGCCACAACACATGCATGTAATAACCATGCCAAGGTCGATTCCGAAGACAGCAAAACACTGGAAAGAACGTCCAGCAACGAATTCTGAACGAATGCTTGTCTCACCCATGCAAGTAACCGACGAAACGTGTTCCAACCTGCTGCGACTCACATAAGCATTGCGTGAATCCTAAAGATGAAATCCGAGTCTAGACTATTGCATTGAGCACTGTGAGATTGCGAGTTCAGGGAAACGCCAGGGTTCAGGCGTACCTACTGGCTGGACTGGGCTATGGTTGGTAAGTAAACTAGGCAACAAATGGCATCGTTGATACGCCGGTTGCCTATCTGGACGTTGGTCACTGTGGTGGGGCATGCACAATTGACATCCAGTTGTTTGGTATTACTGCTGTCAACGAGGGAGGGGAGACACGGGGCGAAGCACCGGACTGCAAAACGGTCGAGCATTGGTGCAGCCGTTTCATTGGAGCTCGTTGGTGGCGGAATGTCGGCGGAGGATGATAGAAAAACATATCATCCGGGGATGAGGCTCCTAGCACCATAAATTTTGGGCCGGGTGTCTAACCCGACAATACGGGGAGGGCATTGCCTGTGGGTTGCGGCCAAGGTGCTTGATAGAAACTACTAGAGACTTTAGAGGTGTCGACGAGGGAAAGCTCTCAGGCTATGGTCATTCTATCAGCTTAAGAAGGATCTGGGATCCGCGTAGTCCGAGTAGGATGAATATGTGATAGGATTCTGGGACGAAAAAAATCAGCGATGGTGTCACAGGATGTAGATACTGCTTCTAGCGCAGAGAACAACTTCCAGAACAGCGCTGGGGATGTTTTGGCTCATCAGAACGACTGTCGGCCGCAAAGATGAGAGATCGGGAAGAGATACGCTCACGGGGAGCGGTGGCTTGAATTGGCAGAAACCACGAGGGTCAACGTTCAGGCCCGCCGCATTAGGCAGGAAAGGAAGCCTGAAGGCACCTGTGGCGTGCGAACCGTGTAGCTGGTTGCTTACGTAACACTAATGATCGAGAGGAACTCTGTAATTACTAGCACCCGCCAAGATCATACAAAGTCCCTCAACGCAATTCTAACCACAGGATACTTTCTTGCCTCTCCCCCCGCCTCCTGCTGTCTGCTCTATCCTCGCTGACTCTCCCGTCGTCGCCGCCATGTACCCCATTGCCGACCTCACTGCGTTCTGTCGACGCACAACGGGAGATGTACCCCCCAAGCTCGTTGTATGTTATCCCGACTATTACCGTCCGACCTGACGGGTACTCACTGACTCGTCTACGCAGGGCGCATCTACGACTGTAGTGGGCTCCAAGCTGTACCTCTACGTGAGTTGATACCGCCCTAAAGACACTGAGCTTCGTGGCTAATGTCATATCATAGGGCGGTCGCTTGGTAGCGGAACGCAGAATGGTCTCGGACATCTACATGTTTGACCTGGATTCGTTCAAGTGGGAGAAGCTTCAGCAGTCTCCCGACGACGATATTCCTCAAGCGCGGTATTTCCACAGTGCCGATACTTGTGCGCAAACCATCTATCTGTCCAAATACACCGCATTCTGACCACCCCACCAGGGAATAACCACCTTATCATATTCGGTGGAATGGCCATCCAGCCACAATCTGATAATCCGGAGGACCTTTGCGTTCTCAATGATGTCAGGCTGTTCGACCTCGCCTCGCGCCGATGGTTGCCTGCATTTTCCACGTCGGGAGAGTCATCAACTTCGCTCATCCCGAAGGCACGCTATGCGCATCTGTCATCTGTTACTGCCAATCGTTTGTTCGTCATTGGAGGTCAAGATTTGAACAACGTTTGGTTGGATGACATCCACGTGTATGACCTAGTAACGAAGCGGTGGGTTCAGAGACGTGATTATCCTCGCCACTGTGGTACCTACCGTAGCGTCGCCGTAACCGCAGACAAACGTGTCCGATTTCCTGAGGAAGAAGGCCGGACTTCCCAGTCTAAGTTAGGTGCGCCTGGTACACGTTTCAGGACTGATAAGAACGAACCACCCGCGGCCGATGTCACTTCCCGCGACTCGCTCATCCATCTCCCATACTCGGCGCCGCCCACTGAAGAATACCCGTGTGATATCTATTTATTCAGTAATTACAACGTAAGTTCAAATCAGATGTGCAGAATTCTGGAAAATGGCGCCTCCTAACAACATCTCTTCTGCAGTTCACAGACGTACAGCGTGAATTGGAAGTCTTCTCGCCATTGCCGGATGCCGACTTCTCAATCAGCGACCGTTCATCTGCCATGACTGGGACATCTTTCCCACCAGGTTTGCGTTTCCCCACGGGTGCGATCCTTGGAACGAACTTTATCATAGCCGGCACGTATCTTTCCCAATCGTTCCAGTCGTTCTCCGTGTGGACACTTGACCTTAAGTCCATGGCTTGGTCACGCATTGACCCCGGAAGTGCTCTTTCTGGCTCTTGGTTCCGAAGCTGTCTCTGGCCAGAGGCGAACAAATTCCTCATCTTTGGCAACCGACACGGCAATCTCGTCGAAGACTACAACAGAAGATTACTCAGTTGGGATCATGTCGCGGTTATCGACTTGGAGGCATTTGGCATCTACCAGCCCCCTCCGCTGTTGCTTGATATTCCCATGCAAGAGATGGGGCTCGCCGCCTTGGAGGAAGGTGTTCTGGCCGATTTCGAGATTATCTGTGATGATGGACGCAAAGTCTTGTGCTCTCGTAAAGTTCTAGAAGATCGGTGGCCCTGGTTCAAGGAGCAACGCAAAGTCTTTATCCAAGCTGCTACTCGTGCTTTGGAGACTATCCCTTCACCGAATTCAAATGGCGGACCCCTGCCCGAACTCCCCACAGTGGCCAATCCGCAAGAGCCTCTTCCAGACCCCAGACTCACACCTCGCTCTTTCCAATTGTCCGAACCTTATCCCATCACTCTGGCTTTCGTTCAGTACCTCTATTCCATGGCACTCCTTACTCCCCTACAACATGCTCCTGCCGTGTTGAGTCAACTTCTTTTGCTCTCAAGCACGTACAACTTGCCCCACCTCCAATCTCTTGTCACACATGCCATGCATCGCGCGTTAACGTTTGCTACTTCCGTGGGCATCTACGGTGTCTCGACGTTGTGCAATTGCCGCAGTTTGCAAATTCGGTGGGTAGTCCGCTTGTCACGGTGTACCTATGAGTATTTTCTGACACCTGTCTATCGTGTGTTGCAGGGCCCTTCGAGTTGTCATGGTTAGCGCCCTTGGTTCCTTGATGCTTGTTATGATTATCTGATATATTTTCACTGACAGGCTTACAGTCAGAAGCGACCTGCAGGTGGAAAGTCCCGAGGTGACAAAGACGGCGACGGTTCCGGAGGGAACGGTCGATCTTCCAACGGTCCCCCCGGGGATGGTCCTCGCGGCCCTCGTCCCACTCCTGGTAGTGGATCCGGTTCAGATCCCAAACCTCCCGCTGCCGCTCGTCCTCGGGGCCTGTCCGATGCATCCTACATGACTGGTCCCTCTGATGCAAGTACGAAGATGAGCGACGAGACTGTGTCAACTCAGTTGTCACAATTGTCAATCAACACTAGCGGCCAGTCGTCGCAGACTAGTATCAACGGCAGTTCGGGTTCATCTGGAAAGAGTATCAAGAGCAAGAGCCCGAAGAGTCCAAAGATCAGGACTGCGAATGCTAACGGTATGTCATCCAGATATGTCAGTTCCATCTCTTTCGTTTACTGATGTGGTACATTACTCACTTGGCATCGTTATTGTAGATGATGATGAGCCTCCGATAGATATTTCTCCTATAGACAGGCCTGTTCCATCCCCAACCTTCTTCTCTGATTTCGCCGCATCACACAAGGTACCGAAGTCAATTCTTAAAAAAACTAGCGGGGAACGTGCTTCTGCACCTCCTACGCCAACTGGAATTTCATCTACGTGCACTTTCGAAGATATGTCTACCTACAGACGGCGTACGATTTCTGCTCGTGATATTGATCCATCCGCGAACATCACATATTTGAAAGAAGGCTTTCCATCTCGCAGTCCGCAAGCCGCGTCAAATGAAGCTGAATCATCTCTGTCTTTCTTACGTTCTCCCCCTCCTGCTGTTGTAGGCCGACGTCCGTCTACTGCTCCCACACAACCATCTTTGCCATCCGTTCCATTGTTCCTTCATCGTAAATTGTCCACCCGTCGCGAAAGACCTGACAGTGTACTTTCGTTGACCACCGAACAGGAGCTTCGATCGTTCGCCGAGATCTTGTCTGCCAATATCCAGGATGACGGATCGGTGGCTGAGCAGCATGAGAGTTTCGGTGTTCCTCTAGAAGATGATGAAGTGGTCATCGATGATATCCTGTCGTTCCATGACGTCCTCCAGCGTGTCAGGCCTCAACGATTCTCTGTCGGTTCGACGACCACAGCAGCATCGTCCATTTACCCCGCTTCCCGTTATACCAGCAGCTCTGCTTCAGACTACGACCATTCCGACGGATTAGACACCTACGTCCCACCTATTCAGACTTCCTTCCCTGCCAATACCCCCCGTGGTCGTTTCTCCGGGTCAGACTACGATACCCCATCTCTTAGATCTTGCGTCTCCGGGAGTTCGATGTCGTCTCCCAGTCCTAGTCTCAGTCTCAGTCGACCACCTTCTTTCCAGATGTATCATCTACCTACATCACCACTGAGCAACACTTCGATCTCATCGCTCATGACACCTGTCGATCCTATCTCTGGAGGAATGCATGGTCTCGGCATTATCGAGGAGCGAAGGAACTCGGAGGAATTTGACCCAGGTTTCCGCGTCGCACAACATTCCCCAGACGGAAAGAAGTCTCAAGCCGCTGTATCCTTCGAACCCGTGCTTTTCGAGGAAGAAGCTATGGAAGAAGCACCTGGTCAAGGATGGACTTACGATGACCCTACCGTCTGGGGAGATCACGAAAATGAACTGCCCGATCTCAGCGAAGTCAAGTCAATCGCCGAGGTGTCAGTAAACCAGTTACGCTCTGGATCTCCAGAAACGATCACTGGACGTCCGCGTGCCTCTTTTCTCACCTCAGAGAGCACTCCGACACTTGGACAACCTTCCTTCTACAATTCCACTGCTAGCCTCGTCAGTAAATCTGAAGGTGGAGGGAATGCATTTACACGATTGTTCAAGGGCGGGAAGAGGCAGTCTGGGAGGTCTGTCAGTGCTCCTCAGACTCTCGAGTCGATCACAAGCCCGAGTTCGTCTTCAAGCGATGTAAGCTTGAGTAAATCCGATGCGAAGAGGATGAAAAAGGAGTTTGCGAAGGCGAGGCGGGAACGATTGGCCATCGACTTGAAGGAGAGGGCCGAGCGACGCGAAGCAGAAGCTAAGGAAGCTAAAAAGCGCCAGAGGGCTCAGAGGGGTCCAACGGAACCTGATGGGATGTGGGGCGGTCTACAAGTCAACACTGTGTTGTGAGGAGGTACTGTACATTCTTTATGTTTCTGCTTTTATTGTCATCATCTTTCATGGACTATTATCCATACTGGCCTCGAGGTTCCCTTGCCTGCCGTCCTCTCATTTTTAATTCCATATACTTACAATGCTGATCCATCTCCACTGTTGTATAATCCTGTATAGATTCGTATATTGTGCTTATGCCTGTATGTATGGAGGAGGGTTCGATGTTACGTAGTAAAAATAAAATCAAAACCCTTATGTTCTACACAATAGTGGAGATTACGGTAAAAAGGTGTTGAATTCAAAGCGGGAATGGCCATGTACAGTACACAGAAGCAAATGAATGTGACGACAGGAAATGAAGAGACAGAAGCAACGTGCAGAATCATCCGAAATCATAAACCGATAATCCATGCGAGAATACAGACAGGGGATAAAGAGACTTGAGACCGGCTGATTGAGATGAAGTTGAGAGCTTCAGAGCAATGCGTCGACTTGGTCCTGGGATGACAACATTGGTTGCGAAGCGTAAGCCCCCGCGTTCTCGTACGGATTGCCAGCCATATGTATGACATTAGGGGGAGGGAACACGAGTTCTCCTTCGGATACATGGATCCTTTGGGCTATTGGCGGGAGTGGGGCTTGTATCACAACAGGGGAAGCACGATCTGCGTGTGGTGGTACGCGTTGGTCAATGTCATCGTCACTTGGTTCATCATTAGACTCGATAAAAGGCTCTTCAGGAGGAACAGGGATATCTTGTTGATCGTTCGATGGGCCAGAGGCGGGAGGTTCCATTGGCACAATAATATGATTGACTGCAAAGACTATTAGTAAAGACGGTAAGCAACCATACGTGTACGGAGGTACTTGCATTCTTTGGCATGAGCTAAGCAAGGGAGAATAGTAAGTACAGCTTGTCCCTTTGGACATGTCGCTAGAACTTACTTTGGTCCTTTTGTCTGGGGCAGTCAGAACCTTCCGGGCAATCTGGGCGAGTCATGATATGTTGTTCCAAGAACCCCTTCTTGCGTTCGAGGATCCACCAAGCTTTGAGACCCCAGAGAAGTACTTCTGCTGCACACATGCGGCATATTCTATTACGCGGGGCAGTTGGATCTGGGTCGACACCTCCTGCTACAGCGTGCATATCCGAGAAAAGGTCGGCATCGAAGAGAGGGCCAAACTGTCTGGGAGAGCGAAGAATCATGGCAATGATCTAATCGTAGAATAACGCGCACATGGAATCGAGTACATCAGTAGCGTAATAGGAAGATGATTTGATAGGTACACTCACGTCCTTGTAGATATGCCTCGGTGTAAGACCCTGCGCTGTGAGATAGTCGAGCATGATATCCACCTCCACTGTGTTATAGTCGAAGGCCTCATAGAGTTCGCCGCATTGGATCAAGTCACCGAGATCAGTCATCGCATGGGGATGTTGTACAGGCAAGGGTGCTGCTACACAACGACCAGGGATAGCAATGCCACAGAATGACACTTGACAGAAATCGCATTTCGACGTCGTAGGCGCATGGATTGATAGAATGTTCTCACTGAATGATGGAAAGTTGGATTTATAAAAAGATCACATGAAAAGGGGCCAAGGACAACTTGCCAATTACCGCAGAACGCGTGTCCGGGAGGTGTACCGTTCTCAGACAACCAGGCGTTGTCAGGATCACTTTCAGGATCTGCGATGGGTTGAGGGCATCTCCATCCCCACTGGTTTCCTGGAAGACAAAGCGGACACGGAAGTACATAGTTATTGTTGTTGCTCTGGGGTATGGCAGGTTCAGGAGACGCGGCGCGTGGCGTGGGGATCTACGCATAACCAGATGAACATTGGGGAAATAGTGAAATCGAACGTAACGTCCTTACCCTCACAGATAGACCTGCACGGTAAATCTCATCTGCTTGTATCCTCTCATTAATCGGACGCGCCTTCCAAGGCGCGGAGCGAACAAGGACATCTACCATGGTTTGTAAGGCACGCGAAGGCATCACCGCCATCGATACACCACGACATGCAGGGCAATTTGTACCACCATTCTATGTCACAATGGGTGAGCATTATGTCAACAAGGAGCTCCTCATGTATTATGATGGCCATGGAGGGTCAGAGAGGTAGAGTCATCGTGAACATAACACTTACGCGTACCCATAGAACCAGACAACTTGAGACAGATCATCAATGGCATACTCAGGACATTCTAATACGCAAGACTTACCTTCCACAGAAGAAATGTTGACAGGGCGATACAATGACAGGACGGTAGACCAGTGCGGAGCAGCACCCACATTGTAACTCCTGTTCGAGATCGTCGGCTAGAGCTTGGCCGTCAACAATTTGATCTTCCTCAGACGAGCACGAGTCGTTGGCCACATCGTTGTCCTCCTTCAGTCGTTTCCTGCTCGAAGAATCCTCCATGGTCTCGAAACTGGAAGATGCTCTACGTTTCAGATTTGAAATGGAACTCGTGGACGCCTCAGACAGTGAAGGTAAACCCTGCGTGGCAAAGTCAACACTCATAGGTATGGGAACTTGATCAGAAAGAACAGGTGGATGCAGCGAGGCCAATGAACGAGATGAGTGCTAGAACAGAGTTGCTGAATTCGGTGTTGCACTGTCCCTCAAGTAAGTACTCGGCCCGTTACAAACAGACGCTGACACGCTCATTAACAACTTCTATATGCCAAGAATCTATCCATTAACGGCGCAAGAAGAATAATCTATGTAACGGGGAAGTCCAGATATGCAAACTATGGTACATATGCAGTGATAACTGTTCAGCGGGAAACACACAAAAATGTCGAAAGAAAACTATCGATACAAGAACTCAACCAAGTGGAAGGAACAGGCTAGAGGAATCCAAGGATGGCGGGGGAATTCCTGCCGCGCGACAGGAAGCATTCAGTTGTTCTCGCAGCTCCCGGTAACGTATCTGTTGCGCTATACGAAGAGGTGGTCAAATTTGCCAGCACTTCTAACCGTAACCGCTGGCTTACCAGGACAGGGCCAAAGAGACATGAGATACTCGATCGGGGCCAGCATGGTCTTGGACATCTCCAATGCCACCGTCAGACTATTATCGCAGGTCCATAGAGTCAACGCCCTGCAAGAATCACGTTCAAAAGTCACATTACTTCCGTAACCGCATGGCTCGGACTTCACCTCGAAACTTGCGACATAAACCAAAACAAAAAGAATGATCGTCGTGTTATGCTGACGTTGGGCTGTCCAGTAACAGTCTGAAGACCATACATGACCTGCTCGGCTACGGCAGCTTGATGCTTGACTACAAGAGACAAGCCTTCGTCAGAATGTTCGGTGACAAATTGACGGAGAAACATACGCCATTCCTCGGCCTTCTGCCGGTGGAAGAGGAAGTTCGCATTGCTACGACGGCGATTATCAGCGATATCAAATACAGCGGGGTAGTGTCACGACTCACGCTGCAGCTTGTGGAATGTACCGTCGAAACTCGTGCGAGATGCACATCCTAGCACTGCAGTTGATGACCATGAGCTTCACCCCTTCCATGCCACACTATCGATATCACTTACTTGAACAAAAACTCTCTGCCTTGAAACAGGAAGGCCCTCTCAATGTTGCACGTATGTTTTGACAGCGCCTCTTCGATACGGTCGATTTCCAGCCAAGCGCCAACCGCAAACTGAGCCTTGGTAGCATCATCTCCTTCAGGTTCTAACCGCATCCGAACACAACTATGCCACAATAGCATGGAACGCATGTACAACGCCCACACTGTCTCTTTGGCAAGATCAGGAGACGCCGCCGGCATGAGAGATTCCCCGGGGAATAGGACAGTGTACTAGAAAAAGGACCGGATGATCAGGAACAAACAATCCTGAAGGTATAGAGAAAATGACTGACGTTGGCAGGGTTGCTAATAAATAAGTCCATCTGAGCGGAACCATTGCAAGCAGCCGTGTATGAGCTGTGTCCTGCAGTTAACGTCATGCTGCTCCATACTATCCTGCGACATTCTTCCTTCCGGATCTCGCCTTCGGTCCAGGAATCCGGCCAGGCTGGCGTTGTCAACCACAAAGGAGTCACGTCCTTGGCGATTGGGGAATTATGCCCAAGAGTGAATGAAGTGCAGGAACAATGCGGTGGAGACGGAGAACTCGGGACAACGTATGCAGGGTGACCTTGAGCACGGGGAACGTGATGATGATGATGATGATGAGGATTCCAATGAGGTAGTGATTCAGTCTGCGAACGTGGAGAGACGGCAGGAACAACTCGATTGCCGAACCTTGTCACTCGAGGATCGTCCTTGTCGACACTACATAAGGCCATACTACGGAGAAGCGAGTCCAGTCTGGACATGGCAGATCGCACTCTGTTGGTGCTATGTGCCGGATGAGCAGATATTTCGAAGAAAGCTAAGAGCTATTGGCCATGGTGAGTAACATTTCTTTCTTTATGGTTAGCGGTTGTTTATGCTCACCCAACTCGCATGTACAAGCGACTCATCAATCCAACGACCGTTCAGACTCGCTTCCAGAGCACTCTGAGCTTCATCGCGAAGTCTTAAAGCCCAAGATCTCCCTTTCGCGCCGCCTTCACGTTCGGAGCTTTGCATGAAAGTCGAAAGCGAAAGCAAAGCCAGCACCAAACTCGGTTGGACACCTTGACGTTGTCTAGTATCCATTATCCGAGTAAAGAATCGTGAAATGTTAACAAAGGAAAACCAGAAATTCGAAGCACGAAAAATAAACTGTATGTCGGAAATGATACGCTGCGTTGTCGCTTCCCGGAGACCAGGAGACAAGGCCAGCTCTGGAGTAGGCGTTCTTCTAGCGTAGAGACTCAAGAGAGCATCCCACCATGTCGCTCGAGTAAACTGTAGTGACGGTTCGGCCGCGATCTCGGTACTCCGGTCAATCTCCTCATCGTACTCGTTCTGATCTAGCACAGATGAGGTATTCCACGATGGGACATAGCCAAGATAGTTCAACTCTGAGCCAAGAGGATTGAAAGTCGCTGTAGGATGTAACTGGGAATACTGAGTGACATGCTATTCCGACCCCGGATGAGTAAGCAAGAAGATGGACTGACAACTGACCGTTCCTACCTGAGATGGGGACACATAACTGCCATTCTGACTCGGCAGGGTCTCACCGAGATGTGAAAGTGGAGACACGTGTTGAAGAGGCGACGAATTGTTCGAACTACCACCGCTGAGCGGATGATAGGATGAACTCGCTTGCCGGTCCTTGTACGCATCTAAGTCGGACACAATCACTGACAGCCCTTGAGGTCTTGCAGAAGCATGGGACTGCGCAGTAGCTGGATTCCCAGTGTATACCTCCATTCGCATCGGCCTCTGATTGGTCCAATCAGCTCCAGTAGCGTCGCTGTGCAGGTTCACAGTCAAGCTAGTCGTTGTCTTGTTCTGTTCAGGATGACGTCTTCGTCTCTTGCGCACTTTCCCGCCATCGGTAACAGTACTCTGTGCTGTCCTCTGTCGAGCACCCGGTACCTTGTCTGGTCCACGACGTTTGGGTGCCGGATCGTAAGTGCACTCAGGTGTCACACCCTCTGCACACTTCCGAGTACAGTTGTGACAAATAGGCTTTGCACCATCGCATCTGATTTTTCGGCTCCGACTGGATAGAATGAAAATATCGCATGTGCGAACGTGAAAGCAAGGCCAGAGTGTGAGAGAAAGCAATGATGGTTGCCTCATCAGGCACTTGGACATGGAGTGGGAAAGCACGAGGAAACTTACCACTGTACACAAGCCACATAGACTCTGGCGCGGGGCTTACCCTGCGTAGTCAGCGGTTGATCTGGCGCGAGCGCAATACGAGGTTTCTCTTTGCGCTTGCCCAGTGGGCGTGGTTCCGATGGGGGAGAAAGTGACCTCTCAGAATATTGTGGTTGAGCGCTGGCATTCGCTATGGGAGAATGTCCAGATCCTGAAGGCGAAGCTGTCGGGAAAACCTCTGAGGGACGGGCACCGCGGACAACAGAAGAGCCGTCCGACACCTCGGTCTGCTCGTATGAGGTTTGGACGGACGATGGGGGAAGACTATGATAATCTGCACGTTCATTAGATACCTCCCCTTAAGCAGTAAATAAATACCTTACCCCCCGAACTACCATGCGCTCCTGTGCTCGACAATCTGGCGGGATGTTGAGCGCCATAGCCAAGCACACTCGAAAGCGAGGATTGTGGCTCTGAAACGCCATTCACACTTCCATACGATCTATAAGCTGGCTTTGAAGCATAATCATGTTCATTGTATGAGGTATGATCATGTCCATGCATGTAAGACAAGCCGCCTTGGATTCGACCTGCCTGCTCTGGCCCGAACGATCTGTTGTCCTCGGCCGGAAATGGCATGCTTGAAGACATAAACGCCTCCGGTGCCGACAAACACCGTTAGACTGCTCGTAACTTTAAGGGATAGCGAGTTGACGATACTGCACCCGGTCTACGTTCGACAATCGAATGAAGATGGAGGTGAAGATTCGGTTGTCAAGCGGATCTGAAGCTTGTTTTGAGTACACTCTTTACAGATGAGGTTGACAGGACTAGGCAGTACGGATTTTCATGACAATCAGAGAGACAAGAAGGCGAGAGAAGAGATCCTGGCGAGATACACAAAGGGCTTGAGAAGGACAACCATAAACAAGTAATACCAAGCGGGACTGTCGTGCTTCGCTATAAAAGGGGACTATAACTCTTTAGAACTGTTCCGGAAGAAGAAATGAGCCAGGATCTCGGCTATACTCTAAATTGACTAGAAACGATCTCGAATTCAACTGCCGTTCCGTAGAGCTCATCCTTTTTTGTCAGAGGTGATACTCACGGATTCTGATAGCCCTCCGCTCGCAATGTTTACGGCCTCTCGAACTCTCGACTAGGCCCTTTACTTTGGACTCAACAACCGACCGGATTCTCCCACCCAAACCTAATTTTTCTTCACGCCAGATAGCGGAGTCCGGGCGAGCCTTGAGGATCAGACGTAAGTATCAAGAGTAGACGGCAACTGATGGAAGCGTGTACGAGCGATGCATGCACAGGTGTCAGGATAGAAGATCGATTTGTGCGTTATGGAGGGCCGAAACTTTCCAGGCGCTCTGCTTGATATCTCACCCGTAGTCAAACCGTCAGTTGCCTCTCAACCATTTCATATTGTCCTCTGTGAAAGTAACAAAGTCCTCGGCTGTACACCAGTATACAGACCTCGATACTGCTCTTCCGTAGATTGCTTCTTGGTCGCCTCTCCATCAGAAAGCTCGTCCTCCCTGACGGTCTGGACCCTGTACGGTTCAGAAGGAACCCCCTGTTGGCTTCTCATTGAGAGTCATCGGTGTGCTCTCAATGAAGCTCTGGAGCCTTGATCGATATTCGCAGTAATGTAGCTCGGTGTACCTACGCCTCTAAGCATACATATGGGCTCATGATATTGTGCTGGTTTGCCACGCACATCACTTGAATCGTGCTCTCCCACTCGTCATTTCACCGTCTGCTACACTCATCTCTCTAGCCTGCCGTTGTTCAGAGCGATGTTTACTCGAGATCTCGACACGAACGCGATCATGTACATATCGTGTGGAAAACGACGTCCGCATTCCCGTGCCTTATCCCGCGTATCGCTGGAGCTGTCTAGCATTCTCCTCATGTCAGTGGTCTAATTTGTTTTCACTTATAGTACGAAGCGGGTAACCACTAACGACCATTCGTAATGAGAACATTCCGGACCTTGCTACCCATAGGAATTCCAATATGTCTATTTCACCATCTCATAAGATTGGTGCCGGTGCAAGCCATGAATCTTGCATTCGTTCAAGCTTCATGATCGTTGAAAGCAGGTCTCGAAGGTTTTGTGGGTTGATTATCAGCTACCTTTGTGTCTATACGGAGCAAAGCACGGTATGTGCGACCCCCCGGAGATGCTGCGAATGGTATTCAGTGTCAGCTGTCCATGTCGAAGGTTGGAAACCTTAACTTTGTTACTAACTTAGCGGCACGACACAGTACTCTATGCCAGGCAGAACGCCGTTGAGGTGATTGGAGGGATCTCTTACGGATTGGGGTGAAGTCAGGGGAAGAACCTGTCTAGCGCTTCAGTCCAGTTCCTGCTAAAGAACAACGGTAGCCTTACTCGATCTCTTCCATTTCAGGGCTGTAATATACCAGCAAGCTTCGTTCCTGCGCAAGCGCCGTAGGCTGCCAAGTTTGTCGAACTCAGTTCATGACTGACAGCTAACTTCCAGAACACGGCTCCGCCGCGAAGCGATTCTGCCATGGTGTCCAACATTAATTCCCGTTGACTTTGAAATGCTCTGCTAAGCCAGTCCCTTGAACTTTCCTGCTCGCTCTCCTAAGCTCCGCCAATACGATAGCTACGGCGGACTTCGAGCCCGCTCTCAGTTCAGGAAGGGACTCGAAGTCGAAGTTTATAACGCAGAGCTCCATCTGATAGCGGCGATCGGCCAGGATGACCGTCACACCTTCGCAGCGCATGATTATGCACATATCCTGTGACCACTGTATGTAGTCTATTTTCTTACACTAATTGCATGATAGCAATCATTCGGATAGACTTCCAAGTTGAACGTTCAAGAGCATCGTGGTAACCTTCCAGAATGGGTCATCTCGATCACTGTTGGCATCAGTCCATGAGATCGAACTTGTATCAGGCTGGACTGCACCGAATCTTGTTCCCCCCTTGTCTCTCTTGAATCACTGCTTCTTTGCCTTCGCCATGAGGTGACCGCGACTGCCATGTACATTCATGATTCTGAACAGGTCTCTACATAGGATGAAATATAAACAGCTGTATCTTAAACATTTATCTTACGATTTCGCATCTTCGCAGTTGGCTGAGCTGTCTCAGCAGCTGAACTCTGCCATGTGGTATGCATGGGTATAAATGATGGAGTTATATGATTGGCTAACCTTCTGACCTTCTTTCCGCTCTCCAGGAACTTCAATAGCGTCCAACCGGACCTCTGTACCTGACTTTGGGTGCTCAGAAGCTTGAAGGATTTAACAATGAGACGTCATGCGACCTTCCTTCGCGCAGATCATTCATCGAGACTGGCTTTAGGCAGTCTTACAGCCACTCAGCCGAGCAAGCCAAGTATCTTCTCTGTCCGAGACGATACAACACTTCGCGTCTAGCGACCATCACGTTTCTCATTGTGATGCCTGATTATGTCGTCGAAACGTCCCGAGATTTTATGTCTTGAGAATTTGTATGTTCATGTGCCACACAACCATGCTGTGTATAGTCTGTTTGTGTCGTCAGTTGACTCAACTGACAAGGTACCTCCCACAGGCTCTAGTTCAAAATCATGCAGATCCGGTGTGCTTCACCCAAACCTTCCAACATATAAATATGACAAGGACGTCTCGGTTGATGACTGTCGCAGCTTCTGCTTAGGAGGGGTCGGAGCATCTGGCATTCTGTGAACCCGTCTCTCAATACCCCACTCGTTGACGACCTTCACAATGCTTGCCTCCCTGTTTTTCTTACTTCCGGCATTGGCTAGCTTGGCCAATGCTGTTGTTTTGCCTGCAGAGCCTGACGTTGTGGAGGAGGCCACAGTGGAGGTTGTCACAATTGAGGTAGCTGCAGCTGCGGTAACTACGCTATCTGCATCGGAGTTGGCCGCGTTTGCGCCCTATACACAATTTGCCCGCGCAGCCTACTGTGCTTCCAGTAGGATTGCTAACTGGGGTTGTGGTGGTACGTCTTTTCAAATTCCACAACTTCTTCAATGTGATACTCACGAATTGCATCGATATAGAAGCATGCAGGGCTCTGTCCGGTTTCCAGCCCACCTTAACTGGTGGTGATGGTAATATTGTACAGCTTTGTATGTCTTTGAAGCTATGTCATCGTTTGGTGTATTGACCGTTCTTCGAAGATTTCGTCGGGTACTGGCCTCAACAGAATTCCGTAGTCGTAACTCATCAAGGGACAGATCCTACGCAATTGTGAGAATATTAGGTGTGACCTATTGGCCCTGCTAATTTGATATGTCCTAGTATGTCGCTTTTGACAGATGCCAATATTTTCACTAAAAGACTGGATACAACGCTCTTCCCCGGTATCCCAAACAACATTGCCGTCCACGGAGGATTCGCTGATGCTCACGCTGATACCGCGAGAACGATCTTGGCCGAGACCAAGAGGCTGATTACAGCGAAGGGTGCCACTACCGTCACTTTGGTAAGGGAAATTCTTGCCTCTCACTGCCGTAACGTTACTAATGGAGTATTGCCATTCAGATTGGTCATTCCTTGGGAGGAGCTCTGGCGGAGTTGGACGCGCTGTATATGAAGTTGAATCTTCCGTCTAACATCCACATCAAAGCGGTAACATACGGTACTCCGCGAGTCGGAAACGCTGCCTTTGCTTCCTACTTCGATTCTCAGGTTTGTGCACTTCCTCCATGATGTTTTCGTTCTTGAGTAACACTAACCTCGTTCCATTCTAGGTACCCGATTTCCAACGAGTCAATAACGAAAGGGATCCCATACCTATCGTCCCTGGAAGAAGTTTGGGATTCCAGCACCCTCATGGAGAGGTTCACATCATTTCTCCAAACCACGCTGTAGCATGTCCAGGCAATGATGCAACTGTTGCACTGTGCACGATAGCTACTGTTCCGACCATTTTCGATGGCAACATTCTCGATCATTTGGGTCCTTACCAGGGTATCTTTATTGGTACTTTATTCTGCACGTAACAGGGCTTTTCGTTTGATGTGTCTATAGAAAGAAAGTAAGGGGGCGTGTTTTGGCAATCTTGTCCCTGAAATTGCTGTTGGTGCCTCAGTAAATCTTGAGCTTTCCATTTCGGGCGTTCGTGGTTGAACTTGAACTTGCTCTTCGTTCCTACCCATCCTCGCGAGTCTGGCACTCTACAATCTCATCTGCCCTCTTTGCAATTACCTGGTATTCTGAACCCTCCCGACCAAATGGCACACAAAAGATCTGCATCTCGTTATGCCAGTGGAACCTTCAGCACCGATTCAGCTTGTAATATGCAGGGCGCTATATCCTCATCTGCAAACATACTTCCCTCCTATAGCACGCCGGACATCAACACTTCCCTATCATCAGAGCTCGCGTTTGTACAGTCTACCAGTCTGCCAAGCATGTCTGATATGACATCTTCTACCTCCCGTTCTTCGACATCGCTATGCTCTGGTTCTACTTCAAGTCTGAGCTCGTTCAGCTCATCTGTTAGCGCGAATCAACTGCAAGGTTTCCAATACGGGCCCCCAGAAACTCATGCCTTTCAGCCCTGGAAAGGAGAGAAACCACTCGATGGAAGAGATATACGCTCGTCTCACAATCATCCGGTCGACGCAGCCATTGAGGATCCCCTTCCGCCGTTTTTGGGCCTTCGCAAAGGCCTTCGTCCACAGGCGATTGTCTCTTTCCTCTATCGTAGTCTTCCTCATTCAATGTGGGATCGCCTAGTACTTGTCGTCTTCTTCGCCTACGTACTGGTGCTCTTTAAGGCGTTGGCTGGATACGGCGGGTCTCATCCCAATAATTCCACAGGAAATACACAAACGCCGTCTGTCCTGATGGTCAATTCGGAGAGCATTTCTCAAACTCAGAACATTGCCTTCCTCAATGTCACTCAAAGCATCCCTAACCTTCCAGCGGGGCACCTTGACGAATCATCGGCCTTGCGCAATATTACAATTGTTCAAGGCACTGTTACGGTCGACGTTGCAGAATCGCTCCCTTCCGATTCTCTTCAAAAACCCTTGCCACACGCCATCGCCACGGTGTTACATCCTGACAGCAATGCCACTATTTCTATCGCGGATGGTGATCCAACGGACCACCTTAGTCATTTGAATGAAGATATTCGGGCGGTGTAATTAGTATGAGTAGGTTTCCAAGAGAATGACAATAACGGGGGGACCTAATAGTGGCCCAGTACACAACTATGTACATGCTCGTAAGAAAAAACCTTTCCCTCTCTCGAAAGGAGATATCCTGAGGTACGGAGGTTGAACCTCTGTCTACACTGCCTGTGGGAGACTAGTATACTCTCGTATACGAGGTTTCGAACCTCGCGCCCAAATGGTGCAATGAGACAGCAATGTAAACAATTACACCACATCCTGATGCATGATGTTGTGATCGTATTTCCCTAGATTGCAAATCATCAGCAGTCGTGAGCCCAAACTTCAGAACACCCAAACTTCAGAACAACTGAGTCCGCAAGCGACATCATGATCCGAGGACATAAGTGGAGAATAAGTACTAAATGGTAGTGTAACTCCTATGTCGCCCCTGGCCACTCCACCACCCATTGGGCAGATACCGTATGTACTTGGTCGTCATCATCTTCAAATTTCAGCTTGTATGTTGGCCCTTGCCTCACCGATGCACTCTGAGTCAAAAGTCAGTTCGGGTCGTTGAGGGATTAGCAAAGGCACACTGACGCGGCTCGCTTGCAGGTCTCTCGGACTTGCAATCACCTCAGCGCGGTAGAAACAGCTAGTATCTGGATAGAGGGCCATCACTGTCGAACCTGCAGGGAATTCAGGATATGCATTGAGATGCGCCGGACTGTCCGGCGGAGCATCCGGATCTGGAAGAGGGATAATAGCCCTCAGAGTTGTATTATAACATCTGAACGTTCAACGTCAACATTGCGAAAGACACCGTTGGTGCTTCTGGACACTCACTGTCCTGGTGAACCGTCTTCTTGAGGTTCAGGATCTTGGACTTCGTAACTGATTGGAGCAAATATATCAATACGTCTACAAAGAACGTCAGGTCGCCAGCGGGTACGAACCGATTTTTGTCTTGATTGATGCAGCGGTTAACGACCGCTAGAATCCACTCCTCGGCGTCCTTGCCGCTGGAACTGCTGTCCCCAGCTTTCGGTGGGTGAAAGGCGACCTTACGTTTTTCTCTTAGGGGTAATTGCCGTGCAAGAGCTTCTCTGCGGGCTTTTGGATCACGAGAAAATGGTACTTGTGATGGACCAACTGAGGTGCGAGGTGGAAGGGTGATAGACACCCCTCGAGACACCGGATGGACGATAGGAGTGGGAGGTGTGATTATAGTTGGCGGCGAAGAACCTCGTGGCCGTTTCTGTCGTTTCTCTGAGAGTACCGTCAGTGGCACACCCTGGAGACGGTGGAATTTCTCAGCTACCTGGAGGGGGTTGATCCTCAGAGGCCCTGCGTAGTGCCATGAGAATATCAAGATGTTCGATGGCCTCGTCAGCCGCCCTGTAACGGGTTTATGAGTATGTGATCAATTAGACTCCAAAAGGCTACAAACGACTACCAACTTAGCATCTCGTTCGGCAGTCGTTCTGATTTCGTTTAGTCCCATGGTGAGCTTTTTGTAGATGCTCCTAAGGCTATCGAAGCCTTCTGCAGGTATAGTATCGTCTGTGGGCCATGCAGACAAAAGTCTATTGACTCGTCCTATAGCGTCATTTGTCTCTGGACTAGAAAGTAATGCGGACAGCCTTGACAATGAGGTTGCAGCGTGCGACCAGTAGTCGACCTCTAGAATCCTATGGTTAGAGCGTTACATAATGCAAAAATCTCAATATACCCTCTGAGCTTGCGGGGCGTTTCGACGCTCCTCTTCTGTTGGCCATCTGGACGTTCGCGCTGATGTTCGGTATGTGGTGGTCTGAAATACGAAGAACGCTTTGGCCGGATACGGACCAATGGTGATGAAAGGGGCCTAGCCTAAACAATGGCAAACGCCGATCGTTCTCCGTCGCCTAAAATGGCATGTGGCTCGCCGCGATTTGATCGGTTTCAAGCTTGGTATCCTGAGCGTGTCCTCTGCATGGTACATCGCAACCTTCTGATTCAACATCCATAGTTATGGCGAATACTTCATTTTGGGGCTTGGATGTGATAATACCAGTGGGGAATCGAATACAACAAGGTTATCGGTTCCTGCCAATAGTTGGTCACCTTGCGACCCAATGAGTTGGTAGTACTAAGTATATGGATCGCCCTAACACAGCTCCCGCCACTGGAAACGAAAATCAACCTATCCCCTGGCCCGGGCTGCAAATGAATTCCGCAACGGATAGGTGACCGACTTCCGCCGCCCAGGTGTAAGCGAAAGCATCTCGAATGTTGTGACGGGAAGGTAACCGTACTAAGCGCCAATATATCTGTTAGCGAGAGTCCCACATATAAATTAGCATGGTGCAGGAGCGTGTCCCCTGCCCGCCCCCAAATTGTATTTCCCTTGTCCTTGCTTCAATATGGGTCAATTCGACAAGACAATCGGTGAGTAACTAAGCGTCTCCTGCGTCTGTAAGATCCTGATTGATATGCTTTCATAGGAACCCTGATGATAGGTATCGTCTGTAAGGTTTACCGCTTGGAGTCCCTTCCGAGGCGTCCCCCTCACCGCACGCTTTCTGATAGTCAATACTTATCTTTACGGGCTGGTAACATTCCAATTTGCCAAATATTATCGGACCAGTAGGTGCTTGCAAAATGTTTCCTGTTAGCATCAATATTTAATGTCGTATTCTAGAGTTCAATGATCCACCTGCAATCAAGTGGGTTGTCTGTTAGATGTCAAACACTGTCATCTGAATGCTTATCCTTTCTTAGGTATATGATCTTGTTCCTGTTTATTCTCGATACCGTTCACAGTGCTGCGTGAGTGACTCATTGAATTTCGTAAGGTACTATTTAATAACTTGTATGGTGTGATAGGGTGATTTACATGCTCTGGAACTATGTGTGAGTGCTTACAGCTTTTGTGCTATCTTCAGGTCCATCTAATGGTGTTGACGCGTAGCGTGACCAACTACAACAACCCTCCGGCATTGCTAAGTACGTAAACACATTCCTAATGGTATGTCAACTAACAACCCACACTAATAGTTGGTGGATGGCCACTGTTATGGACGCCATGCGCGACAGCGCTAGCTGCGGTCTGTACCCAGGTTTTCCTAGGATATCGGTACATTTTCTCATTCTGTCCTTCAAACAAGTGCATTAACTCATTCTATCATTCAGTATATATCGCCTCAGCAAGAACAGGATAATCTACGGCATCATCCTGGCCATCACCATCCCCGCGTTCATCATCGGCATGATTGTAGGCATTCGGGCGATGCTGATTTCCGTGTAAGTTCCTACTTATTTATAGAGCTCTTAAACATGTCCCTTGTATTCACTACTTCGCTCTTTCAGGCTTGCGGACTTGCCGCAGATTAACAACATCGTCATTGCATGGCTCTCTGGCCAAGTGGCTGCGGATGTCATGATTACAGGTGATGTGCATGACTCTGAACTCAAATAACCATAGCTAATGTCTCTCTCGTTTAGTGGTCCTCACTTACATCCTCCTCCGCTCGAAGACGGGTTTCCGCAAGACGGACACCGTTCTAAACCGACTGATCCGCGGTGCCATTCAAACTGGTGTTTTTGCCAGCATCTTCTCGCTAGGCGACTTGTTAACATTCCTTACATTACCGGAGACTAACTTGTACGGCATGTTCGCCATTCCCATTGGTCGTATCTACACCAACGTGGGTTTTTCTATCAATGATTTCTCCTTTACGATGAAAACTTATTCATGGATTCTTTCAGACACTCCTTGATACTCTGCTCGCTCGAGATGAATTGCGAGACAAACTTTCCGGCGCTTTGGACACTAACACTACAGTGAGTACCTCACTTTATTACCTTCGAATTTCACTCGACTATATCCGTGATTTTGGGCAGCTCGGCGGCCCCCGTAGCACCATGCGTTGGGCGAACAAAGCCGAACCGCAAAGCGTTCAGCTCACCGAGATCAGCGTACGGCAAGATGACATGTCGCTCCACGACGAGACAACGGAGCATCACGACAGCGTCGACATCAAGAAGGCTAGTACTATGGCCGTCTGATCAGCTTTGCCTCGTGAATCCCGTCTTCACCTCGCATCTTACCTGAAGAATGTGTTTCGCTGTCGACTCGTTAAGGCCAAGTCGGCCGTAATGCTATAATTACTGTGTCTATCGATCTTGTCCCTCTCATCTTCGGCATCGTTTTGTTGCTTTCTACTGTATATCTTGCATTTGTTAAATTCGTTAGTCTGCTTGTTATCTTGGCTCTGTACTCGTTGTTCTGTGCACATTATTCGTTTACCATTCTTGCAATGACATCATGTTTTGTTCCCATAAGATTCTCGCTAGGCATATGAGTTGCTTCGAGTTCTGAAGGCTAACAGTTATGGTACACGGATTCTTGGATATTTGTAAAGTAGGGTAACAAAAAAACAACAAGAAGTGTCACAAGCAACAAGCTGGTATCGAAAGAAAAATCACTAAACCGACAACACCCCAAGAAAGCAACATAAAGAGAGAAAGCAGGATAGGAATAAGCATAGGTACGTACGACCAGCGTGAAAAATAGATGACCTGATATGGACATAGACATAGATAACTAGAAACAGGACCCAAAGTCAAAACAACACGGTATTCGTATATCCAAACACAAACCATTGTCCGTTTCGGTCCCCACATAACAGTCGAATCCCGACTACGCAGCTTGTGCAACCCGGGGGGCCGCGGCGACCCTGTTGACCTTTTTCAAAACAGGCGTTTTGCCATTCGTAACAGCAGCAGCAGCAGCAGCATTCGTCGCGGCCATCTTCGCAGCACGTAACATCGCGCTCTTATTCTGACGAGGAGCGATCGAAGGTGCCTGGATACTGCTACGACGAGACTTCGCCTTAGCGGGTACAGCAGGTGCATCCGAGGAAGAGTTTGGCGGCGAAGTCGAAGACTTGGTGGTTGTGGTTGTGGTGTTGGAGGACATCGTGCGAAGGACGTTCGGACGAGAGGTGGAAGCTGTATTACCGATGGATTGAGCGGATGCTGGGCGGGAGACGGAAGGTCGAGTTGTCGTCGTCGTGGGTGGTGGTCCGTTCATTGAATTACGAGAGGAGGATCGAGAGGGGCCTTGGGAGGGACCACGGACTGTATACAAAGTAATACGTCAATTAAGGACATTCACTCGTGAACAGCAAAAAAAAAAAAAGGTGAAACGTACACATGAAGGAAGACGGTGGTGCAGCAGCTTCCTTCTGAACGCGAAGACTGGCACTTTTGTTTAAACGAGGAGCGACCGTAGGAGGTTTAGTACTAGCGACCGCAATAGACTCTCGTCGCTTATGTCCAGGAACACCCTCAAACGTATTTGTATTCTTCGCAGCAGCAGCAGCAGCAACCCCAACTGATCCACTAATCCCATTAACACTGGACGTTCGTCGAGTAGGCTTCTCAGGAGGCTTCTGTCCCAGACGCAAGGAAGCAGCTCGGGTCATGCGCGGTGCAACAACAGGAGGGGCGGTCGACGCCACAGAGATAGTTTCACTTCTCTTGTGTCCTGGAACATTAGCGAACGTCTTCGCGAGGGATTCCTTTGTGGCAACGGCGCGTTTCGGTGCTTCAAGTACGATTCCTGCACGAAGAGCTGCGGCGCGGGACATACGCGGGGCAATGTCTGGCTTAACATGAGTCGGTGGAAGTGGTCGTGCTTTGAAAGTAGTAGCAGCTTTATTACTCCCATTAGCACCACCGTTCCTGCTCCCTCCCACAGTGGACGGATTCGTAGCGGTAGACCCAGCATAACCATTTTCGGAGGAGCCATTTTGCTGCTGCAGAGCTTCTAGGATAGACGAAGAAACTGAACGAAGGGAGCCGGAACCGAGGGCAAGGGCATCATCAGATGGGACATCTGGGAGTTCGGTGGTAGGGAAGGGCGGTGAAGATGCGAAGATGGATAGGATCTGAATTTCCGCTGCTTGAGCATCAGAAGAGCCCATTAAGCCGTTCTGTTCTCGAGATATGCCGTACAGGGCGCGGAGGGAATGAGGGGTCTCTTGTCGAGCGACTTCTGGGTCGGGGTGGCCCATGAGGGTATGCCAAACTTCTACTGCTCTTCGTCTCTCGAGAACATATACCCAGACTGGACCCCTAAAGTAAAGCGATGAGGATGGAGATATGGCTATAGGGGAGGGGGGAAATATGGAGGGAAGGGGACTCACTCGCCGAAGGAGACATAGTCATCTCCGAATAGTTCATACATTGTCTCGGGATCCGTCTCAATGTCAAATTCCATCTGTCGTTCTTTCACGATCTACACAGGAGGAAAGATAGGCATTCGTACAAGATAGCAACATAGTAGTTTCATTACTTCGTACCTCGAAGCCAGCCTCGGAGATGCGAGGCTCAATATCGAACCTGTGCTCCAAAGCATGGGTCTTGATGATAGCCACCGTCCTAGTTCGCTTCGCGTTAGCTGCGGGGCTATCATGGAACTCCAGGACTTCTTCGTGAGCCTCCTCATGAACCTCCTGCTGAACCTCCAACGGGGTTTCTTCGTGAACCGGAGAAGCGGGTGCGGACATTTCGAGGTAACGTCACGATAATAAGTTGTTGATAGGGGGAAGCAAGGAATGAAGAATATAGGATATATATACAGCAAAGTTGGGTTGCAAACAAAGGGGAAATTAACGACCCTTTGGAGGTTTGACCAGCAGAAAAGAAGGGAAGTTCAAGGCGAGGGACTCGGAGATGATATATATTCAAGTTGATTGAAGGAGGGAGTTGACTCGTCGACGCTGCCCCAGTGAGAACATCATTTCCCACACTCGATCACCGTTTCGCATCTTGGTATGTCTTGGAATTCACGCAACTCACTGTTCTTTCAGGCTTCTAGCACCACAAAAACCAAAATGAGTTGGGAACGCGTATGGATACAAACAGTGATTATCGACGAAGATGCAATAATAGTCCTCCGGCTTGCTCTAAATTGCTATAGCTTGAGTAGTTGAATTATGCATGATCATGACGACTTCTGTCCGCTCCCAAACCCTTTCCACCATTTGCCAACCTTGTTACCAGCGTACCGCAAGCTCTTGCCAAAGCCTGCACTCACCACCCCCTTTATAGTTTGAACAGTAGAAGGGTATCGAACGATGCCCTCCAGTTCTGATATAAGCGTTGGCAATCAGGAACGATATTGAGGTATAGGATAAAATAACAAACGACGTACCATGCTGAATGGCCAACGAGAGCTTAGGGTCACTGGCTAACCTTGTCCAGTACATGCTCTCATCTACTTCCCGCGGAGGTATGTCGGCCGAAGCGTAATGCTCCGTCAAATGCGATAACAGATTCTTCGGCAACTTTCGTAGATGGACTGCCCTCGTATGAGGGGCAAGATCTTGTTGGATATTAGATGAATGTGCTGGCCAGTGTACCCCAGGAAGCGCAACCACTAATCGGTGATACAGTTCCCTGAACTGAGGACCCTGTGTCCGAACAATGTTGCCTACCTTGCCTCGGTTCTCTGCTGGTAGAAGCATACGAATGTCTCCGGCATAGCTGAACCCTGCTATCCTCTCGAACAGCTCTGTCTCCGAGAAATTCTCTGGCAAAGTGAGCAATGCCGTCCGAATGGCCGAGGTCAGGTTGACTTGTTGCGTCAGTCGAACGCGCGCGTCGTCCTTGATGATACGGATTGGCTTGTGCATGCGACCCGCGAGATAGAGGGAATTCCAGTTCAACAGGTCTGAACACAGATTGTCAACCGTTGTTACACCATACTTGATCGTCTGTGAAACGGTCAAGTTAGAAACAGCGGATGTAAGATAATACGAGCAAACATACCACACCCTTCATCGGGACAAACGCATTGAACCACACCCCCGGGGTAATATCCTCCACCCGGGAGACGAACGAGGACCCTAACATCCTTGAATACAGCGGGTAATGGCCAGGGAACTGATTCATATTGATCGAATGCCAATGTGACGCATGCGTCACAGCAAACATGAAATCTAGCATGGGTCCATCCTTGGATGCGGGATTGGCAGTCGTGTACCCATCCTGCTCAAAGACACCCGACCCATACGCAAACGCATAACGAATGGGTGCTTCAAACTTTGAAACAATATCTTCCAAAAGCGCACGCGTGGAATCCGCCACTGGCAGAATCTGGTTTCGCCCAAAGGAAGGTGGCAGTTGTAGAGTGGGGAATGACGGTCTTCTTCGGGTGATAGGTCTTGGTGCAGGATTCAATCGAGATCTAGCAGGACTAGGTTTCGGTACTGCTAGGTGCTTGGGAGGTGGGGGAAGGGGAGGTTCGGAGCCGGAGGAAGTGACTGTTTCAGTCGAGAGAGAGCGAATGGAGACAGTTGGGATTACGATGTGGCGAGGCGTACGAGCGACTCTGGTAGCAAACATATTAGGCGAATTGGAGAGGAGGTGATGGTAGTAGTGGTTAAAGATTAAAAAGGACGAGGTAGAGACTGGGTTAGCATGCAGGTACTTGGAGGTGGATATGGGGTCGGAAACCGCAAGCCAATCAAAGCTGCTGCGAGCCTTCAGCGCTCATTGGCTGCTGACTAGCGCTGACTTTCGGTGTTGCTCACCCACGGCTGCCCGTGCGCTTGCTTGTTAAGAATACGCGCTAGGCAATTCCTCTCGCAGAAAACATACCCTGAATGTTTGAAAGGTGAAATGCACCAGCAACAGAAATGCACACACAAAGACTGTATAATGCAGTAAAACATTCAAAGACCATGATACTGGCATAGTAAGATGTTCCATTCATTACTTATAGTACAAGAATCGGATGGGCATCCAGTTTCTACAATTCACCAAAAAGTCGCTTTCTGTAGACAACCATGTCAGTATTGAGAAAGTGGTGCACAACAAGTAACGAGTCAGAACTCACACTACGTCCGGTGCTTCACTGAAAACAGTCGGACCACCGACCATCTCTCTACTCCAGACATCCCTCACGAACCATCCAATATGTCCTACCGCGCACCCGACCAAATCACCTGCAGCAGCTCGCCAAGTTCCATTCAATACCCAAGCGAGCCCAACCAACGCAAGCGGCAGGTAAGGAGCCGTAATTGTAATAAGCCCGAAAAGCGATATTGGTGTTGACGGATGACGTCTTGACCACAGGTATATTGGGACGAAGGCGAGAGGTGATGAGAGGAAGGGAAGGTTCACTAGTGGTGAGACTGCCTGTAGAACAAGAATGAATTCGCACACTTATGAGGGAGTGGGGTGTGGCGTACTAGGAGGAGGATGCCTGATTGGAATAATAGCCAGAAGTAATCTGCTTTTCGGTTGGCGAAAGAGGACTCTTCAAGAAGTCTACTGTAACGCATGCTAAGATCCGTTTTGTGTGAGCCACCACTGAAAGACGGGTAGAAGAGGATAACTGGCGTACAAGAAGAACATGTGGAACACAAAATCCAACGAGAGCGATCCAAAGTAGAAAAACGTTGTGAACGCTCTCCATATCTGCAAAACCGCCGGTCAGGAAGGTCGAGGATTCAACTTCACATGCAACCTGAGATGACGTACTTGGAAGTTGACAAACGCAGACTTGTAGCTAAAGTACAGCTGCAGAGGCGTCACAATCTGACATTGCTGCATGGTCTGCGGTTAAGAGATGTTCAACATACAACTTAAGGGAATGACTTACTCACAACTGCTACACTGGTGAGCACTGAGAGAGCCAGCCATGCGCGAGTAATAGGCGGGATCTGCGTCACCCAGGCTTCAATTCCAACTGGCATCGTTCAGTAGGTAGGTATACAGGGACGTTTGTGTTGAGAATCCGAAAAGTGGCGACTGGATGTTGATTGTGTAACAGAGAAATACAATTACACCAATAAGTTCAGCGACAAGACAGTATGTATACGTGTCTGCAAAGGTCTGCAAGCGTGGCAGGGCATACGTCGGGGATACCCGATTAAGAAGACCGCCGATCAAACACCATTTCGATTCCGAGAGATTTGGTACTTCACACATCCTGCACAGTTTATTTGAGTACCTATGTATGTTATAATACACCGTCCATTTGTACAATCTACAATCGGCTACAAGTGGTCCACAATTGTCCAAGAAAGTCCAAAATAACAAATTTACAAGAATGCATTCAAGTCCATACGAAAGAGTCCGAGTGGTCCACGAGCATAGAACTCGCCAATGAGCGAATTGGGCTTTAAAGAAACTCATTCCGCAATGGGACTTGGGGGCTCGGGACGCATGAAATTCCTACTGAACGAACGAGCGTGTCTGAGGTCCAAAGAGGACGACGACCCGGCAAGTCGGAGTCTCCGCAAGCCGTGAGATATCGACGCGGGATGTTCCTTAGGCTTGACGTCCGATTCAGCAGACGCCGCGACAGCGGCGAAGATGCGGAGCTCTCGCTGAGCTATTGCAGCGAGGATGAAGATGAGACAAAAGCCGCTCATGAGCATTTGTGGGAAGAACCCGATGCTGTCTGTTGTAGTTGGTTGTTAGGGTGAGGTGTTGGTGAGTTAGTAGAAGTTGGAGGTAACACATACCGATGAGGACGCCTGTGTAAGAAGGAAGAAGGAATGAGAATGATGTAGAAATGTTGAAGTGTTAAAGGCAGCTTAGCTATAACGTACCGTCGAATCCGGGAGCATCTGGCATTGCGTTCCTTAGTTGCGGGATCAACAGCATTGTGGCAGCGACGAAGGCCAGATACTTGAGTATCCTTTCCGTGTCATCCGTCTTCCAAGCTAGTACCGTGTACGCTACGGTAGCATGAGCCAGCATCCAGTTCACCGCAAATAACAGCAGAGCGAAAGCTCTTGCTTCACCAGGTCGGACCACCTTCAGGACTAAGTTTCTCCCTTGCTGCTCAGTGGCGTCATCGGAAGACGTAGAGTTCATGAAGCTAGCAACATCAGAAGGCGAGACAAGGAAACTTGGTGTTTCAGTAATTGTTGGAAGTCGAGAAAGGGTGACGGGGTTTTTATTGCTGTCGAGGATATGGATGGTGCTAGTCAGTTCGTATGTGTCGAACGGATAGAGACGTGTCAAGTGAACATCCAAAACATGGTCGCTATCGAATTGAAAGAGATTCTGAATGCTGCGAGGGAATATGTCAGGGTGGGAAGGGGCTCTGATCGGTGGCGCACGCACCTTTGCCGTTTACCGTTTTTGCTCAGGAATGGTATGTTAGTGGGATCATAGGTGGCAGTAGGATTCTCCCCATTACTTCGGCCGACATCAGACGAAGTTGCACAAGAGTGGGTAAATAGTATACTTACGCATCGACGAATATGCTGAGTGGCATAGATGGTATACCGCAAGACGAGCTCCCGTGGGCACCTTCGGACCCCTTCAGGACAAACGCTGATCCGCAGCCAAGGATCGACCATCGGACGGTGATGGACGGCTCGTCAACGTCTACATCGACATTCTCGCCTACAAGAACGATCTATAACGATGGTCAATTATGTCGCCACCAACCTATCGACATGCGAACGTACCCCTGGGTTATTCTGAGCCACATCATCAAGCACGTCCTTGAAGTCTGGACCTTCTTCCGACCCAATGAAAGCAAAAGATATCGAAGCGATGAAAAGCAGGGAAAATAGGAGGGCCATGACGACGAGAAAGGTGGGCCCTAGAGGCACGATTCCCGCCCGAGTGCGAAGAGCCTTCAAAGGCTCTGTACGAGTGGCCTTAGTCTTAAAAACTGAAGCCTCAGATTTTGTCGGCTTTGTGCCGCCGGACGAGGCATGTGTAGAAATTGTGCTGACGGCGGATGGGCTTCGAATGAGCCCTGTCGTAGACAAGAAAGAGTGTCGGGTGGACATGGCGAAGCAAAATAAAGAGAAGAGAAGAGGGAGGGCGGAAGGAGGTCTCGCGAGGGGCGAAAGCTCTCACTCAAGGCCGCCCCCGAAAGATATACGATCTGGAAGGGGTGTCAGTATAGAAATGGATGCAGCACCCCGCCGTGGCCATTCGAGCATTAGTATCCCACTCGTCTGCGATTTTCTGACAAGGCTATGAGTAATTCATGATGGGCGGCATTCCAGAGCCGTGGATGGTGCATACTGGCGACCATATACGGTTCTGTTCGGGACAGTGGCGAGCCTATTCCTGTTGGTGATCACCAAAAGAAGGTATACCGTGCGGACTATGACAGTCATCTTTTGGTCCGAGTCTTCTAGACTGAATGCAAGGCGTGGATATATGCACAGGCCCAATACAAGCCACTGATCTTGTGTTGACCCATAACTTTGGATGCTTAACCAAGCCGGCGGAAGTCTCCCTCTGATCATAGACAATCGGAGGCATCAGAAATGCTCACGAAATCTCTTTTGGTCAAAACGAACACCATGCATGCGATCAGCTAGAGCTTTCCCGCCGGACGATAAAAAAGGACTTACCCCGCACTATACCCGACGACACACTCTGACCGAACCTGAACGCTCATTAGCTTGACACATAGAAGGGTTTTGAAGGATTTGCCGACACGTATGTGAATCCCCGAAGCGCCTTCCATACTACAGCATATTACCCGTTGAATGATTGGGAATTGCTCCGAAGTTAGTCAGCTGAGCCGAAGTGCTTTGGTTGGTAGGTGACAGTTTTAAGTGTGAGGTCACAGTGGTAAGGATGTAAGTTCATACTCCATTGTGAAGTACCACAACGGCATAGAGTGTAGACGACGATAAGCTGGCCCGCATGGCAAAAAGTGGAATAGAGGAATCTATTTCGTATATCTGTGCTCCTGATCAGAAATCTGAGGCACGCCGCATGAGACAGCTTAACAAAGAATGTGAGATAGAATCCGGTATGAGAGACTTACACAGGCACAAAGCGTAAGAAAATATCATCAAGGCTTCCTCCCTTCCTCCAGCAGTTCCTGAAGGACAAGTATTTCTTCAAGCGGACCTCCCTCATCCCCTTCGGGTCCATAATTTTGCAGAACACGTCTTGCAGTAGTCAGACTTGAAATGGCTTGCTCTTCAAAGCGCTGCAACTGAGAAGGGGGAGTATCGGGTCCAGCAGTAACTACCGCATTCCACGCTGTCTTTGCCAGTTCCAGAGCATGCATGCCTATGCAAGGCAGGTTAAATAGCCTCGTGTACACAACGGACGATACTTACCTATTTGTGGGAAGTTTCGATGATATAGTACCTTATACAAAGCCAAGAGGTTTCGTCCCGTGAGTAGTGCGGTCTCATACTCTCCTTCGTGCGAGGAGTGACTGAATTGTTCCGACAACTCGGGGAGATATGATTCGTTGAGCAAAGGGTAAAGCTGTGCCGGCATGGACAACATCAGAGGAACGTCCTGGGTCTCGTCTTCATCCTCTGTGAATGTTTGCAACTGCTTTGTAAGTGCGGCAAATTCTTCGGTATTTTGAGGCAAGGACGGTATCGGATGAATCCGTTTCTCGAATGTGCAAAGAAGACAGGCACATCGGAATCCGTAATTCGCTTGTAGCGCATTCTGACGCGTCTCGTATGGTAAAGCAGGGTCCAGGTACGGAATGGTAATCTATTCAAGTGATCAGACCTGACGTTCAAGGCACAAAAGAATGAGACTCGGTACCTCTTCCCCTGCAGCAATCTCGTGCAAAGAGACTATTTCCATTTTCACCGGTTCTCCCCGCGTGATCCGGTATTTGACTACGCAGTTCGGAATGCAAGAATGGTTAAAAAGGCGACTGGCCAACGGATACACTCCATGCGCAAATGTATTTAGATGGGAGTGAAGAACGAAGTTGTTGTTTCCAAAGCGCGAAAAGCATTCGCGCGCAATGTGCTGCGGAACATCAGCAGACTTGGAGGTCCTACATAGACCTGGGATATTCGCATGTGTTGGACCCTGCAACAAGTCGAAAAACACTGACACCAAAGGATCGTTTCCTGCAAGCGGTGGTAGGGAAAAATCATCCTTTGGAAAAACCTGGACGAGTAATTGGGACAACAGCATTGCATCCACTTTCTCGTTGACAGGCAACGCTTGATATCCTGATGAGATGGTGTACCGGTTGTATGCTTTGCATATTCTTCGGTGGTGAGCCTTCCAATGCGTAATCTGGCCTATCGATACGTCGAATTCAGATATGACTGGTGAGAGGCCATGAGGCTCTCGTACAGTTAACCCCGCAATACCAGAAAGAGGCACAGCCAGAACATTTCAGTAAAGCTACGCGGTCATTCGCCAGACAGTGGCAGTTATCGCATCGTTGGCCCTCTGTGCTAGGGAGAAGTGCAGTCGTGAGTGGCAAAGTCGCGAATATGACTTGACCTGGATGTATGGGTTGCGAAGCCGTTGCTTGGTTTCGAGCGAAAGGGTGGTCACTAAGACGAATATAGCGCATGGTCTCCGAGTCATCCATTGTACGTGAATTGTAAATAACCAAATTCTTGGAATTCTTCTTGTTCTGCGAAGCTAACGTCAAGTCGAGACTCACGAGAGTGTGATATAGAGGCAAGAGGAACGAAAGTACTTCTGAACAGTGAGTAGCCAAGACAGCGTGAGAACTTAGGCATAAATTTCGTCATCAACAGGCATATAAACAACATCGCCTAAACGTGAAGCACAAACAATAAGTAAAGGGGTAAAGGGGTAAAGGAGTAGGAAGTAAGTTGGACTGATATACTATTGATACATGTCTGAATAACAAATAAAGGTTAGATGTGAAAGGTTGGATGAGTTAATCATGAGTCCCAAATTGCACCGAAAGCAGGAATACCTCTACTCATCATACCATAAACTACTTTTTGTGTGAGCTTCTGGTTAGAGATAATGCAAACTGCTTCCGCGTCAAACTCCTTCACGAGACGATATGTCAGTTTCACCATATCTGGTTTACCATGAACTCGGGTATCTATAAATAAGAGTATCAGTGGGGTTGCGTGAAGTGAAGACAAATATCATTCAATCCGTTCTCACCATAAATAACAGCACCAGGGGATTTTTTAAGAATAGAGTCAACGAGTTTATCTCCAAATGTCTGTCGAACATTGGGGGATGTCCAGAGAAGTCGGATGGGAACACGTTGTTCCAAGATACACGGCGCGCAAGGTCCAATGCCGCTTCCCGTGGCAACGAAAACAACGCGACGGAACAAGGGAGTGATCCTCAAGACACCATAGCAGGGAACACCACGAACCCACAAATGCTTGGGTGGCTCCATGATCTGCTTAGTGGTCCAATCACCAGCTTTGGAGACAACGAGTGAATAGCCCTTCTTCCCAGGCTCCGGGATGCAGGCGAACCCGTGCCATTCGACCAATGGGCTCTCTGAGATACGAGTGAAGTGTCCCGGCTTCGGGGTAACTGTGGCAGCTTATCAGGGATCGTGCCAAGTGTGTGGTAGCTGATAGACGTACCGTAATCGAAGTATAATCGAACTGCGTGATTAGAAAGTACTTCAGCGCGAACGGGAACTTTCCGCAGTCGAAGCCAAGGAAGAATGATCGAGGCAGTCATCACAACAATAAGCCAGAGAGGCGGAGAATGGAGCAAAGCGTTTCCAAGAGATTGATCAGGAAGTCGGTAGTCGTTTGTGAGCAAGACAACCTGAAGCCAATCAGCACGATGAATGCCTCGACCAAATTGACATCGATACATACCTGGACCCACACCAAAGCAACGGCAGTCCAACCAAGGAAACGATGTGTGCGCTCGAACGCATCGTGGTGGGTAGAGCGGGCTTTTGGATACGCGAAAATGACGATACCAATCAGTAGCGTCAGAATGAAGTATGTCACGGCCACTGTGGGAGCGGAAGTCTGCGAGGAGGAATGAGCGCAATGATACATGCTAAAGAAAAAAAAAATACGAACCTGCGCCTTGTTCAAGAGTTCCCTAGTTGCTTGTACGGTGAAGGCGATTAACCATACGACACCGCTAATAGCACACCCGGAATGCACTGGGGGCGGATGAGACAAAGACCTCGAAGATCACATACGGACAGCGAACTTACGTCCTCCAATGTGATACACACGAGCGCAGATACGACGGATCGCTAGCGGCCAACTGTGATCCGAATGTGAGCAACTTAAATGAGCTAGAGCGAACATGTAGACATGCCTGGAGGGTACTGCACAACAAATTGTGAAGAAAGCGTTGATCACGTAGTCTTGACGCATTAAAACCGCACAGAAAATGTTTGACACAACGATGAGACCCAACTCTTGCGCATTCGCACCGCCGCGAGAGAAAATCGAGATCAAGATAGCCATATTGACTATGAAGACCACGCCAAACAACCTGCGGTAAAGAGAAAATACCTGGTGTCGAACGTTGCGAAGGACTCGACCATGAGTCTTGTCCGGCAGAACATCGTCTTTGTACCCATCCCAGATGCAGGCTTTCTCTTCTGGGGTGTCAACGTCTGTTTCAGAGCTCGAAGAGGAACGGACGTGTTCTGATATAGCTGATGATATCTTCTCTGATGGAAATGGAAGGGAGTCAGGCTGGTAAACTGGCGGCGGAACAGCGAGTTGTGGTATAATCTTGGCCAAAGCCTTTCCTTCGTATAGCGCTTGACTGTAAAATTCTGACTTGATAACCATCTTTTCATCGACGACCGGGTGGCGCTCGGCAACAATTTTGCCGTGAGCAAGCTCTCTGAGAGCACGCTTGTCGGTCTTGCCATTACTACGGAGGATAATCAATTCATGATTTCGATGCAACGTTCCAATAGGACGCACCTTGTATATGGCATTTCTTGAAGCGTGATAAAACGAGTTGGAACGGCATAATATGGCTGAACTTTCTGCGTAGCCACTTTGACATCGTCCACGTTAACTGTATTGGGGGTAACGAAACCCCACAACTCAGACTCGACCAGAAGGGCTACCGCGACCTTCACGCCCGGACAAGTCTGACCATAAACTGCGATCAGCATTGTAGAAACTGGAGTGAGACGCAAATTGTACCTCCATAGCTGCCGATACTCCATCCAATTCCACTCGGAATCCCTACAAGGTGCCAAGAACATGAATATCCCAGAAATGAGCGCGCCATGGTTGGGTGTACCTTCACTTTGACCTGGTCATCGACCCTCCCGAGATGCTCCAATGTACCATCTTCGCGCCAGCGGCCAAGGTCGCCGGTATTGAACATGTAGCTTCTGTTCCCACAGTCAATATTGTTCGTCATAGCACATTGCAATACGTCACAACACGCACCCATTGTTGGTAAAAATGTCCAACTTGTAGCGTTCCGCAGTCTTATCAGGTAAATTGACATATCCACGAGTTATTCCGGCTCCGCCTGCCCACATTACACCAGGTTGCCCGATTGGCACGGGCTTCATGTTGTCGTCCAAAACGTAAACATTATTATTTGGGGTGGGTGCGCCAATAGAGAGCGATTGGCCAGGTTTGTGCAGCTGCACTGTATTAACGATGGTGATCTAATGGAAGACGTCAGGAAGAAAGTTGTGGAGTTTGTGGGACTTCTCTATACCTCCGTAGGGCCGCAGCTATTGTAGAAATGTGCATGCCGAGACCAGCTGTTCGCAAGAGCTTCGAGGCATCAGGGAAGTAAGCCAGATATCAACGCCCAAGAAGTATAAGCGCAGCACCTTGTGGACATGGCTCTCCTGCAGTGGCTACCACCTTGATATTAGGATAGTCTGATGGGTCATGAGGAGCTATCGGTCATGTCATAACTCGTCAGAGTGCGCTTGAACCAACACGGTCTTTACTCACTCATCATACTGGGCGTAGCTAGAACAATCACATCAAAAATGGATATATGAAGGATATCCAGCGGAGAGACATACCAATCACGATATCAACCGTTTTCATAAGTGCGCGCCATTCCTTGGATGTCTTCCCTCGGATGCATAGAGTGCAACCATTAGAAAGACTACCAAGCGTCTCCTGTCATATGTCGCGCGAGTGAACAAAGAAGAAATCGCAATAAGAGATGATCGTACCCAAGCAGCCATATCGAAGGCAATGTTAAGTAGTTGAGATACACGACGACCAGGCCGCATCTCGACATTTCCCGGCTCAAGACAGACGACTAGGAACCTCCGTCAGAGAAGGAGCAGAACATGATAAGACAACAGGTTGCTCACGATTCGTAACATTGCGATGCATCACTTCTACTCCCTTCGGCTTACCAGTGGTTCCTAAGTAAAGGTCATGACCGAGCGAGAATTCACGCAGCAACGCAACATACCAGACGTGTAGATTATGTATACACCGTCATCTGGAGACGATAGATCTTCAGGCTTCGAACACTCTCCAGGGGACAACTCTTTAATTGTCTCTTCAAGACACACTGCCGGAAAATGGGCTACACGAGGAAGGAACTCCTGCAATGCGAGGACCAGAATAGACTGAGAATCGTGTATGACATATTCCAGCGTAGATTGAGTGACCATGCTGCCATCCAAAGGGACATAAGCAGCTCCGGCCTTCAGTATACCCAGGATTCCTACGACCATATGTACCGATCGTTGAACAAGCAGGCAGACACGACTACCAGGATGAACACCCATATTGCGCAAGCGATTAGCCAAGCCATTCGCCTTGCGGTCAAGGTCGGCGTAAGTGATAGATGAGTCACAGTGCACTACTGCAACAGTGTCAGATTGTCGACGAGCATAGTGCTCGAAAGCATGATGAACACAAGTAAAAGGCGCTTTCTGAGTCGCGCCAAAGCCGAAGCGAGTGAAGAGGATGGAGTCCTGAGGCGACAGAGCGTCTGAAACAGCGTCTGAAACGTTGAGGGGATACATTTTGAGTCGCAGCAGCCAGTTTGTGGTCCTTGATAGTTGGAGTACCTTTCCCGCTTTTATACCCTGGAAGTGACTACTTCTCGACGCTCATCCATCCATCCAGATTACGAGAGTGGGGCACATCTCCACAATCAAATCTACCAAGCTAATCGGCTGCATTGACGCAGAACGCGGATGAGCAGCAAGATGACCGACGAAAATCCGCCATAGCAGCCCTGTGCAACATTCGATGAACATGCAGTGGATGGAAACGTCGCAATACAAGCAGCTGACTTACTAGGAACGAATTGCGTATGACAGACACATAGGGCAGCTCATATAACGGATGTTGTTAGAGTTCCAAGCCGAACATGCATCGTATGGATCATTCGGAAGTTAAGAGAAAAATAGCGGACAGCAACGCCGGTGAAGATGTGTTCGCGAACAATCCTTGAGAGGGCAGGTGGTATCGCAAATTCGAAAGCACGCACCCATAATGATGTGTGACGAGTAGCAACAAGAGTGTAACGTGACATGCTTGAGAAATTGATACCTGTTAGAGGGTAAGTATGACAGGGACAAGCTTCCCAAAACACGCACTTCATTCTCAAGGTCGATCTATTGTTGTCTCCCCCACGTTGTTGTTGCCAGAAGAAGCGCTGCAGAGCTGGGTTTGGCCAAGTCGTCAACCAAAACTAGCCCGAGATTCAGCCCGCCGCCAAGACAACCCTTTCGCAGACGTCGGACTCCCACAGCCAGAGCAAACTGATTCTGTCAACGAGAGTGGTTGGATTCATAAGGCAATCATAGTGATCATTTCTGTAAAGCGTGAGCAATGGATACAACGGCACCGATGATGAGGTTGAACTGCATTCCACATCTCGTGCTCAGCTAGGAGGTCGTAGAGCATTAAAATGGGAAATAGCCCGCTAACAGCCCCTTGGTTCCAGATAGGAAAGTTTCCATGTCGGTTTTGCGCATAAGGAACCTGGACGTCACGCAATCAAGCGTTGTCAGATCTCATACTATTGGTTCAAAGCAATGAGAAACGGGAAGCGGCAATATTTGGTAACTCGACGAATATACATCACGGACTGAACATACGCACAAGAAGCTTGCATGAGCTATTCGGATAATGATTATCGATATGCAGACCACATTAGCAATGTCACATAGAGACAGTTTATAACTGAAGCGAGGGGTTGTCAGCGTTCGACAGAACTGAGAACATAAAGCCTACAATTTGTTTTACATCTCACGATCTCCGGATGATGGCTGTAAGAGAGGAATGAGATAGACTGCGGCCAAATGTCCTCAATGGAGTTGTCGTTAGATGCTTGCCACGTGTATCGTGAAGAACACCAGCTATACTGCTCGGTACGACATCAAAACTCTGAGGAGCGACTGGCAGGGGAGACGTATGGGATTATGAGCAGGAGAGTTGAGGAGAGAACGGTACCAAGCCCCATTCTATGTTCATGTACTTCATTATTCACTGGGTTTGACAGCTGGATGAATTCCGGAACGTCATGGAGCATCTTATGGCCACTAGAAGCACCTTGCTTCACTTACGCTGTCGAGGTGGGACTCCAGGTAGACTTGCTTGCCTTCATCTGTTGTCCGAGCATCGGACCTCGTCCGTATGTAGCTATTTTCAAGGATCTGTACCTGCAACTGTCTATGTCTCGGGCCATGCGCAATTGAAGGCGCATAGGAGTAGACGGTCTTCTTGAAGACTTTCCAAGTCCGGTGGAGTCGGGAAGAGGTCGGAAGCACTTCACCGTATTCATAGGGGGTTCCGCGTCACAATCAATACTGCTAGGCATTCAAAAGCAGGTCAGCGGTCCAGTGTATATCTCTGACATACTCCGCATGGGGATGCAAGAGGGCGAAGGACCTCGGTCCGCTGATACTCCGTGATTCGACCTATTGCCGTTCATCATGATGAGCTTCGGATTTCAATGTCTGGCTAGCTGTCAAGTGGTGAAAGTGAATGTATCCAGAGCCACAGTAAATCCGAAGAACATACCTCCATTCACACCTCCGGAATTGAACCCGGGAAGTCATCGGAAGAAGACGATTGTACATTTCGAAGCCTAAAAGCACCATGAAATTAGAAGTCTAAAGATAGAACGTGACGGTGACGATAATGTCTATTGACACAGCGCCATGTGATTGAGAAAAAAAAACTGAGTAGGGTAAAAGCCCAAAGCAAAGGCACGAGTACAATGATGGAGCAAGTCGTCAACCGAATCTATGTCGCTCGATTACGGACTTCTGGCGCGAATCACGAGAAACTCGCCTGACGTATCAACAAAATGCTCAGTTTCCAAAATCAAAAGAGGAGGTTTAACCTACCAATAGTACTCCATAACATCACTTCGACCTAGTTTACCCAAAAAGTTCTCGTCATGAGTGATGATGATCAACTGGAAGTTCCCCTGGTTCTTGCGTTCATTGATGATGCTGCGGAAAACCATGAAGTCGATACAGAGTGCATATGAATGGTGAACTTACTCAACCAAGCTCGCTGCAAGGGCATCGATGTTCTCCGTATCGAGTGCGTTCGTGGGCTCGTCAAGCGCTAGAATACCACAATTCTGACCGAAAGAATCCGCCAATGCTAGGCGAATGATGATCGAAGCCAGCATCTTCTGACCCGCAGAGCATCGGCCACGCATGTCCATTTCAACTTGATCCTTGGTCATGACCACCTGAAATACGAACACGTAAGAACAGATGCATGGAAAACCGAGCCAACATACACGATAATTGTAGGATCGCTTAGTAGCGCCACCTTCCGGATCCGAGCTTATTTTGATTCCGTCGATGTCTGTATATCGTCAATTACAACATTCACCTCACCGAGCACCTAATGTGGATGCACAGACCTGTTCCCTGGTAGGTCTTATTCCACAAGTGACGCATGGTGTCATTGACTTCCTCCATCTTTAGAGAATGGTATTTCATGATGGCGCTATTCGCGACGATGTTAGCAGCATCTCAGCCAAAAGGGATCCAATGAGCGTACTTATCCAAAGCCTTGGCGTATTTCTCAAGATCGCTGTTGGCCATATCGGATAGCTAGCCGAGCGTACATCTTTGTATGAGCAGGAAACTCTGGAATGAAGATGCGGCTTACCTTGACCTTCACGAGCTGATCCTTATACTTCTTATTGATGTCCTTGAACTCCTTCAAATCGGCCTCTAGCTGCTTCAACTGTGTGTCGTAAGAGCTGAGCTCGCCTCCGAGATGAGCGTACTGTCACAGATATTGAAGTAATGTGATGATAATAAGTGCTTGTGATCCATACCTTGCTCTGCATCTCTGTCTCCCTGTCTTTCTCGACTTTATATCGCTCCTGGAATACTCGTTTGGCTCGTGCTGCTTCCTCCATGTCGTAAGAATCGATCTCCGATTGAGTTTCAATGATGTCCCTCGTCAGTTTTCGTACACGCAGATTGTTTCTGAGGTTTGACATCGATGTGGCAGCATCACTAATTTCTTTCTCGATCTTGCGAAGGACTTCGCGGACGCTTTCAATGCGCGAAAGTGAATCTTGGATTTCTGCTTCATACTCCTCAATCTTCTCGTTGCATTCCTTCAGCTGACGACCAATCCTCGCTCGAAGTTGCCTTCATTGGTGTCAGACTACTGTGTCATTTTAAAAGAAACGGAGATCTCACCTTTCGACTTGCTTGTTCATACTCTCCAACTTGTCCATGCTGATGTTCAACTCTTGAGACGACCGCTGGGCACGAGAAAGCTTGTCATTCCAATCCTTCTCGATTTCTTGATGTTCACGCTGAAGTCTCTGTATGGGTTCTTGTGCACTGGAGATTTGAACGTCCAGATCCTAGCACTCGATCAAGTCCAATCCATGATAAAAGGTAGGATACCACACACTTTCAGGGTCCCATGGCTATCAGTTTGTTCCCTCTTCATGTCGCTAATTCGCTTCTCAAGCACGTCTTTATCTCGCAGCTGTGACTTGAGATCACTCAGTTGGAGACGCATCTGAAGGATGTCGCTTTCGTTCTTCCTCATTGAATTCAGCAGTCGCTCCCGTTCCCCTGCGAGACTTTGTCGTTCTCTTTCGTTCGCACGCCTGTTGAACGATGTCAGTCAGCACCTTGCAGTGGAGCCGTCGAGAGCCTACATCTCATCAGACAGCCTCCCAAGTTCGAGTTGGACATCATCCGCAGTTCTCGTTGAGCCAGTGGCAGACAATTCGCTTTCCAGTGAGGCAATGCTCCGCTTCAGCTCGTCGATCTCCGTTTGGGTCTTCGCCACCATGCTCGCATGCTGTTTCAAGTTAGTAATCTCCTTCAACTCTTGCTCGACCTCATTCAACTGATGCAAGGCCTAAGGAGATTAAAGGGTCAATATGGACACGTGGTTGGACCTTAAGACAGGGACATACCTTTTCAGCTGTCTCTGATAACGATGGAATCTTCGCTTCTTGTGCTTTGAACTTAGCTTCGAATCCTGGTATTGTGGTAGTTTTGATCTCATCCCTTGAATTAGCGACGGAAGTAAGATCTTTGAGAATCGAAATCTGTTGCTCCCATTCGGTAACATCGTTGGACACCTCGACCAAACGTGCTTCCGACGCCTTGTCCAATTCAGCTTGAATCTGATGCGTGTGTGAGGTCAATAAGCTAAGTTGTAGTCTGTGAGGATACTTACAGCATTCTCGAACACGCCCACTTCCTGGACGTTCATTTTGCGAGTACACAAAGGACAACACTTTCTCGCCCGGCCGGCAGAACGGAACTCTTTTAGCTTCTGCGCAGCGCCATAATTCGTATCAATTTCACTAGGACATCAATCAATACGACTCGAAATGCCATCAAGTTAAAAGTTGAAGTACCTTCTGGCCGCTTCCAGTTGTAATTTGGCATCGGAGTACTTCTCGTCCGGGGTTGAACCTTCCGCAAGGCTATCATCCATTACAGCTTTGATCTGTTTGTCAAGGGCTAGCAACATATCAGCACGGCTCATAATTCAAGGTTGAACGAAGCGTATGTGCCTTTGAGCTTGTCCTTGGCAGCCTTTAACTCCCGGGTGGTTGAGGACAACTCGGCTTCGGCATTCGACAACTTGCTATCAGCACTCTTGCGTTGTTCCATTAAGTCGTGGCGCTGACGTTCTTTCTCACTAGAATAACGATCAAGTCACCGTTTGTTATCACTAGAATACACCTGAAAACATACCGATGAACACGGTCCAACTCTCGCTCCATGGTCTCAACATGAGCATCAGCTCCAACAAGTTTGCGGAATTTGGGATTGTTGATCTCAATGCTTCATGAGAGTCAGAAAGTCGCTGCCAGATCGGGCGAAATAACATACACATTCTTGACCTCAGCGCTCTTAGTCTTCAGCGAGGCCCTGTTGAGGTCAAGCTTTGCTCTAGAGTCCGCCTGTAAACTCAGAGTCCGGAATTCATTGTTTAAGCCATCCCGCGTAACCTCCAAACTTCGGTATTTGGACTCCTTCTCAGCGATACGTTCTTCGTATTTGGCTGCTTTCAGCTCGTCCTTGATGATCTCCAGGCGCCGTTCTTTGTCTTCCATCTCTGATTCAAGTGTACGCAACTTTGCTGGTAGAGCCTGAGCAGCATCAACATCCCGCTCGGCCTCGCTGATATTTCCTTGTAAAGTAGTCTGTTGTATTATTAGCTCCAAGCCACACTCGAAGGTGAAAGGAAGAATATACCACTCTCTCACGAAGGCTTTCCTTGCGGTGTTTCAAACGTTGGAGATCCGCGTCTAACGTTCTAAGACGTTCTCGATAGTCATCGTTTGAAGCTTTGCTGTCAGCCTTAGCCCGTAATGTCAGTATATCACACATGATATGAGTAAATGTTGCACTCGAACCTGGATGTTGTCTGCCTCGATAATCTGCTTTCGCTGGAGCTCGGAAAGTTTCGTCGTGAATTCTAGGACCTGCTCTTTCTCTAATGGGGAATGGTCATATCCTCTGAGCTGATGCTTTGCTGCAAGATCTCTGACAAGTTCTTCTCGATCGGCAATAAGCCTTTCTTGCGCCTACTCAACATGCATGAATGAATCATCGGCTTTTTCGGCGTCATGGCACACAAACCTGTAGCTTCTCCTCCAGCTTGCCTTGCTCCGTCGTTAAAGCGACGTGAGATTTTCTTATTTGAGCTAGCTCATCTTCCAGATCCTGTAATCTGGCATCCTCAGTCATCTTCTTCTGTTTCTGCTTAGCTATATGTTCGTCGAAGTTGCGTAATCGCTCAGAGAGCTCCTCGTCGGTACCTAAACGTGTTGTACATCAATCAATATTTTTCATCTTGTTCGCCAAACATACCTTCAAGCTCCTGGAGGTTCTCGCGAGCTTCTGCCAAATCCTGCTCGAATCGTTCCTTCTTTTCTTGCAAAGACTCGACTTTCGAGTAGATATCACGGAACTTGGTGGCCGAATCGTAGAATCTCTGGTTGGAAGCAACAAGCCGCTCGTATTCTTTCTTGGCTTCCTCGTATTCAAGCTCCTTTGCACCCATCGAACTATTCAGGTCAGCGATTCGAGCCCTGAGTTTATCAGCGTGGCCCTTCTCTCGTGCGAGAGACTCGAGTCGTTCCTTTTCAGCTTTCAAGTCAGCAGCTCGCTCTTTACGAAGCGCCTTGATGTTGTCGAGAGCCTTCGTATATCTACTCAGAGGTCAAGATCAAGTGAACATTACGCTTGTCGCGTCGTGGAACGCACTTGGTAGCTTCAAAGATATCATCGAATTTCCTCTTCAGGATTGATGGTTCAGCAAGAGGCCAGTATGAATCTTCCTGATGGCAAAAGATAACATTCTCTAGGACAGCTTTGGAAACACCAAGAAGACTTGGAATTTCGGCATCCATCTCTGCGCATTTCGTCGAAATGACACCACGCTATTTAGAGTTGTAAGTATGCATATGAACTTCGGGCATACAAGCTGCAAACCTTTCCACCTTTCTCCGCGTTGCCATCAGCCAGAGCGAGGATACTTTCGAGAGTCTTCATTGTGAGTCCGCCAGACTTCTTTAACGAGACGGATAAGTTTCGGACCACCAACATGCGCTGACCATTGGCAGCGAGAAACCTCAGCTTCACTTGAGCTTTCACTTCTCTTTCGTTCGCCATCTTAGGATCGTGAACGAAGGCACCTCCACGAGTGTTTGGAGGCTGGTCACCGGTCGTAGCATACTTTAGACATTCAATAATGGTTGTTTTGCCGCTACCATTGTGTCCGACTATGACAGTGACTGGAGAGAAGAATTCAATAACGGCAATTTGTTTGTCGTCGAACGACCGAATGCCGCGAATAGCGAGTTTGTTAAGACAGGCCATCACGTTGATGACTGTTGAGTTCTAGATGAGTGAGTAGCAGTTGTTGTAGTCTCCCGGGCCAGAGTGGGCAAGCGTGCCTCGGAGTGTGTCTGTTGCAATGTACAAAAGAATGATTATCTTTAAAGCTTGGAAGCGAGTATACTGTCGCGACAAAAGGGATGAGGAACAACTTGAAAGAACACGACAAAGGTCTGTGACCGTGACAGAGACGCGACGCGTCACTAGGCCGATTATTGCTCACTCCTCTCCTCCTCACTCCCATGTCGCTCTCGTCCTTAGGAGGCTTTGATGATAATGCATGGGGTGCCAGTAACGAAGACGCAGACATTGTTACTGCAGCGATAAAGAAGGACAAGTTGATCAAGTATGTGTATAATCTATGTCGTTCCGCTGCAGAATCCATCTTACAACATGTAGGGAAATTACTGCTGCTCAAGAAGACCTGCGTGGTTTGTAGCCCATGCTCTTTGGCAACCTGCTTACTGAGAGAAATTTCATATGCATAGCTCTTCTTACGCGAGTGAAGTCAGTACAGACAGATGTGGACAAGCTGGCTTCAGGAAACGAAACTCTACAGATGTACATTGACAACCTAACTATGCAGATGGCGAAACGTCGTTAAGCCTACCATCAATCCGATCTGTCACACAACATTATACCTTAATATTACACTCCATTATCTATCCGACTCTACGGTGCTAGTATGCAAGTTCATCAAGGGGAAATTGGCCACACATTTCCATCGAGATTCGTCTCGCAATGGAATAGGGTCGTCACGCTGTCAAGCAGAGCTGAGTGCGGATGCCTCGAGAATGATCATGGCTACTTACGATGAATACGGGGGGTGCGTCCACACGTAGTCGAACATTTTTCTCACGGCACTTGGCCTTGAGCATCTGAAAGTGTGGATGCTTCTCTGTTTCCTCGTTGCAAGAAACTAGATGTAGACTTGGAAGTCGCTCTACGGCCTCGACGACGGGCCTCAACGTGTTGTTCTCTGCCCATGGTGAGTATCTGAAGCTTAAGTGTCGGACGCTGGTTGGTATGTTCCGAATCGGTATGATGTCGGAGAACTGGTATATAATAAGCTCCTCCATGTTCGGGCAGAGTTGGAATATGGATGCGGATCGCATTTCCTGACGAAGGATACGGAATGACCTGATATTCGGACCGTGTATGGATAATAGGGGGTCGTAGCATCTTCCTGGCGTGTCCCTGAACTCGAGAACTCGAAGATGGCCTTCTGACGACGACAAAAGCCACTGGACATTCCTAGCGTTGGACGGTGTACGGAACAAGGCCAACTCATACAAATGGACCGGGCAAGGTTCTGGAGGGCACGGTGCTGCTAATTCGGTCCCTACCCTGAGATAGCGCACAGCGCGCATGACAGAAAGCAGTTGATATAGAATGGGTGACTGTGTGCCGAACGACATCAGGTTGAGTGCAACGACACTTGACAAAGAGCTCCTCTCGTCAGAGAGTGCACGTAATTTGTCCATGGCCCCCTTGTCGAATGAATGTAATCCGTCGGTCCGTAGAGTAATTTCGTAGAGTTTGCGACACGCGGCAAGAACGGTTAAAAAGTCATCCACACCGAAACGGCCGCCGGATAGGGAAGCTGGAAGGATATGATAAATGCGTAGCTCCAGCCTGCGTATGTTCTCCGCTAGGGCAAGAGCTCGTTCACATCCCGAGCGGATAGCATCTATGAATCTGGGATTGATGTGCAAGATTTCGTGAAAGAGTAATCGCTGCGCAGCGTTCCGCCAGACCCCACATACAAGTGAGCATGATGACAGGGTTTCAAAATCTGGTGTCCACCCCCCGAGTTTAGTGGAGCTCGAGAACACAAAGTACGCGTGCTCTAGAATAGATAAGACAAGTTCATAAGGTAAGCCTGTATGAATTCTTATTCTACTAGACAATGGATCTAGTCAGGTGTGCGTCCAGTGGAAGCGACTGTGTGGCTCACGATTGAGGCTTTGAAGTCAATGCCTTTGCAATGGTGGTGGTTCCTGCGCAAGACTGCATTTGCGCAATAATCCGTGCCACCGAGTCGCACCACGACTTATTAACAGGGAGATCAACTGGACCCACTCAGCGATCATGATCGACACCTTGTACGGTTGTTCGCTGGAAAGTAACTCATGATCAAAGGAACATGAAGATAGTGAACATTGATGCGAAGGAGGACAAGTCAGATAACGACGAAGGCAGTGAGAGACTGTACACAGTACACTGATAAAGCAAGCTATTAGAGATACAACTATAGAAATATTGATACAACATCGGATGGAACAGTAAATAAAGGCTACAAGAGAGAACGATAGAGAAACAATTGAGATAATTAAGGTCATTAATATATTAATATCTAGGATTTCGTGACAACAGTCTGCCTCTTTCCCCCCATAGCCCTGAAGAAGCCTTTGAGTTGTAAAGCGGTCGACTTCTGGGTCGCGGCTTTAACAGCAATTGGAACCCCGGCCCGACCATGCTGCTCGGGATATGGCGCTGCGATCACCTGAGGCTCGGGCGCGAACGAATCCTCCAAAAAGTCCTTGCGTACAACCTCAGTATCCTCCGGGTTCGTCGGGCACTTGAACGCAGGACTAGGAGGCATGAGCTTCAGTGGAGCAGGGCGACGTCGCCCCTTGCCCTTAGGTCTAATAACGGCGCGACCGGCACCAGAGGCGAATCGCGGGGAAGAAGGGGTTCTCGGAAGACCAGGAGGGGTAAGTGGAACAGGGAAGGCATTGAGGAGGAATTCAGGCTTGCGTAAGTGCTTGGCGGTGCGTCGGCTACGAGAAGGAATAGCAAGGACAGACATGCCAGGCTTGATACGGACAGTGGATACCAGATCACCGCCAAAGGCTGCAAGGTCATCTTGAGAGTTACCCTCCGTCTTCATGGCAAATCGCGTGCTGAGGTCGGAGTCTTGAGTCGACGTACTCTCCCTTCGTTCATCGAGAACTCCATCTTTATCCGCTTCAGAGCTGAACTCTACCCACTGAACTTCACCCATGCAGAAATCTTCATCACCGCCCAGGAGATGGGCGTACTCCCACTCCTCATCCTGATCACGCCAGATTCCACCTTCACCATCACGCCAGACGTCACCTACTCCAACCAGCTGACCGTCAACCTTGACGGCTCCGGCAGCCTTGGCATGCGCTTCAGCAAAGCGAGTGACGTGGTCACCTAACTTTCCGCCGTCCATGAGCTGCGCAAGGGCGAGCTCATTTGCAAGCGGAGGAGGCCGGAACTTGGCATATTTAGACTTCTTGTTCTTGGCTACTGCAGCACTGGAGGCAGCGTGTGCTTTCTTCGCATCCATGGCAGCTTTGGCCAGACTGGGAAGGGGAGGAGTGGGTGGTGCGGCGTTGGAGCGAGAACGTGTGCGTCGTGCAGGCTTCAAGGAAGTGAGGGATCGGAAGTGCTTAAGTGACTTTGTTGCACCCTTCACAGGAGAAACAGGGATGGGAAGGATGTGTTGAGGACTCAAGCGTCGTCTCGCAGGCGCACCTGCAGACATGGGAGTCTGAGGGATCTGGACGAACACAGAAGTGTACCCAACCAGAGCAAGATCGGCAGTCGTAAAGTCCTTCACAGAAGGAGTAATTGCAATCCGACTGGCGGTGGTAGGGCTATCCGAGAAGTGTAAGAAAGATGCAGAGGAGACGCGAACAGAGGTAATAGAAGGCCGTCGACCAATTGATCGTGAGAGGGAAGGCCGACGAGAGCTACAGAAGGATGAAGGGCTACGACGAGGAGAGTAGGGTGCAGGTGAACCCGGGATGACTTCAGCAACCCAGGCAGTTATAGCTGACGTCGTAGCAGAGCGACGTCTCCCAATAACGGGAGCGCATACGCTCGTAGGAGGAGATGGAAGGGGTTGGGTCGGTCGCCTCTTTTGAGGAGGGGGCTGCGAGAGGAAGGGGTATACAGGTGTTTTCCTGGCAGTGTTCATGGAGACAACCTGAGCCGACATGTTAAGATTACAGAGAACTGCATACAAGATTAGTCATAACCCCTGGAAACTGATTCGGAGCCTTACTTGGAGAGTAGAATAGGACTGGATTCGGAGTGTAGACGTGCGGGGAACAAATCGAGCCGGGATATGACGTGAAGAGAATAAGGCTACAGAAGAAAGCGAAGGTTGATGCAGAGCAGAAAGCAAGAATTGAGAGCACTAGATAGCGATAGCGAGCAATTGAATCCACAGACTAGCTGGCGATGGAGGAGCAGAATGAACGTCCCCATCCTTAAGTGTTACTTGAGAGACAAAAAGTTCGGGTATGACAATGGCCTCAAGGGCGTGCAAACACGCTGTCACCATCGAATGCTCGTGTCAAGCAAAAGCAATTGTCCTCAGAGCCGAAACAATGTCAGTTGACAGTCGGGAGCAACGAAGCTTCAAAGTGCAATTGTTGGCCAAATTTGGCCACGTACTGCATCTCAGACGCCTGAATAAGCGCTCAAGGTTCATCAAGCACACGCGTCGCGTTCGCCTGACTGTGAGCCTCAACGTTCAACGTCCTTGTTATATTCAATTCATTCTAGGCAGAAACTATGTCGACAGAACCTAGGATTGCTTTCAAAGCAGGGCGTGCTTTCCGACGTGAAAATACCAACTGGGTCGACCCTGATCCCACTAAGGGCGCCGTTATTCTACAGAATGGCGAAGATGGTTTGCTGCACTTCATTTGGAAGAACAGAACTACGAATGACTCGGAAGAGGTAAACGCCAAATCGACTTCGTATGAAAATTCACTTATACCGGACTTTAATGCATACCTAGGACTTGATCCTCTTTCCTTCGGATGCTACCTTTGCACCAGTAACCCAGGCTGCTTCTGGTCGTGTCTATGTTCTCAAATTCTCGTCTTCGAATCAAAGACATTTCGTGAGTTCATTTAAACCCATAGCAGGGGCTGGGCTCACTCGCTATCTAGTTCTGGATGCAGGTAAATTTTGAAATGAGCTCAATCGTTGCGTGTACTCCAACGCTCACGGTATACTTGTTCTCAGGATGCTGATTCGACGAGAGACAAGGATTTCGTACAAAATGTGAACCGCCTTTTGTTGAATCCCGAAGAACTTCCAGTCTGGTTCACCGGTTTCCCTGATGCTCTCGGTACCGCAGCGTTCGAGGAGCCTGGTACTGCTCAAGCTTCATCTTCATCTTCGTACGTTTGCTTCAATGGATACTTCAGCGTTGCGATCTTGACAAGGTATGATACTTAGGTCTGCGCAGCCTGCACAACCCAGTCAACCAGCTCAGCCAGGCCAACCAGGCTTCCAATTCACTCAAGAACAACTGAACCAGTTCCAATCTATGATTGAATCAAGCGGAGCGGGAGCTAATGTACCCCCAGGTTAGAATTCGCCCTTCGCACATCAATCCTTCCACAATATTAATGATGTTGCAGTTGTAGAACTCTCCCTCACAGACGTCCTCACCCCCGCGAATCTCACACCACTGTTCACCTCTCACCCCGAGCTTATACAAACACTTTTCCCTCACCTTCCTCCTGACCTACCTTCACCGCCTACCCCACAAACTATCCAACAAGTAATCAGTTCACCACAATTCCGAGCTGCCGTTCGTAACTTCGACCAAGCATTGAGGACTGGACTCTTAGGTGGCCTAGTACGAGGATTGGGTCTGCCCGAGGAAGCTGGGACAGGCGTGGAAGCTTTCTTGAGGGCTATTCAAGATCAAGCGAGAGAGGGCGGAGGCGGGGACAGCATGGACACCGATTGAGGGTATTACATTTATTCCGTGTGTGTTCCCTATATCCTAGGAATCCAATCCCGAGAGCCGTGAACAAAAAAGAAGTGCAAGGTATATGATACAAAATGCAAGATACAATAAGGATCAGGAAGTGATAAAGCTTCAATGACTTCGACCAGCGAGCCACTGGAGAACAATGTCCCTGGAAATATGACGGATATGAGGTGGACGTCACTGAATGGACGGCTGAACTCACAGGTTGTGTTGACTCTTCATGGAACACTGCGAACCATTGAGAAGCATTCCAATGGAAATGTGGAACGAAAGCTTACCGAGTAACACTGGGGGGAAGTTAGTAGTCAGTATCTCGTTCACAACACCGTGCTCCATTGGACGCACCGATACCGGCCTATTCGTGATCTTGTCCAATTGCCTAGAAACATGGTGAACACGATGTCTCGAGGAAAATGTGAGTGTACCCTCACAGTGCTTTGATCAACTCATTGACCGTAGCATGTCCCTCAATGTCATTTTTGTTACCAAGCTGGAAGGTGGAGTGAGACGGGCAAGTGGTAGATATAGTGTAAGAACGTACCACCAGTAATGGAACACCTTTCAGATTGGGTTGCGCCAATAGTTGATGTACTTCGAAGCGGACGGTTTCGAATCTCTCTTTCTATGGGAAGATGAACAATGGGCTAGTGCTGTGTATATGGAAACGCACATCGGCGGAGTCAACCACGAATCTGTGACAGCGATACATGAGTATAGCAAATAGTCGAGGCGCAAAGCATGAACGTACACGACTGCGTCAACACCATTGCAGTACCGTTCCCATATTGACCTATACCTGGGCTGGCCTGGCAATGTTTATTCGCATCGATGCCAAAGTCATCGAACAAGTGAACTCAAGCTCACCCGCCAGATCCCATATTTTCATGGTGACATTACCCTTGCGTACTTTCCGAAAATGAAAGGCTACAGTCGGTACGACATCCTCACTCCACTATTTGGTAAAACACCACATATCCTTCAGCACCGGGAGACATTCCGAAGAAATGAGTCACTCGCTTGACCTGTGCCAATCACATTCACGAGTGAAGTCTTCCCTGAAGCCTAAGAACGAGGCGAAAACTTTCAAGACAGGAAACATAACGCGTGCCATGACACATACGCACTTGCAAGCCAACGATCGTGATTTCCGCGGTTTTCGAGAAGAATAGGCTTCACACGCGTCATTCAGCATGTGTGGTAGACTCAGCATCTATTCGAGTACATACCCACTGAGCCATTGTATTATAGAAGTGAAAATGTACGCCATGGCGAGACGAGGAAAAAAGGTAAGTAATCCAGCTGGAGAGAGTTCAACACACGGATTCAAACTATGAGGATTTCCCGATTTGGTGCATGATCGAATGACTAAGCAGTTTTTTAGTTCACTTTGCATCTTCTTGGACGCGTCGTGAACGCCTCTTCGACTTGCTGTGGATCTACTCGCACATTGTTTCGCTTTCAAACAATTCTTCGCTATCGTTTCTGGCCATTTGCGCTTTCCAATAGGGTTTTATTTTGATTTTTAGGAGCTAATTTACTTCAAACCGAAGGCTTATGCTTGCATGTCGAAATGCATCTCGCAAACTATTAAACCGTTCGCACATCCGACTCCCTGATGTCCTTAGAATCATCCGCCAATTCTCCTCTACCCATTCCAAGAATGAAAACTTCGAGAAGGTGGAATTATCATCGTCTTCAGCACCGTTGACCAGTCTGAAGCGAACTGCTCCGACTGAAGATGCTCGCTTGCCCCAATCTGCTTCGCGTTGCGAGGTCTTTGGTTCCCAGAACCCTTGGATGGACACCGCGCTGAGAAGCGTTCGTGTCCCTACGGATATTAAATCTGCGACTTCGGGCTCTCGGTCCAATCACGAACGACAATATACCACACACTCCAAATCTGTGGACGCCGGCATTGATTTCCCTTCTGACCTCTCACCTGACGAGATAGACGAGGTTTTCAATGAGTTTGCCATCCCGGTCAAGGATGATTTGGCTACGACGGATCCCTCAGGTTCCTCTGAAACCGCTAATTACGTCGGGAGCCTCCTCACACGGGAATACGAATCACATACCCAAAAGCAAAGAAGAGTTGGTTTGGTAGAGACTGCGGGGATGGAAGTTGAATCATTGACAGGTCATGACAAGATGACATCTGTGGAACGATCCTACGAAGACAGTTATTCTGAAGTACTCTGGCGGCAGGAGCTCTATGAGCTCTCCGAGGAAGAAATCAGACACGCACAACAGGGAGTCGTTCAGGATCTGGAGTGGCGATCTGTTGCCGCGGAACATTACTTACCCCCGAGCAATGCCATCCCCACTGAAAACCAAGCAAGCCGGTCAGAGGAACATCACGTTGATGGTCAACCCATTGCAACGGAGCCACGGTACGAATGGCCGCAGACAACTTGGAACGAGAATTGGGGTGAAGACAGTGCGTTGTAAACGGACTTCAATCCTCTTGTGTAATATTGACGTTGAGTCTAGCCCTCGTTCCAAGGGTCCTTACGTCCTCCACGATGGAATCGGGTTTGCCTGAGTCCTTGCTTTTACCCTCATACGCTAGCAACGGCAGCCCAGAAATATTACTTGAGCGTCCTCCCCATGAAGTCAGCCCATATCGAGAGACTGTGAAAATCTTGGACGGCTTGCCACATCCTACGCAGCACTTTGCCAGGGTTGTGCAGGGTTCTTTGGCTCCTCGGTCTTCAAAAAAAGAACTCATAACAGGTAGTGCTTATGAATGAGATGTGAAACTCGCACCCTTACTGACTGTATCTGCTTAGATTTGGTGTCACCATCACGTCAACGACCTATTGCGAAGTTAGCACACGGATTGGATCGTGTTCTTTTTAAGTGAGTGTTATTATGGTACTCGCGTTTTTCTGGGTCTAACGCATGCATTAGTCCTGGTGTTCATTGGTTGCAAGATCCTCGGTCAAGAGTATACAATTTCACACCGAGGCTTAAGTCTATTCCGAAGGTGGAGGAGTTCGCATTTGACCGTGTTACGGGATTCATCAAGAGTTCCAGTGACAAGGTAAGTTAGAATGTCACGTTTTGCGAATAACTCAGCTCAGGTGTGTTGTATTTAGGACCTTTGGACTTTAGCGAAGCGGGAGAAGTGCAGATTTGTTGGTTCGACTTCATCCTTAACGGGGTTGCTCTCCCATATCTACTTCCTGCTCTCGAGCATGAAGCCACCGAAAATGGGTCGCATGACACAGTCTTTCATGAGTCAATCCAAGCGCTTTGCCATGACAGTACGTTCTTTCTTATGTTCTGTCGTAATGCATGGTCCTCAGGTGTCTTGTAGGATCAGACTTTCAGCTTTGGCCAACGTCTTCCCGTTTCTATCGTGCTGAATTTCAAAGATGGGGTGTATGCAACGGATCATGACCCATCAGATCCTGGCATGTCCGAAAGGAATATCTTGACTTGGATGGTCAGTTGTTGCCCGTTTGTATACACATTTTACTTATTCTCCTACAGGGCACTCTTTTAGAGAAGTTTCTGACTACTTCCGAAGAAGAGTTTGAACCCCTGCTACGCAAGAATCCACCCCAGCCTGGCCCTGTAGATCACCGGCGAGAAGCATATCGCTACGCAAAGGTACGCTTTTCCGATTTGTATGAGGAACCGATCTCACGCAATTCTTTCCGTGAACTAGTTTGGAAAGTATGTCATGCGTTCACAATTGGATGCTCAAGATTCGCGATTACCCGGCACTGGTGTATTCGACTTGAAGACAAGAGCTGCCTTACCCATCCGTCTGGACTTGTTCAATTATGAGGTGGAGTGTGCATGTTGTGACTACGCGGACACATTTATTTATCGCTGTGTCCTAGAAAAACTCCGGGTACTTAATTCGTCACCTCCATGGACCTTTCGAAAGTTTCGAACGAGAGTATTTCGATCTCATTCGTTCTGCGTTCCTTAAGTATAGCTTCCAAGCACGCATCGGGAACATGGATGGTATCTTCGCTGCCTATCACAACACGGCTCAAATATTCGGGTTCCAATATATTCCTCTGGATGAGATGGACGAAGCGTTGTACGGCCACAAAGACGTCGGCAAAGCAATCTTCGAGAAATGTCTTGGTTTGCTCGAGGTCATTTCGGACGAGATTACGCATTATTTTCCCAATCAGACGGTCATGTGTTTGTGGGACACCGAAGACGATGGCCATGTGACACATGTCTGGGTTGAACCCAAAAATTGGAACGTCGAAGATGGAGCTCGACCTATAGTTCAGTTAGACATCACCGCCTCGAACTACTTGGATGGCAGACAAGTATTCGGACACGATCTTCCTGGCATGTTAGAGGACAAGAAATGTACGTTTGTCCAACTCTCAGCGTGTTGATCAGCACTTGCTCACGTCTTTTCATCAGGGACTGTGGAATGGAAAATCCGAAACGTCGATATGGACCCAAGGAAGATCCATCAAAACAAGCAGGCAGTCAAGGAGAAACAGGCAACATACTGGAGTCTTCCCGAGGGTGTGAACCAGGAACAGATGGCCAAGATGTGGGCTGGCTTGAACTTCGGTGGGAGCACCACGATACCCACGACGTTCAATGCTGCCCGGTTCAGACCCGCAGATCCCTTCGTCAAACACCTTCGCTCATTGGCCAAGCGTGGCAAAGAGCATACCGCCCGCCTAGCTCGGGAAGAAGCTGGTAAACCCCAGATTATCTGGGGCGACCCGGAGGATGCTGCCCAAGATGTGACGGAAACTCCAGGCTTTGCACCCGACGAGGCACCAAGCGTCGACCCTTCTGAAGTCCTCGCTGCTACGGAGGAGGGCGACGTGGATTCACTCGAAGCTGCTCGGCTTCAACGGAAGAAGGAAAAGAAGCTGGCGAAGAAAAAAGCCAAGAAAGCACTTTTGCGTGCAGGACTGGTAGATTTGAAGAAACAAGCCTATGAAGGGAATGCTGTGCGCACGAAAGCGCAGAAGGTTGCGAACAACGCGATCCAGCAGGCTATGATGTGCATTTACGACGGCGACATGCCCTTGTTGCGAAAGAGAATGCGCACGCCGCCACTACATATGCCACCACTACCCTTCCAGCAAGGTGGTTGGCTTAAAAGTAGGAAATCCGAACCTGTTGTACCAGGCGACGTAACACAACCTGTCCCGACAACGAGTCTTTAGGATCTCCTCTTGCTACCATTAATACTGCATCTAATCATACCCCGAGATATTTTACATCACAATTAGAGGGAGTTTCGGCACACGGGCCTTCAATATGTAAATCCAACGGATACCACCACAGCCCATCAACAACTTGAATAAGACAGCCCTTAATCCTCGCCTGGAACCTTGCGACCGAGAGAAGGCCCGGCATCTCCTTCAACTTCAGTTTCGGGGTCATCGTCCCCGTCGACGGCGCCTTGTTCTCTACGATCTTCTCTCTCGACTTGCTCACGGAGATTGGCCACATCCTGATCGACCTTGGCGGCCACCCTGTCGATACCAGCCTGCGCGAGCGATACCCTTGCACGATGAGTAGCCAGATGTGCAGAGCGCCGGGGAGGACGCTTAAGCCTACGTCGGGCGACCTGGCGTTCGAATAATTAGTGGAACTGACAATACAATAGATCAAGGATGATAGATGACGTGCCATGACAGGAACGGAGCATTTCTGCAGAATATGATATCAGCTCGGTTAGTTGGTCAGATGATGGCAGGTGCTTACCTGGATGAGGTAGTGGGACGTGGAGCCCAGTAGAATACTATACATACGCATACATGAGGTTTAAATAGAAACAAATTGGGGAACAAGCACGCTAACCCTTTGAGGTTACCCAAACCTCGCGAACCAACGATCAACATGGTCGGCTCGAAATAGTCAACGACATCTATGTCACGATCATGAGACTGAGGCCCAGTGAGGCCGACCGAGGTCACTTGCCTAGAAGCATATGGCGGGCGTTCTTAGCATGCCATGCTTGACAAGCAATAGTAACATGTAGTCGAGTACGTTGCAAGAGACTTGTTGCTTGTCGTACGAGAATGTATGCCATGGCTTGACGCTAAGGCAGTATTTTAATGTCAGCCGTGCAAAAATGCATCCAGTAAATGAGTGATAGCGTACCTCTTGTTGGCTACGCAACTTTGCGGCCCGATCAGTGGGATTGGGTATAAGAGGGTCGACTAAAGCCGAGATCAGAAATGAGTGGGAATGCATTCCACCCGAACGTCGGATAATACTCCTCACCTTTCGCTTCATTTTCGACGACCGTCACAATGAGCCTTCCCGAGGATTTACGTCACTAACGCGGAACTAATAATAATTCCAAGGTTGCTTACATTTCGTCGCCATCCCTCAACACCGTTCCAATCCCCCATTCCAATGCATATCGACTCTCATTACTCAGATCGCTCGCAAGGACGTAGCGTTTGGGACGTCGACCTGTTTCTTCTAAAACCTTTGCGGGATCGCCGTGCGTCAAAGTGATCGTGCACCGGTCACGTTGGAAGTGGGGACGAGAGGTCTCAAGGTGCAGGGTGTCGTGCGGACGTGTCGACTTTCGCCTGCGAGGGTTTCGATTGCCGGGTGCATTCAGAGTAGTTGGGAAGTAGGGTTCGGGTGCAATGACGACATTGACACCTTCACCAAGAGGGTCAGGTAAGTCACTCGTATCGACTTCAACGACGTCGGCGGGGATGAGAGCGTTGCGTTCAGTGTTTCTAGAGGTGACGGGATCCAGCTCGTCGTTGTCGCTCCATGACTCCTCGCCCGAATCATCTTCTTCCTCAGAGTCGGAGTCATCATCAGATTGAGCGGACAAAGTGAATGCGTTACGAGGACGAATACGGGAGGGTTCGACATCTGATTCAACGTCCGATTGGGTCAAAGCCTCAACGGTGGGAGAAGAATCTCGGCGGCTTCTGCGGAAGTGGAAGGGCGATTGACTGCGCGTACGCATGCTACCGGCATCACTGCCATCGTCATCATTCACACCGCCATACGACGAAGATCTCGCGCGGGATTTCTCTTTTTCCTTTCTCGCCGACCGCCCTCGTTCTTTGTCCTCGTTACTGGATCTTAGGGAGAAGCCGCCCATCATCGATGTCAAGGATCGGCGAGAAAACGATCCTGAGCTCGAGCCCCCAGAACTACCGCGCGAGCCTTCGCCTTTTCCGCTCGGTTGCCCAGACGTAGTACGTTCGAGTGCATTGAGGATAATCCGGGAAGCCTGTTGGTCAAGTACGTCCCTTGTTAGCACAGATTGACTAGACCCGCGTTGGGATGGAGTGGTTGGTCTCGTAGGCGGGCCAGAGGAGTTGATGGAAGTAGTAGAGCTAGAGCGTGAAGGTAGACCAGAGCTGGGTGCTATGGAAGACGAGGAAGATACGTGAGGCGGCGGTGTAGGGTTGAGAGGATGGTCGTACGACAGCTCGCGGCCTTCCTGAGGCACGGGAAGACTGCCTGTAGAACCAACGCTGTCTCTGCTTTCTCGATCTCGTTTGCCTGTGTATTTCCAGCCCAGTCGTCGCGCTTTGAGATTGGAGTCTGTCTTCTGAGAGCGGTCCGCCATACGAGGTTTGTGCGAATGCCGGGGGAAAGAAAGAGAGGGTTTTGCAGTGTATGATCGCTCACCTCCTTGTCAGCCTGATCTGAAAGTGCCTATGAATGAGGGAGGTGAGTGATGCAGGAAATAAGTGACTGTCAAAGGAAAGCCGTGGCAACCTAGCGGTCTAAGCGACCATCCTGTGCCAAGATGATGTTCCCTATACTCAAAGCGAGCAAAACGAGAGATATGGACGTACAATTTCTGCAAACTTGTTTGTATCTCCTTCTTTCTTCTAGTAAAGAGTCGGTTTCCTGTTCGCGAGGCCAATATGGAGAGGAAAAAGGAGGGAATTTACCTCGAGTGCAAGCCGGGCGGTCATTTCCGGTATGCCTAGGTCCTGGAGCCGCTTGACGTCCTCTTCCGGATACATCACCTGAGTATACAGCCACCGATGTCAAGTAATGAAATGAGTTATGAAGCGAAGTATGCGAAAGAGTATAAACCACGTCGTGGTATGAAAGAGAGTCTCTTATCTGGGCCCTTATTGGTTCACCCAAGACCTTGCACAGTTTTTGCTTCCGCTACCAAGCCAAGAGTTTGCCGTCCAACGGTCTGGTCCGAAAGAAACAGCATGCCATATTTAAACTATGTAATGGAGAGTACCAGCTACAGGCTCGTGTGACACCGGGGCAGACCCCTGTGCTTTCACTTTACGTATCATAAAGAATCCTCCCTCACTGAGAGTACCTTGGACGAGGCTAGGGACAAATCGGGTGCATGACAAAGGAAACTCCTAACCCGCCGACTCAGTGTCTTGTGAACCATCACAAATTGTGAACCATCACAAGCAGAGCAAAAGACGTACTGATCGTCAGCAAGACTCACTTGACAACTACTATGTTTCAATGGACAGAAGAGGAGAGTGTCGATACTGCAAAAATATACACGCTGTAACAGTCAAATGTCGAACCTTAAGGGCATCTCACAAATGGGAATCCGGCCGGTAGAAGCCCCGAGGAGTGATACCGTTAGCTTTGTTGCCAATGATCCCCGTTAACGTTCAAGCTATGAACACAAACTTGAAGAACAGTCAAGTCAGCATCACATCCAAGCTTTCAAGCCCGAGTTCTAGCATCCACAGAGCACTAAAAGAACGGAATATATGACGACTTCTGCAAGATCCAATGAAGGGTCGACTGATATTGATGTCGAGACAGTACTTCATTCCAGAGGTTGATGACTTTTCGTGTTCGAGAAGATGCATGCAGCTCTGTTCAGTTCTTGATCGCATATCACTGCTGCTTACTGATATATTCAATTATTCCTCGTTGCACATACAGGCGCAATACAGCTCTCAAAGATTAGACGCTTTCTTTCCCTCGGTCCCGAAGATCTCCTCGATGAAAGCCTCAGAGTTTGGTGGACGACCAAGGAAATCCTGTGAAACTTAATGAGGATAAATCGTGAGATACTAGGCAGGACCGCTCACCTTGAGCGAATCAATATCTTCCCTGCTACCACCTGGTAACAGAATCTTGTCCCGATAGAGCTTACCACGTGCAGGATCCAGAGGATCAGGCTTAAACACAGTTGCGTACATGTCCGCGGCAAAGACCAAGGAGTAGGTGTAGCCGTAGTATCCAGCGTCGTACCCTCCGGCAATGTGGCCGAAGGTTCCTTGACCGGCGGTGTGCTTGCCACCTTTCACAAGAGAGATCTTCTCACGAAGGGTATTCCATAGCGCAGTGTAGTCCTCAGATTCCTGGGCCGTATGGACGTTGATGTCGTAGTTGGCGAAGAAGAGTTGACGGAGATAGAACAGCCCGACATTCACATATCGGCTAGAAAATGGGAAAACTGTATCAGCAACGACCCAGCGCTAGTAGAATATTGAAAACGCATACCTTTTGACAATCTTCTCAATCAATTCGGACGAGAGTGGCTTTTGAGTCTCATAATGACTTGACATGCGTTCAAGCACTTTAGGCTCCCAACACCTATAACAAATGTTAAGCATCCCACACGATGGAAATAATGATCGAAACCTACCAATTCTCCAACATCTGCGATGGTGCCTCGACGAAATCACGAGCAACCCGTGTTCCGTGGAACCGACCGAATTGTGTTCGACTCAACAAGCCATGGAAGACATGACCCATCTCGTGGAAGAATGTCACGACATCATCGTGTCTCATCAGCGCTGGCTTCGATGGCGTTGGCTTCGCAAGATTGGCAACCATGGCAGCGAGAGGGTAACTGCGTTTCCCATCAGGACGGGCGTATCCTGGAAGAAGACCCCATACCGCAGCATGAGAATATTTGGATTCTGCGTCAAATCAGTATTGATATCACAGGTGCAAGGTCGGGTAGTTGCTTACCACGAGGGAATAAATCAAGGTAGCAGTATCCAACGAATCCGGATTCGTCTTTTGCGTCCTTCTCCCAGACGGAGAACTGTTGTACCTCAGGATGCCATGTCTCACCCTTATGTTCGACGAATTTGACACCAAGCAGGTTCTGATAGATACTGAGAATAGCTGGAACGACGACTGCGACAGGGAAGTACTCTTTGACGAGCATATCGTCCAGGTCGAGTGACTTCTCGATGTACTTGCGGTCATAGTAGCGATAATCCCAGATATAAAATTCTCCATCGAAGGGAAGACCTTTCTGCTCGAGTTCTTCCTTCTTCATGTCGAGGAGGATTTCACGCTCTTTGAGTCCGACGGGTCGCAGCTTCGTTTCCAGGTCTGTGAGGAACTACGAAAAATTGTGTGTTTAGTTTGCGGGATCATTGAGAAATGATCAAAGACTTGACATACATCGATGACACCCTTTGCGTTCTTGACCATCTTCACTTCCGTGCGATAGTCAGCCCACGTGTCATACCCAAGCAATGCAGCAATCTTGCGGCGAAGTTCAAGGATCCTATCCAGAATGGGTGTATTGATCTGTAGACGATCTTCATATCCTTCGAAAGCGCGCCGCCTAGTTTCCGGGTTTTGTGCAAATTTGAACTGATGCAAGGTGCCGTCATAAGCTCACGACAGCGCAACATGGAACGGATACTACGCACAATAGGAAAGATATCAGGCGTCTTGTAGGTAACGTCGAAGACCTCCTTGCCTGACTCGTCCGTGCGCTTCGTGTATCCAGAAACAACATCTGCAGGAACACCTTCCAGTTCTTCGGCAGTGAAAGTGATGACAGCTTTCTCTTCATTGAAGTTTTTCTTTACATGGTACTCCCCTGAGCATGAATTGGACAGGATAGACACAGAGACTTACGCTAAACTCCAAAGAAGCTTGCGAGACCTCCTTCTGCAATTTCATGAGTTCTTCTCTCTCCTTCTCGGGAAGAGCCAAACCAGCACGTTTGCCATCAAGGATCATCTTCTCTACGAGCCTTTCCTCTTCAGGATTCAATTTGACACCAGAGTCTTTGATATTCTTCTCTGCAGCTTGCTTTGCCTTGAAGACATCTAGGCGCATCGAAGATTCCACGCCATAATCCCGAACCAAGGCCTCGGAATCGTTCGAGGCATCTCGGAGCTCTTTCGAAGGCGATACATTCTGGTAGAATGCGAGAGGATCCGTGATCACGTCAAACTCCGTTTCGGCTCGAGCGAGAGGAACCTATGTATTCATCTGAGTATACTCCATCGAAGCGTTTCAAATCAAGTACACTTACGAAGACCTGAAGAAGTCACATAATCCTAAGTCATCGGAACCAGTCAATACTATGGATGCGAAAGGATCACGAACCGATTCGAAGCTACATTCAGATGGTGGGAGGGCCGCAACCTTGTCCTCAGCCACTTTATGTTTCTCGATCTGCTCCTTCGTAAGATCTAATATTTCCTTTGCCGTATGTGTCCATTTTGGTGGAGATTGAGGAGGAGTTAGACTAGCCATGTTTGCTGAGCCGTCACCAGAAGTCGAGGTAATAGATGAGAATAAGCCAGAGAAGGTGGACTGTGATCGATATATGAAGCGGAGAGGCCGAAGAGGCGTGATTGCAGAGAAGCGCATGCCAATACCGGTCAATTCAGTCCTATGCACCATTGCCAGACCTGCTGCCAGAGCACCGAAGCCGAAAAGTGTCCTTTTTCGCATGAAAGGCATGGCCACCATGGTACCGGCCCTGGTAGGCAAAGCCATAGTGTCTCCTTGTCACGGCTTGTCAGGGTGAACCAGAAGTGTGTTGTGGAATCGGCCATTCGCAGTATAGCCGCGCTTGAACTTGGAATTTTCTAGGGTTTGAAAATAACAATTTGCTCATGGTATTGACGGAAATGTATCGATAGTACAGAGAAGTAGCTCATACGGAGTTAGTAGAAGATCAACATCGAACTGGGTACTGTGGTAGACAGGGTGAACATGGCACATGCCGATTCACAAACATCATCTATATCATTTATTCAATTCATGTCTTCAGTAGCAAGCCTCCATCCCATCGCGACCCGATCAAGACGATGATAAAGGATACATGCACCTGAGAGAGGAATTTTGCCGAATACCCTGTTCGACCAATGGTTTTCGATTTTTGACAGAGAGCTCTGGGCGCCAACATGAGCCGTAGATGATCGAGTAGACCCCCAAATCTAGACCTCGAGCTGCGTGTTGAATAACATATCCGTGTTCAGACCTCTTCCTCCGCTTCTCTTCCCCCCTTCCCCTCCTCTGAACCCCGCAGACCGTTCATATAACTGTTGGACGTCTGCTAGGACAGTAACGATATTTGTGGCAAGTTCGCCAACATTATTTCAGATCGTCTGGACATGTCGACACCCACTGCACCGCTCCGCAAAAAGCGAAATTTCAAAGCTCTTGCCCTTGATGTATCTCAACCTGCTCCTCCACCCATGCCTCCAGTCCAAGATGCCCCTGCGCCGACCCGCCTTGCTCCTGCGCCCGGTGCCAAGAAGCGGCCGCCTCCAATGAAGTTGGCACCAAAGCAGGCCGCTGCTCCTCTACCTGCCATTGACACGGATAACACTCTGCTCACAGTTGGTGGGCCAAACTCTGCACCACCAACAGGTACTGCGTCTGCGCATCGTTCAACGTATCACAACACATTGTCAACCACACTCGCTAACTTGGATCTGAATTCGGAGAAGAAATACCATGACTTGCGTAACGAGGACCTCAAGGACATGCATGAGCTAGGACAGGGCAACGGAGGCAGTGTGAAGAAGGTAGAACATGTGCCTACGGGTACCATCATGGCTAAGAAGGTGAGTCTGAGAGTCGTTGCCACTTCACCTGATCTTCCTGTTCGATTGCGTTTCGCCGTCTCTAAATGAAATACAACTTTACTCAACATCTTTTGATGTATCTAGATTGTCCTAATTGACGCGAAACCCTCAGTGAGGAAACAAATCCTTCGAGAGTTGCAGATCATGCACGACTGCAATTCCGACTACATCATCTCATTTTACGGGGCGTTCATCTCGGACCCAAATATCTGCATATGCATGGAGTTCATGGACAAGGGCTCGCTGGATGGGATTTACAAGAAGATTGGACCCATTGACATCGAGGTCGTGGGCAAAGTGGCGTTGGCAGTGTTGGAGGGTTTGACATATCTCTACGACGTTCACCGCATTATTCACCGTGGTACGTGACCCCGCGACGTCGCATGCTACCATTCAGAGAGCTGAGCAAGACCAGATATCAAACCTTCCAATATCCTCTTCAATTCCAAAGGCCAGATCAAGATATGCGACTTTGGTGTCTCCGGAGAGCTCATCAACTCCATCGCTGATACGTTCGTTGGAACGTCAACATACATGAGCGTATGTCTTCATGTATCATGCCACTAATGCTGAATGTTGATGATCTCGTGATAGCCGGAACGTATACAAGGTGCACAGTACACTGTCAAGTCCGATGTCTGGTCACTAGGCATATCCCTTATCGAGCTCGCACTTGGTCGATTTCCCTTCGCCGATTCAGATGATGATGACTCCGACCTGTCCGATTTTGAGGGTACCTTGTCGCCAAGTCGACCAGGCAATCTCGGTCTACCACCTTCTCGATCAAAACAGGAGAAGGAAAAGGCGGATAAGAAGAAGAAACGCAAGAGTAAAGGTGTCAGTTTACAAGGCGGTGGTATGACAATGAGCATTCTGGAGCTGCTGCAACACATTGTCAACGAACCTGCGCCACATTTGACTCCAGAAGGGAGGTTCCCCAAGGTGGCCGAGGAGTTCGTGGATAGTTGTTTGTTAAAGGACCCGGATTCTAGGAGAACACCCAAAGATTTACTGGTAAGTGATTTGCGAACTCGTCTAACGTCATGTGGTTATTCATCATCTGGACGCGACCACAGAAACATCCATGGATAGAGCAGTCTCGGACTGCGCCCATTGACCTCGAAGCATGGGCTTCAACCTTCTAGCGACACCAACGTACAATCGGTCTTACACGCGAATACGAGTTCTATACACAGCGTCATTGCTTCGTCGTTCACTACCACGATCTCTGGCTTAGATACCCTTCTAATCGTCCTCCATCAACGTTGACGTTACCCTTTTGCTCCGAAATCATTCCCTGCTCTGGTGCTTTCGCCCATTATTATTAGCTGTCAGACCTTTCAGCCAATTGTAGATTAGCTTTTCTCAATCCCTTCTGTCATGGATGTACTGAAAAAACCAATGTCGTTGTCTCCCTCACCTCAGTAACTCTGAAATCAGTTTTGTGCGAACTCTTCGAATGGCGAATGCTTCCGTTTTCGCTTCCGATCGGCGCCTGACTACCCCGAACCTACCAGATATAGCAGGACTTGTGGTTCGACTGAATCACACTTGCTTCCAGCACATCACCAATGCATCGCTGAAGTTCCACTCCTTTCTAATAATATTCACCGAAGGAGAGACTGCGCCCTTATACAAGAAACTCTTAGGGAAAGTCAGCCTGTGTGATAACAGACGTTCAACCGAGATGCTGACCCCGACTCAAGGGCACCCCATGCAATGCGAGCAAGGGTTGGGGCCCAAGTATCGAATATGACCCAGAGCCCATTATGCCGCGTCTAGATATGCAAAAGCACATAAATGTGTCTTCCATCATTGTAAGGCAACTTCCCTGGTACCACATGAAATACGGCTCTAGTACAGACTGACCGCTGGCAAAGTCAATACACCGTCGGTGTTCCCAGGCGAAAGGTCAGATGGAAAGAGGACCCCACACGATCAGCCGCAGAGGTACGGTTATCATCCGCTACAAACAGTAATGCCGTCCGCAGGCAGTATTCGACATTGAACTGCTTCTGGCACTTCCGGCGTCCTCAAGGATACAACCCTTGTCAATTTTTGTCTTCATTTCGTCCGCATTATTATCGAGCCTGGGAGCTGATTTTTGTGTGGGGATACGCAGGAGTCCTTTGGACAGGCGGTCGTAGGTACCATATAAATCGAATTCATGCTCGTCAGTTCATGTGCTCGTAAATGATTGACACATACACTTCCATGATCAACTTGATGAGGAACGAATCTTTTCACCCTGTAGAGACAAATAGTGACCCGAAGGCGTGGCTAGCATTACCAACTTGACCTGTTCGGGTTGTTTGAGACTCCGGAAAGCTCGTATGAAAGTATTGTCGGTTGGAAGCCATGCCAGTAGGCCTTCGTCCTCAGGGATTTCCAGTCTAAAGAAATAGGTTATGAGTGGGCCGTCTTCCCATCCAAAGCCGTTACTTTTTCATGGAGGATGCTAGGACCATTTTGAGATGCTTTTCGGACACTGAGAGGGGCCTTCATATTCATGTGGTGTAAGTATTGTTTGAAGCGGCGTAGGAACATTGTGAGGAACTGTGAGCCATCCCTGAAACCCTCCGAATGCAGAAAGATTATTCGTATGGTACAGTCCTCGATTATCCATATGGTGCACTGCTCAATCATGCCACGACCCTGCATTGTCCGTGAAAGTCGGGCTAGCCCCGACCTTGTATCCAGTTCCCCCAAGACGGACAGAACAACTCCCCAAAGTCATTCGTAGTATGAGACTGCATTCCCGTAATTCCCGGGATGCAGAGAGATTATTCATATGGTGCAGGTCTCAATCATGCAAGCATGCGTTGGTCCGGGAAACACGGGCTACGCTTGTGTCTGATTTCCCTAGACAATAAGTAAAAGAGAAACGAAAGGACGGAAAGAGCAACTTCTGAAAGCTGTTCCTAAGAGACCGGCGTGCAAATCAATGGCAACTTTCTTTATTTGGGAAACCTGAGATGTGGTACATGACAATGCCCGACGGTTGCCCATCTTTGATACCTGCGCTGGGGGAAGATATGAAACCTACTTTTCTCGAGCCCTGCGAGTATAAGTACCTGGAAAGCAACCAGTCAGTCAGGTTCCTCCAAAGCCTTACCTCCACCTCACGTCGCTAGAAGCCTAGGACCAATATCAGCAATCGACAAAGATGTCAGCCAACGTCAACCCGAAGGTCGCGCTCGTGACAGGCTGCACAAATGGTGGGATCGGATATCACATGTGAGTCCAATAATGTGTCGCAAACGTCTCGTCAGAGCCTGATTAGGGTGTGCTTGAACGTTTGAACCGATTAGAGCAGACGAATTCGCCAAGCGCGAGTATAAGGTGTACGCTACGTCGCGCAGAGTCGAGACGATGGACTTCGGGAAAAGCCCCAGAGCCAACGTTCAGACTTTGGCGATGGACGTCACGTCTGACAAGTCCGTGCAATCTGCCGTTGATGAGATCATCAAGAGGGAGGGGAAGATCGATGTTGTTGTGAACAATGCTGGGATTTGGATGGTTTGTGAGTGACGAATCGTAAAATTGCTGACTGAGTACGATTGATACTCACTTGCATTTCGCCACTCATTACCTTAGCGCCACTTATCGATACCACGGTCGATCAAGCAAAGAATATCTTCGATACCAACGTGATCTCCGTTCTCCGGACGTCGAAGGCAGTCTTGCCACACATGGCTGCTCGGAAGAAAGGCCTAATAATCAATATCGGATCACTCAGTGGTCAAGTGTGAGTGACTACTCCTCCCGTATATTTTCCCAATACTCACACTGAATTTCGATTTGAAGCGCGACACCGTTTAGTGGCGTGTATGACGCCTCCAAATCAGCGCAACACGCACTGACCGATATCCTCGATATGGAATGTCGTCCGCTAGGTATAGATGTCATGCTCGTCGCCACGGGGTCCATCAAGACCAACATCATTTCGAACGCAGCCAAGAGCTCCGGGCTGCCGTCTGACTCGCTGTATAAATCGTTCGAAAACAAGATCTTGGGTCGTTTGCAATTTATTCAAAACGACCCAGGCGCCTGGACTGCAGAGAGATTTGCTCGTGAGCTTGTGAATCGAGCAGATAGACCAAAGCCACCGAAATATTGGTCAGATGGAGGACCTGCATGGACGGTATACTTGTTGAGGTGGCTACCGCGGCCCTGGGTGTTATCCATAGTGTGGAAATCTCTTGGTGCCTAGTAGAGTTATATTTACCAAAGAGTTGTGGTATTCCCTGTGCGATGCGATGGTTTATAGACATTGTTACTTTGGACACTGTATGCTCGTGCCATAGAGAGGACGACATTAGTGTCAAATTACTGTAACACTAGCAGAGTTAGGAAAACAGTGTTCAAGTTCTGCGAACGTGCGATACATATGGCCAAACAAGGCAAGCGCCAAATATCGCTAAATGTTCGCGTCCGGGTATGTGCCAGTGCATGCCCTTTTGGAACAACTACTCGTACAGGGATCCTATCAACATGTTGCTTTTCGACTGCAGTATACGTACTCGAAGTGCACACGCCCAGCCCTTTTGCGCGGCTTAGATGCGCCTCGGAGCATGAACGTTTGAACAGGAGCTGAATAACATCCATTCTACGAGAAGATCATTCATCAGATATCAGTCACATTGGCTGGAAATCGAAGACGCAGGAAGACCGATATGGACATAGTTACCCCTGGGATCGTATAGGCTTTCCTCGGAACACTAACATGACACTTAATAGGACAATGGCATCTTTCTTGATTGCCCCGCAGACATCTCCCTGGCGCTGCTTCTGCTCCTCCTTCATCGCCCTCCATCGACGACATATTCTATCCTAACGTATATTATGTCTTCCATCGAGAAGCCGCCGTCGCCTACTTCTCCCCCTCCTTCTATCCCTACTTCTCCCCCAAAGATGAACTCGCGCACGCTGGTGCTCTGTTTCGATGGGACTTCCAACCAATTTGACGGCGATGTGCGTCGATTCTTATTATCCGCGTTCGTAGCCAATGCTCATACCCTTGTGTTGCTAGAACACGAATGTCGTCCGGTTCTATTCCCTTCTCAAGAAGGACGACGAGGACCAGCAATTGTGCTACTACCAGCCAGGCATTGGGACATACTTCCAGCCTGGCGTGGTGTCGCCACTCTTCCAATGGGGTGCCAAGGTTCTAGACGAGGCCGTTGCTTGGTACGCCACATGCGCATACAACAAATCAGAATCTCGCTGATCGTTGCATGCTTCAGGTATCTTGACGCCCACGTCCGTGGCGGGTACCAATTCCTCATGCAGAACTATCGTCCAGACGATAAAATTTGCATCTTTGGTGAATAACTCGTCTATGTTGCGTCTTACGGCACTTCATATCATGTATAGGCTTCTCTCGGGGCGCGTATACCGCACGTGCGTTGGCTGGTCTGCTACATAAGGTATGTTTAGCACATACGAACCATGACTGCCCCACGCAGCGTTCAATTCTGTCTTATTCTAGATCGGCTTGCTGCCGAAAGATAACCCGGAACAAATCCCCTTTGCCTACAAGCTCTTCAAGAAGACCGATGCCGCCAGTCTCGTGATAGCAGCTGGGTTCAAGCAAACCTTTTGCCGTTCTGTCCAAATCGACTTTGTTGGTGTTTGGTAGGTCATTAGCAAACGATCCTTCAATTCGGTTCTCATATTGCTTTTCTGTTACTGTACAGGGACACCGTTGCGAGTGTCGGTTTGCTCATGAATCGCACACTGCCGTTCACGACTACGAATACAACAATCAAGACATTTCGACACGCTTTGTCACTTGACGAGGTAAGTTGCATTCTTCGAAAGTCATACGTCATTACTTGAGCCACTTCGGTATTTGTGGCGATATTGAATTGGTCCCACTCTATTGTCCTTATGATCAAATGACTGGCTTCTATTCGCTCCTCTCCTCCGACCTGACCAATATATCGATATTTGTATAGCACCGAGCCAAATTCCGACCCAACCTTTACCACCGCCCTTCTCCGGATTCCAAATCAGCAGCAAGAGACCCTGAACATGCAAGTCCCGTTCTTCCCACTTCCGATTCCACACCTCCTAGCCCGTTTACTATTCCTTCCACGGGCTCCGCCTCTACTGACAGCCAAGAGAAGGGAAAGTTCAAATGGCGGCTCAAGGAGAAGGTGGCTCGTCTGTCACCTCGTAAGAATAGAAAGGAAATAGCTAAGCGTGTAGGTGGTCCGGAGGCGGAGCGAGAACTGAGTGATGTTGAGCAAGGACGTAAGGACGCTGGATTTAAGCCTTCCATCTTGGTGGAAAATCAGTTCAGCGATGAAATCCAAGGCGGGACGGACGTTCTGGAGGTTTGGTTTGCAGGGTGCCACAGTGGTGGGTCCATGACCTTTCTTCCTTTGCTCATCTCTATACCCGCCATCTCGTTCAAAGCTCTATCTGCCTCATTTCAAGTCAAGAGTACTACAACTAACACATCCTTATTCAACAGACGTAGGCGGAGGTTCGGTACCAGACGGTACCAAATATAGTCTAGCCAACATCACTCTCCGATGGATGGTCCGTCAAGTTGTACTCTCGCAATGCGGCATCAACTTTGACAATGAGGCCCTTAATCGCGCCCGCATTCCCAATTCCGTCTTCACAGGCGTCGGGTTCCCTGTCACGCCACCTTTGTCTAACTCAAACAGCACGGCTAACCCTGCAATGAGGCAAACACAGCTACACCCCGAGGATCCAACTAGGCTGGTCATCAAGACAGGATCTTCATCTTCAAACCAGTCCGAACCCAATGATGATCCTGCTTTGCCATCATCCTCATCGAGTGATGGAGCAAACCCGTTCTCCTCACCAAAGATGAAGGAGAAGGACTTGCCGTCTGCGCCTCCAGCTCTGGCTGTGGAAGCTGTTGAGTCTTTTGGGACGGATGTGAATATCTCGAGTATCGTAAACGACCCTGAAGATGCCATTTCACCTGAGCACGACCAGTTGAAGCAGAACCCGTTTTGGTGGTTATTGGAGATCATACCATTGTCATCTTCTTATCAAGATGGAAAGGGTAAGTGGCATAAGAAATTCGGGTAGGTCTTATGTTCTTTCCTCTCCTGTCAGATTCCTAATAAGACACGAACCTGCACTTTTCCGCTTTTTTGTAGGTGGCATCTTGGAAGAGGCCGCCATATCCCAGGCACTGGTCCCAAGTTCCATAGCTCCGTACAGTTGCGTTTGGCTGATCCTACGCTGAAGTATATTCCTCGTGCTCATTGGGACCTAAATACCCAGACGTTCGTTGACTGAGGATATCCCCCAACCCATTCCTTCCTTGCATTGTTCGTCTTTCGCTCTCCTCGTCGCTCGTGTTTTCACTTTCTATCTTTATCCCCTATTTCCCGTTGCATCATGACTCCAATTACGACCTCTTCAAACCGATTTTTCTACCAGATACTTAACTGATTTATGATGTCTGCCTCTCTGGGTTCTGCGACACACCCTAATTACCCATTCGATTCTCCAGAGTCGAGACGACTTGATCCATGACCTCTTGATACATCACAATGATTCCCAAATCTGATGACAATGACAGTATGTCCAATCCAGCAATATCTGGCCTGTACTCTTTTGAAACGGAATAGCAGCTTTCAATGTACATGTCACATTCACCCGTGCGTCTTCACTGATTCCTGAAACGTCAGTTCCGATGAGATAGATAGTGTCTGTACTACGTATGAGCATTGAGGAGGACTGCTTTGCTTCTTGTCTGCTACTTTCTGGGAGAGTTTTGGATCATTAAAAGAATGAATAAAATATGGGAAATTAGAGGACTATAGGCACGATGGCCGAGTGGTCTAAGGCGCTGGAATCAGGCACTGTCTTATCCAGTCCGAAAGGGCGCGAGTTCGAATCTCGCTCGTGTCAATGAGGCATATGATGTGCGACCTTTTTTGCCTCACGACTTCTCTTTAGACTCAAGCATTGATGCGTAATCGAAGCTGGGATGTAATTGTAACGATCCATGAACAGCGTCAAGATATTGAAATTCGCTAGCTATATTGCAAGGCCCCTTGCTGTATTGTATTATACAGCGGTACCGTACTGTATGTACAAATGCCAATTCTTTCCAATAATGCCCCGACTTATCAAGGAGGAATCCTAAAGGGTCTCCGTGGTACGTTCATCTCAGTAAACATGGTCGTACTGACCGTCGCGCCAGCTGACGAGTAGCTCTTCGTATCATGGGAAGTAGATTTATCGCGAATAGTAACATCGTCGTCAACGTTGGTTTGGTGTACAGGAGGGGATGGTAAGAGAGGTCGCAAGAGAGTCCGTCCGTCCTTGGACTTGGAGATACCTGAGGAGGATGGTCCTGTACGAGACGGCGATCGAGAAGCGTTCTCCGAGTTTTCACACTGTTCGGCAGCGGCACAGACTTGCAGAAAATGTTCCAGAATGTGCAGTAAATTAGATTCGTTTGAGTCCAAGCCTTTGTGGTCTTTTGAACTGATCCATTCTGAATGGTTCGTTAATCGTATCACTTTCTTCGTCCATTCGCCAGTCAAAGGCCCAGAATGAGATGAGGTAGGTAGGTAACGCGAGATTTCGAGAGTTCCGGAACGTCGCAGAAGTCGCATACGTGTGGTAGTTTTGATTGGTAGAACCGCCTGGTTATCCTTGAATGGATGCTTGGATGAGACATTCACTGGGGGCGAAAGGATTTCAATATCGCCTAGAGGTTCATTCGCCATCAGAGTGCACTTGGCGTCAGGCTTATGCAGAATAAGCTAAAGATGCGATGAAAGTCGTATTTGTGATAAGCCTTGAGTGCATTTGACAAAACTAACCTTCGGAATCCGCGACTTGATCTGTTGTATAACACTACAACCGTCGTTATACAGCTTCCAGTAGATCACAGGCAAATGGTCCAAGGAGTACACGGCAATTGGTTCCGTGAGACAGCACGGTGTACTGAGGTGTGGCGCGCTGTACACATCGATCTATAAACGCGACAAATCAGTACGGAGTCTCATGAACACATCCCGTGCATGTTTACTTTATCTCCATCGGGACTGATAACCAAGACTTCGACACCTTTGCGACCTTTTCGACGTTCGCCTTCACGGAAGTCCACGAGTAAGGCCAGAGAAGGTAAAACCGTGATTTGGCCTTGAGCAAGTTTGTGGGTTTGGGGTATTAGGCACAGTGTATTCAGAGCTACAGGTCGAGTAGTGCCGATAGGGACTGCAGAAATAGGCTGGGAGTTTGTATCTTCGCGACGAGGTATATCTTCAGTGTAAAGTTGAGTGTAGACAACAGGTGGGGTAGGACGATGGTTAGAAACCACGGGTGGTATGTTCTCTGAGTCCGCAAGTCGTGTTCCTAACCGTTTTGCTGATGAACGAGAGGAGATTCTTGCAGATGGATAATCCAGTAGTGCATGTTGCGAAAGTTCGACATCTAGCTCGCAGTAGCCAGAAGGGCAAGCCTTTACAGGAAGATCGTTAGATCCAACAAGGGAAGAGTCAGACATGAGGGATGGTGTAGAAGACTGCGAATCAAAAGGAGACAGGAGCGGCTTGCGAACAGGGTTATGCAGAGCAGGAGAGACGGGTGCAGAGGAGATGCGTCTGGTGGAAGGCGCCTGCATAGACCTGCTTGAGGGCGTGCGAGAGCTATGACTTCCTATGGCTGAAAGAGGTTTCCTATTCTGTATGCCTAAGGTTGGGAGTGAGCTGAATCGAGAGGGTGGCCTGAGTGTCGAAGAGTCTTTGGAGAGTGAACCGGGATATTGGGAGACTCTGCTGGATGACGGTTTTGAGCGCACGGTCTCTTCAGATATAACAGACGACACCACTTGAGGTGCCTTGTCTCTCAGAGGAAACTTTATGGGTGTCGTAGGGTGAGAAGGGTTGAAGAATGGGTGACCAAGAGTACGGTGTAGAGGAACGCGATCACCAGGACTCTTACAACAATGTCAGCTGTTGGCATCCATCAAGAAAAATGCCCACCCACAACTTGAAGGAATGCTGAAATAAGGTCTCTCGCTTCGTAAGATAATACCCGCGGTAGGGTATAAGTGCCACTGGTAATCTTCTCATGGAGCTCAGGTTCCTTTGGTACCTTAAAATCGTTAGCCCTGATGGTTCTGGGCGAGCAAAGAACCAACCGTAAATGCGGGGGCGCCTGTCAGGCAAGTCACTATAACGCAGCCTAAGGACCAGAGATCGGTAGGGAAGCTGTATGGCATCCCAGAGACAACCTCACTGTAAGTGTGATCGTCAGCAATGTAGCCCTGTTTGAGGAATATTACACTAACGGAGACATGTATTGTGGCGATCCGCAGAAGGACGTCGCAGTAGAATCTATTGAGGAGAGTCTGTGTGCTAGATCAAACCCTGACAGTTTCTACAATCACAGTTAGATCGCTCAAGTTGATACACAGCGGGATACACTGACTAGACGACCTTCACCGTTGAAGTAGATGTTGCTGGGTTTGATGTTTCTATGTAATATTAGTTCCTGCCGTAGGTAGATAAGTGCATGCACGATACTCGTCACGACTCCTCTGAGCTCGTCCTCGGAAAGCATCAGAGAGGGTCGGGTACGTAAGACAGATCGAAGGGAATCGTTGGAACAATATTCCAGTACATGATAGCTCGCAGACGGTGTCGCAATAAAAGCGTGTAGCGATAGAATGGAAGGGTGGTATATTGCTTGATGAATCGAGGCAGCTATCTCCGCGCGGAGGACCTCATCCGGAGATGTAGATGGGTTATGATGTTTCTGAAAGCTGTGGTGTCATTTGCTGAAGCCGTTGTGCTATCTTTAACTGAAATGTACCTTTCGAAGGGCGATAAGTCGATTCCTCAGGCGACCTTTCATGCATGTAGACAAGTACACAACAGAAAGCTTTCCACGGGCGAGTTCCTCATGGATCTTGTATTCCTGCGTCGATGTCAGAACCTATTGAAAGGACTCACAAACATGCAAGCACTCAACTTACTGGGAGCAATTCGTTCAGTTCGGTTTCAGTTCCCTCTGGCGTGAGATCATGTCGAATTGCAAGCTGTTCCCGATCAGCTTCAAACATATTCGAGTAAGGATACCTTCAAATAGCGATTAGAGTGGTGAGTTGCGCGGCGTGTCAGGCTTAAAAATGAATGTTGGACGTTGGAACTTGGAGTATTCAAATCACTTTCAATGAATTTGCATTCTTCATATTGATCAGCCCGTTTAGCTCAGTGGTAGAGCGCGCCACTCGTAATGGTGAGGTCGGTTGTTCAATCCAGCCAATGGGCATGGGGGTGGCCATTGTGACGCTGTCTTCTTTTTCGTCCTCACAACGATGTAACATGTAGTTACACAACTAAGCATATATGTAGCATACAATAATCCTATACGCTAGCTACCGTTGAAGCTTCCACATTCCATCCTTGACCGTCACCAAACCTTCTCTTCTAGCGGCTTCCATGAAAGCCCCCAGTTGTTCGATGTTGCGATCGTACCCAGGAGCAAACTTGAGCATACTTTGGATACGATCCAGACTAAGGGTGCCCAGATTTCTGAGCATGCCTTCAATGAACTGCGTGTGTTAATAATGTTAATAATGAAAGTCCATCTAGGAAAGTGTTCCTAGCGACGAACCTTCCAAAAGACTCTCATCTGCTCCGCTTGCTGTTGTTGCACCGCTGTCACTGGTGGCTCCTCATCCACCACCATAGCTGTAAACACGTATCTGTTTGTGAGAATGCCCCCTATGGATAGGTTGATGAACTCGTACCTGGTCGGGCTACTGCTTTCGAAGTTGAATCACCGTCCTCGGCGGTGTTGAGTAGCCTATATTGGTCATGCCTATCCTCCTTCAGGACACCTAGGTCTATCCAGGTTCCAAGGGCCTTGAGAACTGCTGGACGGTCGACTTTGCCAACTTGTTCAATGAGCTCTTGAACGGTCCATATATCTAGAATGTATTTGAATACGGCACGTTCTCGGTGGAACACTGATGTCGTGACTGACCTTTCTGCGAAAAGAGCTCTATGAAAGCGGCTTCAAGGGGTGGAACTTCAGCAGAGACGGTTCTGTCATCCAATTCTATGTCGATCTTGAGGGTACCCAAGTGTGGCAACCAGACCAACTTCTTATCTGGCTTAAACAAGTGGAATTCTTTTGCGTAGTTCTCCCGAAGTCTTTCGGATGAAGTCAACTTCAACCATGATGATGGATAACAAGTGAACATATAACTTACTCCTTTAGTTGTCCAGGCATGCTGAACTTGCTCGACTGCAGCGGAGGCCAGAAGTGCTTGGAGATAATCGTTGCATGAAGTGGCGACTGTCAAGAGAATCGTCTGTGAGCGCGATCGCAGTGAATGGTCGTTCAACTTACGTTCTTCTGAGCTTGAATATGTGTATCGATGCGTTTTGAATCCGTCATATCCCTTAACATGACTTCGCAAACTTGCAGTGCTGCCTCGCCGAAACGAATCTTCAGTATTTCAATATTTCGACGCTGTGAAATAGCAACTCAGTCCAAGTCCAGGTCACAATGCAGCATGCCTACATACCTCCTTTTCGTAGCTACCATCGGTGATAGCCAAAAGTCGTTGTGCCAACAAGACTTGTAGCTCTTTGACAAATAACTCCTTGGAATCGTAGATACTGACAAGGGTGCTGATGATATCACTCGGTTTGTTCGTTCGGAATTCTATCAGTCAATACGTGAGTCCGGAATATCATAGGAGAGAGGGCGCTGGAATACCTGGCCCAGCATCGATGGGTTCCGGTTCCCAGTTTGGATCGCTGTAGTCCTCTTCTTGCTGCTGCTGCAAAGGCTGGATAGGTTCGTTATCGTCAACTAACGAGTCACCACTCTCGCCATCCCCTACAAGACTAGCCACGATACATCGGATGGTGTCTGGTCGGTCTCTGTATCGAACAACGTAGTTGTTAGAACCATTCAAAGGACTGAGGAAGATGCTAGAGACCATACCTTAGGTAGCGTCGAATTGGGTCTGCGACCTTATACAAAAGCACTCCTGGAGGATCCACAATGCGAAGACATCGAATGATGGAGACATACTGAGTAAGGATGTCCTTCGTGTCTGCGCCTGGGTGTAAGAGACGCTTGTTGTTGCTGGAGGACAGCTTCAGTTCGAGTTAAATCGGAGAAAAGACGGCTAACATACGCTCTCCGTAAAGTCTGGACAAGCTGTGTGCGTTGGTCGACACGCTGTAAACATTCCTACGATTCAGTTGAGTAAAAGTCTAGAGCCGATACCAGGGAAAAGTGCCAAACCCTCAGGTCCTGCAATGCACTTGAAGAGTCTGGGTAATCAATGATTATGTCAAAGATCTCTCGGGTTCTAATGGTATTCCTCAATTGCTTGAATAACGCTAGTGAAAGAGATAACGAACCGTAATTCACTGAGGGTCTTGCATACATGGAAGTCGAGTCTGGAACCAACACCCTGCAACATAGTTCTGGCCTCATCGGCTGTGCACCTTCGTGAGTACCCCTTTCCACTCGTTCCATATGATATGTGTAGACTCACCGCTTCTCGCGCCCCTAGCATACGGCATGATCATCCAAGGCACAATATTGTCTGCCATCCACAAACGTATGTTCGCCAGCATCGGTTCATCCCATTTCCCTGTACATGTTTGGAGGATATGTGCTTCGATATATTCATAGCAAACGCTACTGACGAGCGATTCGTACCGATCGAGTAGCCCGAGTTTATCGAATGCAGCCCACAGAGGAAGGTCCACTCGCGATGGAGGTGGCTGCGTAGATGGCACCAATGTAAGCATCCACTCCGGGGCAGAAGCCATATGTACGAGGTTGAAAGTCAGATTGAGAAGGGACTTGAAGCCGCGAGTAAAGGATGGTGGAAGAACCGAGAATACATGCGTCTGGAAGTGCAGGGTGTAAGTAGAATATACTGTGGCCCCGAGACTATTCTAATATTAGATACGTAAGCACAATTTGGGTATCGACAACATACTCTGCTGGAGGTAGCCACGCTTTGTACCATTCAACGAGACGAAGCACCATTTTTGCAATGTATTGCGGGTCTGATGTTGCCTAGCCGACATGAGTGAGTAGAATGAATACAGAAGCGGGAAACATGGTACCTCATATTGTTCCATGAAGTGTTCTATATCTCTAGTGATAAGGTGCTGCTGTTGTCGCATGTCCTCTAACACAGTTTTGTTATTTTCAATGGTTTGTTGCATTGCACTTAGCACCCACCGACAAAATCATCCAGGAGAACGGTGAGCATTTTACACTGAGCCACAACATCCAAAGCCGGTTTCACATCACGGGAACCTAGAGGGCTTGTCATCAACATCCCTTACTGTCTATAATGTATCACTCACTTCGCGTTCCCAACTGCGAGTATTCTGAGAGATCCCGGGGATACATGAACTCCCTTGCTATTGTCCAGGCCTACAGAATGTTTGGATCACTATTCAATCTGTGATAATTCTTACTCACTTCGCTGAACGAAAGCAGTCCCAGTATCCCAACATTGGCGCGATTGAGGCGAGCGAATGAGTTAGACCATTTGCTCGCTACCTGCGTATAGATATTGACATGGTTCGTAGTCATTGGCCGTGGGTAACAAGATATATACAGTCGTTGAAAGAGGGAAAAGCACGCGACGTCAAAGTATCCGGCCTTTGAGCTTTAGCTTTAGGTTGTGGGTGAAGGCAAGACGCGTCGAACGCGCCCATGTCACGATCGAGAGTGTGGCTATCGCGGCCCGGTTGAAGACAGCGTTGATGAAAGCTTTCAGGTTTCTTATACGACGCAACACCCATGTCTTCACCTTCCACCTCTTCTGCAGACAACCTTCTTACTCTGACTTATAAGTACATAGGACAAGTACCTGTTCTACTTGATGTATACCTTCCAGAAACCAAGATCGTGAGCCAGGATCTCCAGACAGCTCACATACCTGCGGTCATATACTTCCACGGCGGAGGGCTAACTGTAGGGAACAGAAAGAGCTGGTTTCCTCATTGGTTGAAAGGTGGTTATGCTGTTTTGTCGTATCTTCTGATTCTTATTTTGTATATGTCAGACCGCGTTATCGATGCAGGATTCCTCTTCATCTGCCCGGACTACAGGCTCATTCCCCCGTCATCCGGACACGACTTGCTGGAGGACATAAAAGATCTCTTCCACTTCGTAGTACATGGTATGAACGTAGCTCTCTCTACTCGCAAAGGCGCACCGCGCCTCCAACTCAACCCTGATGCCATTGCTGTGGCGGGCAGTAGTGCAGGTGGTCTCTGCGCTTACCTCGCCGCTATGCACGCCCACCCCACACCCAAAGCAGTGGTGAGCTTGTACGGCATGGGAGGTGACTTTCTTGTATGGAGCTAGTCACCCTCATCAGGGTCCTATTTACTAATCGGATGTCCAGACGCCTCACTACCTCTCCGAGAAAAGGAAAGTCTTCTTTAGAGGACGAGAACTCTTGGAACCCGAGGCATTCTCGCAATTCATCTATCCTGCATCTTTAAATCTCGGTGCTATCATTGACTCCCCTTTATCGTATCACCCTTCTACTTCCCCGACGCCTGGATACCCTGCTAACCCTCGTATGCAACTTGCTCGACTCTACCTGCAGATGGGCAACTTCTTGGACTACTATACCGGCCAGCACGAGCCAAGTCTCAGTGCAAACCTACAGGAAGTTCTTATTTCAGACAATCGCGCGCAGTCCAGCGGGAATGACAAACCAGAGGACCTCTTATCTTTGATTCCTAAATCTCATCGTGATCTCTTCCCTCAATTTGCGATCTTCGACTCTTGGCCTCCTACTTTACTCGTCCATGGCTCGGAGGATTCCGCCGTTCAAGTCCATGAATCCATACACCTTCATAGACTGTTGCAAAGCGCTGGCGTGGCATCAACTCTACGAGTCGTTGACAGCGAGGAGCACTCATTCGACTACGCACCCGATGCGCACACAAAATTCGGAATGAAAGGTGGACTCTTTGACGATATTCTCGACTTTCTATTGAAGTACTTGTGACCTGTTGTGCCTGACATCTGGTTTCCCACTATATACATTATACACGTGGTTCTGATCGCGATATCTGAACGTGTTGTCTCCAGGGCTGTGTTTGGCTCGCACATCCTGTATAGATTCTCTTTCGCTCTCCAATATACTCTCATGTCCAAAAGAACGTCAACACCAGATCGTGGATCATCCAGAGGCATGCCAGAGCGGGGTAGCCTCAAGAACGGTGAGTGTTGCTATAATCTTGCTCTACTGAATCACCAAAGTATCGACGCAGAATGTACACACCAAGAAATCATGCAAAGCTCCTTCCAGTCTCTCCGGAATCCTGCTAATGATGATCCCGATGAAAGGTGAGATATTGCTCCCATCCATTGAGCTTTCTGACATCTAGCATCCAGCACCAAGAGCAATCGACCTCTGTTCGCACCAAATAATTCGATTTGTTAATCAGCTGTTGACTTCAGACTTCGTTTGTAGGTCAGGCGAATTACCGGAGCAGAATGAGGAGTTGGTGACTGGACGAAGGTCGCTCCCATCGGCAGAGAAGGATGCCCAGAAGAAGCGTGAAGCGCTTGGGGCTACTCAGCACGAAGTCTTGCAAAACTTCTTCCAATCTCTTCTGAGTTCTCGCGCGAAGAATGATCCTGATGAATGGTACGTGAAAGTATGACATGATTGAACCTTCTGCCGATACCTAATATACAGCGCGAGAAATAATCTAATACATCATGCCACGTTCGTAGCAAATGATTCCTGAGCATTTTAGCCGCTATTGACATCATATATGCCGTATAGATTCAACGAAGTACCGGAACAGAACCAGGAGTTGTTCACCGTTCTGCTGCGTAGCGATGGCGGTAAACCAGATGTGCGTATAGGTGGAGTGAAAGTGCAATCTCCCGGCCATCCGAATATCAAATCTCGATGATATGGGATAACATCATGTCGCGTTATTACATGTTTCGTCGTCGCACCTGACGACTGGGCCAATAGCGCTGCCAGCGAAGTAAACGATCACATGTCGGCATTGTTAAGTACTCGTGGAACCACGTATGGCATACTGTATTGGCTGTATGCCCTGCGAATCTTGTTTTAATCCCCAATGATGAAATATCTGGGGCCGTACTGGGACTGTATAGTGGTACAGTATGTTGACCTTTGCTATTCAGTCCCTTCAGCGATATTGCCTTATTTGGACCTGGTGATCTACTTGAGGTACGTTACTTCACCTTCATTGGTGTTCATATGAAGTGTTCTAATCTGCAGAATTGCAATAATAATGGACATTCAGCTGAGAATGACGATACAATATACAGAGCTGAGATTCTCTACCACCTCACATCCTGCATCTGCATCCCCTCAACTTGCCACTCCTGAGGATTCCACCTTGGAATGAACATTGAACGGAGAAAGCGACGCGATGACTAACTGTCAACTAAGTGACCTCTGCTGCGTTACTTCGTCTGGGTTCGAGAATTGTATTAACAATGTTATGTCCTCAGAGCTCGCTTTATTTATCCTTTGCCAGTTAATGCAGTCCTTCGAATATCATTCGCCTGATTGTGGATGTGTAACGCCACTTGCCTGCCTGTACAGTGCTCGCCTTGCGCAAGCCCGTCTACTTGCCTATCCCAAGATGTATGTCATCCTCAATTTCCTGCATAATTACCTGAACCTAGCATGCTGTCTGATATATGCCCTGTACCTACTTAATCAAAGCAATGACTACATTTTCCTATCTACCGACTTCTTTTCTGACTTATTCTGTTCATCTCTCGAGGTTTGTAGTGCAGATGACGAGCTTTCACCTGACGCACCGGATGGAGTCTGTTCTGAAGACGGCACCATATCGACTTTGGCTGAAGTGTCCGTGTCCGGTCCATCCAGACCTCCGATTATATATGTCGCTTTTCCCCTAGCGGAATGGGCATCACCGACCTGCACAAGAATTGGTGATGCTGCCCGGCCTTGGTCTACCGCCTGCGGTCGAGCATGCATCTGACGTTCTTCAGGTGTTTCTTCGGGAGGTACCGCTCCGATATGAAGGGCTCTCTCCACCTCATGGGTAAGGAAGCTCACTTCCGCCTCCAACAGCTCTTCCTCCGTAGGTCCTTTCTCCCCTTCCTTAACCTCGGGAATGGCGACTGCAGAGGGTGGGCCGAATTCGCCAACAACTGTTTCAGTCTTTTTCCATGCAATATTCAATTCTTCTTCCCAGCCCAACTCTTTGCAGAGGTCACGAACAATATCATCCGTCTTTCCGAGACAGATCACATCGTCCGATCTACAGCCGAAGTCACCAACGGCATCCAAATTCATTAAAACTCGGGGACACCGATCGGGGACCATGGACGCCAAAGAAGCGAAGGGATGCACCGTGAGGGAAGTGCCCATGACAAGCAATAAATCCGCCGTCTGTAGTAGAGGTATCGATCTATGAAACGCCATGGGCATCTGTACGCAGTCGTAAACGTTTCTGTCAATCCAGTAGACGATGTATCTTACCGCTTCACCAAAGAAGACAATATCCGGCTTGACCAGTCCATGACATCGTTCACAATATGCTACAGTTCCAGCCTTGATATGTTGTCTGAGCTTCTCATTGTCATAGGAAGCGCCGCATTCTATGCAGTGTTGGGTCGCAAAGCTCCCATGAGCTTCTACAATACGGTTGGGAGGTACCCCTGCCAGCCGTTCTAGAGTATCGATGTTCTGAGTGAAGCAAATCCCGAGTACTCCATGGTCTGCAAGTAAACGGACGAAAGAGTGTGTTGGTGTCGGTCGAAAATGTCCTGGAAGAAGTTCACGAGCCAAAGCGTAAACTGGTCTCATGAGGAAAGCATGTGTATTTGAAGTGAGAAAGTGTCTTACATGGTACTGGGTTGGACCGGAAGAAATTGATCTCAAAGACTGCCTCCGGGTATGGAAGGTCCAGTCTCGCAAGATTCGCCTGGCACAGGTAAGAAACTCATATATCAAAGATAAAGACAGATAGACCTACATAAAGACCTATGACGAGATAAATTACAGTGAGCACAAGACATATTGACATTTCCATCTTACCTGTTTCTGGAGATCTAAAGTCGGGAATACCAGCCGTGGTACTGACACCTAGTATTCAACTCAAGCTCTAGACTTGTCATAGAGGTTCCAAATGTACTCGAACCATACCTGCACCCAACTTGTTAATAGTTGAGTTAATATATCTTGGAGACACGAAGGAATCGCGGAGCGCACATACCATGACAAAGATCCTCTTGCATTTACCAGACTTGATATATTTGACCACCGATTGCAAGTCTCGACTTTCCAAGACTTCAGGTGGGCCTTCGTAAATAGTAGACTGTTCCTGCCCCATTGCACTTTCTCAGTCTATCCAATGTTAGTATGTTCGATGCTAGTATGTTCCGCGATAGTATGTTCGTGTTAGTATGCTTCGCAGTTACGGATGGTGGAAGAAAGACTTGAGATCGAGCACTTTCGCAGCGCTATGCTGGACTGACATCATTATGATCATACCCAGAGATGGGTCCCAATTTGGCAGGTATGGTAGTAGAATCCGGCATTTTCGGACTCAGAAGACACTAATGCACCCTGTGGTTGCTTTTATATGCCCTTCGCTTCGAAAGAAATTTTTCTCGACCACTGTTAGAAAGTCTTCATACGAGCTTGTGATTTCCGTGCCATCTTCTGGATTTCACGCTTCAGGGCTCAGACATACTTAGGGGGGAATCAGCCTTCCCTATTGTCTCTATGTCCATTTTCCCGGCGTAGAATCACCTCGGGAATGTAGTCGATCAAGGCGACACGAGCAGGTTGCCCCTAAGTTTGTTTGTGGCATAGTGAGAACGTCACCTACGATGGAAATATCTACATTGAACCGTTGAAATCAAGGATCGCTTTAACGACAGGACGTAGGCCTGTGGGCTGGATGCGACAGAAGCGGACACAAAGGTCAGGAGACGACATTTTCTTCCTTCGTCCAACAATGATGGGGGTTCGTTGTATTAGGACACATCCGTGGCGACTTCGAGATAAATTTATATCCGTCCATACCAACAGGACGGCCCACCTGATCTTCGAGCGCGCATTAGTGTTCGGTCGTCTTTGCTGACTCTTATAATATCAGTCGTTACTTATAATCAGCTGCAGTTACAATCCAAAGGCATCAACATCGACTAAGCTGTTGGGGCCTCCCAATCCTTCAACCACTCGGTAACGAACGAGATCATCTCCTCATGTATCTTCAGAATCTCTGGGGGCTCCTCGGTAATATTGTGCAGACCGTATTCATCGTAATGGTGTACGCCATCTAATCATAATTGGAAAATTATTCACTAACGACAAGGGGAAGATCGGAAAGAACGCACTAGGTATCAGCTTGAATGGTCGTAGAACGGTATCTTCTCTTTCCTCAGCGTACTCGCTGTGAGGCGTGCAGGATCTCCAAGGATCAACTAACGCGTGTGCTGAATTATCATTCACATGAAATGTATTTGGGGGCCTACTTACCTTCGCCGTCAATGATAGCAAGTCGATCTGCAGTAATGCCGAAATCGCCCAATACGTTAACAGCAGTTACGTTGGGCATGGCTGGAACCGTGAAGTGTTCACCAGGCGGGAAAGCCTACCGATTCAGCCCTTTCAGTAGATAGTTGATTGATGACTTCTACAGAACATACCTGGCGACATATCATAGACTCATATTCCACTGTCAGAAGTTTAGATACAATACGAGGTTGATCCAAAGGAGGTGCTGTCTAAAGAAAGAGGATCAAATTCGACACAGATAGCTAAGATGAAGGAGACTCACGCTAAAATAGCCCCATTCGGTGCATACCTGGAATACCCAAAGTCTCCAGGTATTACTCAGGTCTGTCTCTTGGAACTTGGCATCATCGAACGTTCCAAAGCACTGAGCGGACGAAAAGCGCTACTCAGTGACAGTCTTAACCAAAGACAGTGAAAGCTTACATCTTCTACACCAAATTCCTCTGGGCATTGCGAAACGACATTCTAGCACATGGTTGGTATATCAGAAAGACAGAGACATATAAGAGCTTACCTCTTTGATATACTTGGCGTAATTAAAAACAGACAAGTCAATCGATAACCCGTTAGGAAGCGATACCAGTTGGGCATCCTCGTCATAAGTCAAACCATCTGCTTCATGTCCACGTAGGGGCTCGTCCAACGCTTCGCAGAATTTATCGAATTCCGTGCTACCGACCTCAGGGTCCCAGTTCTTTGCTTGCCAAGCACCGAGAGGACTCTGAGACGTACAATGCGATATTCAGCTCTCAATCAGACCATCAAGTCAGATTCCGCAGTACCTCAATAAGAGACACGAAATCCTCGTCATGTTGCAAGTTAGCCAGACCGAACAGAGCTTTGAGACGTCTGCCCACACGTGGTATGGCCAATAGCGTGTCAATTGTCCGAATGGACTTCTCGAGGTGGGTAGAACATTTGGGATCCGCCGCACGACGAATAATATCCATGTATTCCCAGTTTTCCAACGTTGCATGTGTTACGCCTTAGTCGACAGAAGAGGACTAGATCAACTCTGGAGGAACGTCACTTAAGGTAACGTACTTACCACTGGATGCGATTGCGCCGTAGACAATGTCAGGGTAGAGGACTTTCATATGTGCAGCACGAGCCCCTGCATATGAGCCCTAAACGTTGGTAAGTACGCACAACGCCCCTTCAATCAGCGCAAGAAGCTCACACCGTAGTAAATCCAAGGGGTATTGGGTGCTGTTAAGTCTTCCTCGATCCCAGGAAACTTCACATTTCTCATGAAGTTCGCGGAGTCAGCTGCAGATTGATCGTTGTTCAAGAATCTAGTTTATGTTAAGTATGCGTGGTCATTGCCAAGAACATTCTTGCAAGACATTGCTATTACCTCAAGGAATCCGTTGATAGGTTGGAGACAGGGATCGAACGACCTGTATTCTATCAGATGAGTGATTTGAAATCAGCAGAATATCCTCACCATAATACCTAGTAGTCGATAAGTAAGGTCGGATTACTGGATTGCGAACAACGCGTCGCTCACCTATGTTCTAACACAACTCCCACGCCGCCGGTAGCTTTCGCAAGGATCTCGACAATGCCCGTATCAAGGAATGGAAGTCTATCTTCCCCGCTCGTCTCACCACCATCTAGGACAATCACCGGAGCACTAGTATTAGGTCGGTAATGGCGCGTGTTAACCCAGTACCTTTGCCGGAAAGTGCGAGAAGAGTTAGAGAAGTGATCTAGGGGTTGTCGGAACCAATGTCCGCGAATCCTGCGCAGTTCTTCACCAGCAGCAGTTTCCTCATGTTCATGAGACAGCGGTGCTTGAGAAATATCCTGAGGCCGGCCGAACTCAAGTGTAGTAGCCTGCTTTGCCTCGCGAGCTGCCTCTAATCGCCATAAATTCACAGCTTGACCACCAAGCAGACGAACGAGGTTCGCGTCAGCCTTCGCATTTGTCTCAACAAAGAGTGCTCCTAAGACGATGAAAGTAAGAAGAAGGGAAAAGAGTCTCGATGCGAGCGACGTCGCTGCCATGGTCGCGTTCAGGCTCAAGGTTCACAACCAAAACGGGCACGCAGGGAAATGGTCGATCTGCTGATGTAATGCCATCAATGTATGCTCGAAATTAGGGAGGTGATGTCATCGTAAGTATGTTCGAGCCTCGAAAGCGCAGAATATCGCTCACGCCGCTACCACCATGTCAATCCGATACCTTACCTCAAAACTTGCCCAGCAGGTACGTTAAGATCCAATATCAAGGAACCAGAAAATATTTACTCTGTGTCCAGATCGATGAAGAACTTATGAGTGCATCTGGCGCGTTCAGCATTGATCAGGTATGTACATCAGAAGGCGCATCGCTTGGCAGCTACACTGAGATCTATTTATGTCTTAGCTGATGGAACTAGCTGGGTTAGCATGTGCGCAGACACTGGCTACAGTCTACAAGAAGGAGACGCATCCTCGGGTTCTTGTATGCTGTGGACCCGGTAATCAAGGCGGAGATGGTTTGGTTGCTGCAAGACATCTAGGTTCGTAGAATCACCTTGGAATCCACTCAGTCTGGAAACTAAATCGTATCTCTGTAGGGATGTTTGGTTACTTGCCTACCGTCTGGATGCCTAAGGTCAGCTCACTTGTCATACCTTGCAGCCTGAAATGAGACATGCTTGTAACTAGCCTGGAAATAAAGATATCTACAAGGTTAGCAGCTTTTTCCTATTATATTTCTAATAATACCCTCAGGCCACTTCAGCGACTTCAAACACAATGTGTCAATATGAAGATACCAATTATCCCTCCATCCAATGAGACAGAACCACTGCGCAAGGCCCTTGCCGACGCCGATGTCATTCTCGACGCTATCTTCGGATTTTCCTTCACACCGCCTGTCAGAGCTCCTTTTGACTCTGCATTGCCGCTTATCACGGAGTCCAAGCTGCCAATCGTTTCCGTTGACATTCCTTCCGGTTGGGACGTTGAACGTGGCAACGCGGAAGGTGTCGGCCTCAATCCCGACGTTCTTGTCAGCCTGACTGCTCCCAAAGAGGGTGCTAGAGAATTCAAAGGTCAACATTTCCTTGGTGGTCGATTTGTTCCAAAGTATGTTTGCGACGCTTTTGACTGTTATTGAACATTACCGACATTTTATACAGGACACTAGAAGAGAAGTTCAATCTAAACCTTCCACAATACCCAGGCATAGACCAGATTGTGGAGTTACCATCTACGGAATTGGAGAATACGCAAAAGCTTTGAAATATAAATGATTAGATCAAGTTGAATGTACACTAGCATTATAACTCTGCTCCCTTGTTTCAGGCTACGATGCGACCTGTATCTAGATCACTTTCTGACGCAATAATTGGTTGGTTTCTTCTATTTCTTCGCCGTTCAGAAGCTTGAAGTCCCCTTTCAGCCGCATTGAATTTGATCTCGCACGGTCCAGCATGTATCTTGATACGTGGGCAGTTCTTCCAAACACGGGAAGTCAGACAGACGAAGCCGTGGAGGTGATAACTTGCTTCTCGGGAGAAATGATAGAACAACGTCTTCTCCGGGAAATCGACCTCAAAGATCTTCACGATATTCAAAAGACTTGGATTTCGGAGCACAGAGGTCCTTTTACGCTCCGCAAGACGCTGGAGTCCCCTTGCACAAGACGCGGTCCCAGAAGAGCACAAGTGCAAAGTCGAATTTGACCTTGACATTCTCATAGATGCTGAGTGGTGTAGTATGGTCACTAACTGTTACATCACCTGAGAACGCCTGGGCTGCAATAGCCATTGCAGTTACAAAGGAATCATACTGAGTGTGTAGAGATTGCGGCCGAGCAGGTAGCGTCGAACTCTTGAGTATCTCTTCACGATTCACAGTTTCGTCATCAAGCCTATATGCCAAAGTCCTGTCTTCAACTCTTTGCGATCCCCAACTGCCAACCATTCCAGAATAACACCGATGATGACCTCTGTGCACTGGGAGAGGTACAAAAATCATAAAATGAATCTTCAGCAGGCTGCCTAGACGATCAGTGACTCACTCCAACAAAGTTGTGGTCTGCATTCTCTACAAAGCATAGGTTGTGTGTTCCCGGAGTTCTCGCTTCCACGGTCCGAGCAAAGAGTACCGCCTCATAACTAGGATAGTAGAGGTCTAGTCATATATAAGGTACGCATGACAAGACGAAATACGTACGCGGGAGCATTCAGGTCGGCCAGCCCATGTACTGTGAGAACGTGCGTAGTAGCTGGGAAGTTGATTGCCTCCTCTGCCAAGTTAATTTCGTGATCAGATCCTGGGATCCTATCAAAACGTTAAGTCTGGATGGAAACTTTGGCAGCAGACGGCAAGACCCACTGTACTACGGATCTCTTTCCAGCAACAAGACCCTTCATGTAGTAATAGCCGGTCTCACTAAGCATTTTCTTCTGCTCCTCGTTCAAGGTGTCTCCGGAAACATATAAGTCAAAAACCACCTTGGAAGTTTGTTACCTTACCTCGGATCTTCTGTAAAATCGGATAATCAGCCTGATTGTTAATACTAGGTGACTAGCGAGTATACCATGAAGGCGAATCGGCTAGAAACACTGACTAAACGCGTAACACCTGCTGCATCAGGAGATGTGCACATCCAGAGGAACGATGTATTTGCTCCACGGGAATGTGCCACAATAACATCGACAACGTATCCGAGTTTCTTAGTCACATAGTCATAAATTATCTGAAGGTCGGCGACATCGGTCAAAAGGGAGCCTGATTCTCCACTAGATTCATGATTTCCGCTTCAGAAAATATTACAAGAATCAGGTCGCTGTCAGTCCCCCGGGGAAGCCTTGTGCTGAACTCACCGAAAGTCGAAGCGGAATGAATGAAACGGCAAGCGCCGCGCTAGACGTTTCTGGTATAGGTAGTCCTTATGCCTGGCATGTGTTTAGATACATACGCCCTCACATATTGAGGACAACTTACCCAAGGATTCCATGGACAATCTACAACCCGCGTGAACATGATCAGAGATATGAGGGGTTGAGACGAAGCCGTTATTGCAACGCACCAGAGCCATTCGACGATCCGGATTATAGTCGCCGGCGCTGGCAGGCGTTACATGTTCCAGTATCCCAGTAAATTCAATGTCCTTTTCTCGAGGGTGTGGTATGAGGACTTTTGTTGTTGTATATGTCAAAACCATCTCAACGACAAGTACTGATATGAGAACAGAACTGAATGGAGGGAGAGCGAAAGGAAATGGAGCGAAGCCATTATCACTAAACGATGATCTTACATTTTGAGGCAATGGCCCGTTGTGACAGCCTGCGGGAATGATCATGGAATTCTGCGTGGGAGACTAGAAAGAACATCGTACGTGTTGAGAAGCTTCAGTGTCAGATTTCGCAGATCCACTCCCTCTTGTATACGCTATTGAACGATGCATTGCTGTTTGATCCCCACGAGAGGTGATAGTGAAGGAAGCTCACTACGGTTAGATACCGCAATATTCGAGTGTACAGTACCTGCATACCACCGGGAATTTCTCCTACATATTTATAGTTTGCTTCTAACACCGGTGTTCCAAATGCCAGTCTTAAGCTGCCCATGTTCCAACGCTTTCCACCATTCCAATACTGTCTCGACGACAAAGTCCGACATCTGCAATGAAGAAGTTGGAAGTTATAACTGTACGATCCGAAATAATTTGCTGCTTACGCCAGTAAAATTGTGATCAGCATCTTCAGAATAGCAAAGATTGTGAGTTCCGGGGCTTCTCGCCCCGAACGCACGAGCATAGATGATAGCGTCATAGCTGAAAACAGGTCACGACAATGATAACGTTAGAAACATGTGATCATAGCTTACGGAGGGACGATGTGATCCTTGAGACCGTGCAAGCTGAAGACATGCGTGGAGGGAGGAAATTGGTCCCAAACGAATGAGCAATCAAAGGTCACAAACTCCTGCACATCGTCGACAGTAACCCTGCAACGATGTCAATAGCCGGAACCGGGTCGACTTTCGGGGTAACGTACTTTCCAACGAACTCCTTCCGAGCAACTACTCCCTTCATGAGGTAGTATCCTTGCGACTCAAGCAACTGCTTGAATCTGGATGGAATGTTATCTGGACGGGTTTTCCAGAAAGCCTTCATTTTCAGGATCAACTCACTCACCTAGAATTTTCTTTCAAACATAACATTTTCAGAGAGGGCGTTAAATGAGGGCAAAACACTGGCAACGTACCTCCATCCTATAACGGCCAGATACGTTCACAAAACCTCTCACAGTCTTGCTTTCCTCAGAGGTGCACATCCATCGGATGCCGCTGATCGCACCGCGAGAATGGCCCACGATGAGGTCCACCACGTATCCATACTCTTTCATGAGATACGCGACGACGGCATCGATATCGGCAACATCATTAGCAAGGGCTCCCATTCGCCATTCTCCGGCCGTCTCATGATTACCTCTGCAACAAACTTTCAGCAGAGTAAATTCAAACAGGTAAACAATAACTTACCGGAAGTCAAAGCGAAACGAGTCTATAGGTAAACGATATGCTAGTCGCTTCTGAAATAGATAGTCTTTGTGACTAAACTCATCGTTAACATATTACGGAAACGCGACGAAAATGATGACTAGGATTCTCACCCAAGAGAACCATGTAAAATCTACGAAGAAATTAAGTAAGATGCGATGGTCAATCAAAGAGTTAGAAACTGACTAAGGCAATCTTACGCCCAATAGTTTCTCCAGGTTGAACTTGTTCTAAAACACCGACAATAGAGACCCCAGATTCCTGTGGATGGGGAATGAATAATGTAGTTGTCTCGAAGGACGTAGACATCTTCCGCCTGGAATACTATCAACTTGCGTTCGCCTCAGAGATGCTCAACAGTAATAAGCAAGCCATTTGGCTCTATATGTCAGGTTAATGTGATGCATGCATGGCACCGGCTATTGGGAAGTGTGGATTCGATCGCTGTGAGAGTTCGGCGCTCAGGAACAGCCTAAGGAAATCTCATGAGTAGATCGTGAGAACGACATACCTTTCGTAGAAAACGTACTAAAGACAAGCGCCCACTGTTGCAATCCGCAGGCGCTTCTGCTCAGTGCTGTACCAGAACGACATGGAGGCTCTATTCTTCAATGTATGTTGACCTTTATCTAGTGTTCTTGCGTGGGGTTGACTCACATAGGATGGAACATATAGGTAGACAATGGCTTTCTGGAGGGAATCATTCGAGGTTACAAGGCCGGTCTGCTTACCCAGACTCACTACTCAAACTTGACGCAATGCGAGACTATTGAAGGTGTGTCGCAAGTCTCAGCTTTCACCCTATCAATGATCTTATAATACTTCAAAGACTTCCGAACACAACTCTCTGCAACCGACTACGGCAACTTCCTCTCAAACGAACCTCTACCCATCTCGACCTCGACCATAACGGACAAGGCGACACAACTATTGGTAGACCAGTTCAACTTCTTACGGAGTAATGCTGTCGAACCTCTGAACAAGTTCTTTGACTACATTACGTGAGTCAATCACGTCTTTATGTGCGCCCTGTCTGATATCTGCGTGTACGAACAGATATGCCTACATGATCGACAACGTCATTCTGCTCATTACTGGAACGCTTCACGAGCGAGATACCCATGAGCTTTTAGAGAGGTGTCATCCTCTCGGTGTATTTGATACAATGCCTGCGCTGTGCGTAGCAACCAATGTCGAGGAATTGTACCATAGTGTGTTGGTCGAGACACCACTAGGTGGGTCAGCTTTCATTTCCCACTGCCTCGCATGTCTTATTCAAACTTTGAATGTTTCAGCACCATATTTCCGCGAATGTCTCTCAGCCGCCGACCTGGACGACCTCAACATCGAAATCATCCGTAGCACGCTCTACAAAGCGTACCTCGAGGACTTCTACGCCTTCTGTCAAAAGATCGGCGGACCCACGGCAGATGTCATGGCTCGAATTCTATCTTTCGAAGCCGATCGTCGAACCATTAACATTACCATTAACTCTTTCGGTACCGAACTCTCCAAGGAACAACGTGCTAACTTGTTCCCTACCATTGGTCGATTGTTCCCTGAAGGCAATAACGCGCTTGCACGTGCAGACGATATTGAACAAGTACGAATGGCCTGCGAAGGTGTTTCGGAGTACCGCGCGTTCTTCGATAATTCGTCTTCGTCTGCAAGGACCAATGGAGGTAACGACAGCACGGCTCACCTCCTTGGTGACCTCAGCGACGACTCTGGCCCTGCTGCTGACCTGGAGGATCGGTTCTTCTTACATGAAGTCCACCTCAACAAGCAAGCGTTTTTGCAGCAGTTCCAATACAGCATCTTCTATAGCTATGTGAAGCTAAAGGAACAGGAGATCCGAAGTTTGACATGGATAGCGGAGTGCATCGCCCAGGACGCCAGGGACAGGATTCATGACTTCATTCCTACGTTCTGATAATGCTTTACCGAGACTGTTTATTTTCGATCGCATGGACTTCAGGTCTTCTGGATATCCCCTTCCGTTTGTTCACAGCTGTAATTCACGATACTATCGGTATGGTATGTAGCACGTCAGTGACATTACTATTGTTTGCAGCGCTCCGCAAAGACGACAGTGAAGATTTGGAATGGCGCCAAGGCGCTGGTCCAAATTAGACATCGGTATGCCTATTGAGACACGGTACATTGACCAGGTTGCTTTAAGCAATACTCAGCGACTTCACAAGCCTGATGTATACAGTACAAGAGGGAATCATCTGGGGTATGTAATATTCGTGGAAGTCAGTAAGGCGGCACTTCCGTCTCTATATGTTCTGCAAGTCATTAATCCATTGTGCTCTTTATCTTCAGACTGTGTCTGTCAGAAGACTTGCTTCAGCACTCTCCACTAGGTTGGTTATTGTTATACAGCAATATGACATTGATCTACCAACGTACCAGAATGCGCATAATAATTACAGCTACAAGGAATGCTCAACTAAGAAAAGATGTGGATGACAAGACGGGTAAACAGGGAGGAAACCTATAACACATGCGGCACAGAGTATAATGATACAAACGCAACGGATGATACATACGACGACGAAGTAGAGATTCAAGGCGGGGAGTTTCGAATGTGAGGATGCTGACGATGAGGACGAAAAGGGAATATGTTCCATACTATTGATAGCTCTATTGTTCTGATGTTTGTGAATCGCAGTCAACCTTTCTAATAGAAGCGCATTAATTCATGTAACAGTCTTAATCTCCTGTTCTTTGTGCAAGTCGCCATTCTGTACTTGCCTAGTATCCGGGTGTTTCTCAACCACTTCCCGAATCGACGCTTCCTGCGTGAGAGTGAGCGGGTGGTGTTCAGAATTATCATGAATATGCTCGTGCAAAGACGTATGTTCGAATCGGTCTTGAAGTTCATCAATCGGTGGGGTGGCCGGTGCAGGCGTGCTTTCGGATGAGCTCGACTCCGCTAGAGAGTCACTTGTCGAAGTGATAGTGGTAATTTGGGATTTCGTTTCCTCTGCGTCGATTTGGTTCGATACCTCCGCCTCGACTTCGACTTCCACCTCCATTTCCACCGTCATTTCCATTTCTACCTCTACTACCACTGTGCTCTGACTCGCCGAAGGTGATTGTCTTGGTGTTTGTAACAAGTCGGCACCTAGATGAGGTTCGCCCTCGCCTCTCAACCATTGCTCTCTTCTCTCTTTACGACCCTCGTTCCAAGGGCCTGCATTACTCTTGTCGCAGCCACCTGCCTCAGGGCAAGTACACTTGCCACCAAGTGATTCGGGGAGGTTTTCGGCATCTATAAGATCGAGGAGCACTTTCTGGTAGTCTGTCCCGAGAATGTCTACTTTCTGTTGAGTCTCTTTGGCGAGCCAGGGCTTAATGAAGGACCAGATAGTGGTGAAGGACGAAGGCGCATTGACGATCGCTAATTGGGCCATCCTGTAAGGAAAACAAAATAAGTAAGATAATGCAAATGAAGTCGATGGCCAGTACTGACGTTTCGGGGAAGTAGTCTTGAGATACTTGGAAGGATTGTCTTGCAAGGTTCTTCATCTGCCAAAATTGGCTTAAGCTTAATTGACGGAATTTTGAGTTACCATCGGACCGTGAAGCTTAAGGTACGGGATCACATACCTGAAGCCCTTGAGATCTACAATGACAAAAGTGCCGTCGACTGGCTTCCCTAGCGAGTGTGCAGTGGCAGGGAGCACCTCACGAGTTAGAGACTCGCAGTTGACGAGAACGGTTTGCCAGTGGCGTTCCGGTGAAATGTGTTTGTACAGTTCGGGCATATTGATACCACCAAAGAAATGGATGTTCAAGGGTCGACCTTTCTGTAAAGTTTGAAATTAGTGTCAGCGCATGTAGGATGCAATTGCATCATTCCGAAGTACCTTGTCAGTCTGGAACGACGATAATCATTATGTTTTCATGGGCAATCACAAGTGTAGGCTTACCTTATGGAACCATAATGGCCAGCAATTAAAGACATGCTCTCGTTCAGGATACTGCAGACAAAAATAGGATAAAAATCGTCATGTCAAGAAAGCGACAGCATGATGTACATACATCCCACGGATCGATTCGTCGGTAAAGCTCGTCAATACCAACGCCTTCTACGTTGCTGCGCCAATCCTGGCAGTTCTTCCACATAAGCTTGGACTGTTTCAAATTGAAATGGCGGGCACGAAGGAATCGACTAATGAATCCCACGAATTGGTCAATTCAGTTCATTCTGCTCGCACCGTGTGGAGCCAATACGATACTCACAGTAGTGTGTGATCATCGATACCGATAGAGTCCTCTTCATGCAGCAAGTCTTCCTGTACAAGTTGCTCTCTAAACTGTTGGATTATTGTAGCGTGTTCATGATGGCGTTCATGGTGGCGTTTGGCATGATGTTTCTGGTGGTGTTTCGGGGACATTGTGCAAATGAATACAGTGCAAGTAAAGGATATAGTGGTAATGGATACAAAAAATGAACAGGGGATATACAAAGGAGGTATATAAGTAGAGAGCGGGACGAGGACGTGTTTTGTCAGAAGTGGGTCCCGCGAGGAGGACATGAGTTGCGCCGTCCCCTTCGTCATCACGGCTCCCTTTTCCGGCCAAGGCGGACTCCATCACCCGACCCACAAATGGCAACTCCGTTGAGTAAGCTTCATTATGTCCCTCCCCGCCAAGTGAAGCCTGAGTAGAAAACGCGACAAGGCGGAGGCATTATTATGATACTGCTTCAGAATCAGCGACGTTCAACCTGGGAGCTTATTATGCATAGCACATCACATGAAACACGGACACCTTATGCAGACTGTTTGTATAATCAATTGCTAGCGAGATCAATCCAGAGGGATTACAAACTCGCCATGGTGCTTTATCTTATTACCCAACAGCGCACCACTTTGGACTTCCCGCAAACTTGTTGCTAATCGTCGCAAAAGGATCCCGCTTTGTAACAATGATCGAAGGCTCGTGGAGCGTGAAGAGCCCCTGTTAGTCTTGGACGTACCATGTGCGGGAGATGAAAGGAGATTAGGTGTGGACGACTCCACCACCGACATGTGCGGAAGATCTCGCATTTGAGATCCGTTTTCGTTGCAGTGGAATGTTCTGGATAACCATTGCGAACTAAGGGTCTGCGGAGCTCACAAAAAAAAGCAGACTTGTGTGTAGGAACTCGAGTCTGAGATCTATCATCTAGGCACAGAAGCTGTAAAGCTCATCAGCCGAGTTGAACTAACAGATGAGAACACAACTGACCCAACGGAGGGCCGGTTCAATGGCTCAGATTATTAACCTGAGCTCTGAGTCTTGACGTGCTAACAAATGATTGAGGTCCGTGACAACTACGAATTTCGGGAGAAGATCAACAACAACCATTGTTCTAAACTTTACCGCGGTTTAGGATGTCCGAGAATCGTTTACAAATTCGAGTACACTGACGGAGCTCACCAGAAGAGTTCAAACGTGTAAATGGAACTTGAAGTCGTATGCTGTAAGGGCCGATGTCTGTCAGAATGAAAGATGGGAACACGGACAACCAACAAGTTGAGCATCAGACGATCGACTGAACGGGTCAGATTACAGTTCACACAGATGCCAATCCTTGATGATGAGTCTGCGCAATGCTCAACAATGACTGAGGATCCCTGGATGTCTGGAATGTGCAAAGGATCAGCAAGACATGTACTAAAAGAATACCGACGCCTCCCGATGATCTTGAACTTGATATCCATGCTCGCTAGGACCCATTATGCCCGAAGGAGCTAAGTTCTGACATAGTAAAGAGAACATGGGGCCCTGAAACTTGTAAACTTAGCAGCAGACGCTGTAAAGACTGATAACTGAGTTAGACCAGTAGATGAGAACGCGACTTACAACTGTGCCTGTGACCAATCGGATGTCATACGACCCACCGGGCAACGAACAACAGAACCCTTCATATCAGTAATGCGAACACCCTTGATCCTCGTTGACACACGGTATGTCATACATACATCCGTCCAACATGGAGCCGAACAAGGACAATTGTAGTTTGCTTCAAAATTAAGTTTTGACAGCGGACGTGTCCGTAGATGATTATCGTCAACTCAAAAAAGAAAGAGACTTCTTGTTGGAGGTAAGTATCAAAGCGTGTTGCCTGTCCGGAAACAATAGGAGACACGGTATATGTGCAGATCCGTAACAATCCGAACGCCGCAAGCCGCTCGAATGGAGAACAAAAATAACAAGGTTTTTTGAAGGACGTACATGTTCTGGTAGTGGCTCGGCTAAACCGGTGCTGCGACATTACCTTTCAAACAGAACGCGCCTGGCCATGGGACTGCTTACCCCAAATTGATTTGGGGCCTAGTCCCATCGGCCTCCTGCGTGCGTCTATAACTTAACAGCGTCGATACGTAGCGTCAATGTGCGGCCAAAGAACGTAGAATCAGCATTGCGTGAGGACACGGCTGCGAACCAGCGGAGCGTGATAGATTGAAATGCGGTAGCTTATCCAACCATGATCAGAACTTGGTCCAACAACGAAGAGTCGGAGTAAACAGGTCGGTGAAGACCGTTGTATAACAGAAGGAGCGCGTTTTGAGCGAGAGCCGAAGCGGTACTACTTCTTTTTGACACTCTTTCTTCTCGCCCTCTCGTTGCCGACAAAAATACCCTAACGAAGAGAAAAGTGATGTCAGAACTCAGAGTCCCTAAGCGCGTTCGGAAGTAATTGGCACAAGGAGAAAGACGGACCTTGCCCTTGTACGGCTCTGGCGGTCTCCAACTTCTAACCTTGGCCGCAAACAGCCCCAACTTCTGTTTATCCGTACAGCTAATGACAATCTTAGTTGGCGTCTCTACTTCAGCTTTGATATGCTCCGGTATGGGCACATAGACCGAATGCGAGAAGCCTAGCTTCATGGCCAACCGCTGACCAGTGAACCCAGGCAATTTCCCGCGCGGGTCACTTTCCATTGCCGCACGGTATCCAACGCCGACTAGGTATATCGGCGTAGTAAATCCTTGTGTCATGCCTTGAATGGCATTGGAGATAAGGGTGCGCGTAAGACCCCACATCGACCTTTGCTTCTTTTGTGTCGGGTCTTCCACTTGCACGGAAAGCGTTTGCGGCTCGATGAAACTAAGTTGCATGAACGGATGCAAGGGGACTTCGGTCGTGCCAAGCGGTCCTTGGACAGATAACACGGATGGAGATGGCGTGAGGACTACTGATGGAGGGAATTGGATGGGTTGCTTTCCGATGTTTGAGACGAAACCACCATTGCCACGACAGGTCGCAGTCGTGCTAAAAGCGCGCAGCACTGGGCGTACATGCTGCGGCCGCACAATCATCGTACGAGCGTCGAAAGCGTCGCAGACGAAGATTAATGAACGAATGACAGTTGCTGGAAGAGAACGATGGTCACTGTGCTTGATCTGTCCGCAGAAAGTCGAACAGACGCGCAACATCCAAATATGGACATGGGCGGGACGCCCGTATCCAGCTTGCACGAAGGCTGAGGTTGAATTTGATCAAACCTTGAATTCATTGCCAAGGGCTGTGGAAATGCGGGAGGGTTTTGACTCGGTATGGTTCCCCTTCTGAGGGGTTATGGCCAGAGAACAACCCCAGTTATCCTTACTAGGGAATATTGACCACTCGGAGGACCAACATCCCGTATACCTCTGCCCCGGGCCCCTCCACGACTGGGCTTCTTGCTGGGAATATTAGGGTTTGGTATGACAGGCACGTCCGAAGAATTCCTTGCTCGAAGCATCCATGGTGTTGAGTCATGTCGAGTCGTGCTTGTGCCCTGACCGCGGGGTCACAAGAGCATGTGTATTCACCAGCGTTCCCCTTCATGCGATGATATTGGCAGCAAATTCGGCGGTTACGAGTCGCTGCGGATCCAGTCGCTGAGATGATACCGCATCTTAATCATTGATTCCACTCTTGTCGGACTCGGTCTGTGCAAGACTCGGTGTATTGTAACCATCAGAGCCGAGTAGTCGGCACCGTCGCTGCCACTGGATTGTATTGTCGTCTATACCCCAGATCTGCGGTGAATCCTGCAGTGCTTGTCATATATTCCCTTCACAGGTGGACGATCGATCGTTGGAATGGACTCCTCCTATGTCTATATAACCCGGCCCTCCCCTACCTTCTTCCCTCCCCAAGAAACATTCCCCATCACATTCTCCATCACGCATATACTCACTCACCACCGACGCATCAAAGCACAGCACAATGACCACCAGACGCGTCCATTTCTCTCCAGAGGTCGAGCGCACTCCTTCGCCTTCGTTCTCTAACTCGTCGGCACCGTCGTCCCCCGCTCTTCGCACGCCGCCCACTTACCCCGCCCATATCCCAGCGGGACCCTACATTGCCTCCCCGACCTTTACTCGGGGACACGCACGCACCCCTTCCCCACTCTCACTCTCTTCATTAGAGATCCACGCGGTGCTTTGCGCAGCGTCACACCAGAACCCAGTCAAACCACAACCACTCATCTGGAAAGTAACAGTCGACCCGGCGTTGATTCGCGCTCCTCACCCATACAGTCCGCAGTCACCTCTTCAGTATGCGCTCTCTAGTGACGTCCTCGCACAACCAGCCACCATGCCGGCCATGGGTGAGCTCACCATCATTAGCTCTGAGCTACCATGGAAGGTCGAAGTGAAAGCTTCGAACGGCACCTACGTCACTGTTCAAGATGTCCTTCACGCCGTGTACCGTAACCTGCGGACACCCATGTCAGACGCCGAGCTCACATTGGCATGCAAGAACCCGAAGGTGACGGCTGCAGCGGTGGATGATGCTTACAAGCTGCGGTACCGGTCCATCAGAGACCCTAATATGAGGCAGGTGGAGAAGGACAAGGGGTGCAAGAGGGTGGACGTGCTTATGAAATCAGTAACGTTCGCAGGGTTGTCTCCTACCGACAAGCACAATGTGCTCAACCTCCATCTTCGGTGAACAAGCCCGCCCCCTCTCCACCATCATTCTCCTTCACGATATCTCCATGCAACCTCACGATAATGACAAAAAACCGGATCACTGTATCATTATATGCCTTCCCATGGACTCGTACGGCGACGGACTGTCACGGACACGTAGCATACAATCACCTTTTACGCCCCCCTTTCACTCCGGATTCTTTCTTGATTTTCTTCGGCATCCTTGGAGCATATACCACTTTCAAGCCCCGCATATACCCTTCTTTATCCCATATTTCTAGAATAACCAACCCACCCCTCTTCGAAATGACTCTTACAATTTCGTTATCGACATCTATGTCTATTTTTGTAATACCTTCACTAGTGTAATTAGTCCATACGCGTCGTTTTCTCCACGTAGCCCACTCTGCGGTACCCCTGTACTCTATCTTCCATGTCCTTTGCCGAATGTCATGGAATGTACCTCCCTCTCGATACTCTCTATGTGTCGTTCCATGCCAAACGCGTATGATCCACACACCTGGCTATACAAGCGCGACTCCGCCATCCACTGCCCTAATGAAGAACGACGTTCGCGGCTGTGACAAGCACACAACGTTCGTGACAAGTCGCGTACTAGACGCGCAGATCCTTGGTCTCAGCCCCGCCTCAGAGTCCAGACGCGCCACAGCCACGTATACGAATATTACAGCTTATTCGGGTTCGTGCCTTGGGTTATCTTTAGAGTCTCGCGGCACTGTGTCATGCGCTAGATTCCACATCGCAAATACCACAGCACTGAGCAGCCCGGATACTATAATCTGCAGCTTACACTAGGAAGAAACGTTGAGTCGCACTGGTTGAAAATTTCTATTCGGTGCACAGTGCCACTGTAATGACGCTCTGTTACACGACGACGAAGGTCGTCATCCAACATCCTCGAGAGAAAGGCGTGCATCTAACTGGGATCTTGGAGCATTTGGTAACGCCGCCGTCGCCTGATCGTAATCTCGAAACTGGACGGGAACGCAAATTGGCTTTGGTATGTCTTGAAAGTCGAGATCGCACATGCCTCCCAGGGCAGCCGAACGATCGTGCTGTCATTCGATCCAGATTGTTCATGGTGTCCTAGGGTAAGTCAGCTATGATCGATATGTGATATGCTGAAGGGCCATGCTTCGAGCACGTTTTCAAACTTGACAGGCATAAGGATTATTTGTACCAGAAACGCCTTGCACGACGCTTGCCGTTTCACTCATTTCGCTTTGACTTTCGGTGAGTTCATACAAGTTCGAAACATTTTTATTTTGTTCTGTTACGTATTGATTCTAATTTCTGAACGCCTTGATCATTTTGCTGTGGATAGTGGGAATCACGAATCCAGTGGAGAGTCAGGTTCCATTTGGACCGACGTTGCAGACCTACAGCTTGTTTATGACTATGTGACAAGGAAACTTGGATACGCGATCGATCTTATTGTTGCACATTCGCGAGGGGCGATTACTTCCTTCATTTGGATGTGCACTTCAGCGGATGCCGTCAACGTTGGTGGATTTATTAACGTGTCCGGCCGATGTCGAATGAAGGCAAGTGTCGTCAAGTGTTATCGATTCGAATTCATTTGTGCTCAAAGGTCGCCTTTGTTGCAGAAGCTCTACGGTTTGTATATCATCGCGGGCTCCATGTGAATGGGGATGTTAATTCTGACTTTTGCCTTTGGAAAGATATCATGGATGACGAGCAGAGGGCCATGCTAGCCAATCAAGGCTTTTATTACATGAATGGCATCGTTGCAGGGAAGGAAACGTGGCGACGTTGGTGCTCTTTCGCTGACTTTGCAACACTGTGTAATTTTCTCACTCTATTCCCAAACAGGGTTCCAGGTTCCGACCTCGAATTCAACACGACGGAAGCGTTAACACGATTCCTGCCCGGCACTCACGCACTCACATTTAGCGTCCGACTGTTAGTTTACGTAAGCCGCTCTTGAACACCTGGCAAGTGCAGAGAAACTTGATGCATGAGGGGCTGGCGCAATCGCGAAAAGTTCGTCATCTGTGAGGGCGGTGAAAGTTCCAAATCAAGTCAAGGAGGCTAGAACTGCTTCGACGGAATCAAGCAAATGGTTCGATCCTCACTAACAAGTACTCTGAGGGTCTTCCTGCCGCTCGGTACTACGGTGGCAACGAGTATGTCGATGAACTGGAAGTCTTGTGCCAGAAGCGTCCCTCCAGGCCTTCCACTTGGAGCTTTCACAGTGGGGTGTCAATGTCCAGCCTTACTCCGGTAGCGTAAGTGCAGTCTTACTATGTCTCTTTACGTCTTGACTAATGTCAGGCTCCATAGACTGCTAAGTACGCACAATGCATCCCTGAACGTTGTCATAATGTCTAATCTTTTGATCACAGCTTCGCTGCCCTCACTGCGCTCCTCCATCCTCAGGACCGTCTCATGGGTCTCGGTCTACCTGACGGTGGCCACTTGGTTCACGGTTACTACGTATGTCTGTCCAAGACCATGTACACGTATTCGTGACTGACTTGACGTTCCGCAGACTGCCAAAAAGAAGATGACTGCATCTTCAATCTACTTCCAATCCCTCCCTTACGGCATTGACCCCGCGACCCAGCTCATTGACCACAATGGCATCAAGTCGTCGGCTAAGATCTACAAACCCCGTCTCATCATCTGTGGTGCTTCCGCTTACCCCGTGACTGGGACTACAAAACTCTCCGCGCAATCGCCGATGAGCATGGTGCCTACTTGATGGCAGACATCGCTCACATCGGTGGTCTCGTTGCTGCTGGTGAACAGGCAAATCCCTTCGAATATTGCGATGTTGTCACCACCACTAGGTGCGTGTTTCACCATATTTTATTGGTTGTTGCGATGCTGATCACAACTCCTCGATAGTCACGAGACCCTTCGTGGTCCTCGTGCCGGTTTGATCTTCTTCAAGAAGACTGGTGAGAAGGCCAAAGACCTCGAGAAGCGTGTCAACGATGCTGTCTTCCCCGCCTGCCGGGGTGGTCCCCACAACAACGTATGTCTTCACCTTCGTTCACATTTGCCCCCACGCTGAGGTTCGTATTTCTCCTAGGCCATTGCTGGTATCGCCACTGCTCTTCTCCAGGCAAGCCAGCCAACATGGAAAGCATATGCCAAGCAAGTCATTGCCAACGCGAAGACCCTCGGTGAAGAGCTCGTGGCTACAAGCTCCAGACGCAGGGTACTGACAACCATCTTGTCCTCTGGGATCTCCGGCCCCTCGGTTTCACCGGTAGCAAACTCGAGAAGCTTTGCGACCTTGTTGGCATCACAATCAACAGTATGTTGCTTTACTCCCTCCTCTCGCTGTCTTCGTCGCTCATTCAATGAATTGTTACAGAAAACGCTGTTTCTGGTGACGCTTTCGCTCAAGTCCCCGGTGGTATCCGTCTCGGTACATCGGCTCTGACTTCTCGTGACATGCTTGAGGCCGACATGAAGATTGTCGCTGACTTCCTCCACCGTGCCGTTCAATTTGCCCTTGTTCTGCAAAAGGAAGCGGGCAGTAAGCTACTTAAGGACTTCGTCCGTGTTGCTACTGTTGAACAGGAGGGCAAGGAGGGCGCTCAAATGGTCAAGCAGCTCGGTCGTGAGGTCCGTGAGTTCGCTCGAAGATGGCCGCTTCCTGGCGTCGATGTCTCGACGTTGCAGAGGCCTGCTGGTATTGAGGAGGACGAGTAAGCGTTGCGCGTGTCGTCCATCTATGCCAGATGTCGTAGGCGTGTGGTTCACTCATTCTGATGTCTTCTTGCTTTCGTTTTGGTGGTCTTGGAGGGATACACCCTTTTTTTTTGTTCTGGTGGAGTAGAGTGACTCAACGTCATAGGTTCAACCGTTCAACTGTGCTCTTCGTAGATGTAAAATTAGTCGGACATTCAACATAGTCTGGCCCTACCCTGGATGTTCAACAGCCATCTAGAGCCGTATCATAGTCTGTATTCATAGCTAGCCCATATACTCACGGTGTTCAATTAGAAATTGCGAGATATCCGTTGGATCTCGAAGCTCTCGACACGTTGGCGCTTCTTTCTGGCTCCGTGCGGTTCGTTTGAACGAAGAATCTCCTAGAATCTCCTATCGATTCTTCATCGTCGTCAAAGTTGCTCCCATCTTTGAGCGAGCAGGACTTTCACCGCCAAGAAGATTAGGCATAGGTGAGGCAAGTTTTGCAGGCAAACACGCCAGCAGCCTCATCGTTTTCGCAAGTCATTCATTTAGCTCCACGCGCCGCGTAATATGACCAAGGTACAAGAAGAGGCATTCTCATAAGGGTAAACCACAGCTGCGACCTACTTGGACCTTCCGATAAACAGATACAAAGGCATTTACCATTCAAGGAACTATATAGTACAAGACGAGCCAATTCAAGAAAATGAAATGTGAGACTACGTGAGTACAATGTCCTTCGCTTGCAGTACAAATCTTCTACAAAAAAAAAACTAGAAGCCTGCCAGGTATATAGCATCGCGGGCAAGAGAAGATGCCTCCTCCCATCCCCTCAACTCCTCTGCCTTCTCCAATACCGGCAGGTCCTCGTCGTCGTCCGCGAGCGTTGAGGGTGACAGCGGGGGAGTGGTCGGTGGAGTGAACTCATCGACGTCGATGAGGTTGAACTCCAGCCACGGAAGCTGGAGCGCGCGCAGGACGAAATCGTCCTCCCCATCCTCATCCTCATAGAGCGACGAGGTCATTGCTGTAGTTGGCCGCGACACCGCAGGCGTTGCGGAGTGAGCTAGATCGCATGGAGGTGTCTGCCTCTGTGCTGATGTAGGCTCTCTTCGTTGCGTCTGCGGTTGCACCGCCAGATTCGGGCAGGCGACCGGTTGGTCCACAGGTATATCTTTATTATTCATGCCGACGTACGTGGCATCGATGGACCGGCGGGGCTGATGGGGAGGGGGGACGTAGACAGTGTCGGCAGGGTTGTACAAGGCCAGGGATGCCTTGCCGGGGACGTAGACGCTGCTGGGAACAGGAGCGGGCGCGAAGTGGGTAGGCGTGACGGCTGGTCCCTTGCTGTCCCCAAAGGGGTCGAAGCAGAAGGAGGGGGAGGGGGAGGGAGGTGGTGGCCATTGGCACACCTCATTCACTGCAGAGCGTCGGATGGGCTTCTGGGCGAACGCCCATCGTGATGTCTGATTGGGAATATATGCCCTACAGTAGGGCGTGGGGTGTTCGGCCTCGGACGAACACTCTTGAGACACGGCGGTCTCGCTGACGGAGCTCGTGTCAGTCCGCTCCCAGGTGGGAGGATCGACATGCTTAGCCTTCATCGAGGTTCGTGTCAGTTGGTGTTCTCTACATGTGTGTGGCCATAACTCACCATGTAGGTATCAAGGTGGGCCAACGGAGTGGATCGAGTGAAAGCCATGTGGCGTAATGAATCTGGAGAGGTGTGGTAGACGGGGCAACAAAGATGGCAGAAGCTTGGTTGAAGAGAAATGGTGAGTGCAAGTTCTCTCGTACTGGGGAAGGGTCGACAAGTGGCGGATGCAGAAAGAGGTGCAGACGGGGGGCGCAAGTACCCTCCTCCTTTTATCTTGCGATTAACGCCATTCGCGCCGCGACTCATGTGACCGCGAGTAATTCCGTTGTCCTCCATTGTTTTACAAGGTTTCGCTTAGCGTGCGATAATAGGTTTATGGGATGGAATCGACTTCCCCGAAGAACTTCTTCTTTTCGAGACCAGCGGAAGCACATCTAAGATCCTCTGCACTGGCCTTGACCCTCCCGTTTTCTCCGACGCTCGGACTTATGTTTCGTCTTAATTATTGAGTCACCTTGATCACTCGGCAGGTAAACCTATTACGCCCTCCTTCACACAGTGTTCCCTCTTGGTAGGTTTCTTGCAAGAAGGCTTATATACCATGTGCACCATCTCCTCCGTCTGTCAGTTCCGTCAGGGTCGTTCCTACACTTGATTCAAGGCGTAATGCAATCTTCTTGGCTAATGATCCACGCTTTCTCCGTCCCATCTTGTTTGGGAATGATACGGTATGGCGAATGTTCCTGTGAGTCTTTCCATTCAGTCTATCTTCGCCACATTTATTCGCCAACAGCTCGTTGCGGCCTCTCGCTCATGGTCTGAATGTCCATCCGGCCTATCTTCACCATGTGTATTCGCTAACGTTTCTCCGCGCTCAGTCCTCTTGATCGAAATATTCGGTAATAACAGTTCTAGGGTTGAAGTTGGAGATCCGATGCTCGAATTCAAATTGTCTTCCGGCTGTTTTGGTGGTCGTCAGACCCTCTCTAGGGCAGTCACGCATCTCATCTGAGTATTCTTTTCTTGTATCCCTTCGCATTTTACTCGTGTAGGCTCCTTGGCGCTGCGTGCAAGACTGGACCCCCGACGACAAGGAACGCTGACCATTTTTGTGCCAAATCAGAGGGTCCGTCCGTTCGATGTCTTTCATCACACGATGCATCCTACCTTTTTTTTTCAAGGTTCTGTATTATTGATTCCGCTGCATTCAGGTCAACTTACAGTAATTCGTAGCATGCATGCCTCGGATTCTCAGTCCTCGGTTCTGACTGAATTGTCTTTGTCCGAGCCTTTGGTGTGCCACTTTTAGCCGCATGTTTGGGCCCTGCGGATCAGTTGGCTGACATCCAACTTTAGAAGGCCAAAGTGCTTTGCTCTCTTTGTTCACTTACCGCCCACAGATATAAAGGACCCTCTTCCCCTCGTCTTTCCCCCCATCACTCTCACCTGTTCCCCCATCTTATCCGCTCAAGATCAATCCTCATCTCTTCGACGCGGCGTGGTTTAATCTTGGCCACTCCCTGAAGGCTCTTGTCTATGTTCTTCTACGCCGCAAGGCGTGTCTGTCTCACCACTGCGAGCCATGCCCCCCCCCCCCCCCCACTATTAGCCAGAACGCAAGGATATGTAGATCGTGGCTGACATGCACTTGCCATACTTGCAGAAGGTGCTGCACCCCGGAAAGCCGCCTTTATCTCTTTTACCACAAGGCCTCTCGTGCTCAGGTGCGGTTATGAAGACACAAAGCTTGGAAGACGCACGGATCTAGCCTAAGGGAACGTCAACAAATGGCCATATGCATATGTTTGGGACGAGTGCCGGCTCCAAGAGCGTGCAGCAAGTTCACGCACGCCCGGTGGCGTACAAGACCTGCAACCTGTACATCCCCTTGACTCGCATATCTAAGATGCGAGTGCGGAGTGGGTAGCTGGAGCGGCGATGGTCGTCTCTTCAAGATAGCGTCAGGTCTCGCTAGCCTGTAACCCGCAGAGCGCATCCCGACCTTGAGTCGGGACTGCAAGATAGCCTTATGGCTCCCAACACTCAAGGCCATCAAGACTGTCTGACGACTCTTCCGCTGGTGGCCGACTACTGGGCGACTTCTTTGGTCTGGTCCTGGATTTGTTCTGTGTGGCTGACGTCTCTTCTGAGCTTCTCCCCTCTGTGGCGACCATGATTTTGAGTTTATGGAAGGCTGTGGAATAACGAAGGACATGCAGCAAGAAATGGAGAGTTCAATGTGGTCTTAGAACACCTGCTCCGTCACAAGATACCAGTTTCAAGATCCTGGAGGTGACAACTGAACACTTGTTATCTGGCCAACCTTCTGAGTGATACTTCCGGTCTTGTCTGGTCATGTACTAGTCACGTCCTCTCGAAGGCCTTCTGGAGTCCGAATCGCGCTGTCGAAAGGTTCCACTGGACAAAAACTCTCCGGTTTCTTAGTCTTCCGATGTTTTGTCTCTGTTCTTCTCATGCCCCTTCATGGACGCTTCCTCCTCCATCTTCCGGCCTAGACTGGCTCTTTCATGTCTTTGCCTCTTTGTGCTCCTCTCTTCTCCTGTGGCAAAACTGACTCAAGATCTATCGTTGGTCCTCAAGATTCCTGAGGCAAGGGCGATTACCACCCGTCCTGGCGCAGACCTTTCCGTGGTCCTCAGGATAAGTACTCGTTCATTGACTTGCGTCTTTGTCTGAGGAAACTAGCATGCGCCTGAAACAAATGGTCTTATCGCTCTGTAGGTGACATCTTGCTGCTTTGCTTTCTGTCATATTCTGGTACTTTCCGTGGGGACACCTGGGCTGCTCCTCAAGATTGTGCGTTGGTTCGTATTCAAGTGACACAATCTCTTCCGATTTGGGGTTCGGACTTCGTCCTATGACGCATCTTTATTTCTTGCTTATTCACTGGGTTTCCTGCCCGAATCGTCTTTGGAGGCCCTTCAGGCAGAAGCGAGTCTCTGCGCGCTTGGTCATCGTTCTTTGGTCGGAGTCAGCTCTTCAAATACGCTGGATAAACGACTGTGTCAACCGTTGCCGTGCATGTCAGTGTCAGCCGTTCTCCGGGGCCGATACTAATCATACTGATGATACAGAAGAAGCTTCTCGTGGGCATGAGTGAGCGAATTAGTATCAATGTCCGGACCTAGGTCGAATTCCTCTTCGATGAAAGCTTCGGCTGGGCCAAGCATGTGCTCAATGATTCAGTTTGCCCTTTCGATAGAACAGAACGCCGCCATGAACAACAATAGACTTTCCCTTAGTTATTTGTACATAATTGAAATATATTCCGATGAACACAACTAATGCATCGATAAAGTGCGCATTGCATAAGCTGAAAACGAGTAAAGACGAATCTTCACTTGCTTTCTGGTACAGATCCATATAAATACTTCCGAGCCATAACATTCAGTACGTACATCGCCCACAAACCAAGTTTAAGGCATTGCTAGTTTCCCCACTCCAAGACCGAGCGGGTACTTATCCCGAGGACCGCGAAAAGGTCATGCCAGGAACAGATACAACCGTGCGCGACGGTGTATCCGACCTCCCTCAGGATCTTGAGGGTCGATGGTGGAACTTGAATCGACGTCGGGGGCTTGCCCGCATTCACACATTATGCCCCAACAGCTCTTGTGGCTCGGCTCAACATCATCTCTTCAATGGCTATCCACGACGGGGGCTTGCCTTCTTCTTCAACTTGATCTTCAGGTGCCAGCTTGCTATGGTCCTATCCATGGGGCCCCGACGGCTGTGTTCAAGGGCTTTTTCTTGCTCTTGTAAGTGTCTTTCAGATGCCGTCTTGTTTCGTCGGTCTTACACAGGTGCCTTAACAGCTCTAGTGGCTCCATCCAATATCTTGAAGTCATTGCTGCCGAAGACGGTGAGACGTCTGAGTGAGGAGAAACGCACCGAAGGATGTTCATAACCAACGCCACCAACGCCGAGACGTGATGACGGTGCCTTTGTTTGATCTTCTTTTCATCCTCATGTGGCCCAAGGATTTTGGGCATTTTATGCGGTTCCACCCTCTTGAGAATACCAACGCCACACTGTCCCGACGGTGATGAGGTCAGTACAACGATGGGTGAAAGAGTTGTAGCGGTCAGAAACGTACCAAGTTGTCATCCAAGGGTGAGGTTGTCGAGGACGAGTGGTCAGCCATGTTACGCCACACCGTGACGACGATGAGTACTCGCTAGTGGCCCCATCGAGGAAGGCGTTGGCCAATGACCGGGCCCTGGCCCAAGCCGGGTACGAGAGACAGTTGCCTAGAGAGGGGAAGATGGAAGCAGGAGACAAAATATGTGAGGAGGGTTGAGCGAGAGTGGGGGAAATTTATACGCGGTCAGAGCTGAGTTCAATCTCCGTCCAGAGACTGGCCGTTTGCCGCCAAACCAACCACTGTCCCAAAACGGCACAACACGTTGGACTTTCGGGACGACGCCGGAGGAACGGAGTGCAATTTTCGTGCTTCTTTTGTTCCCAGCTGACGACGAGGTCCTTGGATACAGGCTGCCACTTCTAAATTAAGTGCGGGGAAGAAGAAACATGTGGTTGATGTTATTTCGGCGGTCTGTTGTTTTAGATCATTTTGGGTATGAGAGAACCTTCTGTTATTTGCTGAGCAGAGGATCAGGGTGGATAAGATCAGCGGGAGGTATGGAGAACGGAGATGTTCACAGATATGTCCAACCGAAGATGTACGGAAATCTTCGTGGTAAATATCTTGATGTTCTCGGCCGCCAAGGACGAAATTGTCCTTTCGATGACATATCTGTTCCCTTCTATCAGATATGCTGAATGTATTATCAGAGAGTAGGGCAATCGCCACATCCTGTTCAATTAAATATAGCATCATGCTCACCTTCAAAGGTTGGAGATCATCCAGCCTAGACCAAACGAGAGCAGCATTTCATGTAGAAAGGTCATGCGTTTGAACATCAAGCATCAGTACAGGAAGGCTGCCGGATTCGTCACATACAACTTGTACTACTGTCTTCACTTGTCAGATTCCACACTGGCAACAGGCCAGTCATCATCTACACGAATGGTCTGCTCCAGATGAATTTGTACAGTGATAGCCGGGGAAATGGCGGTACTGTCAACTCCGACAATATCATCATCGCCGTTGGGCAGACCATGGTCGCCCGTTATGATCTGATTGGGTCCTCTTCGCTCGGAGGGTTCCCGCACCGCAGACTCTGGAACGATGTTTGAAGTGCTGATGATGACATACAGAAAACTAATACCCTGATAAAATAATCAGTTAATTGGTGGGGAAAATATCCACCGGTATGGAGGAACACGGACCATGAGAGGAGGAGTCTGAAAAGTAAAGGCGATAAAATTAGTGTCCTTGATGAGCAGATTGTCTAATGGCTTTACCAGATAGATTATGACATACAGGGCAGTACGTGCCGTCAGCGTGAAAACCAACATTGCAGAATTCACGAGAGTATGAACTGCAGCTACAATAATGAAATGTCAGTACAACCCATTCATTGATAGTTAGACGTACCAGATTGGACAAGAATGAAAGAAACGCGCTTCATCCTGTTATCTATGATCGACACAAGCCTATCACTGACATGCTGAGCTTTTCTAATCTTGTAGGCAATGAGTGCTGAATAGAAGATTATCGACAGATTCAAGGTGCATACTAAGATGGTTGTGGTGGAGAACGTACCGGTGCAAATAATGTTCAATACCAATGATGAAGCGAATGCGGTTGCCATCATCCATACCGGAGACAGAAGAGGGCTCCGCCATTGAAGTGGATTTGATGCAAGCGCCACGACCAACCACACCACTGTAGCTATACGCTGTCAAAGGACAAAGTATAGTCACCGTATGGTGATAACATACCAGAATTCACCATGAAAAATGTCACTGAGAGGGCAAGAATTCGGCGATCATGATTCCAGATGACATATGTACGCAAGACCTTACAGGTATCCGTTAAGTCAGTCGACAGCATCAAATAACGTCGACGATACATACAATCAATCCGTTCACAATGATAAGGACAATCCCATTACATACAGAAAGGATCACAGCCGAGGGCGTGTTGAAGACCCCAAGGTAATGTTCAGCAAATTTAGGTTCTTCAGCGTTGGAAGTGAATGCCCGCATGATACGAGTGACAGCTATGCAAAAATGCTAAGAAAAATAATTAGTCTGTCTCGCAAACCCATCCATCGGGAATACAGAAACGTAAATAAAACACGCACTACAGTGAGTGATACCAGAGTCGCAAACAATGTGAAGTGAAGATATTTCCTGATTGCTCCCTTGAGTCCTCTCTTCCGCAATATCGCGAATCCTCGAGGGAGCATCGCCAAGTAGACACCTGACACATGGGTGTAGATAAGGTCAAAGTCGCACTGGAGTCCGAGACATTCAGGAGAGTACCATATGCGAAAGCTTCCAATATCGTCCCGATCAAAAACGCGGACGGCAGAGATAAAGTCATGTATTCGATGGTGGAGCAAAACAGAGCCGGGGGGGGGGGTTGGTTCAAGATTAGCGAACCATGAAATGGGGGTTCATAGGATATAGCTGCGTCGGCAGTGCCTTATAGCAAAGATTCTAGATTCAAGATGGCATCTGTTCGTGTGATAGCGTATTTGAACATACAGCACCTTTGCATTCTTAAATTAGAAAAGAAATAGTCTTGTTAGTTGGATTGTTGATACATGAACCTTATACATACCGATAGACAGATAGATCAACCAACAAAGCCGTGGTCGTCATAGGACCACGTCACTAGCGATTATCTACGCCGCAAGTTTGTCCTTGACTCAGTGTAAGGTCGCCTGATGATCACGAAGAAATCCTGCGTCGTCCTCTATCCAAAAAATGACTGAAACGGTGAATGTTGTGAACTCCATGCAGTGTGGATAGAGGACGGTATCAACGGACTCGGGCAGAAGATGGAAATGAAGGGGTTTCGAAGACCCGAGAGCGCATAGCCGTATACTTCTTGATGATTGAATCTCGAAGTATTTTGTATATTTGAATTCCTACATGACAAATATCATGATATCACTGTTGGAGGAGTGCGACTCAAAAATGACAGATCGTAGACTTGAGTACTACCTAACCATGTGCTTGCTGCACTCACAGGATCGGTGCCTTAGGTCTCAAGCCTCTGTGCTTCGGATGGAGTGTATTGCCAAGGACATAGGAGATATCAAGCTTGAGAATAGGTTGCGAGTATGACCGTAGAAACTAAGAATGAAATGCGATTTGAATGCGATCCTGCTCTGTGGGCGGACACGGACCGCCTGCTCCGCTAATGAGATCTAGATCTGCAGCTTCGAAGTTCGCAGATGAACTTTCTGAAAATTGGGTTGGTGAGAAAGCACCCATAGCAGCTAATACTATGGCATATACAATGTCGTAATGCCTGTCGGCTGTTTCTCAGCCAGGCTACGTTGCAGTGGCACCAATCTTTCTCAACAGTCGTTCAAGTTTGGGGTAGAACGTTCCGATCGATCCCAAGATGGAAGAAGTGACGGTCCGGCCCTTACGTTCATGCCTCCGTATCCGAGTCACAACAGATTTTTTTGAAGTTGTACGGACTCAGTGCAGAGGTGGGGCCTACTAATAGGCAAGTTCCTTTGCTGACTGGGAGCGATCTCCTCGCTTACATGCTTAGAGCTTACTAGAACGTTATCCCAGTTTCTGCCGCTCCGATTCACAGCAGTATCTAACGTATTCTACAACCAGATCTACATACGAGAATCGTCCATGCCTACTAATCTAAAGGAGATTCTTCTTGTCGGATACGGTGCTGTAGGTGCCGTCTGTAAGTATTCGCTCGTTCATCTTACTGAATCGGCATCGTTAACATGCCACGCTATATTTCCAGACGCACTAATATTGAAGAGAAGCGGACTTGCTCGTGTGACTGTTGTAGCGCGAAGCAACTACAATGCTTGCAAAGGTTCGCATGGTCCGCCTCGCTCTATTTTCTCAGTTTGGCTAATTATCATGCACCGATAACAGCCGACGGAATGCACTTCAGAAGCCAGAAATACGGAAACATCACCGGATGGAGGCCTGATAGATGTCGGTAATTGCTCTCAAAAATTTCTCTACCAGACTTTCCACTCATAGTTTGTTCATCACTACAGTGTGCGCATCCGTAGCTGAGGCAGCTGATCAGGCATACTCGCACGTTATCCTCACAACCAAGGTGGTACCAGAGATTCAAACTACACCCGAACTTCTATCCCCGTTTTTATCGTCGCCGTACTCGGATAAGTTCTCCCAACCGATTTATGTTCTAATGCAGAACGGACTTGGCATTGAGACTGGTTTATATCGAACACTGAAAGGCCTACAACCGTCGGAAGAACCAAGAATCATTGGTACCTCTGTTTACATTGGCACTCGTCTTGTAGAAAAGAATATCGTCGAGCATAACTACTTCGTGGGTTTCCTCAATGCTTAGGAAGATGATAAAACATGTGACTATTTTTGCCATCAGGATCGGGTACAAATGGGCATATGTCGTTCCACTCCAAACGTCGTGGCAAACACACCCGAAGAAATCGCTATCCTCACGCAGTTTGGCGATATACTTCAAGCAGGAGGAACCGACCTTAGCATCGTGCCAGAGATTCAACGCATTAAGTTCGAGAAAAATATCTGGAACTGCGTTTTTGGTCCCGCGGCGGTTCTAGCACGGCATTCCCTTCAATCCTTCTTGAGACCTCCACAAATAACTTCCGAAAGCCCTGACTTTGATCCTTCCATCTTACCGCATGCAAAGATCGGTGACTGCATCATACCAGCGACATCTCCGATTATTGCGGAGAACACTATTCCGTTCCTATACGAAACGCTCAAAGAGGTATGTGCGGTTGGGAACGCGCTCTTCCCTTCCACCGAAGGGGAGCCTGTGTTCAGTGACAAGACAGCTCAGGCTATTTTGGAACGTACATCCACTATTTTTGTCAAGCCGACGAGTACAGAGAAACCTAGTATTCTCGTTGATGTGGAGTCCGGAAGACCAATGGAGTTGGAAGTTATAGTGGGGGAAGTCGTTCGGACGGGAAGGAGGCTCGGCGTATCGATCCCGGTGAGTTGTTCATGTGGAGCGCAGCAGCCTATAAGTGCAACGGCTGAGAGGCTATGTTTCGTACAGCGGCTCGAGACGTTCTATGCTATGATGGCTGTGACACAGACTCAACTACTACAAATGAACAAAACGCCATCCTAGAATGTTCGTTTTCCTAGTGGTGTCCCCAAGTGCCATACCCTACGTTAGACAATCCAGGCAAGTAATCTACGAGATCAGATGGAGAATTACGCTAACCTAATGCCGGGAACGTAGTGAACAAGCCTCTAAGAATGGGCGAATGGGCAACAGTGAGAGACGTAAAAAAGCGTTACTCTACGTCTCAACGTGTGGGATGGGTTCTGTCACTATCGAACACGGCGTGCTTCATAGGGATCAAACAGTTTGTTGGAATGAATTAACACAGCCTATTGTCCAAGGTCAGTGCTAATGTTACAGAAAATAGTACAAGATGCAATATTATAAGTTCTTCACCATCATTCATACACACCTCACCAATATGTCTACGCTCGAGCCGGAATCATCAGGAACAATCATACCTCTTCCCACCTCTCGTCCTCAATGGGTGTCCTCGCGCCACCATCCACATCTCCACCTTTCTGCCTTCTCCAATCCCTTATGCCCGCATACACTCCTAATGCAAACGCACAAGTACACGCTGCGATAGTGAGTTTCAAACTATCAGCATAACATGCCCTCCCTTCAAAGCACATGGAATGCGATTCGGAAGGTGATGAGGTATGAGATATGGGAGAACGAGGTTCAGGTGTAGGAGCCCGGGAGTGTGCGTCGAAGATTCGTCCGAATGCTATTGAGAGAATGTTACTTCCGATAACCGGTGCCAGGGACATGAAGCCCCAGTTTTCCGAGAAGTGAGCTGGAGAGTAGCATGGACCCGAAATAAGTTTTGCGGACGTAGATGGAGATTGGAGGTTCGAAATACGTACGTAGACCGAACCACTCAATTGTAACAGCAGGAAACAAACCAAATAGACTCCCATATGAAAGCCCAAGTAAGGCGCTAGCCTTCCATAGCCCTGTAACGTCGTTCACAGCGAACGCGGTGGTTTGGGATATGACGAAAAGCAATGCTACGAAGGAGATATAGGAAGAGCGAGGTGTCTCCATTAGATGGTGAGAGGAGTCTGCGATGACGCCTATTGAACCATACCACTTTTCAGCAGAGGGAAAAGAATAAGTGTGCGAGGAAAGTGCGCGCACCGATTATGATGCGGCCTAGGCAGTTTGATATACTTACGGTGGATACTTGCGCAGACTGCCATTTCGCCGCTTCACGTTCATCGTAGGTGGGTACGGCGTTGGCATATAGGGCTTGTGAAATCAAGCCAACATTGCCTATATCTGATACATGGGTAGAGTCAGTGCGTAACACGGAACAGTACTGCATCAATGTTCACGTACACATCAAACCCGTACCGGTTACTTCGAAAGCAGAGTCAGTCCAACTCTCGTCAATCACGCATCGAGATAAATTGAAACGTACAGAAGATAGTGATCACAAAGAGTAACCAAAAATCACCGTTGACAGCAAGAGCCAGGCCTCGTATTACAGGACCCGTACTACCTTTCTTGCTCGTACTGGCGATATCACGTCTTGACGCATTCGATTGTATCCGTTCCGACTGCGTACTTGACGACGAACTGATAACATAATCTGCAGAAGCACTATGCGGATGTATCCTCGTCGCGGTTGAACTCTCCACCGAGGACGACAACTCTTGGTGACCAAATAAAGGAGTATGAACATCGTCCGCATCTTCCCCGGAGTAGATGATATCATGCTCGGACGTTGGGAGGGGTATGGATCGCACAAAGAAAAAGCCAAGTATCATTGGAAGGGAAGTCCCGACGGCAAGCGTAAGAAGAAAACCTGCGATATCGCCGAGGAACAAGGTATGGCCAACCGTGGAGAATATGAAAGCTGACAAGCCAAACATCGAGAACACGAGTCCGGTAGTTGTCGCTCGCTGCAACACGATATAATAATCAAGCAGTTGATGAGGTGCAGTCGAACTAATGGTGGAGAGAGACTCAAAACTCACTGCTCGATGAGGGAAACTTTTGGCTGTAGCATTCGTGGCACTCATGATACCGCCAGTGCCTCCTACGCCAGTGAAGAAACCACAGGCCATCAAGGCCGCGAATACCCAGTTCGAAAGCCCGGATGCGCCGTCTGGTAGCCCTTGAACATAGAAGTGTCGTATGCCAGAATAACCAACCAGCAGAGAAAAGAACGCGATAACCATCAAAGGTCTTGGTCCGCGTGCATCGACAAGCTTACCCATTAAAGGGGCGGTTCCATACACGCCGACTGTCATGATAGCCAGTCAGTTAAACACCTAAGCAATGTGATGCCGGGTATTTCTAGATATACAGTACATACCTGTCCCTGAAAGGCTTATCACATTGAGACGCGTATGGCTGAGATGGAGACGAGAAGCAAGCTGCGGACCATAAGCTATGCTTTGCTTCAGTATACCAGTTTAGCTACGTGTGCATCATACAAACCTGAGAAAGCCTAGTATAGATCCGTTAGGAAGACACGATGTTCAACTTTGGATATGAACATACGTAATTGGTACCAGAACCAAGAGCAACGAGCAGCGATGCCAATAGACTCCCTATCCGCACGATACTGAAGATGGCTGGAGACTCTGGATGCATATTTTACAAATGCTGCAGTTATCCCTGCACAGGAGAGAATGAGGGATATAGAGCAACGACGTTAAGGATGAAGGCATTGACAGGAGAGGGTGTTCAATTATAATATTGCGTCCAGTTGTGTGTAAAAGGCGATCTCAATCATTCCACGGACGTCACCGACAGGCCGAACACGCGACCCCTGTACTTATCTAAGTTAAAGATTCACCGGTGTCACCAATGAAAGGTTTAAAGTTGTCTAGGATATATATCATATGCGCATATGCGCTACAAATCTACTGGTACATCTATGCATAAATATCCGAAAGTCTCTTGTCTTAGAATGTCTACTCCTCTTCTTCCTCCCATAGAACCTCCGACTCGCTCTCACTATCCGGAATCAAGCTCTGTCCTTTCCCTTTGCTAGAGTGCCTATCTCTCCAACCAGCATACACGGCCAGTACCAAAGCAAAACAACAAGCCACTATGGTCATCTTGATACTATCCGTGTAACAAACCCGACCTTGCAAGCACTGATGTTCCGACGGTAGTCCACCTCGCGCGAATAAGGACGAAGTGGTCGAGAGCGTGGACGATAGGAGGGAAGTAGAACTATCTTCTGGAGATGCCTCAGAGGGCGCATGTGCGTCTAGATTCTGCCCGAAGGCAATGGAAAAGACGTTGCCTCCGATCATAGGTGAAAGAGAAACAAATCCCCAGTTCTCAGAGAAATGAGCTGTTCGCAAAAGTGGAACTCAGGAAAAATGAGGGTAGGTATCAGAAAAGGCGGATCCTTACGTAGTCCAAACCATTCAATGGTTATTGTGGGGAACAGTCCAAACAGACTACCGTACGCTAACCCCAGTAGCGCACTCGCCTTCCAAAGGTTGTTGACATGCTCGACGTTGTAAAGAACAGCTTGCGAGACGACGAAGAGTGCTGCAACGAGAGATATACAGAATGAGCGAGGGAGTTTCAGGTAATTCTTGGTGATGTCAGCGATCACGCCTGTGCATTGGGATCCGTCAGAGGAAAAAGACTCGCAGGAATGGAGAAGCATGGGTGTACCAATCATAATCCGACCAATGCAGTTCGTGATACTGATGGTTGATACTTGAAGAGCTTGCAGCTGAGCGGATTTGACATCGTCATATTCATCATGACTCTCTGCATACAATGCTTGCGATATCGAACCGACATTGTTGATGTCTGGATAGCACGATGTCAGTTTCCCCCCAAGACGTACTTCAAACACTGACACATCAGGCCGGTTCCACTCACTGCAATAAATTTCATTTTAGCATACTATCACTCAGAAAGGTGTGCACTTACATAGTGACGTAATAGTGAACAGCAACCAGAAGTTTCTCGTCCCAGCCAAGGCAAAACCTCTCATGTTTGGCGAACCATCTGCCCCCACTCCAATCCCCAGACCTCTGTGTCTCGATATGGATCCCCTAGAGACACTGAACGAACTTTTCGACCGGTGCCTGCTGTGCGAGTGCAAGCCTCTAGTCTGACTTAGAGCAACCGAATCAGCTGGCCGAGGAACGATATAATCCGACGCTTCGGCTTGATGCGTCGCAGACCCAGGATAAAGCTCGAAAGATGCCGATATGGCCTCTTCCTCTTCTTCGTCTTCCACAGCAAAGTCGTCGGCAGAAGCGTTGTCGTGTTTCAATAGATGCGTAGTGCTGTTGTTCTCTCGCGAAAGAACATTGGGGGAGGTTTCACCATGCCCATGCTCGATGGTATGTATTAATTCAGAATGAGGCAAGGGTATAGGTCGCACGAAGAAGAATCCCCAGACCATAGGCAAAGATGTACCAATAGCGAGAAGGAGAAGGAACTCAGAAGTGTCGCCAGGATAGAATACGTGTGCGATGGTGGAGAACAGGAACGCCGATAGACCAAATCCTGAGAGTACAATTCCAGTAGTAGTCGCTCTCTGTCCAATTCTCAGCTATCATGGAATTTGCGGCGGATACGCACGCTGAAAGGCTTACCGCCCTATCAGGGAAACTCTTCGCGGTCGCATTCATCGCACTAGCCAATCCACCGTTTCCACCGATGCCAGTCATGAACCCGCACAACACCAGTGCGCAGAACCCAGCAATTGTAAGGTCGGTCATACCTTCCGGTAAGCCAGCATCAAAGAAGTATCGGATTCCGAGGTATCCAGAGAGAAGAGAAGCGAAGCCGATTACTAGTAGGATCCGAGGACCTTTGGAGTCCACGAGTTTACCCCATAGCGGGGCTGTGCCATACACGCCGACTGATGGTGGACGTGGACAGGTGAAGACTAAATATATGCAAGTGCGAGGGAGATGTGCGTACTGTTTCCTGAGAGACCGATAATGTTCAGCTCCGTATGTGAGAGATGGAGGCGTGCTCCAAGTTGTGGGCCGTATGCTACGGAGGTAAGATTGAGCTATGCACCTTGCGTGATACATCAAGGCTGCACACCGGAGAAGACCTACGGCACCGTTGTATGAATATCTAAGGCCTATATAGTAAGAGCGGAAGCACTCACATAATTGGTCCCGGATGCAAGTGCGACCAGTAGAGACGATAGGAGGCTCACTATTCGTACAGCACTAAGCACAGGCGGCGGGTGGGTATGAGAAGTCGCATGGTGAGTGTGCATCCTTTATGTCCCAAGAAGGTTTGAAATTCCTGAGCGTGTTGTGTGAAAGATAATGTAATTAGAGTGTATGACAGTTCCCGTTAGCAGCGGCGGTGTCCCTCCTGTAGAGATGCGAATATTAATGTCTAGTTTGAAGGTGGTAGTAGAATGTCGAGGAGATAACGAAGGTGTGATGGAACGAGTGAGGAGCGTGGTTGAGCTCTGCAACCTGCACTTATACGGTTTCGGGATTCCGACGCAGACGGGAGGATAAAAATATAGTTACAGTACTTCACCAGCGCTCCACGTACGCTTCCTCCTTCCAAACACGATCCTTGCCTTATCTGTGTGTGGCCGGTCCGCCTGCTACCGGACAATACACACCCTGAGCACACCCTTCCCTGCACGTTCGACTACAACCATCGACATCCTTGACTCGAACCACCACCACAAAGTGGGAGCAACACGCATTTATATCTGCTGAATACAACATATAGTCCAGTCTGACTGGCAGGTATGCAATCGAAAGCTCATCGGGAGTCAACACTGACATCATATCCAAATCAGGGCTCTGGTTGACTTCTACCATAACCTCAGAATCTTTCAGAGTACTTGCTGCATTTTTACGATGGTTACAACATCTCTGCTACTATCATCCAGTGCTAAGAAGTTCGCGCCTTCCACTATCGTACCTGTCTTGCACAACCCACCACATGCGCGCCTCGCCCCACCGCGCAGGAGGTTAACACATGCGACCACACCTTTGCAAGACGACAGCTCGACATCTCGTGCTATTTCAGAGACATTATCCTCGATAGGAAGCATGGGTTTTGTGACCTTGCCTCCACCACAGGCTCAGACGAAACCTAGAAAGTCGAAACGCACCTCAGAGCCTCCACTTCCTCCTTCCGAACCACCTGTGGAGGTGAACTTGGAACCTTCCCCTGGTGCGCTGGAATCAGCCATGGCAAAGATGACTCCCAGACAAAGAGAGGCATTTGGGCTTGTGATTTCGACTAAACTCTGTAGGTTGTTGAAGCTATCATCTTGCACGTTGCACCGACCTTCGATCTCACGCAGCCGCGGAAGAGATCGGTGCCAGGATGCGCGATGAGAAGCCACTGCACACCGTCACTGTTGTCAACTATCTTTTGTCTGCTTTTGATATCGCCGACTACACATGGGAAGAGGAGGAAGCCCTGTATCACGCTGTGGGGAAGGACCGTCTCTACGAAATCGCCCAAGCAGACCATTATCGTTGGAAGAAGAGCAACGGTTATCATGCATACGTGACGAACGAAACGCGGGTTAAGAAGATCGTTCAGGACGATACCAAACGACGCAAACTCAAGAAACAGCTTGCCAATGGGAAGGTGAAACCGGAGGAACTTGCTCTCAAGATGCAAGAAATTTCTCAGGGTTGGACTTTCGCTAACGGGCCACCTGAAATACCTAACGGCATCCGGAAACATTTGATCATGCAACACGTAAGAAAGAAAGCTTCCCTTACCCATGTGGATGATGCTGAATATGCCCTTGTACATCTACAGTTGAAGAAAACTAAGAAACATGAAGAATCGCCCGGGTTCTTTGTACGAAATCAGGATATCCGCGATGTCATGCAAGCGGTCCTAGCGGAGGCAGCACTGCGCTCCATGCCCAAGGACTCTGACTAAAGAACCTTTGTATTTCTTTTCTAGCGGACATTTTCGTTTCATTGTAGCGTTGTATGTACTAGTAGCGTCATGGAACTTTGCGACTAATACCCCGAATTTTGCTGTACTATGTACGAGAATCAAATGCATGTATGTATGGGAATAAGTAATCGATAGCTTTCACTTTAACAATATCAAGAATAATGTGCCTTCGTGTCCACCAAATCTAATGACAACATTATTGCATCGCAAATGGGGAGAACTTCATTTGTGGTCTACTCTACACATAAGCTGTGGTATTCTTCTATGAGAGGGACGCGCCGACAAATGAGGGCGCGACACAAACACCCTCGGTACTGCGTATCCTGTGGACGGTCTTGGTAACAGGGTTGACCCAGGCGGCTTCCTTGGTCTCGAGCGTGGTGAAGCCTAGTCCAAGGTCAAGTCAGTGAGGATTCCTGTGTGTATATTAGTGAACACGAACCCGGTTGAATGGTCTCGAAGATCTTCTTCTTAGGGTTGAGTTGCGAAAGCGGGGTAGCATCTAGTAACAGAATATTAGAACGGCTTGTTTGGGATCAATAAATATATAAACTTACTCTCATACTCAGAACCTTCGAAGAAGACACGATCGCCCACTTTAGACTTCGGTGGAGGTTGGACGACTTCGATACCTGCCTCTTTACCATCTGGATGTGTTGCCTAGAATAATAACGTAAACAGCTGTGAAGAACGACATAAAGATCACAAAAGAACCTACACAGAGTACCATTGCGAAACTCTTTACGCCTCGCATGTTTGCGGGTTTCAGGTTGCACTATGAAATTCATTGAGTACTGAAAACATGAAGAGGTCATGACGGTACATACCACACCGACAAGGAACTTGTCCCGCAATTGTTCAATTGGGATATACTTGACCAGACCAGAAACAACCGTTCGAGGGCCGCTCTCTTCGCCGAAGTCAATTTGCTAGCGATAGAAGTCATTTGAACGGATGCAGAGGTTAGAGGAACAAATGACATACCTCGACGTACAAGCCGTCTGCATCAGGATGTACCTTGACTAGAAACAAGGGTAAGAAGGTGCCGTTCTCAACGATGTCAGATAAACAATGTACTTACTATCGACAATACGTCCAACGCGAAGGTCGATCATAGAAGGAACAGGTTCTCCATTACCCTCGGGTTCAGCAGCAGCCTTCTTACCTCCCGCATCCTTCTTACCACCCTCGTTAGCAGCAGCAGGTTTCTTCTCTTTCTTCTCTTTCTTCTGCGCCTTTCCTGCCTGCGCACCCTCAACTCCGGGAGTGGGTTCAGCAGCTACGGCCTTCTTGATTTCCTTCCCAAGGACCTTCGAAGACTCAGCAGGTGTTTCAGTTGTTAGCTTCGCAGTCTTTTTCTTCTCTTTTGGCGCATCGGCCTTACGTTCGACCTTGGGCGTACTTTCCAGGTCAAAAGTCACTAGAGAGAAAGCAGGTGCAAGCCCCTCGGCAGCTTTGCGTACTGCAGGACGACTTTGGATGTGATCGAAGTATCGCGTGAGGGCCGGATGAGAATAATATTGTGCAGACTGTAGTTGAGACTGCAACAAATATATTTAACAAGAAAGCCGACTGAGCCTTTGATGAATGGACACGTACGAAGACCGGGTGCAGAGCACCGTATACTGCAACATCAGCTGCAGTCAGGTAATTGCTAACAAGGTATGTCCGGGGTACAAGTTGTGTATCGAGGTCCTGAAATGCGCCATGAAAGGGTTCGAGACACAAACGAACCAGAATGTTTTCCTAGGCGCATACCTTGAGATCCTCGGGTCTTCCTACTGTTCCACTAGCAACATTTTCCACCCATTCAGCCACTTCAACCTGATCCTTCTCGGTTCGGCCAAAAGCCGCGGTAATGTCAGTTAGAGCACCAGTAAGTAGCTCCTTCAAGGGGCTATGAAGTTTTGCGATAGATGCTTGGGCAGCCATTGATCTGTAGAAGATGAGGGTAGTTGGGGTGTAGAGTCTGGGTACTGAGTGGGATCGATGAAGCTTTGAGAAGGAGAATATCCGAGTTGTGAAAGTCATGCAGGCAGACGGAAGAGTCCGATCGAGTCAAGGTCATTTGATGTGACCAAAAGTAAGATGAGTACATTGCTTTTTCCTTGATTTGCGACATAACACTTCAACCTTCATACAAAAACTTATCCTACATATGCTACTTTACAAGATACAGACTGAGAATATAATGATACAACAACTAAACTACATACAACCCAAGACCGAAAGAATAAGCAGGGCGAGATAATCATACACAGATAACTTGGAAGTCGATGACCACTTCATAAAAACACCTAATGAACTTGTAAGTTATTAGGTCGTAGTAGCGTCAAGTACCCTCACGAAAGTGCCAAACATACTTTGCGACCCTCAATTATATTTGCCCCCGTCAGTATCGAAGTTGTTCCCGACCTTGTTCATGAGGAACTCTCCATATACAACAGGTTCGTACGTCTTTTCACCGGTTAGGTGTTTGCGTTTGCATTCTGGATGACCATCAATGATACGTAAAGCAGCAGGGAGCGGCTTGACGAGTGCGTCGAAGTTCGGTTCAAAAAAGAACGGTATCCTACATAGTTTGTGTCTCAGTGAAGGCAAGGTTGCGGATCATACGGTGGTGCTTACGATACGCTGGTGGAATGAATCAACCTGGGGTCAGGAATATCATATCTCAAGAGTAACATAATGATATGCTTACCGATAATTCGTTCCTCGATGAACAACTCGGTGTAATGTGCTCTTGTAGAGACCATTCGTCCAGATCTCCCACACTGTCTCGACTATAAGCACTATTCATGAACTAAGAAAAGCAGATTGAGACTTACTTTCGCCGATATTGCAAACTATGCAGCCCGGTACGGGGTCGGCATTAATCCACGAACCTTCCTCGACACCTTCTTCAGGTACAGGCCCCTCGTCACTCGTCTCGACGAGAAGACCTTTTTCTTGGAGAAACACTTGCAGGGCGCCAGGTGTCGGATCAGTATATAGGAAGCTATGGGTTCATAAATGGTCTGAGGCAACATATGAGTGCAAGACTGGTCAAATCACATACGTTAGACAGCCGTAGTCCCTACGTGTTCATCATTTAAGCAAAAGGATGATCAAAAGATCGACATTCCTCACTTATGCGCCCCACATGAAAAGCCATCATAATCATTCGGTAGAGGTGGGTACCCTGAACAAGAAAGGCGGCGGATGTGAATTCGATGAGAATATAAGTATGAATACGAGAATACAAACCAATGACACGCATTACCCAGAAACTATCATCGACCTTTCCTTTAAGGTCTTCCCATTCATCAGAACTCATACCAAGTCCAAGAGCCATCCTATATGACCGAAACTTACTCAGCATGCCGTATGCCGCGCTTTGAGATCAAATAGATACTGTACGCTTCCATGACAAGCATCCCCAGATTCTTCATCTTCTCAATCCAAATCTCATACTTTTCGCGAAAGCCAGGAATAGTGGGCCACTGATTCTCTCCCCATAGAGGTTTCGTCTTATCGGGGTTCTCTACGGGTCGATAGAAGTCTATCCCTTCATGGTTGTCTGCCTTGCCATTGGTGACGTTTTCTCTCATCTTGGCGTATCCTACGGTATACTGTCTGTCTGGCCTTATATCGAGTGATGTACACATGTATGAGACTTACCTCTCGCATGATCTTGATGTTTCAACGAGATCTGTCCCTTTTGCTCCTCAGGGAGCGCGAAGAATTCTCGTGCTAATCGAGTAAGCTCCTCCGGCTCAGAAGGGTCTACATAGCTGCAGATGTCAAGGTAAAAGAACCCGTATTCTAGACATGCCGCATGAATCTTTGCAGCAGTCGAAAGACGTCCATGGCTATCTTCCTTGCTCAGAAAGGGGGTAATGCTGATGACGGGCAAGTTCCCTAATTTGGGGATGTCCCTCGATGGTGTTGGAGTGGAGATGGGAGTGGTGATAGTCATGGGGAGCACTGAAGACGAGGTGGGTACGACAGTTCTGGTGTCGTTGTAAGCGAGTAAACCCTTTCAAGTGTTGTGTTTCGAGTTGCTTCCGTTCATGACGTCCATAACGATGTCGAGAAACCAGAGGAGATAAGATAACGGGTCCATGTGCACCATCTGCAACGTGATATGTAACCCAAAAACAACAACGATCGCAAGCCTGCTACGAGCGGGAATTACAATACACGGACCTATAGCTATAATATCAAGTAGTAGTGCTGTGAGTGGGTGAATGGATAATGTCCTTCCATCTCTATAATGAATAGTTATGTGCAATGTGGAAAAGACGACGGAGCTATCGACTCTGTTGACGATGAGAATATATCGTCCGGCCAGGATTGGCTGTCATCCCATTAACACCACCTCTCCCGTTGAATATCATCCTATGGTCCTCCATGTAGCCACTAGCGGGGCCCGTATAAGGTGTAGGAGGCCATGGAACTCCGTTGGCATACTCCCCTGGAGGTGATCCAGTGGGAGGCATGCCCCATGATGGCGGCTGTTCAGTGGATGTAGAAGATGCAGACGGATGGAGGAACTGAGGGTGTGAAGGGGTTTCCACACCATTTTGAGAAGAGTGATGACCATTGGTGTAAGGTGACCCTGGAGGGGCGGAGCCTGGAAGTTCCCCTTCGTTCAGAGTCGCCCTGGAGGAACGCCTTCGAGTAGTCATCCCGCCAGTACCGGGAGGATCCCTTACAGAGCTGTCAGGGGTGGGTTCAGCTTGTCGACTCTTTCGTTGTCGAGGTCGCCTGCTAGGGGCTCCAGCACTAGCGCTTTCTGCAGATTTGTGGGAAGGTTGTCGCCCCTTGCCTTTCGCTTTCGAGGGTTGAGGGATGCTGGAGGCAACGGAGGGTACAGGTGTATGTGCTTTCGAAGTTGCAGCAGTAGCTGAACCATCTTCAAGCAACTCTTTTTCTTTGGAAGCTCGTAGCTTTAAAGCTTCCGCTAGTGAAATGGGCTCGGGTATAGTATCTAGGGCACCACCGAACTTGAGCATTCGGGAAACAAGGGCGGACGAAGAGGCGTACTAACCTTCTAGGAACTTGAACTCGGGATGTTGGTGGGTGGTAGATGCTGACGACAAATATATGAGGCACATGTGCGCTGAGGAAGCTATTCAGACTGACCTAGGTCACGATAGTTGACTTGCAGACGTTTTGAGCTTGAAGCTTGGCGTTGGCCAGCTTGAGCGAGACGTTTGACAAACTCCTCCTGCATGAAGTACTTGGTGAACGTCAACTAATGGAACATAATATTTGCCACCTACTGTGGCAACCGTGAGGAGGTATATAGCCTCTTTCGACAAGAATTCACCTTCCCCTGAAGGAGATAGTAGCTGTAATCAGTGAAACTCGACGAAGGAGCGCATGGCTCACCATCTGCTTCTAGTATTCCTTCAACTTTTGCAAGTGGGATAACACTCCGCCCAGGAACGCGTTCTACAGCGACTTTTGGACGCGTTCTCTTGGGCGAGCTAGTAACGTCCGCCATAGGGACATCTTCGTCAGAGTCCGAGACCAACTGGTCCACTTCGTCTTCAGTATTGTCTGTTTCAAGAGAGTCCACTTCCCCAACGTGATCGATAGGGGAAGACGGTCGGTGCACAGAGATGCTGGGGTGGGCATTCATAATGTCCTCGTGCGGGTGTGGTGGCGCGGGATGAGTATGGCAATATCTGCGGCGGTAGTTGTCGAGTGAATTTTAGGCGAGGGAAGGGTTGAGGACGAGGGTGGATGGCGGCAGGAAGGCAGAAAAGGAGTGCTGTTGGCGGTACCCATCTCGCTACGTCTTCCGAGCGCAAGTTCACGAAGCGCGTCCTGTCCTCGTGAGAGCGTCTGCAGCCAGGTTTTGACTTTCCACAGTACTCAAAACTTAGGTCGATTCTCTCATTCTTAGCACAATAATAGGAGGGACATATAGTCATATTATAAGATATGATACAAAATACAGTGTGGCGGTAGCTTCACTATGATACAGTTCCAATTGTGTCCCTTCCATCGCATATACGCAGGCCACCATCCAATAAAAATGCTTCACTCAACAGGGATGGTCACCGAGCCAGAATCCTCCGCTTTGGGTACAGCGACAGTAAGGACACCCTCCTTGAGTTTAGCAACGACATTTTCAGCCTTGACTGGCTGTGGTAGCAGGACAGTGCGAGTGAAGGTCGTGTTCCCGACGAACTCCCGCTCCGTTGCGATCAGATTCTGTTGTGCTGCTGTTACTGCCGTGCGTGCGGACCCCATCAAGTAGAAGTCAGCAACCGTAATACGAAAAGTAAGGAAATTCAAATACACATACCTTCAGCCCCAGCCTTTTCCGAGGGTTGTGCACCAGCCGCAGGATATGTCCGCCTATCCACAATCTTTCCCTCGATTGTTAAGCTGCGACCACCGTCACCAACGCGGACCTCTACATCTTCCTTCTTGACACCTGGAAGTTCCGCTTCGATGATGTACTTGTTTCCCTCCTCTGTTACGTCCACCGCAGGTCGGAGTGCTCGAGGTGAGAAGAGCAAAGGGTCTTCGAAGAAACTACCTGCTGGACGAGCGAGGCGGCCATATCGAGGCGAACCTCCAAAAGGCTCTTCAAGCAATCTGAAGAGGGGTCGGAACTCGCGAAGGAATTGACGAGCAATAGACATGTCGTAGTAGTGTTATGAGATGAGAGTTGCGTTACGGATGCAAAACGACGAGTGATTCTAAACATCCAAGACCATATACTGTTTCTTATATAGGGGACAAAGCATGATGTCAGAAAGGACGACGAAAGTGCTAGAACGTAGTAAATGACGGTGCACAAGTGTAAACGTAGAATGCTGAAAGCGCTGGAAAGGTCGAGTAACGCCTAGAATCAGGCGCTGACCGCTGTAAAAAGCCGTCGAAAAAGATCGTGATCCTCCGATACAGGGAATCGAACCCTGAGCTGCCGCGTAACATAACACATGAATGCATATGAGAGGCGGCAATGTTAGCCATTACACCATATCGGATTATTTTATGACAAAATTTGAATTTGACAATCCATCAAATGTCTTCCTCACTCGTGCTTCGTCGAACGTATTGCATTCTCTGTTGTATTCACCATTCAGCCGCTCTACAACCAGTCAATATCGTTAATACCAGACATGGTCCGAGACTCCCGTTCTCCTGGCCGTGCCAGCCGCTCCGATCACTATGGCAGGGACAGAAACTCCGGCAACAGATACGAAGAAAGCTCGCGAAGAGCCAATGACCGCGACGACCGCAGAAGGGACGATAGAAAGGACGATTACCCCCCTGATAGACGTCGCAGCGACAGAGATAGAGAGGATTATCGTCGAAGAGACGACGATAGACGAGAAGGAAGTAGTCGGAGTCAGCGAGATCGTGAAGGAGGCAATTTAACCATTGACGACGAGAGAAAGTACAGGGATTCGAGGGGAGGGTCATCACGACGATCAGCCTCACCGAGGGCGCGTCCCTCTAGACCTCGTTCACCGTCAAAGTCTGGCTCGCGTTCACCTAGTGTGCAGGAGGAGGATAAAGCCAAGCCCAATTTCAAGCCATCGGGGTTGCTTGCAGCCGAGACAAAAATGGTCAAGCACCATGACGGCACAAGCACGGTTTTGAAATACCACGAACCACCTGAAGCAAGGAAGCCAACGACTGGTTGGAGGTTATACGTGTTTAAAGGTGCCGAGCAAGTTGGTGAGTCCCACAGTGGTTGTAAGCACGTTCAGAGCTGAAGCTAATCGTCTTGCCTTGCAGACCTACTACACATACACCGTCAGAGCGCGTACTTGTTTGGACGAGATAGGTCTGTAGTCGATGTTACCCTTGATCATCCCTCTTGCTCCAAACAGCATGCCGTCATACAATGTACGTCCTGGACGCTTTGCGATACGCTTATGCTAATTGAAACACTTGTCTAGACCGAGCAGTCAAGGAGAAGAATGAGTTTGGTGAGACAAAGACTGTCATCAAGTGAGTGGTCGTATTACCTCGTCCGTCCATCTTTGGAACAAGGCGGCGCATGTTATCTGACAACGTCTGAGACAGGCCCTTCATCATTGACCTGGAGTCTACGAACGGGACCCATGTGAATGGTGAACAAATACCCACGTCACGCTACTATGAGCTGAAGCTCAGTGATGGTGAGCAGATGGATGATGCAAGGGGAATATTGCAGAAGCTGACAGAATCCTCCATGGTGTTCTTTCTTCCCTAGTCATCAAGTTCGGAGAGTCGAACCGAGAGTACGTTTTACTATCGGAGGATGCCACCTAGGATGACGGAAGGTCGCACCTGTTGTACGATTATGCTTTATGCCGAATATACTTCCGTTAGGAACGTGCTGTTTGCTTGGAATTAGGGAGGGCGAGACTAATTCTCAAAGCGCCGTGCTAGGCCTCATATTTCCGATGACAGCTATATGGAACCTCGACAGATGAAGCCCTGGATCTGCCTGACGCCAAGGCGAATCTCCTCCACGTCAGCAGAGCAGATCGCGTGTGCGCATAAACAGCACCCTGCATGGCTGTGAGATGTCAATCAATGACAACTTCAGCGCCTCACTATGCACCAGAAGTCGACGGTGATCTCTCTGGTGATCTTCTCTAATTTCAGACACATCGGGCGAGCGATCTCTGATATATGATCGACAATGGGTCCCTATAGATCGAAGTTTCGTGGGAATTTTCATTCAATTGAACAATCGGCATTCATCGTTGCCAAGCCCCATTGTCCTCCAGCCGAGGTACTGGCAATCTCCGAGACTTGCTCCTCCATGCCATCATTCGAGTGCTCTTTCATCAGTAAACGCTGCACCCGGTTCTTCGGGACATCCTCCCCAGATGTCTCTTCGTCTTCCTTGGAGGCAATGGTGTTTACGAGGCTCGGACTGGCTGGAGCTTTATGGTATCAGCCGCGTATGCCCGTTCACGAGCATAAGGTTGAGTGCGTCTACATAATAATAAAAGAAAATCTGTTGGAAGGTCTAAACGCGTGGGTCAATAATTTAGGGTCGCGTGCATGGTCCGTCTGCATCAAAGTCAAAGAGGACAAAGACGGCAGAGAACAAAGAGAGGTCTGCCGTCGCGTGGTGATGACTATCTGTCGGACATCAGTGACTTTGAGTCGACGGCAGCCCGTGTGCCAGTGAAGGATGTTGTTGAGCTCAAGGGCGAGGCGGCGATGAGGGTGTTGACCCCAGGGACAATATCTCGCTGCAGATCATGATAGCTATGAGAGCAAAAATAGAGATCCATTCCGCTCGACAGACTAAGTATTTACAGGGGAGATAATGAGGAGAGAGATTAGGAAATTAGAGACGAGACAGGACAAGAGGAAAGTGAAACCAAATCAAGAGGAGAGTGAGACCAAATCAAGAGTACGCTCGACAGCTCAAGAGGAAATAACCAGAAGGGTATGGAACGACGCGAGACATAATAGTACAGAGGTATGGAGAGGGGATGGGGGGAACATAGATGCTTGAAGCGTTCAAGAAAAGGAGAAAGAGGAGAGAGGAGAGGATTCAGAGGAAACAAATGAGAGGAAAAAGAGACAAGCGGCCACCTATTGGCTACAGCACTTTCGTTAAAGATTCATTTCTATGAGGAGATTGTCAGACGATGTTCGCATAGGGTAAGATAGAAGGCTGCTTACCGTGGATTAAAGATCGTTAAAGCGTATCAAAGCGTTTCGCGCTTTAAAGTTGAGGACGCAAGCAACACTGCGTATTGAGGTGCCTGGTCAATGCGTCCTTTCGACTAAAGGTCCTCCAGCAACCGCCCCACCTTATCTTACCCTCCCATAGGTAACCATCGGCCCAATGAGGATGATCAGGACCAATAGGCTGACCGCAGCAGATGATCTTCGTCCCGCCCTGGTGAGCGCGAATGTGGCGCTTGAGGTCTGGGATACGCTCGTTCTTCTGAACGTAGTTGCAATCTCCTTTGGTGCACTGGAACCCATGGTCTCCGTGCAAGTCAAGGCTCAACACCTCGCCGGGCGCGCACTGCAGGCTACGGCGAGAGGTAGTGCGGATGTAAGGCTCCGGGCGCTGGGTAAGGGATAAGGCGGGAGATGGAGTCCTCGAGGAACGAGAGGACGCATAGGCTCCACCGTAAGGATGATAGGCAGCTTGTTTGACGAGACGCGAAGACTTTCGGCGAGGTCTGTACTCTCCATCGTCACCATCCGAGCTGTACGTATCGGATTCCCCAGAGTAGGAGGTAGATGTGCGAGAGGAACGAGTTCGACGAGAGGTACGAGGAGAAGGAGAAAGGGAAGGAGAAGAGGAAGGGGAAGGGGAGTCGAGTGCGTGGCGTTCGAGATGCATCTTATCAAACTCAGGTGCGAGAATGAGGGCACCGTCGAGGCTCGACCCGCGTGGACGGACGGGAGGAGGATTGTAAGGCTGGTCCTGGTAGAACAGGTCAGCAGGATTGACAGTTCCATCGTTGCTACTGAGATTATGGTCAGATTAATCCTTGCATGACTACAACAAGAAGACTCACAAAGCGTCGTCGTTCAAGTAGGAATCTACCAACGGGTGCTCTGGGCACTCGAAGATAGTATCCGGAGCAAGGGGAAGATCCCCATGGGAGATGCTCTCGGGGGAGGAGAAGTCACTATCCGGGTAGAGGTAGTGACCTCGAGAGAGTTCAGGTGAGGATGAACCCGAAGAGAGGAAGGGGGAAGAGGGCTGGTCAAATGAGAAGCCCATGAAAGAGTTAGAGGAGTTCATTGTAGTGAGAGATAGGCGGGGAGGCAGATGCGATGAGGAGCGGGGGATGAGGAGGAAGGGTCATAGCAGGGGCATTATATATGCGTACGGCTCCGGAGGAAGAGCTTGGGACTGCCGCATGCTTGTTTCTTTGACCTGCACGTTGCCGCAATCGAGATCCAACTTCTTCACTTCATGAAGGGGTCGATCCCCCGCGATCTCACCGTTTGGTAGAGGATTCGAGGGCCGTGAGAGTACTTCATCGCGATAGCATCACGTCGTGAAGTTCCCACAGAAACATGAGGCGAAGACATCTTGTTGCCGCAAGTACCCTTCATCTGAAAATGAAAGGACGGTCCGAACACGTTGTAAGCGGGCAGGCTCTCTCATCAAGATGCGAATCTCGCTCGCATAGTCTCTTCATCGTGCTAATCCTGTGAGCAGACGTCACTTGTTCCGGTACCTTTTACAACTGCGTTTAATCTGTTCTGGGCACTTGTCTTCTGTCGATTTCTTCTACTTCATCCGAAACCGTTCCGAACGCAGATTTGCAGGACCCGCATGCCAAGATCGCATCATCGATGTCTGGTTGACATAACCTTCATAGAAGAGCTGTTCGGGGAGCTATTCAGCAGGCTATTAGGTGGGCAGATACGTACTTTTTAGGATGGATCGTCCGACCATCCATCACGTCCTAGCAGCGAGCACGAGCGAGTTCAAATCCGATACTGCCAGTGTCTGAGCAAGCCGTCCGACATTCTATAGGAAGGCGATCGACCTGTCAAGTACAGGTTGACAGTTATGATCGAGACCGCTTCTTCCTGACCGTGCTTGAATTTCGTTCCTCTCTGGAGACTTTATTTTCTTTCCTTTCCTCTTGAGGTTGCACGTATGTCTGCGGATGGTAGGATGTATATCCCCCTTGACGGTGAACATTTCTGCATTTCTATCGGAATAAGTAGTTGTCTTGACACCCACCGCGAGCCAGTGCACGACGAGCGCCAGCAATTCCGATACGGTGTAACGGCTAACATTGGCTCTATTATTACCTTTACACCATATTGGACCACGACCAGCCACCGCCGCACCATATTGGGCATGCATCGGTGGTCCAAATCGCAATCCTTGCCCAGGCAATCTCTCCTGGCCTGCTTCCTTCAACGCTGAGGATGTGTTGATTTCATTTTGTAATTCATCACCTCCCTTGTGGTGTAACGGCTTAACATTATCGCCTTTCAGACGTTGTTGTCTTACTGGCTGGAACGCCGTCAAGAGCCGTGTCGAGCAACTCGGCTTGAAGCTCACTGACGATGAGGTACATTGACATCCCTCATCTAGTCTTAGAGTGCACATTGTTTGACTTTGCATTTTCACAGATCAAGGATGCCACCGCCAAGATCAAGGAGCTCGCAGACGTCTGTACTCAGTCTATGGACAATGTCGACTCGCTCTTGCGTGTCTACCACTCCGGTATTTGATCTGGTCAACTCGCTGTGGGCCAGAAGGAGGCACTCGACAGGCTGTTGAGGCAGCACCGGGAAGAGTGCGACGCCAACAGAGACCAAAGTCCTGCCCCTATTGTGGCTTAAGAAAAGCGGCGAACATGATGCCCTGATTTGCTTAGTATCTTCTTGCATTGACATTCTTGCATACCCATCATAGCACTTCTGACGAAACACATGTTCATTGAGGATATGTTGCTCTCATTTATCCATTGTATTATAGAACATAAACATTGCATTGCTTATGTTGGATGGTGTGCATTCTTTGTATTGGTAGTGGCCAAAATATTGATGTAGAGTTGAATATGATATGGACTTGATTATGATCCACATGCGGGGATGAAGATGGGCTATCCATTATGTGGATGCAAGCATGGAATGTGTTGAAACACAGTGGTCTGAGTGACGTGATGAATAAGATGATTATATAGACTTATGGACTATCTATTTGTCTTGGTAGAATTCATTGGTATGTGGAACAGCTCCAGCAGCAGCCTTTCACATGGGACAATGATAGTCTCAGGGCAATTGAAGCATCAAGCTCATTGATGTAGGAATCCCGCTTAAATGAAATGTATGCCATTGACCTCATCTAGTCACAAACCAAACCTGAAAACAAGTCAATGACACTCTCTCCTCACTAGAATTGAGCAATTTCACAACCACAATTAATTATATGCAATGACTTGCTTGTCTTTGAGTTGGATTTTGCCAGTGGTCATGAGTTGCAGAACTGCACACTGAACACATTCCTTAGCTTCACCATGGACAGAGCCAGGGCCAGGATATTATTTCACCTGTTCTAGTGAATACATCATTCTATAAGTAGTCTAGGAATATAGGTCAATCCATTCTATGAGATCTCAAAGGTGGGATCAACTATAGCACCTATTGAATTCAATGTATCCATCATTGAAGGGTGCAGAATGAGTGAGGTGATGTCTAGGCATTGAACTAATAAGCAAATATTGAGATGCTAGAGAGAAAGGCTAGGCAAAGTACGAAATGCAATAGATGTCTTGTCACTAGTGCTAAGCAAGAGTAGAAATATATTTGAATATAATTATGTACTGGATGTTCTGTACTCAACTTAGCTCTCATTATAGTTGAGTATGACTACAATATAATACAATATATTATATTACATGTATTATACTCAAACATATTAATATGTAGTCAGTACTAGTATCAGAGAGCAATTGAGATGGAAAGAAAATTCATTAACAAGTAAGCATTCAGCTTGCCTGACATTTTCTTAATCTCCCTGCCAGTACACTGTCTCAGATTGCTCAATTCACCTGGAGCTCTTGATGTCTGGTCAATATCTCAAAAATGGTTTTACCATTCTTGAAGGGCTAGTAATGGCCTTTTCTCAGACTTTGCTTCTCAGACAGAAAGATGGCCCACTTGCAATCCATTTCTGTGGACTGAAGATTCCAAAAGATGAAGGTTCATGGTTTCCAATTGATCATGCTTTTATATGAGCCTTTTAGAGTCTTGAATAATCTGAACAGATTGAGTTAGTGACCTGAGGAGAATATGATATGTCTTGTATACTGAAGGCAGTCTCCATCTTTGCAGAACTTTCAGCTATGGTGGCAGGTAACTACTTGCCTCTGCTGATAAATAAGGTTAACTTTCTCATCAAGTTAATCACTGAAGCATATGTATCAATCAGTTGTGAGCATATAAATAGATAAATCTGATCACTAATATTCATACATTAGCATTGTGATGCACATTGTATCTGAAAATAGTGACATGTCTCCTGAAGATCTGATCAAGATACTTTAGAAATGTGCTACTATATGCCTGAATCTATAGGCAGTGCAAATATAAGTCCTGACATAGTGGAAGTAGATAGATATTTATCTTCAGGTCTGATCATAGCTGCCAGTGGTAAAAGAAAATGTGCTAATAAAAATGAGGCCAGTAAGTACATATCTATTTCTATTTGCACTATATGCCAGCTTATCTCACAGTATAGATAAAGAGGATCCTAAGAAGAATCTCCACTTCAAGAAAGCATTCAATCAGATCACTGACAAACTACTGACACCAAAGATGAAATCAAAGTAAAAAGTGAAGTCAAAGACACTGAAGGTACCCACTGGTAATTCACCATGCAAAAAGAGTAAAATAGGTGGCCTTGGAGAGTCATGCACAACAGCTATTGAGATCAGCAATAGTGATCGAGGATCTTCTGATTTGAGCAGTGAAAGGGAAAGCAGTGTTAATGAGAGTGGCATGGAAGAGATCATGAAGTAAGCAGAATGACAGCTAAAGAAGGCAGATTGGGCATTTTCAAACTATACACTAACTGCAATTACATCAGAAGAAAAATGAGTTTGACAGTGACAATGCAACTGATGCAGGTAAGTAGTAATCAGTCTTCTGATGGCAGTACAGTATAGTACTAATTACTGAAAAATATATTATTCATATCACACATCTCCTTATATCAAGGATTGTGCAGAATATTCAAAAGAAAGTCTCAAACAATCAGCATTCAGTAATTACATATCTCATATTGGCAACTGCAAATACCTACCTTCAAATGAGACATTTGATACATGAGAGGCTCAACAATTGACTAATCAACTTGAAAACAACAATGGTGGTGCTTCTGTTGACATTGTAGCCTCAGCAAATGGACTCAGAGCTCAGCAGTCTATAATAACCACTTTTGTGCAGTGTGGATAAAAGAATCTGGCTCAAGAACTTATCAAAAACTTACTAAAAAGAGTTTCATGAGTATTTTGTAAAGGAAATTATCGAGGATGACTTGCTATACATATTTGGAGAGAAGACTAGAATAAAGCAGTGCTTTACTTATATACTTCTAAGTTCTTACAAAGTTCTAGATTGCTCTATGGTCTATTGTGACCTTGATATTTTGTATGATTATATCGATGAGAAGATCATGTCAACTATTCAGATAATACAAGCTTGATATCTTATCTTTGCTCTCCTTGAATACTTATATCACATTTTGCAGGCCAATACATTAAAAATTTCTATGACAAATAATCTGTAGATGAGTAGAAACTATATATATGCATTCACAGATGTTGTCATCTTTTGAATCAATGGTAACTGGGCTCTCATTGTATGCCTGCTTGAGCTTCTGCCTCTAAGTAGTAACTACACTAAAGTTTGAATAGTAAAATTGATTTTTAGGGCATTAAAGTGTCACAAATTAACATCTATACTTTATAGGTGTTCTCATAATTTATTATAATATTACTCAGCTTATGAAGATATCTGATCAAGTCAGCAGTGCTGTAGATAATGTCTCTAGTAATGGGCCACTCAACTATCATGTGAGTGCAAAAATCTGCAAGGCCGATAGTGTTTTTCTTAATCTGATTAATATGCAAATTGGCTGTGATGGATATATTATAAACTTGACATGCCAGTATGTTCTACAACACTTGATCACTTTTCAGCACTTATAAATACTTCAGAATAATACTTCACACTATTGGCCTTGCATCAGACTCCAATAAAGAGGACTTATAGAAGGAGGCTCATAACTATCCTCTTATTTATGATCTGGATGAAGACTCAGAG